TCGGCCTCTCTTCCGAGAAAAGCATATCTCGTTCAGAATGTTATCTCACAAGGTCTCGTCGCTTGTACTGGGCTAGGCAACCACCTCGTGCTTGTGAGACGGTGGAAGCAGTGGACAAGCTCGAAAATTCTCCGAGTGGCACAAGAACACAGATACATGACACAGCACAATTCGAGGTTGACGTGACGGCATCCGAAGGTTGTGCACCTGCTGTACCGGCACGCAACGAGCGACGAACACCAACACCTCGGTGGTACTTCGAATGCACAAACTTGCACTACAATCTCGTGAAGTACGCTGTCCAATTCGAACCCTTGCAAGGCGGGGCACGAGGGGAACACATATCTCGTATATGAGCCTGTGAAGACACCCTGGAAGGAGGAGCGGAATGCAGCATCTGACCTCTGTGCGATGCACATCTTGTGCGGCCTCTCTTTTGCTAGAGGACACGGCATCTTGTGCTCTGGCGGCAAAGGTATTCAAGGTGAAACTCCACGCCTTCCCGTCATCCGCTGCCTGAGTGAAAGCTGTCCAGTCAAGACTAGGTCAAATGCAACAGGGGCGAGCATTTGAAAGCGATTCGCTGATTAATCCAAAGGGCTAGAGCAGAGTATCGACGGAGTATGCCTAAGGTACCCGATTCCTGCTGCATCTGAGCTTCCAACGACAGGAGCCCCATACAAATCGAGGCCCAGGGATCTGTATGAACCCTTGGCCTCCTCGATCATCTCATCGCACGTATCTAGATCACTCCAGACTGGCGGTAATCTTGTCAAAATCCCGGACTTGGCCCGCCGCAAAAAGCAGATGGAAAATTGCTTCTGATGCGACTCTTGACAGAAGCCAAAGGCAATGCATTCTACTTACCTGGAGAATCCCGTTACTCAAGTCTAGTTCTGTACTGTGCTGTGTAACTTACACTGGAAGGACTTGCAAAGCAATACAGGGCGCAGTTAGGGGGCAGATCTTGCTGATATATCATCACATCAGCAGCACTAACGCCGGGCTCGCATGGTCACTAATATTTGGTTCCACACGGCTTTGAGGCCTTGGAGGTCTTCTCGTTGTGTCGGGCCAGGACGAGGTCTATGGACTTGCCAATCTTCGCTCACGCATCGTGAATTCATCCCCTAGAAAACCATGGGTGATCAGGGTGGGTCGCGAGGATACTTTTCCGTACGTTGCTCCATGTCCAACAAGCCGTAGTCTTGAAGCAGTGTACGTGCTGGAGTATTTTGCATTTCCCGTCGGTAATGTCGCTTGTCAAGCAGGCTACCGTGTGGCACATGAGCAGCGTGTGGTTACTACGTACCGATGGTAGAGCCTGAATGCTAACTCCGAGAACTCACTTCAGAACCGCATGCCATCACGTATCCCGCCAGTGTAAAATCGAGGCGCGGACTTTCAGGCAGCAAGGGAGTATCGGAACAAGCAAGGCAGCTGTGCGACTTTGTGATCGTGCCTAAGCAAACCGGAGGCACAAGCACTTGCCACGGACGCGGGCCGGCGTCACTTGCCAGCCTACAGGAACGCTGGATCCCATGATTCGTGCCAACGGCTGCTGAAAATAATAACAAAAGGCGTTCGTTGGACGTATGGGCAGCAGACAGGACACCAAAGCGATGACAGGCGGCACGGGGCGCATCAAGCCTAGCAAGCATCCCGATCATTGTGTGAGTACCCCGAGGATGCTTCCAAAGGAGTGACGACCCAACAATTACACGAATGCGACCAACATGCAGTTGCGTGTCCAGCAGGTACACCACAGTGCGTAGGCACCATCATAGTTGGGCTGACTCTTCTTGGGTCTCCTGCGCCCTGCTGCGGCTTGACAGCCGTTACACATAGCCTTCTCGAGCGAGCGGCCGCTGCTTCTCGCCAACACCTCTTCCGAAAGATGTTCAGATATTAACCCAGCCGTCGGGAGCCCGATATTGTGAGAGCTCAACATGCCCGGTCGCCCTTCCAACAGCAAGGCAGATTCGTTCTCGGACGCTGGCCAGGTATGTGGGCGAGTCTGACTGTGCTCTTGCTCGACGCACTGCCTCTGGTCGATGGCGTACCTCATAATCAAGAGCCATGGAACAGGTGAGACAGAAGGTGCGATAATTTCCCGTTTATGTATAGGATCTAATGGTGCCGAACCGACAAAAGAATATGTGAGTAAGCACTTTTTCGCTACCATCCTACGAGAAGAGGCAAGACGACCGACTCTGCGTTGCCAATCGTGGTCCTCTTGAAGGAAAGATCGACTCAAGATCTGACGGGTCGCATTGTGGATGGCCATCCCGATCACCTCCTACTATTCGGAATGTAACCGACTGTAGGCGACCAACCTTTGTGAGCTGTCACATTCCACCACGAAAAGAGAAGCAGGCCCGGCCCACTCGAGCCGTTGGTCCACGATGCTTGTCGCTGACGTCTCGACAAGTACCCGAACATACGATTTCCCACATGAGCCACCTTTTAAGGTCGGGCCCCTGTCTGGCCATTTCGCTTCAGCAGGGCGACCACAGTGCCAGTCCCTTGTTCTCGGTTGGACTTGTCCATCAGACGCTGACCACCCACTCACACACCTTGCCCCCACATCCCATGAAATCCTAGCCCGTGAAATCTTATCGAGATTCGAGTTGATCTCGTGTCGGGTGGGGAGATCTTAGCCGCTTTCGCACAGATTTCGGTGTTCGATTTTCCCGCCCATTTGGTCAACAAACACCGATGCGCGACGGCAGCTGAGAGCTGACACTCCACCAGACGGCCAGTCTTGATGAGGGATCAAAGATCTCATGTGACCTGGAACTCCCGTCGCTTCTTCTACCTTGAGCTTGGGGCTTTTTTCCCCTTCTCTGCTTCCTTTTCTCTGTGACTTGTGACATGGCTATATGTAACGGGGATCGGACGGAGAACTGAGACATGCGTTAGGAGACGTCGTCAAGTGAGACCACACGTGATGGAACACGTTGAGCTCTATGCCTTCTTCAACATTGCGCCGAAAGGATTTGACCCCCTGGCGCAGGATTCAACACGGAGCAACCTCCTGACAAGATCATTCGTCGGCCTACATGCTATTCCAGACCCTGATCCGTCTCACGGCTTGATCACGGCCGGCACAGGCTGTCAGGTCTTGCCCTCCGGATTCGATATGTGATAAGACCTGCCTCGAGGCCCTTGTCAAGCTGTCAAAGTCTCGTTTAATCCTGCCCTCGAGACACTGTGTGGCGTTGCTGAGCGGCTCCTTGCCTCTGCTGCTTTTTATTCCCGTCCCTTTTGCATGGTATAGTGCGATGCTGCTTTTCTCTTGACCGACCCCCCCTTCTCCCCCAAAAGGTGCATGTGCGCCCCGCCGTCAACGATTGTTGCCGTCCGGATCTGACAGGGCCCCGCAGGTAGCGCCGCGTCGAATAGATAAATAGCCGTGCGCTGAGGGAAGAAAAAGGATGGCTCGACACAGTACCTGTACATTCCACCCGACCATACCGAGACACCGGGTCGAATGCTCGACCCGGAGTGTGCGTTCTAGACGAGGCTTGGAAGAGCCGACCGCCCGGCCACCCGACTGACCTTCCTTATCGAGGCAACACGTGCGCTGCTGACAATTCGACAAGAGGGTGAAACGATATGACGTCCGGTCGAACGGCGGGCAGGCAGGCAGTCAGTCAGGACAGGCAGACAGGACAGGATAGGCCAGGCCTGGGCAGGGACGAGGGCTACGACCCAGGCGGCCTTCTCTCCATGGGAAAGTCCTTGGGGGCTCTAAGGGATGCCAGGACTTTTATGGGGTTTCTGACGCACCTCTGCTTTTCTTCTTGTCTCTTTTTTGCTTGCGCACGTTGCTGCGTCATTGAAGACACATCCTCTTAGTGCTTCCCTACCCCCCACTGGCTGCCTCTGCCTCGGCTCGACTGTGTGCTGGTGGGCATGTGTCTCTTCGTGCGAACAGACCTTGCTTGGTGTCGTAAAGATGGAGCCGTCATCCCCCTGATGGTGTGGTCCTCGCACGGCCAGGACGCGGTTGGCGTACCCGGAGTCGTCCTGGAGAGTCTCGCGTCCGCACACCCCTTGGGCGAGGGCCCTGTGGGCCCTGTTGCTCTTCTGTCACTTGGAGATCTTGTGACGGTATCCTGGTTTGTTGGGGGCTTTCATCAGGGCTCTTGGTGTTGTCAGGGTAAATATCTTGATAGACTGTGATCTGGGATGGTCCTTGCGACCTCCAAGCCCTGGAAAAGGTGCGTGGTGGCCGTGAGTCTCATGGGTTGACCACTCCGTTGTGAGTGTGTAGGAGAATATGGATCTTGATAGATTTTAGTGAGGCGCCATTGTTTTGACGAAACACGCCCAGGAAGTGTTGTCTACCACGTGAGCAAGCTCTCTGATGCTGCCGTCTGACTAGGCTCCTAGGAGATCGAGCACGTAATGGGGTCTGTCGGTGAACGGCAGTTGGTAGGCCACCTATATCTGATGGGAGAAAAGTCTGGAGCTGGATAATACTTTCTCAGCCCGCGATTGAAAAACATCGTTTCTGCCGTTGCGTTCGTGAGGAAGAAAGTGCTAGCCTTGGAAAATCTAGCCTCAAGTTCCAGAATTCCCGAATGTGTACCGCTTGCCAGGCGTGTAAGCCACGACAACATCATGTCACCATCAGCAACGTATTCTGTTGGAGGTATGCCATGGGGGATGCTTTGGATTGCGATTCCAAGATAGCAGGTTGTGACAGAGGGCTCTAGGTCGGGTCGGTCTAGACATATGCGAACGTTTGGGATCCCGCGAAGCAGTACAAGTCGGTTCAAATGTAAATAAGGCCTTGTATGAACTTCAAATTGCTAGTCTTGTGCTGTCTATCATGTCTAGGAAACCAAAAGGCTGGTTGCTTGAGCCAGACGCACCTTTCCAAGCAAAGGCACGTTTCTGGCATGTTTCAACTCTAAGAGCTCAGATGGAACTACAAATGCAGGAGGCCGCTCTCGTCAATCTCGCCCCTCCTTCGACCAGTGGGAATCGCCTCAGCTACACCTCTTCCCACGCCGAAAGTTGCCCAGGAGGTTGCCCAGGCCCGGCACGTGGCCCAGGTCCTTGAACCCCTTCCCGGAACACTCGCGCTCCCCGATCTCGATGACGGCGCCGACGATGTCCTTATTGATCTCCTCGGACACGACGCTGTCGCCCTTGTAGGCGGGGTGGCCGGCGACGAGGTGGCGGATCCACTTGGCCGCGGTCCAGAGCTCGCCGCTCGCGCGCCGGCGGATCAGGTCGAGGTAGGTGGCCAGCTCGCAGCGGGTGGCGACGTCGACGTTGACGCTGTCCAGGTAGCTCTCGACGAGGGGGATCAGCCCCGGGAAGCTCTCGCCGGCGTCCAGGCCGTCGTCGTCGTCGTCGTCGATGGGGTTCGCGCCGCCGTTCGCCGCGTCCGTGCCGTTGATGATCTCGTTGACGCTCATGAGGCGGTACTCGTCCTCGACGGGGCCCAGCGGCGTGGGCGGCCTGCTGATGCCGCCGCCGTTGGGGGTGTTGGCGCCGCTGGCGCGCGGCGAGCGCGACGTGAAGGGGTTCTTGCGGAAGTAGAACCTCTCGTTGAGGGTGGCGTCGCGGCGGTGGGCCGTCTCCATGTTCTCGTCGACTTTGACGATGGGGATGTAGAAGTTGAGGTCGAAGGACAGGATGGCGCGGGTGATGAGCACGATGAAGACGGCGAAGGCGGCGTTCTCAAAATCCGTGACCTGGATCTCCATGGGGCGGAATTCGACGCGCCACCCGATGTTGTTGTCGGCCGGCGGCGGCTTGAAGCGCATGTGCTGCCAGTTGGTCGACTGGATGTTCTCGAAGTGGTCCGTCTTGCTCATGTCTAGGCTCTCGAGGTCCTCCTTGAAGATGACGATGGGGTCCCGGATGAACAGGTGCGCGAAGTGCGTGGCCAGCCTGTCGTCCATGCCGCCGTCGAGGAGCTTTTGCTTGATGGACTCGTCGATGACGAGGTCCGGGTCAAAGTACTCAGGCCGGAGACGCGAGTCGGTAGAAATATATGTTGAGTTTGAGGCGTATCGGGATTTGGGAATGCGCCAACGATCATTTTGTAGAGGCTTGAGAAGTCAGCTGGGTTCAGTTCAAGACATGGCAGGAGTGAGGGAAGTCAAAACATACCTTCTCGCCCAGCTCCTCAGGTGTCCGGTCATCGACGGCCCGGCTGATCTGGTTCCAACGGACGTCTGTGTCTGCCAGGAAGCCCTTATAAATGGGGGTTGCTGCTGTCAAGGCCAGCAGGATGGGCCCAAGCGGACTCAGCTGGTCGTACATTTTCCTGCCTTCGGTGATGTTCTTGGCTTGGAAGGTGATCTGCAGACAACAACTACCCATGCCAAAGGCCATGGCGTCCATGTGAATAAAGTTGTCTGGGGCGGCACCATTCCTCACGTCGTCGTCCTCTGGCCAGTTGTGAAGATCGTAATCCACGGTAGGGTCTTTCCACGGCCAGGGCGTGTTCTTATCCTTAAAGACCGGCACATTCACCTGGACCTTCCTGCCTCGTCGCCAGCGGATGTTGGCAGCCAAAGTCGGGAAGCGGATATGGGGGTTGGCGATCTCGTCAGGCACGAACTGCGAGCGCAGCTTTGGCCCAGAGACTGGGTAGTGTGGCGTGGTGAAGACCCCAGGACTGCCTATTCTGGGGAACGTCGTGAGAGTGATGGGAAACTCGTCTGGCCTCATATGATCCTTGGCGATGGCTCGTCTGAGGATCATGTCTGGTTCCACCTTGAGAAGTTCCCTAAATTCAATTCCCCATGGCTTCCCAGGCGTGGCTTCCAGCATGAATCTTCCGAACTCGGGATGGAATACGGGAAGGGGCTCATTTGCACTGGTCTCTGGTTTAGCTGAGAGCTCGTAGAGGGCGGGAAGGTGAGGATCCGGGATTACCTTGCTCCAGCTACATCTTGGAGGGCTGGTACACAACCACCCTTCGCCGTGAGCTTTGTGTCAGAAGCCAGGGCTTCAAGAATGTCTGCCTGCCTCAGGGAGAGAAGAACGCGCGGATCATCTTTTGAGTGTGTTACCACAAGATACTCGACCTATCGAGCCCGGCATCAGTCAGAGCTTGTCGTCGTGTGGGACCAGAGGTGGTGGTTTGGGGATGGTACCTCGTCGCCCCAAAGCATGGCGTCTGACTCTTTCCCTTTAGCCTTGTTCCATATTTCCAAAAGTTGCTAGTCTGACGGTCAACAACCTTCTCAAAAGACTCATGTATGGCCAGGAAAGCGAATCTCACCTTGATGCCCCATTCGCGGACCTGATCGGCATTTTGCTTGGCTTCTGGCCAATCCAGGGGCGTGCCGAGAGCTCTTCAAGGGCCAGTGTGAGCAAGGATATTGTGAGACCAGATTCTGGAGAGAATTGTTGGATTTGGACATACAATAAACCCATTGTGAGTGAATGAATGACTGCAAGGCTCGTCCGCTGGCGATGATGAGAAAGGCGTCCGACCAATCTCTGGGAGCGCTTCTAGCGTCTAGGATACCGATGATATCCGAAGTTGGCCCGAGTGACCTCACAGCATGATCCGCTGAAGTTTTTGACGGCGACTGAAACGATATCTAAGAAGGGGTTAGGATGCACTGCACTCTCACAACGGGCATGAGACTGACGAGAGGGATTTGGTACCAGGCTAGGATATAAGAAGCCTCAAGAGATGACCGAGAAGGGTCTATGCTGGAGAGACGATCTGCAGGTTTGCCGGACTCCACTGCAGCTTGGGTGCATCGACGTCGGTGGTGCGCCGCGCTTAGTACGCCTCGTGCGGGCAGGGTTAGATAGTGACAGGATGGTTGCGCAATATCCCTGGACGGCGACTGGGCGAGTATTGATCAAGCGAAGTGGGCGTGATGCTCCACGCCGCGCTCTATGAGAGTGTATACGTAATAATAAGCCAGGAATGGAATCTACCTAGGTATCAGATGGAGGCGGAAAGCGGGAGGTAGGGGAAAAAAACCCATCAAAGACGGAACGGGAACCGGAGTTTGGATTTAGGATGCGGACGACTCATGGAAAACACACCAGCACCTTGCTGATCAGTCGGCCGGGACCGCAATTGACCTAGGCGTCTAGTCTGCTTAGACCACACGGCTGAAGTAGGGTTCGAGATTTGACGAGTTTTCCCTTGTGTCCCTTTCTCTCTGTCTCTCTCTCCACCTCCAAAAAAGAGGAGTGAGTCGCGGGCGATGCACCTTAAGACCATCCTCTTTAAGTGGGCCCATCTGCCGACGAATCGTGCATATCGTGCATATTTATACAGCACCGTTCTGCGTCTGCGCAAAAGGCGCATCCTGCTTAGAAATCGATGGGCCTTGATCGGACAAGAAGTCTCTTCCTTGCAATTCCGTTACATTCCTAGATCACCCTGAATTTCTCTGCTAGCTGTCATCAATCGCCTGGTAATTCTTTCAGTCTCTGCCTACCTTGCTTAATTAGGCCCGGTAATAGATTCCAACGGCCAATTTGCCTAGACATCAAGTACGGGAACAGGTCTCCTAACCCTGATCTGGCTCGATGCGAAGGGGGTGTGGTGGGTGGGTGTAAAAGGGACAGAAGGGAGAGTAGTCACTCTACTGCAATGTCTAAGTGCATGTTGATAGTCTACCTAGAACAGTTATTAACAGACGTCATTCTCGGAACATGAGGCTGAATGAGTATTGAATTTCTCATCACCTAGAGGCATCGGCTCTTGCCACTACCATACTCACAGCCTCGCAGCAGGACTGGAGATTCCAATAGCAGCTACCTGGGTAGCATTTGGAACTGTCCCACCTCGCCTCGCCCAGACTCCCCTCTGTCAAACCAACCCCAACTTGCTGCATTTCCACTGCAGTCTGCCTTCTACGGCTACCTCTCTTCTCTATCTTGGGAGCTCTGCACCACCGATTCTTCGTGCTTGTCAGTGTAAGATCAAACCTTGTCTTTCGCAAAAGCCTGCGCTGTGCTTTGAGCAGTCTCCTATCGGGGCCGTTGATCGACACACTGGACGATCTCTTATACAGAAAATAAGGGCCCACCCAATCTACGACCAGCAGCAGCCTTGGGGGCTTGTGGCCTGAGGCACCAACCGCTTTCTGCCCTCTTTGCCGCGACCAGGCAGTCAGTCACTCTGTGACGCGACGCGACCTGTGGACCCACAACACTTTACAGTGGCAGCCGTAGCGGCCAGACGCTAAGCTAAGGCAGGCACTGGCAGGGAGCTCCTACTTACTGCAAGTCTCACCTCGTCCTCGCCCTCGTCCTTGTCGCCAACAATCTTTCCTTGCGACGGTCTCCCCTTCCACCCCCATCGCAGCAACACCTGCTGCTCGATCCATCTTCTGACACCTGCACCCATCGCGACATCAGCAATCGCGAGCAGTCACCATGTCGGAGGCCATCAAGATCGACAACAAGCTCTTTCAGGAGCGCGTCTCCCACTTCGTCAATGCCTGGAAGGCCGACAAGCGATCTGGAGATGCCCTCTTCGGAGGCGCCTCCTCCATTGTCATCATGATGGGCAAGATGGAGGAGGCCCAGGGCTTCCAAAAGAACAATGCTATGCACGTACGTCTGCTGCCATTCCCCCTCATCCTTCCCGCCACCTGCCCTCCGTTCTAGCCGTGCCAAGCTAACCTTTGCCGTTCCGTAGTTCTGGCTGCTAGGCTACGAGTTCCCCACCACCCTGATGCTCTTCACCACCGAAACCCTGTACATCCTGACCACCCAGAAGAAAGGTGCGCTTCCCCTGTTAGCCATCGAGTCAACGAATGACCGAGCGAGACCTGACCACAGACAATAGCCAAATATCTCGACCAGATCAAGGGCGACAAATTCCCTGTGGAGGTGCTCGTACGGGGCAAGGATGCCGAGGAGAACAAGAAGCTCTTCGTCAAGGTCGCCGAGATCATCAAGAAGGCTGGCGTAAGTTCTGGCCCATCTAGAATCATTAGTGACATTGGCTGATAGCAGTCGTCTCACAGAACAAAGTCGGCGTCATCTCCAAGGATGCCTCCAAAGGCCCCTTTGTCGACGAGTGGAAAGCGGTGTTGGCCGAGGAATGCAAGGATGTAGACGAGGTCGACATCACCGCTGCCCTTTCTACGGCTGCCTTCTCGACCAAAGACGAGGCCGAGCTCCGTGCAGTTAGAAACTCATCGAAGGCTTGCGTCGCGCTGATGCACTCTTACTTCCTGGACGAGATGTCCACTATACTCGACCAAGAGAAGAAAGTCAAACACCGAGTTCTGGCCGACAAGGTGGACGGGAAGCTCGATGACGAGAAGTTCTGGAAGACAGTGAAGCTGCCAACATCGGGCAAGCTTGCGTCAGACTTTGATCCTACCCAACTGGACTGGACCATAGGCCCAGTCGTCTACAGCGGTGGGAAATTCGACCTCAAGATGCAAGTGGAATCCAGCGAGGAAAACCTTCATCCCGGCGTCATCGTTGCCGGTATGGGCCTTAGATACAGGTCCTACTGCTCCAGTATCGCCCGGACATACATGGTGGACCCGAACAAGACGCAAGAGTCTAACTACAAATTCCTTCTCACGGTCCACAACTTGATTTTGAAAGAGATTCGAGACGGAGCCGTGGCGAAGGATGTCTACAACAAGGCCCTCAGTTACGTCAAGAGCAAGAAGCCAGAGTTGGAGAAGCACTTTGTCAAGAATGTCGGATTTGGCATTGGCCTCGAGAACAAGGACCCAACTCTCGTCTTGAATGGCAAGAATGCTCGTACCCTGAAGGATGGAATGACACTCTGCGTTTCCACTGGCTTCCAGGATCTCGAGAACCCTCAGCCTCAGGACAAGAATAGCAAGATCTACTCCTTGATTGTGACAGACACCATTCGTGTCACCGGCGAAGGGACCGTCAATTTCACCGGGGAGGCAGCTGCTGATCCCGACTCCACGTCGTTCTTTTTCAAGGATGATGAGGAGCAGCAACCGGCACCTAAAAAGGAGAAGAAAGACTCACGTGTCGGCGCCGTCGCTGCCAAGAATATCACCAGCTCTCGTCTACGGTCAGGCCGCGGCCACGACAAAGACGAAGAGGCTGAGAACAGGCGCAAGGAACATCAGAAGGAATTGGCAGCCAAGAAGCAAAAGGAGGGCCTGGCGCGCTTCGCCGAGGCCACAAGTGACCCGAACGGCGGCGAGGCCAAGAAGTTCAAGCGCTTTGAGTCCTACAAGCGTGACAACCAATTCCCACCCAAGGTTCGCGACATGGGCATTGTTGTCGACCAGAAGAACTCGACCGTCATTCTGCCCGTGATGGGTCGCCCGGTCCCATTCCATATCCAGACAATCAAGAACGCGAGCAAGAGCGACGAGGGCGAATGGTCTTTCCTTCGGATCAACTTCCTGTCGCCTGGACAAGGAGTCGGCCGAAAAGACGATCAGCCTTTCGAGGATGCGTCCGCCCACTTTGTTCGAAGTCTCACCTTCCGTTCGACGGATGGCGACCGATACACAGAGATAGCGAACCAGATCTCCAACATGAAGCGAGATCTGACCAAGAAGGAGCAGGAGAAGAAAGACATGGAGGATGTTGTCGAGCAGGACAAGCTCGTCGAGATTAGAAGTAGGCCCACCCGTCCTGCCAAAGTTGACGTATATATGCTAACATTTCTACAGACCGTCGCCCGGCCGTCTTGGATAATGTCTTCTTGCGACCGGCAATGGAGGGCAAGCGTGTTCCTGGCAAGGTCGAGATACACCAGAACGGTATCCGATACCAGTCGCCGCTCAACCCACACCAGAGAGTCGACATTCTCTTCTCCAACGTTCGCCATCTTTTCTTCCAGCCCTGCGAGCACGAGCTTATTGTTATTATCCATATCTATCTCAAGGACCCGATCATCGTTGGCAACAAGAAGAAGACAAGGGATGTCCAGTTCTACCGGGAGGCTACTGACATTCAATTCGACGAGACGGGCAATCGCAAGCGCAAGTACCGATATGGTGACGAAGACGAGTTTGAGGCAGAACAGGAGGAGCGCCGCCGACGTGCGGAGCTCGACCGTCTGTTCAAGGGCTTCGCTGAGAAGATTGCCGAGGCCGGCCGGAATGAGAGCATCGAAGTCGACATGCCCATAAGGGATCTTGGATTCCATGGCGTTCCATTCCGCAGCAACGTCTACATCCAGCCAACCACGGAATGTCTGATCCAGCTTACTGAGCCACCGTTTATGGTCATCACTTTGGAAGATATCGAGGTCGCACATCTTGAGCGAGTTCAATTCGGTCTCAAGAATTTTGATCTTGTTTTCATTTTCAAGGACTTTACAAGACCGCCTTACCATATCAACACGATCCCAGTGGAATCGCTGGAGGACGTCAAGGACTTCCTCGACTCCTCAGACATTGCATACAACGAGGGTCCGTTGAACCTGAACTGGCCTACCATCATGAAGACGGTCACCGCCGACACGCACCAATTCTTCGCCGATGGTGGCTGGTCGTTCCTTGCAAATGACAGCGACGATGAAGATGGCGACGAGGAGGAGGAGCAGGAAAGCAACTTCGAGATCAGTGACAGCGAGCTTGAGGATGCTTCCGAGTCCAGCGAGGAGGACTCAGATTTCGACTCCAACGCTTCCGCGGACGCCAGCGATGAGGAGGCCAGCGAAGAGGACGAGGGCGAGGATTGGGATGAATTGGAGCGGAAGGCCAAGAAGCGAGACCGCGAGGCGGCTGCTGAGGAGGAGGAAACACGCGGCAAGAAGTCGAAGAAGCAGAGACGTTAAGTTGGCAGAACTGGTGTTGACAACAGCGCACCATACGGTCACAGTGGTCTCGGCTGACGCCCACTGTCTACTCCCGACAGTAGTTTCCTGAGGCTAATACCGATGTTGACTTGGTTTTGATGATGGCACTTAAGAGACTGTCATTTCGAGTTTGTAGGAATACGGGAGAGCTCATCCGCAACGTGGCGGTCTTTCAAAGAGAATTCTACTGTTCATTGTGACTTGGAGATGATATCTTGGGCTTGCACTTTGAAAAGGGGTGGGATGAACTTCATGGGCTTGCAGTTTGAGGAAAGGAAGGAGAAATCACGATGACAGTGTTCTTTGGCAGTAGGTAGTCTAATTCGAGAACAATATTCGAGTTGTCCTTCCCAGTGTCTTCCACGCAGTAAGGCTTTGGCGGCATAGCTTCGTCGGGCTGAAAGCCCACCCCCGCCCAAAGATTGGCGACTATCATGTTGGTATCCATGACCAGACCTGTAGCTAGTACTTTTCTCCCACCTTCAAGGCCCATCTCGGCTCTGCAACACCTGCAGGAGTGGCATGACTGAATCCAAGAATTAAGGCGTGGCTGATGTGGGTGGCGGGAGAACAATTGCTGATTAAGCAGAGGCGTCATTGAATCCATAGACATGAGAATCGTCACTGCCAACATGTAATTTCGCCCACTTTTGCACTTGATCGTGCCGTTGAATAGGTAAAATCTGTTTCGCATACGGAATGTTGCAATGCTTCACCTGAGACTGGTAAAGGATGAGCAGCGAGTTCCGGCGAATCAAAGCCCCCACGTCACTGTTGTCTGACTGATAGGTAGGCACACAGAGCTCGATCTTCTCGATGTCAGGACCAGCATTGAGATAGGAGCCCAACCCTTCACGGTCAGCCAACACTGTGCCTACATGAGCTGGGATTCAGGATCAAACTTTCCATTTATGGAAGAACAGCTGTAATATCATCTGGAAAGATGGCTCCACCATCGGTTAGTTACAGTCCCTGCGAAGCAAACGAAGACCAGATGGGCGGCGACTCGGCTAACTGATGCTCAGACACCAGCCCAATCGCGCTTCTTGCATCCCAAGAAGAAGACCCAGGTACCCCAGGCAGAGAGGCAGGTGCCTCTGTCTCTGCACAACGGCCCACGCCAATTTGCGTCGACCCCACGGTTTAACACTTCCGCAACGCCTAGGCCGCTTTCTCATCAGCCACCACCCTTTTCAACCCCGGTGCCATCCTCGGCTAGGCCCCGACCCACGCCTCATGAGACCCTGAGCGACGTGATAGACACCTCGCCTATCTCGCCAGATGAGCCAGGAAATGATGGAGAGGACCGCATTCGTCTCGATGAGTCCATAGAAATCGACTCGCCGTCGGCCTCTAGGACACCGTCCCGCCAGTTCCAGACTAGCAGGCCAGCGAAGCGTCGGCGAGTCTCCCTGTCCCCAGAGATAGAAGCGAGCCCTGATGCCGACCAACTCGATGTGTTCATGGAGGATGACGAGCAAGCCGAGATCTCGAGCACGCCCGTCCTCGACGACAGGATCGCTGTCCAGTCTTCTTTCGACCAGGGGGCGTATGCGGCTGGCTCTCGGCCGCAGTCGCCCCGGTCGGCGGACGAACAGGCCCCTCGAAATCCAACATTTCAGAGCGCACCGCGCTTCAAGGCATCTGAAACCACCACAGAAACTCAGCATCGGCCCCTGCCGGAGGCTTTCTCCCCCCAGCGCCGTGGTGCCAAGTACGTTGCCGGCGGCCTCGCCGCCGAGGTACGCGACTGGCTGGTTCAGGTCAAAGGGGCCTCTGAGTATGACAGACCTACCGGGTCTAGCATCGATGTTGTTGTCGATGAGGCCATGTCAGCCCCTGGGATGCACGTCATTGCTGCTCGACTGCCCGATGCTGGGAACGAGAGTGATGCTGTTCCTGGGAAGGTCATACTTGCAGGTGATGGCCGTGTGGCTGAACTTCGTGGGAAGAGCATCGTGAGACGCAGCGGTGTGGTCTCGATGTCTCAACCGATGTGGGACATTTCTCTGGGTGACCTCGGCCAATTTGCAGTGGCTTGCGACTGGGAGGCAAGAGGAACGTGACGTTAACATTGTGGGCCGGTCAATGCTCTCGTGGATGGCAAGGAAGGTCCAAATCTGGTGCCCTGCACCGTTCATGAGGCAACTCTCGCGCAGAGGAAGGTGCGTGTTGAGTTGGTTGACCAGTCGTCCTCAGTCCTCGAGGCTTCTTCGTCATGGAGGAAGGACATCAGTGATGTTGCTACATGATACTGATATCCACATTATTCGAGTGATGATCGCTCATCCACATTTATGAACTCACCAGAAACAAGTCACCTACACGCCTAGAACACGACGCCCACAGTCTTTCCAACAGTTTGACAACATGAGCAAAGCATATCGCGATGACGAAGCTGAATGCTGTGATGAATACGAGCGTCTGGAGAAGCTCCTACGACAGACACTCACACTTGCCGGCGAGATCGTCGAGAGCAAGGGGCGTCCTCTACCAGGCGAATGCATAGCCCTACGAAAGAGGGCAATTTCCGACCCTACTGGAGCAAGGCCGCACGACATTCGCAGTAGCTTGCTCAAAAGAAGAAATGATCTGGTTGACGACGAGAGCGAAGACAGTCAAAGCACAAGCCCAAGTCCGGCATCCTCGGTCCAGGAACCGTTTTCACCCGCATCTCTCGCAGTCAGCCTTGATGCTGTTGTGGAGCAAGGAGGGAGAACTCAGAATGACCTGTGTGTCCTTGACAACGCGTCAAATACTTCTGTTGCCGCCCTTCTGGCGGAACCAACAAGCAATAGAAGCAGCATTTTATCAACTGACGAGACCCAGCGAGGCTTAATAGTACAGACTTTCCCGCCTCAAAATTCTGCCGACGACAAATCGCCGAAAAAACTGCATCGCCCATCTCTCCCACAAAAGAATACCAGCATGATCGTACACAGTGGTCAGGAGTCGCTAGTGGAGCCATTGATGGAACCTTTTGCGCCACAGCAGCTTATAGAAAACCCAAGGAATGAGCGGCTGGGAAGACGCAGCACACCTATCCATGTGTCACCGCAGGGCTCGCCCACTGGTTTCAGGACCCCAAAATCCCACCCAAACTCCGATCCCGCACTGAAGAGACCGCAGAAGATCAAAGGACAGAGCCTGGAAGGGGACAACATGGCAGCGAACCAGTCTCGACCTCCCAAGTGGCATGTCAAGATCCTTCCCGTCGCCTCCGCTCGAAAAGCCGGCGACTCTGCACACCCGGCGCCCGCTCTAGTGAAATTCGAGGTGGTCTTCCCCCTTAGAGCCTTCGCTGAAAGCAACGCCACGTCCTCACCGGCATACAACAGTGAGCCTTCGTACATAATCATCGGTCGGGTGCCACTTGACCATTCCCCAGAAAGCCCCGGTTCCAGCGCCGAGGAAGAAGCCGCCCCTGCTGCTCATGAGAAGTCGCTGCAGGAGGTCATCGATGAGTGGGAGTGCGATGCTGAGGCACCAGGAGTCAAGGAGAAAAGATAATGAACTCAATTCTGTATCTCGAGCACCGTGTCTAACAATACCTAATGACAAATGAAGCATCGATCCACGCAGCCGTACCATTTTCATACAAGAGACACGATGTGTAGTGTGCCACTATCACGAACCGCGGATGTCTCTATGGTCTACTCTACCTCAAGCTCCAGCTCCAGCTAGAGCCCCACGCAGTCCCAGCCCGTCCCCGGACATGCCCGTCCCGCTCAGTCAAGCAACCTAGCCAGGCCCAGCCCGTCGAAAAGCGGCACCAGGAACGCCTCGAGCCGCGGCTCGGCCACGAGCTTGTCGTTGAACTCGTGCAGCGCCACGCAGAAGTCCCTGGTGCGCTGCTCGCCGTGCCGCGCCACCTCCTCGGCGTAGTGCGGGTTCGACATGGTGGTGTCCGCGACGATGCCGCGCCGCAGCACGTTGTCCGCCACGATCAGCCCGCCGGGCTTGAGCAGCCGCCCCGGGCTGCCCGGCTTCGACTTGGAGAGGATCAGGTCCAGGTACTTTGGGTACGCGTCCTTGTTGGCGTCGAGGAAGATAATGTCGAAGGGCTCTGAGGGTGCCAGGGAAGCGAGGCTTGGGTTTGACTGTTAGTATCTTCAGGCGGGGACTTGGGTAATGTTGACCTGGGCACACGTACGATTCCACGGCATCACCCAGCTTGACGTCGACGTTCTCCACGCCGTTGTCCTTGAAGGCCTTGCCCGCGATGTCGGCGTACTTCTCACTGAGTTCAAGCCCGACGACCTCACCCTCCTTACCGACCGCATGGGACCAGACCATGGCGCTGAAACCGATGTACACTCCGAGTTCAAGAACTATATATATATTTATCTGGTCAGTTGTCTAGAACTTGTACTTGGAATAGCTATCACCTTATAGAGGTTAATGGGAGATGGAGCTGAACCTACCTCGTTTGGCACCCACGAGCCTCGCCAGAAATACCAGGGATTGTGCCTCATAAGTGCTAATCAGGTAACCCGGAGTCTCCGTGCTGTTGCAGCCCCACTCATGATATTTGACTAGCCAGTCCGGTAGAGCAGTCGACTTGGATATGGAATCTGAATACAAGGCTTTTCGTTAGCTATTTGTTGTACTAAAATTCCTTGTCAAGTCGTGAGTCTAACTTACAGTCCAGTACCTTGGCCGACGTCTCAGGGTTTGGGTAGAGCTTTGCCACGTTCTCCTGCATCTTGGCTACCCTTATGATATATGCCTGACTGAAGTTGTGATGATTGTGATATTTGCTGCTGCTTTTACTTTTTTTGGTTGGCTGAACCGGGCGGCTTAGTTACTGTTATATATACAGCTACTGCACTCAGGACAGATATGAGATGTTTCGATTATTATATAAAACGGCCGCCGTTCTTCAGTCTGAGTCACACAGGACATTGATCCAGAGGCTCCCAAGAAGAAGAAGAATGCCGTCACCGCCCATCGATACCCAACAGCAGGTCGCGGAGATCCGAGACACCAAGTGTTTCCACAAAGGCAAACACGCCCACAACACGAGAACACTTGCCGAACTAACGAGCATCTATGGGCGGCGCGGTGCGGCCCCCCAGCCCGCGGGGTTCGTGGACCGCGACCCCTTGTCCGCCGCCAGCGGCTCCTCCTCCGAGCTTGTCTCCGAGGACCCATTGCGGGGCCGAAGCGGGTTGTGAGTCGTGGCTTGGCCTCCCTCCACTCGGGAAGCGTGTGCGGGCACCATCCCGGAACATCTGGACCGAGACTGCTGGCGGAATTACGAGGGGATGCTTACGCCATCATCGTTATGGATAAAATGTGAGGTGATTCCGAGGGAAACGATTCGGGGCCGAGTCTTGGCGAGGACATGTAATATCAAACCGTTGGCGGCGATGCAACGTCGGAACGAGCTGATGGCCGGCCCTATTGCTTGGCCAAGCTGCGCAACGAAGCCGTGCAGTAATCTTATCTGATCAGATCGCACAGAATCTGTCACAATATGAATGCCGAGTGTACACAAACTGTGGAGACATGTGTTTGTCCTTTCCGTTCTTCAAGCAATCGCTGTTCAATACATATATTTCCCACCGGGATCACCAACTGCTCACTTCACTATCGCTTCTGCTTATACGCTTTAGACATTATCTCAGCGTAAATACGCTCGCTCACAACTCTCCATGCGGATCGCAAACGACCCACACTTCACAGAACGAATGGCAAAGGTGAGTCGAGGGCCCTGCTAGCGTGCGTGAGGTGGAAATAAAAGTATAAGGTCAGCCCACCAAAACTGGCCCGGAAAACCATCGAGAAAAATGCATAAGAGCCAGTACAAGACCACAGGCCTTGGTACGCCAAAACGCAACAGCTCTTGGAGTCGTCAGCATGTGCCATCAGACCATGAAAAGTCCAAACGCACCAGCGAGTATCATGACCGTACCGGCAGCCGGCACGACGGACCCAGCCTCCGCCCTTGTGACTGTTGCTGGTGCCACGATACTCCCATTTGCATGGTGATGTAAGCAAGGGTGCTGTCCAGGAGCGCAATGGTGGGTAGGCGCCGAATGAACCTCCGGAGCAGGCACCGAAGGAACTTCCGGAGCAGGCACAGGCAGCACAGGTGGTGGCGTCGGCACGAATGGAGGCTGAGGCGCTGAGTTCTGGGGCGGCGCAGGCGGCTGCTGAATGGTCGGAGGCAACAGCGGTGGTGGAATAACCGCAGGGGCCGGTGGCGGTGCAGCTGGCAGTGGCTGGACATCTGGAGACGGTATAAACGGCGGCGGCGGCGGCGGCGGCGGAGGAGGAGGAGGAGGAGGAGGAGGAGGCGCAGGTGCCACGGGAGGCGCAGGATATACCGGAGGTGGTGCTGGCTGCTGCTCGGGAGGTTCCGGCACTGGGACTAGGGTTGGCTTCTTCCTCTGGCACGAATAACCTTCTGGACAGATACGTGATGGCTTTGATGAGTGAGGCCTGTCGCACTCAGTCCAGCATCCTCGACCGCCAACACAGTGATTAATACAACCAGGAGGAGCAGGCCAGGGCACTTTGGCTTCGCGAATGGCAAGCTTGTCTTCGGTGTAGTCGTCATCCGGCTGGCATGTAAACCCGGCCGGGCAGGTTGCTTCCGGCTCCACAACGGTTGACGTGTGCGTAGGTCTGTAATGCTTTCTCTCGTCGTCATCTGATGGATATGGCCGGACAGTCCCATGCGGGTTTCGCGGAGGATCCCACGGTGTTGGACCCGGCTTCCTGCTGGTGTCGAGAATAATAGACGGGTATGGCCGAGTGAAGCCATGTGGCTTGCGCGGAGGATCCCAAGTCGTAGGAGTGGGCCTCTTGCACGTAAAGTGTGTCTTGTAATCGATTATAGTGGCGATGCATACATCGGGGTCGGTGGTGGTTTCAGTCATCCATTTCTCCTTGGTGATTGTGCGCGTCTTGCCATCGTGGGACACGACCGTAGTTGGCACTGGAATCACGATAGGCTTGGTGATTGTCTCCCGGAGAGTCTCCTTGCGGCAGCATGGGGGATCATGAGAATTGCCACGACACACGCATGACCCTGAGCTCGGCTTGATGTCCACGACGGAGAAGTTCGCGACGAAAGAATGGGAAGGCAAAATATGTGCTGAGTAGAGACTGGAGTGTGGGATAGGCGTGGTGGATGGATGAGAGGAAAAATTGAGCTCCAGAGAAAGGGTGGAGAGCGAGTGATTCGCGATGGGATGATGAGAAGAGTGACTGAGTGCTGTTGGGAGGCTCAAGTGCGAGAAGGTCGCGATGGGTTGGTGGAGAGCTGAACTATGCACCGTTGGCAGGCTGGAGGGCGTGTGGACCATGATGGACGGATGAACAGAAGAATTGTGTACCGAAGGAATACTGGAGGGCGAGATGGCCTCAACGGGCAGATGGGAAGACGAGCTATGTCCGGAGAGACTGGAGTGCTTCAATGGCGAAGGCCATTTTGCCTGACCCAGAGTAGCCAGTGCGGCCACGGCGAGAATTGTAGATGACTTCATGTTAGCTAGCAGTTGGAAGCGAAAACGAGTGGATAAATGTGTATCGTGGTATCAAAACAGCAGTAAAAACTGTTAGATCTGGTGGTGTTGAGCGAAAGTGATGGACAGATCAAGAAGAGAAGAGTCCCAAATTCCTTTGGCCGGAAGAGAAGACTCCATGCTTGTTGACTGCCCAGGTGTCTTTCCGTTGGAGGTTCCTGCCGTTCCTGCTGGGACGTGGATATTCCAGACGGAAGTCGTGATCGAGTTGAGCCGCGGCGTATGCCACTCATCTTCCCACGCTTATTCAATACATGATCAAGGTAGAAAATACACACCACCATGGCGAACACCCAGACTAACCATCCGGGGCTTCAGAACACGCCAATATTGGTCGACGTCCATGACAGCGTCGCCCAAGTTCGTAATTGACATGGTGTGTGTCAATCCCCAGATGGTCTGGCGGCCTGCACTCGCTCAGCGCCTTGTCTGCAAATAATCGCATATCCTGTTGGCCGCTCTTCCCTGTTGTGTCCTTCGCTTGCATAGGCAAGTGTGGTCAAAGACAATTGCCCAGGTACGCTGCAAATGGTGGAAAAGGGGCACCCTGTTTGTTGCCACACGTTCAAGCACCGGGGAGGCCAGTTGAAGGGCTTGCGGTATCAAGAGCCTACTCGACGCAATGGTCAACTTGAAAGTTGGAGAGGGAAGCATTCTAGGAGACTCTTAGATGATAGACGGAGAGAGGTGCATGAAATACCTCCCATGTGACTGTCCTGACAACCAGCTCTGTTCCTCGAGACTTGGCCACCTCTGAGACGGACATTTAGACGATTTGATAGACCAACTCCATGTGGGATAACATTTGCCTTGCAATTTATGCTCGGTCCTCTGTAAACATCAGTCCTTTTGCAGCAGAAGACCACCGTGTGTTTCACTTTTGAGGCCCCCAGACTCGTCGCTTCACATTTGCCCTCTACCGCGACTCCACCCAACTCCAATCTGCAAGTGCTGCAAAGCCAAACGCCTGATGTTGATAACAAAAAAACCCTATTCGTCCTCGGGAACACCTGAAAACAGCCCAAATCGCATTCGGTGACTCTGCATGGCCGGTGTCAGCTTCGCATACGACAGGGATACTAGCTCCACATAAAGGGGAAAAGACCTACAAATGGTAGCTTCGGGATCACCACCGCAAGGACTGCGAGAAAGTTGATCGTGAAGTACGCCAAATCGTAATGCGTGTAGTGTGTGCTGAGGAGGAACAGCACAATTGGCACACTGAGCAAGAACTTCTTGGCGGGCGTGTATTGGGCTCCGTCATCGATTTGTTCCCACATGTTCAAGTTGTCGTATGCACCTGCGTTGAACTCGAAGGGCACTCCTCGAACGTAGTGGAACATGAGGTATGACCCAGCCATGTACGAAATGTTTGTCAGAGTCCAGGATGTCTCCTGCGACACGCCGGGCATGATGTCGTAAAAGATCTTGAGACACATGATGAGGATAAGGTGGATTGTCCATGCTCCTGTAAGTGATTGAGAACCCAATGTCAGCCTCCGTGTCCTGACAGCGCATGGCTTCCCTCCGGTATAATGTCCCTCGTGGTCCCACAGACTAAGCACAGTACCCACTCACCTTTGGCATTGACCCAGTTCGCGTTTCCATTGGGAAGTGCCGCGCGGTCACTGAGCTGCTCAACAGTCTCAGGGGGCTCGTGGTAGACCTGGAGGATACTGCTCGACCTTCTCCTACGGGCCGTGTTTGTCTCCGCCATTTTGTACACACTCCCTCGACGCGGCGGGTTAGTCCCCGAGTCGTAGGAGACGGTCCGCTGGAGCAGAATTGGGGAAGACAGCTTGCCGGTATTGTCGGGAATTGTGGAAAAGTTGCTAAGTTGTCCGGCCGAGAGGACGGACGGGCAATTCGGACAGCGCGAAGAACTCTGGAGGGGTAGGGTAGATCGAGCAAAGCTGTCGCGGTGGCCGATCGGAAGCGCGGTTGCTGTGGCACGGGATCGAGCTGGTAGTCTCGGTATGGAGCTTCGGCGGCTGAGAGTTGCTTTTGGCAATGGGGTACGAGGACCAATTGGTTATCGAGACTGCGAAATGATATCGATTTAAAAAAGATGGCTACTAGGGCGAAAACAAAGGTCAGCGGATTGCCGTCTTGTTCCAGAGGCAAGCGAGCTGAACGGAGTGGACGGCCGCTGTCTCGAAATGCTGTCTCGAAATGCTGTCTCGAAGTGCTGAAGCAGACAGTCTTGCTCGGGGGTACAGAGTCCAGCTGTACGGCAGGCTATTGGATGCTCTGCAACCCGAGGCGTAGCTCTTGTTGTGCGCGTCGAGACCTGTGATGTGTGGAATCCGGGATACAGAGCAGCTAAAGACCCAGGTGTCCCGTCGATGGATCATGGCCGAGACGCCGCCGGTGACACCAGACCGACTTTCGGGAGAGCAGGGGAGGAGGGGGGAGGGGAACCTACACAATAGCGATGGACGAGAAGAGAAGTTGAAGCTGGCCGTGATGATGGCAAGCAACAAGAGAGCAGTTGTGCTGGGTTATGGCTGTGGTTGCGGTGATGGTTATGTATGTACTGTACTGTACTGATTTGTCCTGTTCTGTCAGTCGTGACAAGGGAAACCAGAGCCGGCGGTGGGTGAATGGACGAATGGGCGAATAGATGATAGATATGTCCAACCTTTGGGGGATCCAGGGAAAAAGAAAAAGGGCCCCTGTTGTCAGTTGTCAATTGTCTAGACCTGGCTTGCCTTGTGCTGTGATTGTCGGCTCGGTCTGGGCAATCTGGTGCAGTTCGGGGCCAGTCCAAATCCAGCTCGCCAGTCTGCAAATGACAACCAGCACTGAGCAGCGCAGGGCCCGACACGGTGGTTGTCGCCTCCTTTTTTGCGGAGCCGGATTTCAATGGATGTTACGCTGCAGGTTTGGCGGTACTTTCAGGTCACTGCGCAGGTGGTACGCGGCCAAGTATCTCCGCACCCACCCACTAATAACCCTGACGCGACGGCCAGGACGGCCGTGCTGGTTGTGGTTCTGCTTGTGCAGGGGGGGAAGCTCACTCGGGCACCCGCGCACCTGCGCAAGCTCCCAAGGCTCGGGCCAGGGTTTTCCTTTTAGTGCCACCCGCAGCTCATCTGGCTGGCGCGGGGGCTTAGACCAGACCACAAGGAAAAGGGAAAACGGAAACGGATCTCGGCAGGCACACACACACACACCAATTGCAGCCTTTGACGGTTTGACGGGCAAGAATTTTGACCTCACTGGTGGAACTGACTTTCAGGTACGCGCAGCCAGGCTACCTAATTCACCACAAACATATCGACCCAGGGATCTACTTCACTCAAGAATTCCGTTTCCAAAAACGCCATCTGGCTGGGAGACGCGATTCGTGAGGAAATACGCTTGAGGCTCCAATCGAATTTGCATCCACCTCTGGCGGTCAAAGTCGTACGTATCACCTCGCATCGCCTTACTGTCAGGGCAGTCATCGCCACACCCTTGCGCGCCCGAGCCACTCTGAGCTCAAGTCACCTTTCGACGTCAGCCCATACCTCATCCTGTCATTCCCGTCCGCCAAGCCCAGTGCAGATCAAGCCACAACTCACTGGCTATTCACTGGATCTCAACGGCAGAGATTCTGTCGCTCATCCCAAGTATCGGGTGCCCCGCAGTCAGGAAGCAGCTTGACAATCAGGCACCTGACACAGATGATGGTCGATCGGAGCATTACATCTTGCCTTGAACCGGTCTAACTTCGATCAGTGTGGATCATGACGGACCAGGACGTGGATAGAGCTGCCATGACGGCAGCAGAGGTTGAGAGCACCCCAGCCGTTGCCACCTCACCTTCAGCTGGCGCTGGTGAGGCAACTCACAAACGGCCAGCCGAAGACAACGGTCCTGTCTCTCCTCGCAAAAAGGCCAAGAATGACGAATCGGAGGGGGAGATATCTGATGGCGTCGATGAGGGAGAGGTTGAATCCGATGCAGACTCAAAGGCAAGCGCTTCAAAACAACAGGTTGGCCAGATCTCAGGCTGGAACAGCGGCGTCACCAGTCAGCTGCGCACCTCTTTTGGATCTTCGGCCAAGTTGAAAGCCCCTAAGCTCACACCTAAGCTCACACCTACTGCTGTGAAATCGCCTCCTGCACCTCCAGAGTCATTGGCCCCAGAGATCCTCAGCGAGCTAGTTGCCGCTGTTAAGGCGGGTGAGACGACCACCCTCCCGCCAGTTGAGGAGCGAGAGCTATTTTGGGCAGTACCCACGTTCAAAGCGGACTTCGAAGGAGCAACTTGGGCTGAGATATTCAAATCGATGTTTGCTCAATGGTATGCCCTCACGTTCTGCCTGTTGACTACCCAATCTGTCTCAGCGGCAGAATTAGACTAACAAGTTGCGTAGGTCTACAGACTTTGTCACTCAGAACAAGGGAAACGTCGACCAGGCTGGGCTTGAGCCCATATTCCTGAAGGACTTGTACCTTCGAACACTCGAGGAATCAGTACCTGGAGTCAATCCAGAGCTGGTTTCGTTCTCTCACGGTCAATTAAGACGTACTTCCAAACGTAGCCCATTGAGACAGGTTGCAAAAGGGTGGATCAAGGATCCAGCCAAACCAGGAAAACGTGCAAAGAAAGAGGCCAAGGAACGGGCCAAAGAGACGGTTCCGCAAGAATCCAAGCAAGAATCTGAGCCTCCGAAGCAGCCGCCCACAAGACAGACGAGAAGCTCTTCCAGAATGGCGGAAACGCAGGTCAGTGACGTGAGCGACCCGGCAGTCTCTGCCGATCTGGAACCTTCTGCAACATCCTCCTCGGGTCCTCATCTTCCTGATCTTCGTTTGCCTCCGCTAGCCGAGCTTGCTTCTCAAGAATCGCCTGCTGTCACTAACGGGGATTCTCCAATGGACGAGATTAACGATGAAAACGACAAGGAACGGAAGCTCAGTATTATGGACCTAGATGAAACGAAGGCTGGCAACGACACATCGCCCCATTTGCCGACAGAAGCTGAGCTTGAGCAGCTACATCGCTACTTTCCAGGAGTTCCCGATGATGCTGTTTTCTGCCTCACCTGCGCTTCCTACGGCCACAACACACCTAATTGTCCTGAGACAACCTGCAAGTTCTGCCAGCAAGGGCATTTTTCTTATTCGTGTCCATCTCGACAGAGATGTGCAAAGTGCAAGCAGCTTGGCCACACCAAGGGCTCTTGCAAGGAGAAACTTGCAGTGGCTGCAGGCGAAGGGTTCATGGAATGTGCCTTTTGCCAAGCTCAGGACCACCAGGAAGAGGGCTGTACCGAGATCTGGGAAACATACCGACCGCAGGTAGGCCATATCAAACAGGTGAGGTCAGTGCCTATCTTTTGCTATTGTTGCGGCGCGGAGGGTCATTTCGGCACGGACTGCGGCCTGGCCGATCCCAAGATACCTCCAAGCGCGACGTGGAGCAATGCAGGAGCGTCTTTATACGTCGATCCCTCGAGTTCAGAGGAAGCCATCGCGTTCCAAAATGTCCTGCCGCAAGCCCAGACAATCTCGGCGCCAGTCATCCCAGGACGGAGTATCAAGCCACAATCGCATATCATATTCGAGGACAGTGGCGACGAGGACCACGGCAACCAAGAATTTCTGAGGGCACCAGCTGCGGGACCCCGACGCCCAGGACAGATTCAGATAACGTCGAACATCAATTTTGGCGCCCCGGCCCCTCCTCCCGCTCAGAATGGCAGTGTTGCTCAGCAGGGCATAACAAATTCGAAGCAGCGGCGAAAGCAGCGCGCGGCAAATGTGCCAGCTTCTTTGCCTCCCAAGCCACAGGTAGCCGCACCTGCTCCTGCCCCCCAAGCTTCCAAGAAGGGCAAGAGAGCCAACAACAAGAAAGGTGGAAAGAATCCTCAGCAGCAGCAGCAACAACAGCCTCCATTGCCACCTGGCCCACCACCTGGGCGCAACGGCTGGCGTCCCCCAGAGTTTCAGGGACGAAGTGCTCCTAGCACGCGGGGTCGCGGGGGCTTTAGCAACCTGAGTAGAGGCGGCGGCGGCGGTCGCCGTAGCGGTGGACGGAACTGAAAGGGCTCCAGGATTAGGAAACATACACAAGCAGTCTAATGACTAGGGTTGAATTGGACGCCCAGTGTGGAACATAAAGCCGACTTTAGAAGCATTCAGTCGTAGCGGCTTGTATCTGGTCTTGAAATCTCTCCGCGATGGTACGACTACCAATCACAGTGGATGTAAAATTCCTGCAAAAAACATGCGTAAGTTCATCATGATGATACCTTTCGTTGTGACGGACGGAGTGGGCCAATCTCCTAAGTAGCAGGAGATGGCTAGCTTTGAGGCAGCATGTCAGAGATGGATGATCCGTCCTGCTCACATCGCGGGATAGGAACGAGACAGACACGATGCCTCTCAAACAAGGTGGCACGAATTTCAAAGCAAACCGACTGCTGCAAAATTGAACCTGATCGTCCACGTGCGTGAGTGATTCAGTGCTTGCTGCACAAATCAAAAGCTGGCTCCCTAGTGGGTCTTTTAGACAGCCCTTTCCCTCTTCTGTGGACGACTGCGGATGGGAGCGGCTGAGGCTGGCACGGCGTCCTCCACAATTTCCCCACAGCGTGGGTCTTCAGCCGTCAGCCTTGAGCTTAACTCGACGTACCCGAACATGCCTCGGTCGCGGTCGAGAGTGGAGCGCAACGACCCCCCGCCACGGCGCAAGTCCTGCCATGCCTGTGTAAAGGCGAAGCGAAGATGCGACCAGAGGCAGCCGGCTTGCATCCGATGTTCCCAGAGGGGGATTGCTTGTCATTACCCAGCCCGAGCAGCCCGGTCTGAAGCGCCATCAACTGATCCACTGCCCGCGACACCGACAGCCCTGGGATCGGATTTCCTCTCGCATGTCGCCGATGTAGACGATACTGTTATTAGTTTGCTCGACCCGGTTCATGAGACAGAAGCCCTCGGCCAATTGTGGCCCAGCCAGAAGGCACCATGTCTGCAGCATCCAGAGCTGCCTTGGACCTCAGCAGAAGGCCTCAACGAGTCAACACAGCTCGCACAACCCCCGAGCTTGGCACTCGCTCTAGATGATCGCGAAATATTTGGAAGTGAAGCTGTGGACTCCAACCTTTTCTTTGATTTCACGGACAGCACGCCGACGGGTGTGGACATTGCACTGAGAACACCACTTGGAGTTACTGCACCGAAACGGATGGACCTGGCAGCTCTCCACACTGCTCTGGAGACCAACTTCTCGTATGCAATGGACAGGATAAAAGCGGCACCAGCGACTATGCTCCTCGAGAATCAGACTCCGTGGTGTCATCCACTATTGTATAGGGAAAATATGCCTCGGGTGATTCAGGGTAAGTAATGATAACTATTCAGACTTATAAATATGCAGTGTCAGATTTTGAGCGGTCTCAAGTAATATTATGGTGGCAAAAGTCAGTAGCTAATTCTGAACTCAGACGCCATCTCTGCGTGCGCGCTGCACGCATCCAAAAACACAGTCAACGCGCGCGTTGTCCTGCGTTGCATTGATACCAAGGTGGATGATCTCCTGGCCTCCCCGTCACAACCAGGGCCTCTCGACGCCCTAGCACGCACTCAAGCCCTACTTCTCTACCAGACCATCCGCTTCTTTGACGGCGATATAATAGCTCGATCATCGGCCGACGCAACGTTCGGCGAGCTGGAGTCCTCGATCCACTCCCTCCACGATCACATTTCATGGGATGCCACCGATCCAGTGGAGAGTCTCACGGGGGGTCCCGACAGTTTGTCTCTGTTGCCGCCTTCACGGGAGTTCTGGAAGGCGTGGATATTCCAGGAGTCCGCGCGGCGCACATTCCTCGTCGCCTCCTTCTTCGTGCACATATGGAAAATGCTCACTGGGCGGCCGCCGGCCAGGCGTTGCGGCGACCAAGAACTCCTGCGCCAGTGCTGGACGCTGTCGGCACATCTCTGGGAGGCAGGGGACGCTGTCGAATTCGCGGCTGCTTGGCGTGATAGGAAACACTATGTTGTTCGCAGGGGTGCTGTGAGGAGTACCTTGCGAGATGCCGAAGCGGGTGATTTCGAGTCGTTCGGGAAGATGTTGCTAACTTCTGCTCTGGGTATTGATGAGACGAAGGCGTGGTTAGCTTCAATGGGTGCAAGACTGTGAAGGGAGATCTATCCCAAGGGTTATCTATAGCATGGTAAAGCCAGTATGAGTCCGTTGCTTCAATTGTCAACGCTGTTACCGACTAGCGAAGACATGCATCGAAGTGTCTGTGCCTTGTATTACATTTGTGTCGCCTATCCCATTTCCTTTAATGCAATATACAATGAGACGCTAAGGACAAAATATCGATTGAATACTAGGCCTCGTTGGAGCCATAGAGCGCCACGGTAGGGAGTGCTGCGCGAGGATGATACATTGGCCATGCGTCTGCCCATTCTCATTCTTTTGCGGTTGTTGACCAACACTCCTACAGACTTGGCGGAGGCTGCAGACAACAGCCCTCGTCGGCTACTCTTCGAGTATCTGAGACCCAGGAAAACCGTCCCAAAGATCACTATCTGTTGCTTTGTTATCCCTTCGGGGATTCAAGGCCGGTCGGAAAGCGATGTCTCTTTGCTCAGACACTGTATCTCAAATAGTACTCAAGGAAGGCTGAGCATACTCAGGTGTTCGTTCTGAGGCATGGAAGCAAGACACAAGGCTCAGATGGGGCAACTATATTGTGAAAGCGCATATGGTAACCACAGAGCAAGTTATTTTGCCTGTAAAGGAAGTACACTTTGAACCTTGCAATATGGGGGACACACTGGAGCTAATACACCGATGAGTGGGGATGCTCAGCAAGATCTTGAGATGAAATTTTGTTCCGATAGATCGCCTTTTGATGTGGAGCTTTATGAAATACACGTGACATCCATTCTGTACGTCTCAATGGTGCTACCTTGAACTAGCTTTCGAATAAGCTTTGGCACGGATGTGAGTCTATCGTTCCGTCCACTCAGCGTGGCTAGTTCGAGGAACCATCACACATGCACGAGTCGCCAAAGCCAAAATGCGGTGACCTCGATGGGTAGCCTACGCCCTTGGTACCCGGAACTTTGGCATCGGAAAAGCGTCTGGCGGAAATGTGTGAAATGTGCTCGGTGTCCCAACGGCCGCCCACCACACTGTTCTCCACCTGGCCAATTCTAACCCTCCCCGCAAGCTGCGTGTCTCGAAGCCTCATGACATCGACAGGACCTGACAGGCAACCGGCCCACCCGTTCAAGCGAGATTCTTGAAATTCCGGTTTCCTTTCCTCCTCTGCCCTCGCCTGGAGCTGGCCGGCTCGGTGATGGCGCCGCCCCTGATAGGAGGCCTTGCGTCACGCGCGGACAACGGCATGAGCTTGGGATCTGGACATGGCCTCCGCCTCGAAGAGACTCTTCCTGGGAGCATTGCGAGCGTGCTGACTTCGCTTGTGACTACGAGCGTTGTGTTCCACTTCTTCGGTGGGTTAGACCGGATAGAAAGGCGGCTCAATAAGCTGTGGCTGAGACTGGCTACAGGGCAACGATATCAACAAATATCGCAATGGCGTAATGTGTCTTACACTGACTGTCGTGAGTTTTTTCCCAGCCGTTGATGACCAGGGATGAGTTGTCCCTAGGGTTGGTCGCTAATCATCCAACCGTAGTGATACTCGCCCTTTTCACCGACTCGTGGCTGTTTTCTGCCACCTCCTCAGTGCTTCAATTCGGTGGCTTCGACCTGAATACCGACGCTCACGCCTGTAAAGCCGCTTCATACGTTTGCGTAATTGGCTATTTCATCAGCAAGGTATGACACCACGCAAAGCCATATGATTCATGAACACTGAGTGGCTGACACTTCGCCGAAGGCGGTACGTTGCCTTGAATCCGGATAGCGCCAGACAGGCGTTCATCCAATGGCTGACTGTAACTAGCTGATCTATCTTCTCCTCGTGGAGCGCCTTGTATGTTCAAGCTTTCTGCCTTCGTGTCACGAGAGCTCAAGTAATCTAACCGTCATAGTGGGTGATAAGAGGCTGTGGGCGTGGTCGACTCAAGTCCAAGCTCTACCTCTTCAACCTTGCCGCTGTGTTGGGTATGTATCGAATCCATCTTAGGCATACTGCGTGTTTAAGTTCCCTAACAAGAGCAACCCATAGTGTGCTACGTCGCTTGGCTTCCAGTTTATGTTGTCTTCCACATTAGCCACGACAATTCCGGCATTGTAAGTAGCTTTCAGAAAAGTTTGACTTCTCAAGGACACTTTGATATAATTGTCCTCAGATCGCCTCACAAGCAGGCTGGAGAATTTTTATTGGGCTCTACAAATTTATACTTGACGCGTTGACAGCTGACTCTGGGTCACTGTAGTGTATTATCGGAATACGCCAGCAATTCCTTGCTGCAGCTTTTGCGTGTGATATTGTGATCAACGTAAGTGTTTTCTGATTCGCGCCGTTGCGAGGCAGAGAAGTGTTTATTCAGGACTAATGGTTGTATCACTTAGCTATGGCTCACATGGTGGTTCCTATATCCATTAATCAGTGAGCTATTCTACCTCCAATTGCGGCCCCTCCTCTCAAACTCACACGAGACTTCTAGAATTGAAGCCAGCAGGAACGAATAGAATAAAAGCAATAGCCTGTCCCAGACGAGCCGGCCAGGACACAGATCATAGTGTCAAGCGCCTCTATAACCTTGCGCGACGGACATTCCTCGGTTCAGTAATAGCGTTGACGGCGACCTCACTGTGAGTATTCAACCTACATTATAACAACTCATAGTCTTGCACCGTATCTTATAAATCCCAGGAACCTGGGTTTATCAATTGCCTATGATGGACAAGCCGCGTGGCTGTGTCTCATGCTCTGCAGGATCGATGGTAAGGCATTCAAGGATTTAAACCGCAGTCGAAGAATCGAAAGAGAAATCTGTGTGAAACTGACCATTGGGCCTAGTCTTCATTTGCGCTGCCGTTGTCAATTGGATCACTCAAAAGGAACCCGCTACACCAGATTATCGAGATAAACCTTGGGGCGTGCCAAAATCTCGCGGAACTGGATTTACGACTCTCGTAGGGAATCCGTCTATTCCAGGGCACCCGCACGTAAGGAGCTTCGAAGGTGTGGTAGGAGATGCTCACCCGGGCAGCCTCGTGCCTGGGAGTGTTGCAGCAGGGCATACGGGTTAGGGTTAGACCACTTAAATAGCTATTCTGCCCTTCAGGCCAACCCTCTCAAATTTAAACTTACAACACTATAAACGAATACACTATAATTGCTCTAATAAATGGTAGCTATAACTGCTTAACGCTGTAAAGCATTACTAGATGCTGAAAAGCATTACTAGGACTATTAAATTCACTATTAATTAAACTGCAAGGACTTCTTTGCGAAGCTGTTGAACTCCTGATGCCGGAATTCCGAGGCGCAGAGCCGGTAGAACTCTACTGCGAGATATCCGCGCGGAGTATTACTGAACGTTGAATTCCTTGTTGATGAGCTTTTAAGCTGCCTTTGATATGGCTTGAAAACTTGTTATTTGTTGGAATTTTGATTTTAGAGAACGCTGATGAGCGCTTGCAAGCTTAAGGCCCTTCTCGAGAATTATTTGACATCCGTGCGAATGAGGTTGAAAAATAAACTGGCTGCATTTGCCCTAAACTTACCTACTTGAGTTTTAGCACTAATGTTATTGGCAGGTATGCTCTGCAGATATTAACTAGTATTTGCGTTAGGGCAATAGCAACTTATTAGATTACTTTCGTTATTCGGTATGGCTTTGGGTAGCGAGTTATTGGCCGCTGGAGGGGCTTAAAACCTTTAGGAACGCTTTAAAACTATAGAGGCTTGTTTTATTTTACTAACTAACTTTAATTTTTTGCTGTTTATTCTTAATAGCTATTTAAACTTTTAATGTTAATAAATAGGAATTTAGTTAAATATGCTTTTGTGTATTGCTGCGGACTGGCGAGCTGCTGCTGCTGGCTGTGTTTAAAACTTAGATTTGCTTTGTGATGATGGAAAAGCTTGAGGCTGCTGTGAAGGGGATGTTTGAGACTTTTTTGTATTCTTGGATAAGGATGAGGAGGATGTATGTTGATGTTATCGATAGAGGATATAAGAAATTGGTACTTTGCAGAATTTAGGCTTTTGAAAGTTAAAGTGAGAGGAGATTGGAGTTTTTAACCCTGAGTATTTAGATTTTACTAATGTTAGGGTGGTTATTATTGGAAAGGATTTTATTTATACTAATATTTGGACTTTTTGGGATTGCCTTAATACCTTTATGGATAATGAGGCAACTTGTGATGATGTTGAGGAGCAGCTTGTTAATATCTTCTTTACCTTGCTTTAAGGATTTGCCGTGATCTGGTGGACTAATGAAACCTTAGTAGTTTGCTGCTATTAATTTTGATGTGCTAGCCTGGAAGGTATTATAAAGGCTATAGAGACCTGTTTTGTAATAGATTTTAGATGTGCTATATAGAAATTTTAAGTAATAAACTTTTACCTGCAAGATTTTTTAAACGATAAGTATAATTTATATAAATTTATTTAGAAAAAGTTATGTTATGCTAGAGTAATAGGAACTTTGGATTGGTTTAATAATAATTGGCGTGGAGTGATAACTAATATCTAGTTGGGTATAGACTTTAACATCTAGCAGTATTTGTAACCTCCCTGTAGAGGTTAAACTATGGAATAGTATATGTAGTTGATGGAAGAGTTTAGAACTTTATTTTTTGCTGCTACCAATTACTAGCACCCTTACTATTATTTTTAAAAAATATAAAATAGCAAGACTAAATATAATTTTCGATACGCTGGAGGATTGAGCTGCTGTGATAAATGATATGCTGCAAGTTACTCTTTATGGAGGGATAGAGATAACAGAGGCGGAGGCTATGATAAGAGGTATGATAATAACTGAAAAGATAGAGATTGGGATAGTTAATACTCTTGTGCAAATAACAAACGCTGTCCTGACCGTGATGATTGCTAACATTCTAGAGATTAAAACAATTAAGACTGTGGTTGTAATTGTGATTGAGGATGTAATTATGATTAAGGCTGCGGTTAAAATTATAATTAAGATTGTAGTTGAGATTGTAACCAAAGCCGCAGCTGTAATAATTAGCAGGATTATTATTAAAATAATAGTGCGAATAATGTTGTTTTAAAAGCTAATAATAAATAAAATTTTTAGGCAGAGTTAGTATTTAACTTTTTGTGGAGCTTTTTACGCTTTTATTTATTATATATATTATTAAAGATGGTATTTACACCTAAGGTGAGTTTGTTGACTAAGCTGTTGCTATCTATATAAAGAACCTGTATATACTGTGATACTAAATTTTTGTCCTGTAATGTTTTATTTAAGCATTTAAAGAACTACACTCCAACTGGAAAAAATATTCAAAAAGAGCTTTAAAGGCGCTTAAAGACTGATACAGCTTATCTGCTAGCCAAAACTATTAGAATTATTTATACTGATGGGAATATTATTTAGGCAAAACTGATGGAAAGCGAGATGGATACCCTAGCTATGGGAGGCTTTTGATATCTGCAGATTAATATTTATTCTTAGCTGAATGCCTTAGAAGTTAGTATTTGTGCGGATACTAGGGCTAGTAAATCCTTAGTTAACTAATAGTTTCTGGAAATTCACTTCCCAAACTACTACATTTTCAACGCTAATATTCCTAAAACAGTTAAAAGCGTTAGCGGGAGACTTATTTTGCTAAAGCAGAAAGCTAAGTTCTTGTTCTATACTCCAGGAATTAAGCTTAATAACTCTTCAGGGGTTTTTATAGAAACTGCTAAAGCGTAAATTATCAATAGCCTGGAGGCTAGCTATCTGTTAACTAACAACTAGCTCCGCCTTTAAAACGTTGTTATTGACTATGGTAAAAATCAGCTAAAGTTTCCTAACAATTACTTTTAAATTCTCTTTATAACTTATAAGGCAAGCCTTAAATTTGTGGTATAAAAAGTTACTATTAAGGAGAAGGTTTGACTCTGACCTAGTTAATTTTTACAAATCCCTGTATATTATATTAATTTACTATAAGGATATCTGTTTATATTTACTACCTAATATCCTATAGCGCTAAATACTATTATCAATATAACTACGCTATATATTATCCAGCTTTATAATTTATCTAAGGATATAGTATAAATTTTGCAAAGTATTCGCTTTAGTATAATAACTGAATATAAAGATAACGCTTACTTTATTATAAATTAGTTTAAAATTTTTTAAGTATTAGCCTATATTATAAGAGCAGGGAATATTTAATTTGTAATAACTTTAACTTTATTAGCTGTAGAAAACTAAAATGTTAATTTTGCTATTATGGGATTTTTGAATATTAAGGCTCTATTTCCTTTTATAGGAGCCAAGTTTAAACTATTTTTTTATATTACTAAGCTTAGAAGCGGTAATATAAAGACGGTACTTTTATAAATTAATCCTTTATTGCTAACTCTATTTACTAATGCAGTCTGCTAAATAATTGATTTGGTTGATTTAAATGAAAAGCTTAGTATAGAACTTTAAGGTGCTATAAGACTTTTAAAATAATGCTTTTTTAGACTTTTAGCACTTAAGGATGTTTTGATGATTAAAATAAATACTAGAGCTTATATTAATACAATAGACAAGGCAAAAGCAATAAAACTACAAAAGGTATACAATAAGTATTTAAAAGTGTGGTAAGACTTTGGACTTATTAAAATACATAAGGAATAGATAATAAAAGTGCTGCTTATAAACAAATAGCAAAATACTAAACTTAATTGCTGATACTATTTAGTATTTAAATAAAATAAACAACTACTAGATAAATATTTTAATACTTTATATAATTAAGGCTGAATAGAATTTGCAAACAAAGTATACCCCTTTACCTTACCAGTTTTCGTTGTCTGGTAAACTATATATAGCGAAAAAAAAAGGCGAGTAGTGGTAAACTTAAAACCCTTAAATAAATAAACTATACTAGATTATTATCTATTACCTTTATAATCTAATGTAGTTAACTTTTTATATGGAAAATAATGGATGACTGTTATTAACGCTATAAAGTTTTTCTTTTAGTTATTTATTTATTCGCTGTATTAAAGTTGTTTTACTTTGATTAATTATTGAGGATTTAAAAGATTTAAGGTTGCTTTAATAAGCTATCACAACTCGCTAGCTTATGCTTAACAATTCATAAACAGGATTCTCAAGCCCTACTAATATTTTTGTAAAGCATTTATTGACAATATTATGATCTTTTTGGATTTATTTAAAAAGCACTTTTAACATTTAAATAAAATCTTTTTTTTTTTTTTGAAAAGAATAAGCTTTTACTTTTGCTTGAAAAATCCTATATTAGGTTTGAATTAGTTAAACTTTTAGAATTTTATATTGATACCCTTAGACTTTTTACTATAAAAGATTATACTTAAGCCTTTTGCGTACTTGAATTTCTGCGAAATTTGAAAGCTTTTGAGACTTATTTGGGAGCTGCTAGATTTCTTCGCCTAATGATTCTATACTTTACTTAGCTTGTAGAACTATTACAAAAACTTAAGACATTACTTTTAGCCAAGGGATGGAAAACTGGACGTTTTAATATAAAAAATCGTGGTTAACAGCAATACTATATAATATTAACAAGTCTACGCCTAACCTCTAAAGAACTGCAATCTTTTAACGCCATTTAATTCTACCTATATAATAAACTACGCTTGTACTATACTGATCCAGAAAAACAATTATTCCTACAGGTAAATAAAAGCCTGCAGCGTAGCTTTAGAATTATGCTTTTCTATTTGGCAAATAATTTTAAATAGATTTATGAAGACTCTGTTTTGGTATATGTTATAAAGCTTATTATATTTCTTAGCTGCTATCTTTTTAAACTTAAACTTAACTATAGCCCTTTTGAATTTGAAGTGGTATGTCTTGTTTAGGTATATAAACAATTACAAACTACTCTTGTTAGTAATTAATATACAATCATTATTCTTACTAACTATAAGTTTATAAAGGGAATTGTAAACTATTCTTTGTTAAATACAACTTTAACAAACTGTGCAAACCGCTATCTTATTAACGCTGCTATTTATCTTAACGTATATAATCTAGATATCGTTTATCTGCTTGAACATCTAAATCTCATCCCTGATATACTATCTCAACTAGTATTTGTTAGTGATGAGATTGCTAAAGCAAAAAATGAGCCGCCTGTGCTAGATTAGCTTTTTAATGAGCTGCTTCTAGTTGATACTAATGCTAATAATCTAGTGCTTAGCTTGGCTAAGGTATAGATGATAGATAATATGTGTTTATGTTTTGCTTAAGGGTATAAAAATAACTGTATTTGGAGAAATATAATTAACGATTTCAAAATACTAGGCTCTGCTAGGTGTAAAATCAATGTTTTTAAGGATAATGAGGATGTTGTTTTAGCTTAAAAACCTAGCCACCTATTTCACCTTATAAACTGCCTTCTCTATAATTGTGATTTAACTGGTAAAGAGAGGCTGGTAATTTCTATTTTGCTAATATATAAATTTCTTTAAGATGCTTATAACAATTATCATTATTTTGCCTGTGATTGAATGATGGTTGCTTTTAATGGCTTGTATTTTCGGAAGAAGCGTTGATTTATAAAGGACTATTATCAAAATTGCTTTTAATGTAGTAAACTATGGAATAATAATTAACTACTTATTAGAGATTTAAGGCTAATATAAGCCCTTAAAGAACTGATGTATATAATATGTCTGAACTTTGTTGTAGCCTTACCTAAGGTGTTAGCTATTAGAACGCTATAGTACTTAACTAGCTATAACACGTTTAACGCTATAATGCCTATTACCTGTAAAACTTTGAAGCATATATTACTTATTTCCGGTAATAAAAAGTATACTATTAAAGATTAAGCTTCTGTCTTTAGCTATTAGCTATTACTTAGCAACTAGCTATGCCTTTAAGCAATTATCTCGGATTAAAATACCAAATTCCTCTCTAAATTCTAGATTAGCCTGTAAAAGAGCTTTAAAATAAAACTTATAATAATAACTGCTTATTACCTGTAAGTAAATAGTTAATTAAAATGTAAGAATTAATTAATAAAACTAGCTTTTTAATACTATATTGCAAAATATCTAGATAACTTTTGGATAGATGTTATCCCTGCTTTATAGTAGAATCTAAATAATACATATTTTCGAATACTGGACGCTAGCTTGTATAAATATCTATTTAGATTTAAGATTTAAGGACCTGCTGATTGCCTAATGAATTTATTTTCCTAAAAATAAGCAGAGATTTACTTTATACGCTAATATTTGCAACGAAATGCCTAATTAATAATAAATATTATAGCTGCTAAAGCTAAAAAAATCTATAACTGTAGGTACTAATAAGTATAATTTGAAATAGGCAATAAAGTTTGGCTAAAAACAGGTAAAGCCTATAAACTGCTTTTTTGTATAGAAAAGCTAACTTTATTAAAGCTTGGACCCTATACTATACTTACTAAAGTTAATAACCTAGCTTATACTTTTAACTTTTCACCTTCCTTAAAAGTGCACTCAACTATTAGTATTTAATACTTTTTTCCTTATAAAAATAATTAGGAAAATCTATTTTACTAATAACTATTTTTGCCTAAATCTGTTGACTATGGTAGCGAAATATTGGCTGCTTTAGATGTTAAATATTGCGAAGTTAATTAAATTCTGGTAAAGCAACTTGATTGATGAGGAGGTAAAAAGGCTTTATAGTATTTGATTTGATAAAAAGGATTAACTACTAAGAATAATAAGTGGCTATAGCTTTCTGATTTTAAGCATTATTAAGATTTGATTAAGAATTTTAAGGATTTAAAACTTGTTAAAAACTTAAAAGCTTTAAAGCTTATTAAAACCTTAAAAGCTATAAAGTTGACGCTAAAACCTAAACTTGCTAAACAATTGAAGCTTACTAAAGCGAGAACTTATTATATTAAGAGGTTGACTGTTGTTGAGAGTTTGATAATAAAAAAAGCTATTAACAACCCGCTTATATTTTTAAAAATCATGGTTTATGCCTAATATTCGTTATATTTATAAAAAAGCTTGATGATTTTTAGCTAGTTATTTACAAAAGCAAGGTATATAATAAAATTAAAATACAAATAAACTCGCCTAATTAATTTATTAAAACAATTTTAAAAATTACTTGATAAAATGACTAAGTTAGCTTTATTAAAACTGTTTGAGAGTTGTATAAAATTATTAAATCGATAAAGGCTTGCGGATATATTAAGGGCACTAAATTTACTGCTTTTTGTAAAGCCCTTATTATTACTTAGGCGATATAACCAAATAATAACTCTTTACTAAGATTTGTTTGTAAACCTAAAAATACGATTATTTTTTGGTATGAGAAAATTTTTGATAAATTTAATCTAGCTATTCATTAAATTGCTAAGCGCTTTATCTATTTTCTGATAGCAGTTTCCTACTAGTAAAAAGGAAAAGCTGTAAACCTTATTTAGAGTATTAATTAAAATATGCTTATTGCAGATAAGGAAGATAACGCTCCTAAGTTATTTAGAAATTCGCAATAGGCTATTAAAGAGGATGAAGATAAGGATTAGGACTTAATATAGGATTTAAAAGCTAGCACTATTATAATTAAGGACTTAGCTAAAATTACTAAATTTAAAAACCTGGGCATTTTAGCTGCTAAGATAAAGCACTTAACTGTTAACTTATTTGCACTAAATCTTAAGAAGCGAAAGCTTAAAACAAGCCCTTCTTTTTCCGTTTAGGGTAGCACTATTAATAAAAAGAAATATTGAAAGATAAAAGATTATGTAAAAAAACTTGGTAAGTGTAATAAGCAGCTTTTATTAATAATTGCTAGTTAGTAGGCGATTATGGAGAATTTTTAAAAGGAAGTTTGCGAAAAGAATAAGCTATACTAGTAGGCGGCTTGCTAAATTGTAAAGGTTAAAAAGGAAAATAAATAGTTTAAGAGTGAGATTGGAATTGTTGAATAGCTTAAGAAGGAGGTTAAATTACTTAAGAATTAGCTTTAAATCTTTAAGAATTAAAAAAAGGGAATTATCTTAATAGGTTAATATTTTGTGAATATAGTTAGTAAGGCATTATCGCTTGTGATTAAGCTGGCCGATAAACTTGCTTTTCTGGAATAGTAGGGAAACCTGTTACACTAATAGGAGGATAAAAAGAAGCGTATTGAGAAGCCTGTTGAGAAGCCTGTTAAGAAGCTTGTTGAGAAGCCTGTTAAGAAACCTGTTGAAAAACCTGTTAATGTTGCTGCTGATAAGGAGGATTACGAGGAGAACGAGGAGAATGAGGATAAGGATATTTGCAGCTTGTTGTTAGATTTTTCTTTGGTTTATTGACTATAGTAGGAAGAATGGGTACTGATATTTGAGATAATGTTGTTTTGAGTGATGGACTTTTGCTTGCTTGACGAGTATTTGATGAATTCTATTATTATGATTTAGCTATGAAGGGGATTAGGTAGTAAGGATTTGATGATGGAAATTTGCTTGATGATTGATGATGATTATTCGATAAGGATATTGAGACTTTTTTAATGCCTGGTATTTATTGCAGTAGGGTATATGGGTTAGGGTTGGACCACTCAAATAGCTATTCTGCCCTTTAGGCTAACCCTTTCAGACTTAGACTTATAACACCACAGACGAATATACTATAATTGCTCCAATAGGGAGCTTGCATCTGGGAAGATATGGGAACTCGGGGGAAGACCTCCAGCAGTCGAGCATGTCAATTAAGTCAGCTCCGGAAAGCAACAACGCTTACGCAAGGACAAGCGAGGAGATGTCCGTCCATGAGGATCGGTGATGAAGAGGGTTGTGTATGATTATGTATATGTAAACGCTCGTCGAATTCGCATTTGAGCTACCTTAATATACGAAAGCCTTAAGGGTTAATAATCTCAAAAATAGTTTTATCTTTCATCAAGGAGAATAAATGAAGTGGGCTTCAACTTCTCAATCGCATAGTAGCTCGGAGGCTGTTCAGGCTACCTATGTGATTCTCTTGTCCGACGAAAAGAGCTTCAACGTCGTAGCATCTGTCCAAGTCCTCATTCAGACATGGGTGGAAAGAAGCAACATGATGAGATGAAGCCCTTCTCTTGTCATAAGTTTCAATGTAAACAACACTATTGAGACTGCAATATTCACGCTGCAGAACATTTGTTATCAAGCGGTGAGCGAGAGAATGAGTTATGTTGGACTGTGTCAATTTAGGTGTCCCTATTCGAAGATCTGTAATTTCAAAATGAAAATTTCCAAAACACGCTGTACTCCTGAAACATTTCATCACTATCTAAGCCGTCTGAAAAGCAGACTTTTGAGTCGCATCCACCGCCGCTTGCTGCCCCAGCGCCTGACTTGTCATAGTCCGAAGCTCAGGCCGCGAGAGAGTCTTGTAGCGGTCCTCAGCAAGTAGTCTTTGAGTAGTGATGCGTTCTGGGTAATTGCGCATGAACATGTTGGTGAAGTGTGTTCCGTAGTGAATGCCCTCTTGGGGCTTCTGGCCGTTGTTGTACCCCTCCAGCGGCTTCACCACAGCCTGGAAGCTGGGCTCGTGGAAATAGGCGAAGGCGAATCGGTCCCGCGTGTTGAGGCCGACCTTGTGAGGGGTGGATGGCAGGAAGGAGTCGGTCATGTACTGCATCATGTCACCTGGTGAATGTCAGAGACTAATCTTGCATGGCTTCTGTTCAGTGACTCGTGTTGCTTACCTGGGAATACGGTGAAGGTATTCTCGACCGGAGGCACGTAGACCCACCCGTCTTCGTCTTCTTTCATTCCCGCGGCACTCTTTTCCCAGTTTGCGTAGTTTTCGCCTTGGTACGGAGGGCGGATGAAGAGTCCTCCAACGTCGTCCTGGGCCGCAATCACCAAGAGACCGTAGTCAGTGTGGCTTCCGATGCCACGGCCCTTCTTTCCCTTTCCATTTGTCTTGTTGGTAGGCGGAAAGCTAGAACCCTAATCAGCGATTATTCATTTACTGGCCATGAATTGACCTAAACACTTACCGCAGTATTCTCATGTGGTGCCATCCATCTTGGGTATATTGCAACAGCGAACCCTGGGGCACACCTAGACCCAACTCGGCCAAGGCCAGAAGTTTCTCTCCAGACTCCCCAAGGTAATTCATGTAAGTCTTCATGGGGTCTCGCATCTCCGCGTCAGGCCAAGGGCAGGGTCCATGGCATGGCCACTTCTGTGCCACTCTGGGCTCCGCCAGGTCGAGGTCCTTGGTGACAGTGAAGATCTCCGAATAGTCCGCGATGCCGTCTGTGATTTCCTCTCCAGAAGCAATATAGCCAGCATAGCTCTGCGAGTCAACACAGGCTGCCTTCTCATTGTGGGGCTTCGCGAAGAACCTTTTGCTGGCCTTCTCCGCATACTTGTAGATCTCCCGTTGGGAGCTATTCATGGCGATCTGGAAGATGCCGTCACGCTTCCAAGCTTTGATTAGGGCTTTCCCCATCGCCTTGTCGCTGGCTGACCCAGTCACACGATCAGGAAGATCGAATGTCTCTAGGCATCCGACCTTGGCCTTGTGACCAGGAGGCATGGTTGCTCCGGCATCTGCCTTGATGTGGGTATTGTGGACCGTAGCCATGGTCCGAGTGGCAAGTGATCGCCCATGGCGAGTAGCCAAATGCCGGGCGGCTTTTGTGAGAACAAGAGGCATGATTTGAGGATTTGAAAACTTCAAGATGTGTCTTGATGGATTGGTAGAGTGTAGAGGATGTTGAATTTACTTCCCAAGTGAGGGCTATCAAGAGCCTTCTTATATAGAGTTGCGCCCCCCTCCCACGCAGTAGCCAACCCAAACCAACATACTCTGTTAGACAATCGGAACTTTTTACACTCCGAGCATACACACAATATGGCATGCATCAGGATGATTCAAGAGGATCGCGCAACTGTCTTGGGCGGTGTCTCCGCCGCAAGAAGCAAGGGAACAGTCTTGGCGACTTGACCCATCGTTGCGAGGCTTAAGATGCTCGCTAGGTCTTGATATCCAGCAACATGTACCCCTGATGTATCTTTGGGCTAAAGATCATAAGTTCATAGAGCAAGTATCATGCCTTTGCCATCGTCTGGATCCTTGTGTGTACAAATGAGTGCTGACTGGATGCTAAGGGCTAATTATAGGCTCTCGACGGTTTGTCCTCACGATAGCATCATGCCCGCGGCTGGGATATCATGTGAAGTGCACTGGGTTCCAATTTTTAAGCTCTTTATGAGGGTCGGCGGATCCGGTGTTGGTATGATAGCCGTGTCCCATTTTTTGTGCGGGAACGTATCCATTCCCAGCCTGGGCAGTGGGACTCAGCCGTGTTAGTCGATTGTGGAGCAACACATGGTCAGCCCATTTTACCTAGAACGTTCGACTGCTTTGAGTACACGACAGACGGGGTGTGGAGACAGGTTTTGAAGCACTTAGTGCTGCTTCAGCGGTGTGATCTGGGAGTCCGCGCTCAAGTGATAGGCCACCTAATGGGATCACGAATCGCCGCCGGAATCGTCGTGTCTGTCTGAGTCGGCTGAGACGACAACGATTCACCCGCTTCTGGACCGCGAAACGACGCTTCTACGGCTGCTTGATCTGTGCTACGTGTTTGGTCATTTCCTAGCACAACAGTCACGAATAACCTCCACTTTCAGACCAAATAGTCTTTCATATAGGAATCCATAAAGCGAAATAAAATTCCGTCAGAATGTTGAAGCGCTACTATTAACACCTCTCTGCCCTGTGAAAATAAACATTTAGGGTTTTGCTCAAGACTTGATCACTTAAGCCTCCCAATATGTTGATTTTAAAGTCCCAACTATACTGAGTGGCTTTGATCTTTGATAGGGGCGGGTTCTCCATCTAGTTGCGAAGCAAAGAGGGTGTTAAAGTTCTCGTACCTCCACAGTAGTGGAGAGAAACAATGCGTCCCACTTTCTGCCTTCGCGGGCCGGGAGATTATCTTCTCCACGAGCACGACTCGACAGAGCCGTCTCCATATCGGGTTCCAGACGCTGAGTGGCAGAGTTGTTTGAGGTCTGAGGGGTCGGGTCGACGCCAAGGATTACCGAGAAGGCGAGACCTTACCGCAAGACTTCGAGTCGCGTCAATTGCTCGCTTCACTGCTGACTCAGATGACCTGTCGCTTTAAGATAATCGCGCATAGGGCGATAGGAAGGAAACCAGACCCTGAACAATGGATGTCTCGCCCGTGCTGGCGGCAAGTCTCCGCTTGCCTTGGAGTTGTGTTCAGGCAGTATTCGCCTACGTCAACCTTAAACTCGGAGATTTTCTGGCTAGGGCGAGGCTCTGTTGGCAGGCTATTTGCGGACTTTGGCAGCTATGTAAGCCTAACTTGGGGTGTTCGTCTCGTGCGTGCCAAGCTTTGCCGACCACATATCAATGAACTCCCAGATTTGATTTCCCTTCAGAACCCACGCCAAGGCGGTGAGGGCAGAGCGGAGCGTGCTCGGCAGAGAGTCGACATTGGGCCTTGGCCGTCTCAAGCCCGGTCATGCAGATAATTCCACCAAACACATTGAATCGCTTTGTCCGTGTCCGGACAGCCGGGAATGATGCTTGAAGTTTAAGCTCTGCTAGGATCTACTCCAGAGTGCGTCAGGCTAGTACGCGAGGTAGCATGGCCCAAGATGCCGGTCTCCGCCCAACCAGGAATCCACAGCGAATAAACTCTCTTCTCCGGTCACGTTATTAGCTCTAGCTGTAGGTCATTCAACAGTAATATTTTCCTTGGTTTTAATCGAGGCTAAGACCTAGAGTCCATAAGACTCACATCAGACGCGGCATTATGGGCTTATGAATCTGACTCACAAGACATATAATCGCATAGAAGTGACATTCGGGAACTTGAAACCGGTAATACCAGGCCATGGCAGGCAATAACGAGCAACTACCAGCATTCTCCTAATGCTGGCTTATTCGTTATCATTTCGTCAGAACCTTGGTGCTCGTGAGATGATAGATATTCACAAGAATTCATACTCAGCCGAAGGGGCAAGAAGTGGATATTTAAGTTTGTATGCTGAAAGGTTCTCAAACACACAAGTGGACACTTCACCATGCCATGTGCCCATTTGTGCTAGGGATGAGGCTGTCGGTATTACAAGCCAGTTCCAAGGCTTTCACGAGCTAATTACTACTGAAAGTCCCACAATCACTCGGTCTATTCTCGGAACTATTTGCGTAAACTACCGCGGAGACAAGGATCAATTGAAGTATAGCCATATGGTGGATGAAGACGGGTTGACTGAGCATATTTCTCTTTTTTCTTTCCATCTTTGTCCTACTTCGATTGTCCAGCTACGCAAGCCCCTTCCCGAAGACGCTGTCTAATGTCTCCTTACCGCTTCAGGCGCATGACTCCGCAAGCCAAGGTCTTGCAATGGAACTCCGCTCCATTCCAGTGAGAGATATAACTAGTGGTGATGACGATAGATGATTCAGTAAGGCATCCTTGTACTCAATCGGGCTGAGCCGGCCCGCCGCAGGCGGCCCAACACATTACTCTTGGCCCATTATTATGGACAATGATTCAGGCGACTGCGTCCCCGGCTGCGCCGGTCCGCAACGGGGAAGGGTCCCTCAAGATACAAATCGGGCCAATCATGATTTTTCTGTAAGGCTCGAGGATAGACGTGTCGTATCGGCTCACAGACACGGGAGACCGGAAGCGACCGCTCACGATGCTATGTGCACATGACCGAAGCTCTTCCGTCCTTTTCGTCTTCCTGGCTAATTATCGCGGTCTGTGACCATGCCTGCTACCTTCAGAAGCAGTGCTCACAGAAATTTGAGCGTTTTCATGAAGGGTGTACTTATCATCACTTCATTTCATTTGGACTCGTCTCGTATACGAATTACTTACCGCCCTCTGCCCATAGTGGTGTCCGAATCATATCACGCGGTATTACACCAGATTTCTTTTTTTAAAAAAAGATAATGGGTCTTCACCGATTCTGAAGTCATGCTTCAGCGACTAGCAATGCGACTGATATATTGGCCATCCAATAGGGGTAGTCTTATATGTCGTGAAAGCAGGCATTTCTGCACGAGACACTTGTTCACCTCTAGTTTATCATAGAGACTTGAGATAGCGAGAGCCAACGGCTTTGGTGTAAGTTGCAGGATCTGTACTAGTTAGTTCAGCTTACTGAGGCGATCAAGCTTTGTTTAGGTCTAGTGCACTCTTCACGTAGTGGCCAATTAGTGCGGACGGTTTCCAAATTGCTCATGGCAACTAGCGCGCGTAAGAACGACTGCCCACGTCGAATTGTACTCCTAGCTTCCGCTGACCGCTCCTAGCTTCCCCTGCGCATCGCGCAGCATGGAGCAAGCGAATATCGTTGCATGTTACCAAGTCGTACGGGCCTTGGAGCAATATGGATACTCTTCTCCGCCACTTTTCAACAGCCGGAGCTCTCCAGCGTGTTACACGTCATGCATGACTGCTTGATTAAGGTCGAGACAGGCATACCAACGCCACGCTTACCGACGTTCTGGATCGATCTCAGTCTAGGCCAGCTAGCGGCTTTCAGCCTCTTGATTGCCTGGTATGCTATCCGGGAAAAGGTATGAAACATACCATATGGCTCACATGCGCGCTAAGCAAGATACTAGGCGTCTATAGTCGCTCTCAAGCGGAGAAACGTCAGGCCGTGACGAAGAAGACGGAGTCGTCTAGTGGTGGAGCGCGGGGAAGGTCGTGGGCGGCTCTCAGGCACGGGTTGTGGGGAAAATCTGGGGAAGCCAAAAGTCGGGGATGCCGCCACTCCGGGGAAATCTAACAGAGATGGTCTAACAGATGAAAGACAATGCACACTGAGCTTTGATTGTCTCTTGATGGTCTACTAGAAGCGCGACTGCAAGGTTGCCGAGACACGCTGTCGGGAATGTCACGCTAGGCGTGGCCACGTGTGTTTCTGGGCCTGTGCTCGATCATCTTGCAGCGTGCATTGATGGGGGCGATTAGGTTGCAGAAACTTAATCACTTGTCGACTCCAAACCAGCGGCGGACGACAGGATCCTGTTCCATATCCAATTGCCGCGCCCCATCCCGATAGCAGACTTGGGCATCTCTCCGCACCGTCGATCCAATGGTGTGGCCTGCCAGCGACATGGTGCAAAACAATATTGGTATGATCGGGGTCCAGGGCTGGAGGGATAAAATTAGTATGTAGCATCGGCTCCAGGTCTAAAAGACCAGCTGCGTGCCTTGCTAAATACCGTCTGTTCTCATTCATAACACGTTTATGTTCTGCACGTTTTGACTGCAGCGCCGATCGATCGTCGAAATCTAGACGGGCCTGCGTCTTTCTTTCGAGAACACTTTGCAGAGTCGCATTCTCGTGCACCGTGCCCAAACACCGTCGCATTGAATTTATAGCGTTGAGCCTCGAGGCCGACGATCCCTCAAATCCAACAGCCGGTATCCGAAAATCGCTCGCCCAAAATGGACGAAAACTTGGATGAAAGCGCCATACGCGAGTTGGAGGAGGTCCTCCACACGAAAATTTACCCTGGAACGGAGATTATGCAAGATGTGGGAACTCACCACTTCGTCAAGGGCAGCAACCGCGGTGTTCTCGTTCCTCAGCCATCCGATGATCCCCGTGACCCCCTGAACTGGTCCCCCTTCTGGAAGGCGGCGACGATCTTTTGTGCCACGGCTGTTTCCTTCAGTCAGAACCTCGGGCCCCTTGCCCTTGCGCCTATGTTTGGAAACTACATCCAGTTGTACAATCGCAGCCTTGCGGACGTTGTCCAATTCACGGGAGTTGCCATCCTGGTTCTGGGCTTCAGCAATTTCATCTGGGTGCCGATGAGCACCTGCTTTGGAAGACGCCCCGTCGCAATCCTTTCCATGACAATATGTGTTATCTCTTCAATCTGGAGAGCAAAAGCCAAGGATTACAACAGCTTTATGGGCGCTTCCGTTCTCAATGGGTTAGGCGCGGGCCCTTGTGAGACGCTGATGCCTCAAGTCATTGCCGATATAATCTTCTTGCATGATCGTAAGTAACCTTTTCTTTGCCCATAAGTCTCTTGTTTTTTTCTATCCTGAAGTGTTTGAGACTCTTTGTGTTCCTTTATGTGGGTCCCCCGAAACCTTAAGAGATACTTCGTCTGGACCTACTGGAAGTACGAAGATTGAAGTTACTGACCAAGAGTGATTGGATAGGAGGAAAGTACCAGACACTCTACTTCAGTCTGTATTTCGGGTCTTTGATGGTTGGGCCTATCATCAGCGGTGCAATGGCTGAGCATACCGGAGTGGAAAGCTTCTGGTGGTTCAACACGGGCATGTTGCTCTTTACGCTGGTGATCTGCATATTCCTCTTCCCAGAGACCCGGTACCACAGAGCCTGGGAAACAGGTGACGCACCGAAGCCACCGCCGGTCAGAGACCCAAATGCGATCAGCGACAAGGCAGAGAGCTCAATCCACGAGAAGCGCAGCGGGAGTGATCACGAGGAGTCCTTGGGAGCGCCAGTCACTCAAGCAGCAACACAACACAGCGCCGCCCTTGATAACAGGATTGATCACACCCAAACGCATGTCGATCCATGCCTGGGCAAGGGTGGTCCGGGCAAAAAACAGTTCATGCCCTTCCAGTCGTACTCGGGCAATCTCTTCCGCGAGCTCTGGCTGCCATTCTACATGCACCTCTTCCCCATTGTGGAATTTGCCGCATTTGTCGTCTCATGGAGCGCTTCTGGCTTCCTCGTCGTCAACTTGTCTCAGTCCCAAGCCTTCGCCGCCCCGCCGTATAACTTCTCGTCGCAGACTATCGGCCTGTTCAACCTCGCCGTGCTCGTCGGTGGAATGGTCGGTCTTTTCACTTGTGGACCTCTCAGCGACTGGGTGGCCGCTTATCTGACGAGGAGAAACAACGGCGTACGAGAGCCCGAGATGCGGTTGGTGGCCATGGTCCCCTACATTATCATCATGGTCATCGGCAGCATCGTTACCAGCGTTGGCTACGACAACCACTGGCAATGGGAAGCCATCGTAATTGTCGGATACAGCTTTTTGGGATGTCAGGTCGCTGCTCTGCCAAGCATTGCCTCGACGTATGCCATCGACAGTTATAAGCCGGTGACGGGATCGTTGTTCGTGACCATCACAATGTGAGTACCAACTCCCAGGACCGAATAGACAACAAACTAACCCTTTTGAAGCAATAAAAACCTTTGGGGCTACGGGGTTTCAAAATTCCTTACTCCATGGGCAGAGGAAAAGGGCTTTATCCCGCCTATTCTGACAAACGCGGCGCTCATCCTTTTCTTCTCCTGTTGCGGTATCATCTTCTGGTTTTTCGGAAAGAAATTCAGAGGCATCACGGCGAACTCATTTGTACACAGGCTTTAATAGCGGTCTTGTGTCGCAGGATCAAGGGCGCGGGGAGTTGTGCTGTTCTATGGTGGCTATATGCCTAGTTGCAATGGCTGCTTAGTCCGGAGCTCAACCACATGACATAACGCAAAGAAGGAGATGTATAGCCATGATAATGTCAACGCTGGAATGTTCATAATAAAGGGGGTCAGGTCAATATAATTGAGGTTGAGTAGGTAATTCAAATTGTAGCACAAATGTCTATAGAAATTGCAACTGGAAAGCAATGCCTCCTTGGCGAGGATTGGTCTGCATCTGTGAAAGGGATCAGACTATTCGGCAGCACGCAAATGACTTCTTTAAAAGTAAAAGGGAGTTTTAAGAGTTCTGAGTATGACTTTAATGAAACGAACTAGTGTATACTTGCTTTAATCCAGTCACTCGCAGCCGTTCATGGAGGCCCCAGGGTGACCCACAACGCCATCAACAAGCTTGTAGATGAGGCTCAGTTAAGCCTTGAGATATCAATTACAGGCGATCAAGGAATTCATTGGTTATACGCCTCATTTGTAGAAATCTTTCGCTGTTAAAAAGCAAGTAGACAGGAAACCGAGGCAGCGAAGTTCACCGGACCGCTTGATACTTAGATATGCAATGATTCGACTACTGGCTATGAACAATTGAAGGCATGCACGTCTTCTTAACCGATGTCTTCAATTGCACAGAAAATATGTGGAACAGTGTGTATAGATCCAAGTGCAGTATAGACGTTGAGCTGTAAGTTGACCAGCATCAGCATGCACGCCCCCCCCCCCCAAAACGAAGCACGACCACCAACATCCAACCACCGAAGCAATCCTTGACAGAGCTAAACATGGGTATCAAAAGGTAAAAGATATGATATTGGAATGAGATCCTATTGGAAAGTCTTCTATAGAAAAGCCTCCTATGAGATAACCTCCTTTGGGATAGCCTCTTGTGGGATAACCTCCTGTGGGATAGCCTCTTGTGGGATAACCTCCTATGGGATCCCGGATGCACTATTGTGCGACGACCTGATAGCCTGCCCCCACCCCTTGGTCTGAGGCGCCAGGATTATCTACATGCAACCCTTAAGTCTGACCTGAGCCTTCGAAACGCTGCGTCATTTCTTGTGTCATAAAGAAAGCGCTATGTACATGGTTCTATATGAAGCGCGTATTCTGGAGTGTGTCCTCTCCATGCTCGGAGAACAGCCGCGAGCAGCAAGTCCTCTATGCGACATCGGGTAACTTGCTCACTCCTTAGTGAGGCATCTGAAAAAGGCTTCTAGCTAGAAGCATTAAGTGATTTCAAAGCTAAAATGCAACAGAAGTTCCGTTTTGTCGCGGCTCCTCATATCATCTCAGTTGAACCCGCGATGGAAGGCACGCGGATGCCGAATATCTCAAACATGTCCAGGTTCCTTCTCTTACAACCATCGACCCATCAATAGACATTGATTACAAGGCAGGTGCCGCTCCCAATGTTATTAAAGTCGATTTGGATCTCCTTGCTCTCGAGTTGGGACCCAGATTTCATCTCCATGCCACTCTTCCCAGCCAAGCTTCTAAACGCAGCATTTATCACCCAGGCATCAATTTCACCGTCGACTCCTTCTCTCGCTGCAAGTACCGACTTCTGGAACGAGTCTGTTTGTATCAAATTCCTCTTCGTTGTACCCGTGTCTTGCTATCCGCAAGTTCATCGCCATCGCTACCGCGCTGATTTGCTTTATCGCCTGCTTCATCCGCCGCGGTAGTCTTCACGACAACTCTCCCACAATGCATTCCAAGTTCCTCATTTCCTGCCTGTTCGCTTTACCCTGCGCCAGCGCAATCCTCAACTATTGCATCCCTGGCATCAACGTCACTCTCGGCGACAAGTGTATCCTGGAAGGCAACGAGTATTGCAATCACGACTGCTCCAGCGCCGTGCGTCTTACATCGCTACTGTTCCCACTTCTGCCTAGCGGCTGTCTGGTATGAATCACGAATACTGATGCGTGATTATCGAAACAACAGATCGCTTGTACCAGCGGGGCGTACCAGCTAATGAAAACCTGCGAGCGCAACAGCTGCAACTGGGATGAGGATAACGGGTCGGCCTCCTGCAGGTTTAAGCCTCCCGAGCCTCGCATGCCCGACCATACTCCGGAGCCAGCATTAGCCGGCATCTTCGAGTCGACCTCGGAATGTCTCCCGACCTTCAGGATCGGCGCGTCTTGCGACAACAAACCGGGAGCAGAGGGCCAGATGAGATGTGATGAGACTTGCACCAGTGTCGTATGTCACCCCACAGCATCATGATGCGACACAAATCGGGCATCACTGATTAACCTGGTTAAATAGGGCATCTGCCACGATGGCATCTTCCAGATCAACAGCCCCTGCGCCCCGGGACGCTGTCAGTGGAACGCGGATGCTGGACAGCCTTTCTGCGTTTGATCACACGATGCTCATGGCCCAATGTGGACGATGAGAGCAATGAAAATCGCCACGAGAGTCACTGGCATCGGTAGCATCGGTGAAGAGGAGTGAACGATGGGAAGGATATTCTCTTGTATTCGTAACAGCCTGATACACCTAGCCGCATCATAACGAATGGAGAAACGAGACTAGAACTCCCCACAGCAGTCATCCAGCATACTTCCTCAAAACAAAGCTAGCTACTGATTTCTTGGAGACTGTTACCAGATCATGGTCCTTCCAAGACCAGCACTGGAGCGACAACGATGCTAGGAGTCATCCGAGCGAGCTGAGGTCAGGGTCCCGGCGACATTGTTGCACATGTGATCATCGTGACTCTTTTGTGCAGAACAGTCAGTCACCAACGTTTAGCATGGAAGGCGTCGCCGATTCTATGCTCTTCGAGACCAGTGTCTACTTCGGCATCAACCGGAGGATTCCGAGAGGCAAGGCAATGCGAGGCTGCATGTCGTGACCGCGTCGGCTTGGCCGGGTACAGCGTGCTGACGAGCTTGAGTCGCATGCCTCGCGGACGACTCGTGGCCTTCAAGGCCGTCCTCGCAAAACACGGGCATATATCTTGTCCGCGTCAAAGCGAAGACATGCACGCCTGCCAGCCACAAGCCTGATGTTCACATTTCAGGAGCAATGTGATCGCTGGACCGTTACGGAGACGTGAAACACGGCCCCTAGCACCATAATGCAGAACACGGGAGGTGCAAACCTGGTACTGTCCACTACTTTAATTGGATTGCCATCAATATTCCTCTCCAGTCTTCTGAATGCTCTATGTGGCTGCTTGGTCTGCGTAAGCTCTTGCATCCAAGACACAACTACCCGTCTGTCTGCGCACACAGATATTATATCTAACGCACGACATAACCGCCATCCACGGGCAAGTTCACGCCAGTCAGCCAGCTCGCATCGTCGCTCGCCAGCACCACGGCGACTTTAGCAATGTCATCTGGTGTCCCCAGCCCGCCGAAAGGATGCCGATCGCTCAGCGCCTCCCGCGTCGCCGCATGCGACGCCGTCTCCTGGAACATAGCAGTCTCTGTGAATCCGGGACAAATGGCATTACAATGGATGCGGTGTTTCGCGTAATCCAGGGCTACCTGTCTAGTCAGACTCGAGACTGCACCTTTCGAGGCACAATACGATGCTGGGCGCCCGTCAAGATCAGCGGGCTGATTAGCAGCAAGATGAGAGGAAACCTACGGCATCCCGTTCCCACTATTATAGACATGATGGACGACGTATTGACAATCCAGCCCCGGTCACCGCTCTCGTGGGGCTCCTGAGCCAGCATCTGCTTGAGGGCGGATTTGCACCCGAGGAACACGGACTTCGAGTTGATTCGCATCGTCGAATCCCACACGTCCTCCGGCGTCTCGTGTATCATGAGGGGCCCAGTGGCCTCGTGGCTTATGCCTGCGTTATTCACCATACTGGCATCTGTAAGTCAGCATCCTGGTCGTCTCTGAACAGTCAGACCGGCCGTGTTGAGCCTACACATCTAAGCGGCCAAATGTTGTCACTGCGAACTGGACTGCGTTCTCGACCGCGGCTGCGTCCCCGACGTCCACCTGCACGAAGGCTGCATTCTTGGGCCCGATAATCTCGTGCGTAGGCTGGCCGTCAGGCGCCTGGCCGAGGGAACCCTTCACTGCGGCGACGCGTGATAAAGGCGAGAGGTCAGCGCAGACGACGTTGGCGCCCTCTGCTGCGTAGCGAATTGCAATAGCTCGACCTATTCCGGACGAAGAGCCCGTCACGAGGGCGACTTTATTCGCAAGGCGTGTGCCGGTTGCCATTATATAACGAGGCAGATTAAAATGTACTTTCAAAGATCGGTTGAGCGAGAACAGGACGTCAACAGAAAGTCGAGAAAATTGCGATGAGAACTAGGGACAAGGAAAATCACTTTTTCTCGCGTAGGTGCCTATGGTTTGGGTGCACGCCCGTCTCCATGCCCACTCATAGTTCGCTCGTGTTGCGATTCACCGGTGAGGGGAAAATCGGCAATCCAGCTTCAACAGAGCCCGAGGACCTCGGGAGCGCGCGTAAGAGAGCAGAGCACTTGCTTTTGTGACGCTTAAACGATGGAGTAGTTTAACTTTGGGGTTCCAAGGTTCTGATCCGGTGTGTGGTAGCAAGTATTGGTTGTGTCTTATTGCAGGCTGTAGCTGGTCTTGTGGTATGTCCGAAGCCATCTTTGTCTGTTCCTGGGGAGCTGTTCTCGGCGGAATGAGATGAATCAAATTGTGCACCCAGCATCACAGTTCCCAGTCCTCTTCATGAATACGCGCAGGTCCAGAGACGATGATTAAGAGGAGCGAGGACTCGTGTTCATGGACAGCGTAAGCAGACGGCACGGGTCACATGACTGGCGCATTTAGAGTGTCACGAAGAGTTGATCGGGCAAATTGGTGATATGTGACTAGGGTGACAAGATCCAGACGTCAGGAGCAGGAATAGTGTCGAATCAAGCAGCCCCATGCTGTCGATCCCCGGACGGACTCTTATCTCGGGCAGGCCTCGCAGGTGGGCTCCGCCCGGAGCAATTGACCCTCTCACAGGCCAGCGTGGTCAGGTGGGAACCATTTGCGTGTGAGACTCCCGCGGGTTCCAAGGTTGGCTGCATTGGACCATGCCGCATCGAGGTAGACGCCAGAGGGGACAGGCTGCAGGTTGCGAGAGAGGTGAGTGGCAATCATTTCCCGGGACAAGCCAAACAGCATGACTTCATCCGACACTCGAGCTCAGCCTCTAGTGGATCATCGTGCAGCTTGCTGTCGAGTCGTGTCTTGGAGACGTATTTGTGTTGTTTGTGCAGTCACGCGGTGCTTTTCGCGATGGGGTTCTGTGGACCAGCAGACCACCAGACCAGAGAGGAGGGAAAAGCAAGACTTGGTTTGACATGTTTCCACAAACAAATGTGGCTCAATACTGTGCTGTACTGCACCGTACTGTACCGTTACTGTAAGCCAGTGTGGGGGAACGGCGGTCAGGGCACCCCCCAGCTTTGTGGGAGCTTGGGGCATTTTGCACCCTGGGCGATGGCCAGGCCAGGATGGACGATGGCAGGATGGGCGGGTTTGCTCTGGGGGTGTAAGAGGAAGGTCGAGGTGTGCGCTGCAGCCCATGAAACCTGCCACCGTTTTCCATCACACCACATCGAAATCCCGATCCCAATCTTAGTCCCAACCCATTTTCTTCCCCCAGACACAACTTCTGTGTACTTGGAAGGACACCTTCAAGAGTTTGCTATCGCAGGTCCAAGTCCAAGTCCAAGTCCGCCCTGCACCGATTGGCACGCAACCATGACACGATTATCCGTCTACGGCGTCTCGCTCGCCGTCTTCATTGCCGGTACGTAGCCCAGGTCAAGCCCACACACAGGGCACACACTGCCCGGCCGAACCCACCCTCTTTTGCACCCACCTCGTCATCGGCGAGCTTCCTCTGCCTCTCACCAACCCGCCACCTCCCAGTCTCAGCTTGCAAAGAGACAAGGGCAGGACAAAATGGCGCGACATCTCCAGCGCTCCTCAAAACCGAGCTTCCTCTCTCATGTGGTATTACAGTGAGGGCGGCAAACTTGATCAAAGGCGTCGCGTCCTGGACGTATGCCCCGCGTCAGGCGATTGTTCTCTGCTGCACGAGTCGCTGCACAGGCAACATCGTCATGCTATGACGCACACGCGCCAGGAGAACAAACCTCCATCGTCATTTTGCACACAATGGCACTCCTTTACATGGCTAACCTCACATTCTCTCAATAGCGTCGGCATTGACACTCACATCCATCCTCGTGCCCCACTGGGTCACCATGGACGTGGAATCCCAAAATAGCCACATTGTCTACTCCCAACATCTCGGTCTGCATCACTACTGCAACACCGCCCTCCCCGACAAGCCTTGCCGCACATTCCCCGACGAGGAGAAGGACTGTGACCCCAATGACAGGTACTTCTGCTCCATGTGGCGGACGACTGGCTTCCTCATGAGCTTCGCAACTGTCGCCGAACTGGCTACGCTGGTCTGCTTCGTGGTGGCCATCGGGGGCGGCCAGGTCAAGAGGGAGTACGGCTGGAAGGTCTTGTGTGGCCTTCTAACTGTGGTTTCAGTCGTGCAGTTCGCTGCTATGGGTCTTATTGTGAGTTTCCCGCTGTTGCCCCAGGTTCTGTCGCCTAGGCGGCGAGAGCCTGTGGCGAGGCAAAGGGTATCCAGTTCGCTGACTCTGGATTTCAATCTAGTCGTTCCTCTACGACAACGACGAGTATTTCTCCGTCCCAGGCTGGAGACTCGACACATCTTGGATCCTATGCACGGTCAGCGCCGGTGTGGCCGCCATCCTCGTCGGTGCCCTGGCGTCATGCGCCTACTTCCTCCCACCAGAAGACGATGGCTACAACTTCCTCGATGACCCCATCGACGTCTAATCCAAACCAGCAGAGTGAATTGGATTCCCGGTGAATCGACATCGCTCGCAGCTTCTGTTCTTTCAGTCATATTAGATTATACACGGGGCGTTTTCGGGCATACAGGATACGGCATATTCATCTTTTCTTGAGGGATCTGACATATTTTGATACCTTGAGAGTGAGTTTTCTGGGAAGCAAGGGGCATTTGAGGTCAACCACCATAAACATACTGGAGTGGAACACTTTCTTAGTGTCCATTGCATAAATTTAACAAATTTGAATATAGATTCAAGAGACACAGGCCGACTGCTCTGTGGTTCCGATTTGATATGGAGCCAGCTTGCATGAATGTGCTCTGCATGAATGTGCTCTGCATGGCCTCAAGTAATCTTCGTATAAGGAAGCGAGTCGCATTGCTCAGGCACACAATACTTTCTCGGGACGATGACTTTTGTAATATGGATAGCATTCAGACGCGTAAAGAAAGCCCGAGGTCGTCCACCAGCTCAAGTGAGCTTTGGACTAGGTTGCAGCGGGGTCAAACAAGCTATGAGGTAGGTCTTGTGTGGCCTGGAGCAAGGGAAATAGTGCTGAGTATGACTTCTCTGTCTCGAACACTAGATCCAGCGCCATGGGTAAGACACCAACTGGACAAGCCACTTGCAGCAGTCACACAAACACATCTTGTTTTTGATAGATTTATCATTAGATCTCATGCGCTCGTAGCTAATCATTAAGCCCAGCTGGTATCATCCATCCGTTCCCCTTGAACTCCAAGCCCAACAAGATGCAACCCCCAGGATCGCACCTATAAAAAGTGTGTAATCCTTCCTCTAGCTCAACTCGGAACCAAACCATGCAGTTATGGGCCATGAATATGTCATCGAACAAAATCGACGTCTCCGACGTGAAGACGGAAAGAAGTAAATATTGACAATGGAAGGGAACTGGCCCGAACAAAAAGATGAAAAAAACATGGCACAAAGATCAACCAGTCAATCAGTCACCAACAGGTATATACGTGCGTGTACGCGGAGATCACGCGTACCGCCTAGTAGCATCCAGCTCGCCCAGCGGTCTCGCCGAGTACGTCGCGTGGCTGACGCTGGCGCCGGGCGTCTCGGGGACGACGCCCCAGCTGACGGGCTGGCGGTAGACGTCGGCCTCGTGGGGGACGCGGTGGCAGCGGGCGCTGAGGACGGCGCTGCAGGAGCCGCCCTCGAAGACGAGCGGGTTGCCGACGGTGCGGCCGTCGGCCATGACGACGGCCGGGGCGCGCAGGAAGCCCGGCGCCGCGAAGGCCACCAGGAGCACCACCAGCATCGCCAGCAGGACCGCCAGCGCCACGCCGCTGAAGCCCACGCCCAGCAGGTGCTGCGGCGAGGCGTCCGGGTCCGAAACGGGGTCCGCGCCCGCGCTGCTCGCCGTCAGCGACACCACGAAGCACGCCTGGCTCAGCACGAAGCCCATCGCCGCGAAGAAGACGGCCAGCGCCCAGCTCACCGGCCGCGGCAGCGTCATGTACAGGCTCGTGGTCTGGTGGCCCTCCGGGTCGGACGAGACGCGCAGGGCGCGGCGGGTCTGGTTGCCCAGGATGGCGTGGAGGCTGCTCTCGCGCGAGAAGAAGTAGGCGGTCAGGAGGGCGTTGGTGGCGAAGTACAGGCCCGCGAGCAGGATCTGCGGCAGGGCGGTGACGATGGCGAGGGTGCCCGCGGGGACGGACGCCGTCGCCGAGGCGGAGATGAGGTATGTTGTGTGGGGGCTCGCGACACCGAAGGGCGACAGCGGGTGCGAGGACGGCTGGGAGGCGACGGTGAGCGCGAGGGTGCCCGCGGCGAATATGACGCTCGCGACCCACCAGCAGGCGGCGCCCAGCCAGTTCGACAGCGACGGCGACCGGAACCAGAAGTGGTCCCGCTCCGGCGCCCAGTACTTCCCATCCGTGAAACCCCAGCCGCCCATGCCGGTGCGGAGGTTCTTCTTGGACAGGAGGCAGTTCTTGCGGGTCGACGGGTCCGGGTCCCGGAGGAAGGACGAGATGGCGTCGCCGAGCGTGACGAGCGGCTCGAAGCGGCGCATGATCAGGATTGCGGCGGTGAGGATGAGGGTGACGAGGTTCAGTCCGACTACGATGACCAGGAGGATGCCGTTGAGCTGCAGTGTGCATGTCTCTTCTGACGTCTCGCTTCTCTGTGCGAGGCAGAACTGAACGAGGGCTCCATCGAAAAAGATCTCTGCATTGGAGATGGTGGTCGACATGTTGTTGCCCGACTGGAGGTTGATGCCAGCTTGCGCGGTCTCAACGAGGGAGTTGCCCGAATTCGGGCTGTTGACTACCAAGAGGACGTTTTGGAAGTCGGTGTTAAAGACCCCGCTGAACAGGTCGACACACTCACTGGTGGTGAGATTTGTGAGGTCGTTCCGGCCGGCGAGATTCTGGAGCTCGAGGAGTTCGTTGCGGCTAAGACCGCCGGCATTGTTGTCGGTGCCATTGCTAAATGTCGAGCCGGTGAGGAAGGACTCGGTGACGGCGATGAGATTGTAGCTCATGCCGGCTTGAGTGGTGAATATTACGGAATTATATCTGCAGTAGATCATTAGCGTCTGTGGAAAGTCGTGCTGGGAAGCATTTCCTGGGTGCTCACATTACTTGGGTCACAACAGCCACGGTCAAAAGGATGCTGGCCAGGAGGACCCTCCCCTTCCCGATGTGTCTGAAGTTCCGCAACGACGGGACGCCAATCTCCAACCACTTCTTTCCCTCATGCGCTCCAGCTATGTCCGACCGAGTTGGGCTGCTCAAGACCTGGAAGACGTAGTTGGCGCCCACGATTAAAATCACCACCAGAACGTTGATCAGCGCGTGCAGGCGCCAGTCAAGCGATGTCACGTCCTCACACGATCCCGTGAAGAGATCCATATCTCCAACCAGTATGGCAATCTCGGTTCCTGCGTATACCAAGCACACGAACCCTATGACAAAGATGACGAAGGCCAGGAGGGCGTTGAGGACAACGCCCAGCCTCCACCCGGTCATCAGCCTCCTCCTCTTCCTGGGCTTCTCGTTGGTCGAGGGCAGGATCATCTGCAGCTCGGTCATGGTGGACGATTGGGTGGTCTGCGACATTGCGGTCCGCAACCTCTGTTCGCGGCCCTCCTGCACGCCCTCGAGCAGCACCATGTGCGACAGCTGTGGGCGGTGCTGGTGGGTGATGTCGACGGTGCGCTTGCCCTGGTTGCCGCCGTTGCGCTTGCGCCGGGCGACCGTCTCGGGGGTCTCGCCGCGGATGTAATTGACGACATAGTCTGGGATCAGCGTGCTGTCGCGCAGGCTGCTGTGGGAGCCGTCGCTGCCGATCTTGGGCACCTGCACGGTCGCGCGCCGGAACAGCTCCGGGGCGTTAGCTGTGAAGATCGACATGTTGTCCGTGGCGATGCTCTGGAAGGGCCAGTGTATTGTCATGCCCTTCCTGCCCCTCCGCGACGGCGGCGGGTCTAGCTGTGAGTCGTCCCCATGGTTGGTTCTCTGGCCTGTTGAGCGAGAGTGCAGGCGTCTCGATGATGAGCCACCCCCAGACGAGGACGGCGGCACCCTGTTAGTATGGTCAGCATGTTAGTCCCAGCCAGCGGTGGTAGGATCAAGAAGTCGTCCCGGGATAACTGACATCCTGATTTGTGTCACCGGACCATCGTATGTGCTAAAAACGGATTGAGCGTCTCCATCGCGGGGCTCTGAACTTTGGTCCATCTGCCGCGACGCCTGATGGTTAGGAGGTGGCAGGCATTGACGACTTATTAGGGGTAGATGCTGCGTGTGGAGAATAGCAATGGTTCGAAGGGATCACCACAGTCAGCAGTTCACGCAGGAGAGATTAGCGTTGGGTTGAGTTGACGACTTAGAATAGTTGGATGGTGGACGGCACCGGTAAAAGAGTGACAAGAAGGTTGGGTGGCGGGCAGCGTAGTCTGGTAACAGTTGGGATTGTGGTGTGGTGGTGGCAGGGGCAGTGATTATTAGGACCGTAGTAGAGCAGACTCGCATGCAGAAGTCGGGCAGGACATCGTCACCCCTGCGATGGGGGCTTCCCACCAGGCTGGTCAAAGACTCAAGAGTCTACCAAGGGACCAGTTGGACTTGCATGGTGTGGTGTTGGAGGATGGGCTGGTGCTCGAGGATCCCGGACCCTGATGTTCAGCCCCCCTGCCCCTTTTCCCCCGTGCTGATTTACTGGACATGCACGTGTAGGCACACTTGTACACTCCTCCTACATACAGTACTACAGTGATGCCTGCATGCACGATCTCGAGCCTGGGCTCGGCCTGGACTAGGCTATATTTAAACTGCGCCTCAGTCGGACATGCCCAATCAGACACTGGAAACGAGGCCTTGCACCACACCGACGGCCCAGATTCCAGATGGGATGAGATGACGAAGGAGGGGCATGCGGAGAGAAACAAAGCAGAAGCAGCGAACCAGGTCAGCTCTCCAGGTCCACCTCACGGCGACGTTGAAGGTTGGCCCTCGGATTCTCGTGTCGCAGCCAAGTGGCCGGTACGTCGACGTGGTCCCTCGCCGGCGGGGACTCGGGGACTGTGAGGGTGTCAGGTATGTAGACCTGGGCAGTCTTGGACCCCCGCGGGCTGCGGGCGCCGTCTGCCGCGATCTGCTGATGCTACTACCGAGCTGCCGGCAGATGGGCTGCACCTGGACGATCTCCTCACCGTAGCTGCGTGGGCGTCGTGGGCAGGCTTGACCGAGGGTTAGAGATGTGGGTGGTGGCATCATCATTCACCATGATCGACAAATCGACAAGTCTCAGCGTAGGACCTCGGATGCGTTGCCGAATTCGCTGGCAAACGTAGCAGCCTGTTGGCCTACTACGTGTGGCTGATGACGACTTATGATGATGATACGAGCGACCAAGCCAGTTCAGATCATTGATGAACGTGCCTCGAAACGAAAGACTGGACCGCATCGGAGAGTTTAGCTTATTAGCCCGCCATCTCGTCTGGTTTGAGCCCACACGGGGCGACCTTCTGTGCGGTGCAGTATGCGAACTAAGAGCAGGTGGGTTCCGTCTGATGGGCTTGCAGCAAGAGAAGCATCGCAAATCATTCATGCACAAGCGAGCCCAAGGACCCGCAGAGATCTCAAATCAATTCTCCTCTGCCCCGTCGCCCCCCCCCCCCCCATCTCCCGGCACTCAGATTCAGAGAGAAATTCTCCTATGCCGTCTGACTGTAAATATGGGTGCCCAGGGCTGGCACGGGCGAGCAGCCACACTGGGGCATGTGCAGCCGGGATTCATGCATGCGCTGCGGGGGTCTGGGATCTCCCTAGCCCCTCGCAGGTGTGCCGGGTTTCAGATTGGAAAAGCTCACCTCGCCCACTTCGCCCACTTCGCCCACCTCTCTGCGGCCTCACTCAACGAATGGCTGGCCCTGGCTGGGAGGTAAGGGGGGAGCCAATTTCCTCGGCGGGAAGGTTTCTCTCCCACATTCATGCCGCCGACTCGAGCTCATTTTACATGGTATACCAGTCAATGGTTGTTATTATAGTCCCTCCCAGCGGGTGAGTGAGTTTGTGTGTGTGTGTGTACACGCATGTGTCTATGTGAGGGGACACAGAGAGAGGAGAAGAGATAGAGACAGGGAGAAAGATAGAAAAGGTACGTTCGGCAAATGCCAGTGCGCGCCTGCATTAACGCAGGTGGTATCACCAGGGTTGCAGCCCCATGCCCACAAATTGCCCGCCGTGCCGCACTGCAACCACGGAACCGAGCGTGCTCAAAGTCTGGGTGACATGTTTCGTCCCTTTCTGCCCGCAATCCAACGGCCTCTGTGATTTCTGCCTGGCTGTGTGGCTCCGCCTCCAGTTCTGTCTGTATAGCGATCGCCAAAAGTTGACTGACTGTTGAGCCCGCGTCCAATGACTCCACCCTGCCAGTTACCTTGAACGTACCGCACACGACTCAGCTTTGGATGAGACCTCCTATCAAGCGAAGACTTACATAGACCCTAACCCTTCATTATAGGGGTTATTCAACAGTCCCCTCCCTCGTTTGTGCACGCTCAGCTTGGGCATTCCTGCTTGAAGAAATTCTTGCAGATATCATTCTGTTAGAGAAATAACCAAAAGCTATAGATGAGTACCAGCTCTGTGCAGTTTCTCGTCATTGATAATCTCATCAGGTAGATATATCACGTGCTGGACATCAAGTGACGTCTGAACCTTGGGACCGTGCGTGACGGTACATCATCCCAACTTTATACAAGTTCGGAACAAAGTCTATCTGTCTTGCGACTTTTGTGTTTTCCAAAATAGGCAGCCTACAGTGATCCCCAGCTTCACCGCCGCCGGGGTCTACAGGCGGCAGCAATGCCGTCGCCGTTGCCCACCGGCCATTCTACAGAGCTAGCCCTCGCAAAGAAGTCTAGTCAGGGTCTGGAAGACGGTTGCAAGCAGCAGGAAGACCGGATTACCCGTCTGATCGACCCGAAACACCTCGAGGACGTAAAGAAGGACACGTCGCACAGCTCTGATCTTAGGCAGCAGAGAATCATGGGGATACACTGCGTCATGTCTGCTGAGCGAGTGAGGTGGTTGTCGAGCCGCTGGAGTCCGCGCCATTGGTTTTGACATTGACGTGGCAATATGGCTCTGGCAGGGCCGTGGTGAACACGCCACCAGGTGTGCTGGCCGTGGGATGGCCAGGCTGAAGGGTGAGACAGAGTGGTTGGTCAGACCTCATGCTGTGTGACCGTGGCGGCCGACGAAGGATGAGTTGTCAAGACCATGGACACATTAGACTTATGCGGTGATTATTTCCCATCTATCTCTGGCATAATTTCGATTTTGTGGTTCTTCAATCTTGGGGAAAAAAGACTATAGATATTGATTTATCGATTTTCTAGAGCCTGTTGCTGAGCAGTAAGACAATATCGAATGCTGCTCTTTATGTAAGCGAGTGCGAAAATGCTTACCTCCTTCACTGGCTCGACTATACCTCACCAGATGGGTTCTCAAGTTGCCTTTCTCTCTCAACTCGGATGACTAGAACGTAATAAGCAAAGCCTCTCCATCGCCAACCCTGACTCTTCCCCTTCCATCACCCAAGTCCTCGACCTTTTCCACAATTTTCTCCCCAGCTATCACGCCAGAAGCATTGTCAACGTATTGACCTGCAAATGTGACATTGCTTGCGATTTCGACGCCCGGAGCTGTAAGGCGAAGAGCTTGGACGTCGGAAGATGCAGCGGAGCTATTACTAGCATCGACCGGGAGTGTAAAGTCGAAAGTTGTATATGGCCGTGGTGTTGTGAAAGTCGAGTTATAGACATTGAGGTTAACAAGAACCAAGGATGTCAATGTTGGCTGTGTTGCAGAAGTGTCCTGAGGTCGACCAGCGCTCGAGCCGTTGCTGCCGGCGTCGAAGACGGCATAAGCTGTGAGATATGTGTCATTCAATAGTATCTGGACCTGCTTATTGCCGCCTGATAATGCTGACGCAGTGAGTAGATTGCCATAGTAGAGTGGTTTTGCAAAAGGCGCTGTGCCGTTGATAGTAATTGGTTGCCAAGGGCTATATCGATATGGAGAGCCCATGTGGAAATATAAGCGCGACACTTGAAGTGTCGCAACATAGAGGACGTAATCGACTGCCCAGAGAGCGGCGGCGAATACGTCCGAGACTAGAGCTTTGCCTTGACACTAGGAGGAGATCAGCGAGGGCATACGGGAGGAGCAGGATCACTTTGGAGCAGTGACATGATCTTTCCAAAGAGAAAATGAAAAAGTGGTGTTTCAAAGCACTTACAGAGATAGAATTCGTCTCACCAAGAACATACGGAACACCTTGTGAGACGCTGAAATTGCCGATAAATTCATGATACCACATCAGGGATGTCATATGGTGGTGGTCGAGAATGTTGTCTTTGATAGTAGCAATCTTAGTTGTACCTTCACAGTTGGATCCCATATACTATTACATGAAAACATCAGCTCTGTACGGGGAAAGCAATGCCTCTCGATCTCGATTCGAACTTACATCGTGATCAGCCACCGTCTTCAGCCTCCCAGACCGAGCCAACCCCAGTCGAAGCACACTCTCAACGCTCCAGATTGAGTTGTTGCCGAATTGGATGTTACGTGGTGCCGTAAAAGCACAGCCTTGGAACAGAGGCTGAAGCTTTGCATCATCTTCCCCAAGTGCATCCTTGCCGATAGCGTCCGCATACTCAGTCCATTGGTCTACGTACGATTGGGTCGTATAATTTGCCGGACGTCGACTGCTACCGGGCCAGCCTAAGGCTTGTCAGCTTAAATTTCCGTTGTCAGAAGAAGTACAATAATATCATACCATTAACCTCATTGCCAATCTCGAAGCCGTAGAGATTCTTTCCAATTCCGTGGTATGCGGCACCAGCTTGGAGCACGGTCTGCGCCTTGCCTTCTGCGCCGTCGAAGAAGTTGAGACCGTAAATATACTGCGTCCCATTTGGGAACTGTTGGAAGGACTCGAACCAGGCAGGGCCAACTGTCAACGATGCGGGCTGATCAGCACCTGGCGTCGAGTACCTGGCAATCAACGCTTCGGTCTGGTTTGCAATATATGTTGCGCGATTCTGAGTTGTTCCGCCTGCACGGATAATGGGATAGGAACCGGCAAGATCGCCTAGGTTCTTCAGCATCTGGTGGGAATACAAATTTGGATGGCTTTGCGAATCAGTCTGAGGTCAAAATTCATGCTAGTGAGCTACTCACCTTGTATTTCCGGCGAAATCTAGCATATAAGAGAATTCGATAGAGTAAGACTGGAAGCTGGCATCGACAATCTGATGGCCTTTCGGCGCTGAGTCGGGTACGTTGAGCTGAACATTTCTGGTATCCTCCTGTCGCGTGTGCAAGTCCCTTGTCAGGCCTCCGAGCGCGAGAGAACTCAATGCGACAATACAGAGTAAAGCCATGATGAATAATTCTCAATCACATAGGAAGCATCACTCATATTAAGCCAGGGTGTCTCAGAAGGAGAACGAATAGTTTCATGAAAGACGGCGACGAGTGTTGCATATAGCCTGCTCAAGACGCCGACGGTATATTGTACTCCGAACAAGAGATGCAGGCTTCGGTAGGTTCGGGTGTGTCATTTCCAAACAGCAACTTCGGTGTAGATCAAGCCTATAAAGATGACCTTCGCGGTGTTCAGATCACAATCCGTGAGTACAGACTTATGCTGTGACCAGCAAGCTAAAATGCGCCGCAACATTGGGGTTGCAATCGGAGCATTTCTGTATTCAGGCTTGGCTGATGATTAGTGGGAAATGGAAGCGCGGGTAGTCCCTTCGATTGCTAATTTCATTGGAAAAATTTGGGCACCGATAGAAACGTCAAGGCGTTGAAACGTATTAGCCCAGCTCTGTGACCTTTACGGAATTAGCTCATCACTATCCTTTACATACAGGCGGGCGGGACTGGAATAGAGGAGTTGAAACTCTTTTGTCATGTGCTCGAAGTGTAGTGGTCAATATTGGCCAATTAGGAAATGCAGACGGCTAAACTGACTTCACTTAGCAACGTGGGAAAATTGAGCCATTCGATTCTGTATCCTCATTCCCTCGTCGGCAGATATCCCGACCTCGCTGACCCCGCGTCCAATATAGGAAAGTTGAGGTTCCGCCCGCCCGTGTTCAATGTTACGAAGAACGCATCATGCAAGCCCCAAAGCCTTGGTTGCAATTTGTTCCTCCGTCTCCGCAGCCACGCCCAACAGGTCACAGTCGGATTCGGATCGACAAGGTGCAACCTCACAACGAGCCTCACCTTCATCGTACAGCTGAGCCACAACCAAATCCAAAACCCATCTGTCACTGCCGTCTGCGAGCTTCTTGCGTCCACTGGCCATGAGCTCTCTCGTGGTGGACTTTTGTACGACCCATTGCTCCCCTGTCGCATGCTGCAGGGCCTGCAGCAGCTTGTTCTGGCAGGTTCTGATGGAGAGTACCTTTACAAATCGATTCTGTGTCTCTTCTGGGTGCTTTAAAACACCCACGACACTCTGTGAGATGCCTTCCAGTGTCGTTCCAGTGAAGTTCTCTTCGCCATTGTCGTATATGGTTGCCGAATATTGGTTGACATCGAATCCCATCAACGGGAATTTCTTGATCGCCTACTCACTGCGCAGTCAGAACCCGAAAACTTCGCTCTCTTTGGACGTTTTCATGTACAAAATCATCACACACCCAGTCAATAGGATTTCCCGTCGTTATCCCAGTCCAGGTAAAGCCAGGGTTGGCCTCAGCCCTTTCCTTGGCGTGATCCCATGGAGCCTTTCGCCTGATACGAACATTTTGGAATTCAGGCAGCCCACGAGCATCCGGTCCCCATCCAAAGTCGTCCACGATAAAGCGCTTGACGCCCGCGGCTTCCGCTGCATCGATCATGGCAGTCTGATGGTGAATGCCCTTAGGACCGACAACGCAGACGGCAGCATCTTGCCCGAGAAGAGCCTTGACGAAGTTCTCTGGCGTGTATTCAATCTTGATAACAGGTAACCCATCTGGAAAGGTTGCAGTAGATTCGGCCCGGGTTACAATTGTCAGTACAAAGCCGGCTTGGATGAGGGCTGCGGTGATTGGGGCGCCGAAGTTGCCCGAGGCCTGCGGTCGCGTCAGTTGCACATCTGCATCGAATACAAGTATACAAAAGCGTACACCGAATACAGCGACCTTGCGGAGCGTAGTCATTGTTGAAGCCGTCTGGAGTATGGGTGGCAGTAAAGCACGACAGGCCTAATGAGCTTGAGGTAGCTCTGCGGCTTGAAGAATCAGCGATTTGGCTTAGTCTGGAGTCGAAACTCGTGAGAGCAATCGAAAATGTCGCTGAGGGAGCTGGAAAATGTTGGATAGAAACATGTTGCGAGAAGCCAAGGCAGGAGTGCTGTTTACTTATAGAAATGATATCGAAGCCCTGCGTAAGCACATCGGCGGAATTCCGCCAGAGGAATTCCGCAGCAGTGGAGTTCCACGCCACGGAATGGATGGGCGCGCAAGGATCGCCATTTGGCTTGAGAAAGGTAAGTCAAGACAAAAGTTGAGGCAATATAGAGTAGACTGGCCCCATCGGTACTTCACACTGGGGAGTGAAAGCACTCTATGATATGGACGTACGAAGTGCAAATGCTCCCACTGTATCCTTGTATTTTTTTTTTTTTTGCTATATTATTTTTCTTTGAAAGACAGAGACAAATCAGTCCAGAGAATCACATGAATCGTCATGTTGAGACAAGAAACACTGATCCCAATTCTCGCTTGATATGTCTTTGTGACCTGTCCCGTCCCCAGTTCAGACCTCCCGAATCTTGAAGTCGAACATCTCGTTCGAGGGGCCGCCATTCCTATCTCGCATCTTGTTCGCTGTTTCTATACCGGCAACTGGCACGCGGTATTCCACTTGCCGGCCGGCCGCTGGGCCGCTCCCTTCAGGCAGTGGGTACGGGAATGGGAGGTATTCGGGCAGGAGACCGAGTTGCCTCAAAACGCTGCCTTGGTCCCACGCAATGTGCTCGTGATACAGTCTATCACCTCGAACGTTCACCACAGCCGTGAAAGGCACCTCGACCCTCTTGTTCGTGGGCGGAACGCCTGGGAGACTGTAGGATGTCAGCTTTTTATCGCCATTCTACGACCTGCAGGGCAATCCTTACATCCAGTCGATCATTTGATCATGAGTGAATTTAAATATGAACTCGTCAATAACGCGGTCGATGCCAACGGTCCGGCTGGTCAGCTCAAGCTCAGAATCTGCGGAGTTGTTGAAGATAAAATTGTGCTGATAAAAATGGGAGAGCTTTGCACGGCCAATGCCACCAGTCATCTGGTCCCGGGTTAGCCTTACAAAGGATCGAATAACAAGAGATCAAGCGCTGGCGATGAACTCACTGTTGGGACGTGATTGACATAGGGCTCCTGCACCATAGTACTCATCGTATGCTCGACGGACCGATCAGCAAATTCATAGTAGGTATGCTCATCCCATATTGTCTCCAAGTCGAAATACGGGCCGTTCATTTCTTTCTTGAAGAGCGTGAGGTTCCGAGTATGTGAGATCGCCTCGGTGTTGTAGTGGAATGACTCCTGAAAAGGGGTTGCAAACTTATATGAACTGGCATTGGCATAGTAATACTTCTTCATGTTGTGTGACTTGTCTGGCTGAGCAGAGCCCTCCGCTGGTTTCCCCGCAAAGTGCCGCAACACAGGTAGTGACGTGCCAGCGATGGATTCTGGGGATAATTCCGTCGATGCATCTGCATAAATCGCAGCCACGACAATGGAAGGATGATTTGACAGCGTCGGAGCCACGATATTCCACAGCTCAGGATCATAAGCTATCGAGGCTGTCAGATTGGCGATTCTCGAAGCATAGAGCAGGGGAAGCCGTACTCACCTGCCAAACCAATCTTATCCTTCGGCTCACACACTTCGCAACCATACAGTGCTTCTATAACAGTACGGATGAGATCACCATCCGCTAACCTCAGGGCCTCTGCTTTGATCTCAACAACCGTGTAGCCTTCCTCTGCCCATTTGATGAGTGGAGATGGGACTCCGTCAATAATAGCCAGTGATTCTCCGTAATCTGGAGCAAGAATGATCATGCCCGGCCCAGACCCCCTCCGACTCAGTGGTCGGAGCAATGACACGCCAGGGGAGACTGCTGTGAGCACCGGGCTCGGCAGTGGAGCGGGGGGCTTGGTGATATCATTGAAAGGCATGGCTATTCAATCATTCCAGTAAGCGTTTTGAAACGCCAAAATTTCTATTCCGGATGTCTTTGGCGAATTTTGATTCGAGATAGCATTCCAACGCCGACTCGACTTTGATGGTGCCTGAACCAAAAGGACATGAATTGAGGTGGGACTGGTGGATATTCTCGTTACCCAGTAGTAACGTTATGTAGTAAGCACGCCCCCCTCCCCTTGCTAGTCTCATCTTCAAGAGGCCGCTTATCTGTAACAGGTGAGGGGCTGCCGGATATCGAAGAACCCTGACTATACTTTCTTCGATTTGCCGAGATATCTACAATACTTGCACCTTCCATCGGCGTCATTCCCTTATACGCGTATTGCGGTAAGACTTGATAGTTTATTTGAAAATGGAGTACGAATGAGACTTGCGGTCCTGCAGCCGCGAACTACACTTCGCTACAGGCTGGGTTGAATAACAACCAGCCCAACAAAGAACAGATGTAGGACAGCTTGCAGATGATAGCCCTCCGAGGTGAGAAGTATGTGTCGCAACGCTCGCACAATTGAATTAGATTCAAATATCATGACATTAGAAATTGCGACTCGCAACGCCAACCGAGTTCCCATATTCACACTATCAAGCCTTTTGCGCGGCCAGTCGAATGTTGTATTCCAGCTCCAAAGAGGCCTTCGAATTGTCCTTCGCTGGGTTGAAGTCAACCACCAAGTCGTCCTTGACAGCGAAGACAGAGTCGTTGTCGAGGTACTTGGTCTTCCTGTCAAAGATCTGTGTCACCAGGGGTGCGTACACTGCGCCCTTGCCAGCCTGTATTTGGGTTAGCTTTCGATCAATCTGTGCACTCTTGATGGGGACAAAATCCTACCATAATGTGGATGTGAGCGGGCCGGTACGGGTGGCGATCGAGGAGCTGCAAGACCTCTCCTGCCGGACCTGCGACGTGTCAGTTATGCTGAGCTCTCTCTCGCATCGGACAGTGCACTCACCATCATATGGCACCGGGTACGGTACTGGTCGGATACAGTAAAGCCCGTAGTAGCCGTTCTTGTCTGTGGTAAGCTTGCCCCTCAGGTTGAAGTCCGCCTGGTCCGGGTCCTGCTGCTCATACAGCCCATTGGTGCTGCACTGCCAGATATCCACCGTGACACCCTCGATCGGCTTGCCCGTCACCGCGTCCGTGACCACACCGTGCATGAAGACGACCTCGCCGTCGGCGGGCATGGTCTTGATGATGCTGGTGTCGTTCTCCGTCGGCGGCGTGTCCTTCCTGAAAAAGGGGCCCAGGATCGCGGTCTTGGTGCTCTCGTAGTCGGCGCCCACCAGCAGCTTGTTGGTGATCTCGTCCACGAGGCTCTCCAGCCCAATGACGTCGCACAGCAGCTGTGTCTCGTTCCGCCGGTCGTTGGACATCTGCCCGGACCGGTTCAGCAGCTCCACGCCCTGCATCCACTCAGATACAGTGAGGTCGTTCTCACGCGCGAAGTCGTGAACGTGTTTAATCAGGGAGGTCATGATTTGCCTAATACGTGGGCTGGCCTTGGGGCCCGTTGCCGCGATGACGCTATCTGTGAAATCGGGGTCATATTGGGGCTTCTTGCTGGCGTTCCCGCCATTGACGGCAGAGTTTGCTGTAGAGGACATGGCGACGACTTTTTATGAGGGGAACTTTGAGGAGAGACTGGATTAGAGACCTGTCGGAGTGAAAGCTGTCCTTAAATATGTGAGATGACTTTGCGGATGTGACTGCTACAGGGACGGATGAGGGGCCAAAAGGCAGTTTAGATACTGAGAGGAAAAGGGGTTGTCAAGCAGCTGGCCAGTTCACTTGAAGTTTAAGTAAGATCGATGTCGACAGTGTAAGTTCCGCCCCCTTGTCCCATTCTCACAACATACGATTCTGGCCAGAGGTCGGAACAAGCTCTAGCAAATCAGAAACCTGCTATTTGCTTTCGAATCTGGGGTTGACGTCGGCTATGTCCTCTTCTGCGGAAGAGTTAGCAGAGCGCGGTAGAAAGGGGTGCTAGCAGTAGCGTTTGGCGGCGGGGCCATCGTGCTTTGAAAGCCCCGCAAAGATTCCCCAGATTTCTGGGTCCTCGACTTGCCGCATTTGATACCAACACTCAGATTGAGCCTTGAACCCAAGGCGGCATCGACAAGGCAGGCTGACCTTGACAGACGAATATAATGTCAGCTCTGATGCAGAGTAAGCAACGACGAGAGCAATACGGCTTGTGCTAGTTATCAATTGTGCATGCTATCTAAAAGCGGTCGTGTAACGCCAATGATCACTGCAGAGGCCGCTCGGATAAGCACCCGGAAGTTTAGCGAAATCGTCGGGTACGGCCCTGGAATGCTATATGCTTGGAACGCACGTGCTTCATTGCTTTCAATATTGCGTGGCGGCAATTGCACCTCAAGAACTACAACACGCACTCTCAGCGAAGTGAGCCCTTATAAAGTCGATTCTGCCTCGCAATTCATGATTACATTCAGACCTGTCATACAAGCTGTTAAATCATTGCACAGGCAGACTTCTAATTTGTTTACCTACGTGCGTATGGAAGATCGGAAGCTTTCTCCAGGCTAGCTCGAGTACAAGGGTTCTATACGAAGAAGATAGTTTCTTCCTAACGACCACAACGCGAGGCGTAAGAGAACACATGCACATAAGTCAAAGGCCTACACACAGAAGGGTACTGCAAAAGCGAAAACATAGTAGTACAGCTCTCCTTGTACGTGGAGTGAAGGCGTACACAACAATAAACATGTACAATATCTTGAATAACCTTTAGGCTAGAGAACGAACACAACACGTTCAGACTAGTTGAGAAAATTGCAGCCTGTGAAATGTGGCCAGCTACACAGAGTAATGCCCTAAATCGGTCATGTTACAGACAAAGATATGTTATCTTGTGCTGCAGATATTGGCCAGATGAAACTGAAAATTCACATACAGGTAGAGACAGCCGTAAGTAGTGGCCCATTCAATGTCTTAATTTCATGTATCTGGACTGGTCTCACGGGTCGTGGGCTCTTGGCTCTGAAGAGAGTCGTGATGCCTTGTCTGAGAAAGAATACCATTATCGTTCCATAAGACAAACTGGGAGAGGCTCGTTTGCTCCGGCGGGGCTGAGCTAGAGCCGTCGGGAGGGCAGGACCTCGTGGTGTCCATCGCCAAGCAAAGGACACACCGAACGCGGCAGCGCACTGAGAGGACATCAAGCTAGTATATCCAATTACAACTCAGATGCAGCAGTCGCTTCCGTATTACTCCTGTGCAGTCGAGATCATCATCTGAGGGATGGCTGACATGATATGCCGCCATTCACCATATATAGAGGCAGACTTCAAAAAAGAACAGGATCAGCAACTTCTAACTCCATTGATATTAGTTCTTAGGTCACCACGGAGGTTCCACGTAACCGTCCAGTGTACCAGATGCCAGTTGTGAACAGTCCTGGACCTTCGTGCTCGTTCATCGTTTCCACAACTAACGATTCCCGAATTAAAAGTTAGCAAATCTAGAAGCCTATAAGAACAGGATAGTCGAGTCATGTTGAACATCAAACAGATGTGCTCATTGTCAACAATGATCTCAGTACTATGAATGATGTTTAGACTGATCACGTCGGTTCATAGCCGGCTTTGACAAGACTCCAAAAAAAAAAACGAGAAAAATATTCTCGAGCACATGGGAGTGCTGTCTTCGAACATTATGAACCATGCAGGGATCGAACCTGCAATCTCCTGATTCCGCATTTCTCATGAGAACATCACGAGTCGTAGTCAGACGCCTTGCCATTGGGCCAATGGTCCAGTTGTTGATGGAATTTGGCGCCGTGAAGAGTTTTACAAAGGAAAGAAAAGTTTGTAGAGAGAGTGGGGCTGAGGATTTGTTATGGCTCGCGGGCCGGGGCCGAAAACTGGGGACAGTAAGCGGGAATGACACCGTGTAGAAAGACGCAAGCGCCGGTAAGTCCGTGTGATAAGCAATGGGAACGAAGGATTGTGGATAAATGGGGGAAAATGGCTGTATTCTTAGTTCGCGGCGTAGCAGAACCAGTTGTGCAGTAGTGCAGTAAGAAGAGATAAGCTTTGACAAGCTTCTTGGCTGCCTCTGGCCCGATGTTCGGGGCTGAGGGGAACGAACCCGACGGGGCGGGCAGTGCAATGCACTGCACCGCATGTTCATAGACCGCGTTGGACAAAGTGACTGAGGATCGATCTGCAAGGGACAGAATAAAGGTACTGGTTATAGTGCGTGGGACTTGCACGTGCTGTTATGCTTTGCAGGTGCTGGGCCAACAAAGACACGGTATTCACTATGGATGAATTCCATGCGGGTGGACTATGCCAGCAGACGGGCTGCGTGGTACCTTTTGTCAAACCATAACGGACGGACCACTCTGGCTCTGCAGCGAAGGAGGACCTTTTTCCGAAACAAGCTTTTGGGGAAAAGGGCACCCTGTCTCTAGGGAGCGGTCCCATTGGACCCACTGCTGCGATACCGAGCGCGATCCCGTCTCTAGGCCCATAGAGGATGCGCATCCCTGCCGTGGCTGACAGCTTCAGCCAACGGCTCGACGCAATCACAGTCTCAGCCCGACCAACGACGACAATGCGGAACCACATATTGTCTGACTGTGCAGATGAAGGCGCCGTGGCCTGGCTTGAGGATTCCGCGAGCTGGGCAGCTCGAAATCCTCTAAAAGGAAAAATGGCCACTCCCATTCCTGTCCCTATCTGCTCTTGAATTTCCTTCTGGACCATCATACATATCTCTGTCTTAAACGCATACACAAAACACACGCCGCTCGGCTGCCAATACTTTGGTACTATTCTTGCCCAGGCCTTCAACAGTCCAGCTTCTACACAACTCAGGCAGCGGTGGTGACAACAGCGAATCCTCAGCTATGGCTTCACAGCTCTACGAGCGCATGGTCGCCAGCCTGCCTCAATTAGTGAGGCGTTCCGACGACTTCGAGCCGTACAACTACACAAGCAAGAATGGCCATGTGTGCGCCATGCCCCGGCCACTGACGAACACCGAGACCGCCAAGTTGGCCGGCGGCTATGACTTCTTCACCATCAATCAGATCGTCACCGGCGCCTGCGCCTGCTTCACCCTGCTCAGTCTCTTTATCCTCATGTTCAGACATGCCACCCACCTGTCAAGGCCCAACGAGCAGCTCAACATCCTAAGGATCTGCTGTTACCTGCCCATCTTTGCAATCGGCTGCTTCCTCGAGGTGTCCTTCCCCAACGCTTATATGTACATCAACCCATGGCTCGACTTTGTCCAGTCCCTCGCCCTGTGTAACTTCTTCCTCCTCATGTGCCAGTTCGTTTCTCCCTCGGACCAGCACCGCGAGGTCTTCTTCGCCGCCCTCAAGGTGCCCCAGAAGAAGAAGAAGGGCCGTGGCGGGCGACGAGCCAGGGGCCGAGGGGGAGACTACGGTCCGGAGCCCGAGGTCGAGGAAGAGCCCATCAATGGTCTCGAGTGGTACCGCAAGATGTGGATGCTCATTTTTCAGTATCCTGCCGTCCAGGCTCTCGTGGCCATTTTCACTGCCATCTTCGAGTCCCAGGGCGTCTACTGCCTTGCGAGCAGCAAGCCCTATTTCGGCCACCTTTGGCTCGACATCATTCATAATGTCAGCTTGACACTGGCCATCATGTCCTGCCTGAGACTCTATGGTGCTCTGAAGAGCCGGCTGGCACACCACAAGCCACTCGCCAAGCTTGCTGCGTTCAAGTTGCTTGTTGCCATCACTGGTATCATCCAGGTATGTCCACACTTGACTCCAGCCTACCTCACAATCCAATAGCACAGCCCTGTTAACCGACTGCCCACGCACACAGCTCATCTACTGGATCCTCCGATCCATCTCGCCCTCTCCCCTCAAGCCAACCGCCTACTTCTCCTGGTCCGACGACTTCATCGGCATCCCGGTGATGGTCATGGCCCTACTCACGGTTCCCTTCTCCGTCTTCTTCCACTTCGCCTACGACGTCAAGCCTTACTACCTCGAGAACGCCGGCAAGCACCTGCCTCTTGCCCAGGCCGACCTAGAGTCCGGCTCTGCGTCCGGCTCCCCTGCGCCGGCCTCCAAGCCCGCGCCCTACACCGCTGTCGGCGCGGCTGGCACGAGGTACCAGGGCGGCTTCCTCGGCATCTGGGCCTGGCTCGGCATGCTCAACCCCAGCGAGCTTATCTCCGGATTTGTCTTTGGCTTCACTATGCTGAGCAAGGAGAACCGCAAGGTCGGCGTCAACACGGTCCGCCGCGCCCAGACTGGCGAGTTCGGACAGGCTTGAGGTGGCTAGGCTCGGGTGTGCGCTGTGAGTCTAAAGTTTGGTAGGGCCTAGGTGTCGCAACACGAAGTGACAAGAAGGACGAAGGATAGCGGGGCAATTGCAGGTGGGATTGATAACGGAACGACTCTTTCAATTTTACTTTCTTACTTTGTTTTTCTAAGCCCAAAAACAGTTTGGCGTTTGGGTTGCTCGGTGTCTGCTTCGCCAGACATCGACTCGACGGTATGAGGCGTTCTTCTGGGAATCTTTGTAGACCTATGTCTGGACGAATTTATTTGTTGAGATAGTCCATCATACCCTTGTGAGCGCTTTGTTCTAGACTATGCTGGCGTATCAAGATCGTATTTTGAGGTTCGATACATCTTTCGTGTCCGACGCTCGCCCAACGCACAATCCAAGTGTGCCAATGGGCCTTAGCAATTCCAAGGGGAAACAAGAAAAGCGATTGGAATCTCGTCAATTGACGACGATCAACACAATGCATTATTCTGGTACAAGACTCTGGAGCAAGACACTCTTGGTCGTTCAGACTTAAAAAAAGCTCGTCCCAGTACTCGTGAGTGCATGAAGAGTTGTAAAAATGTCACGAGGGCAGTACTATCAACCTAGTTGGATCTTAAATCACTAGTTCAAAACATGTATGCAATTGAGGTTACCTAGTAGGGTCGTGTTTTTCATATTCATAGGATCGCAATTAGCACTCGCATCTGACTATCAATTAGTGATCATAATTGAGACTTCATTATTCACGGATTAGGTATTGTTGTCCTGTGGAAGCAGGAAAATGATTCTTTCAATTACAATGCGCGTAATAATCGTGATACTAACAATTCCTTTACATCTCCCTCCCTTTTGAAGAAAAAAAATCAGAAGATATTCCGTTGTGGGATAGCACCAAGGGGGATGAAATATCTCCATGATGTATCTGAAGAGACCTATCAGAGGGATCCAGTCCGCTGGCCTGTACATCCTAGTATGTGTAGATTTGAGAAAGGACGTTTTTAGTTGCAAGACTATGAGAACTTAGCCAAGTCTTGTAAAGCCGAGTCGACCCGATACTGAGCCGAAAAGAGACGGCACCCTAACCCCGCAGGGTGCAATATTAGACTATGCATGGCCTGCATCACTATGAATCGTCGCTCGTTAGTTCCATCATAAATACACCCACGAGCGCGATTCGTGACACATCCCCGACACATCCCCGACAACTGCCTACCGACGACTGATCAACGTGCTGATGAAGATTCAACTTGTTGAGCCTGTCGCTGGCGTATCTGCCTTTTTGGTCAAGACATGACAGTCGGCTTGCAGTGGTGTTGAGCCGCGTCGGGCTCGTGGAGGCTTGAACATGGACGTGGGGCCGAGCAAGCGGACGAGAGTCGTGAATGGGTGGTGGGTGCAGCTGCCCCTCTGCTTCAAGCTCCGTGTGGCTGACACTCAGAACGGTTTCTAGCCAGGCTTGTAGATGTGAGTTCACAGAGTCTTCGAGGCGGGCCTGGAATGAAATCGGCTGACAGCTACGCAACAGCCCGACATGTCAAATGTGAGCCCAGTGACAAATTCCAGATTTTTGCAGGACTTGTACTGAAGTTCCCAGGTGATGACAGGGTCCCTTCCTGCGAATCTTGCACCAAAGACGGTATCGCATGTGTGCGGGCGACGAATGTCCGCTTCCGAGGCATCAATAAGTCTATCTCAGGGACCTTTGCATTCCCCGAGGACCAAACCTGGGTTCAGGTCGATAGACGGTGTAAGTGCGCAATGATACGTCTCGAAGCTGTCAGTTCTGACAAGATAGTGACATACCTGGACGAGACGACTAGAGTCATCAGATGGTATGAAGATCCGGACTGCCTTGAAACTGATCAGGACGATTCTTGGCTCGACGATGGTGAACAAACTGGCGTTGGTGACTCAATATGCTCTCGTGGGCTCTTGAGCTCGCACTTTCATGATGCTGAAATAACTTCGGATGGCTCTCCTTCGTTCTCAGACCGTCAAGTACCATCTCAAGCTGCAACGCCGGCAAGCGGAAGCCACAATCGTGCTCTACCGTTGGTGACCTTGAGGACAGAGACTTCTACGACTCATGGCTCACCCGAAACAACATCTTCTCGATCATACTCTACAATCTACCCCCTCTCCGTGACTTCAGGACCTCAGCACACGGTACTGACGCAGCGAGAAGCTGCGTTGATGCGTAATTTTACTGACAATATGGCCTTATGGGTATTTACTCCCACTCCCGTCACGGGATCATGTCTGGAAAGTGCTAAAAGTGTAAGCTAGGCGGATATTACTGATCGGGGACGCACTTTTGAGACCGAAGTGCCCCGGCGAGCGTTCTACCACGCGACCCTGCGTTACGCCATATTCGCCTTCTCCTCGCGCCACATCAATAGGCATCGACGCGGGCAGGAATCTACTGAGGCCCTGGAGTATTATGACAAGTGTCTGAATCTCCTCATACCAGCCATATCTAATCCTAACCACCATGTTACAGAGGAGGTCTTTGCCGCAGTGGCTATACTTCGACAATACGAGGAGATGGACTGTATGATGACTCCAAGCAATAGTCCTTACTGGCAAACCTCGGCAAGGTGCTGACTAACACTCACAGCTGAGGATCGTGGACTCCATCTCACGGGAACGACACGCATTGTCAATTCGATGCGTGGCTGGGGATTTACACCGGGCCTGAGAGAGGCATCGTCCTGGCTTTGTCTGCGCCAAGACATATATATATCCATGGTTCAAGAGTCACCGCTCAAGACGGATCTCGACGCTTTCCTGCAGTCAGACATCTACACCCGGAGCGATGATACAGCTTATGCTGCCAGGATAGTTGTGATTGTGGCTCGCATTCTGATCGGCACGTCCGCCGAAGACCTCGACTCGAGAACACGTGTATTGAATGAGGCACGTGCAGAGCTTGAAGAGTGGTACGACTCGAAGCCGTCGACATTCACCCCAACTTGGTCTGGATCGGGGAATGGCGACCCAGGGAGACTTCCTGAGATATGGATGCTTCTTCCATGTCATGGTAAGGACTCTCACGACTCTACACAGTGTGATGAATAAGGCTGCAAGCTAAGAAATAGCAGCTTTCGGATTGCAATATTACCATGTAGCTATCATTCTCTTCGCACTTTCGGAGCCAGCGACCCAGAAGTCAGGCTACAATGGTCTGCGAGAGAATAGACGTAGAGAGGTGCGTGAGTCGGCCGGCATGGCTGTGCCTTGGAACAACCTCGTCTTCAAAAACTCCTTTCACGAAACAGAGAAAGGCTGACCAATTTGGGAGCATCCAGGGCGTTGTACGAAAGAATTTACGAACCATCGTCGGCCTAGCGAATTCCAATCAGGGCGCAGAAAATCTTCTTTTCATGGCGAGACATGCCCTGTCTGTCTGTAAGCAGCTTAACCCCATTCATATCTTAACAGCCACCACTGACTCGATTAAAAGGGGGCGGAGTCCTTGTCGACAAGGCAGACCAGGAGGCTGTCAAAACATTCCTCCGTCACATGCAGCAGACCACGTCATGGAACACAGAGCCGATGATCGCTTCGTTGCAAGAGCAATGGGACGAATTTTGATATTCATCTATCAACACGAGATCTATTGACGGGCACGCCTGGTGGATGCTCATAGCTTGGGCTGCTCGATCCTCTTGCCGCTCTCGTCGAACCGGATTTGCGTGCCTTTGACAAGCGCCTCCTGGATCCAAGCGCCTATTTGTACAGCTTTGACCGCGTTGTTGAGGTCCAGTGGTAATGGCTTGTTGTCTAGGCAGCAGTCTGCGAACTCGTTTGCCTCTTGTACAAACGCGCCCTCGAAGCGGCCATAGTAATGTGCGGGGACCTCGCGGGTAATGCCATTGGGGCCATAGTAGTTAACAAAGTTCTTCTGTGGGTTAGTGTTGACAGAAAGCTTGCCCTCAGTTCCGATGACCTCGGTGACGTCCTCTTGGCCATGTGCCATCATGCGCGAGCAGAAGTAGTTGGCGATTTGTCCTCCCCAGAACTCGACGATACCCACGGCGTTGTCGTAGTCGTTGTACTTCTTTAGCCCCGGCTGCACGGCTGTGATTCCGTACGCGGACACGCTCTTGGGGACGACATTGTCACCGAAGAACCACAGCGTCAGGTCGATGTCGTGCACCGACATGTCGACGAAAACTCCGCCTGACCAGGCGGCATACTCCACGAAAAAGCCAGAGGGGTCATGCTTATCGCACGTCTGGCTGCGGACCACGGACGGCCGGCCGATCAGGCCCTGCTCCATCTTGGAGTGGGCGTCGCGGTAGGACTCGTCGAAGCGCCGGGAGAAACCACACATGACCTTGAGATGTGGCCGCTTGCGGGCCTCGGCGACGACTTGTTTGCACTGCCCCGGGTGTCACGCCAACTTAGCCAATGCTTCTGGGATGTAGAGATATCTAACTACTCATCTCAGGTCTAGGGAATTACTCACGACGTCTATGCTTGTTGATAGCGGCTTCTCACACAGCACGTGCAGGTTCTTTTCCATAGCTTGTATGGCTTCCTCCGCGTGAACTGAAGTGGCCGTGCCAATGACCACGGCCATGAGCCCCTCGTGCTCAATCATCTTCTGATAGTTGTCGTAGAGGGTCACACCGTACGGCTCAAGGTTGGTCTTGCCCCATGCAAGCTCCGCGGGGTCTGGCGAGAAGGCAGCAACAAGCTCAGCCCGGGGGGTTCTGTGTAGGAAGTTGATGGCATGACGCTTGCCCATGCGCCCAAGGCCAGCGGCCGCGATCTTGAGCTTCTGTGTCATGGTGGCACGGGAGGAGGGGTCAGATTATTGGGGGTAAAGGACAAGTTTGACTGTGTGAGGTTCGTAGAAGAGAGGCGTGTCACGGTTTGCAAAGACAAAAGCACAGGCGAGGGCCTTTTCCTTTATACTCGTGCGGACTCACATGATGACACAAACTTGCATCGCACTGCAGGTACGTTTCTGTGGAACTCTTGATACAGCTGCATTTCTCACACGATGATGCCTGGAGCTTGCATCTGTGTTTGAGCATAGCTCGGCGATGTCTTCGCGGTAGAGCTATCTGAATGTGAGAGTACAAGCTTGGCCTTGCCGCGCCGATCAGCGGATCGTGGCATGGGCACCGGAGACACTTACCCCTCACCGTGCGCCGCCGGAAAGACTTGCCGTGCCATCGGAAAGGGATACCAGATTCGGGCCAACGCTGTCTGGCTCCCTCACGTGCCTCCTTCTCCCCCTCATCAAATCCCTGACTTAACGTTTACCGGCTAGAGAGGCCGTGGTTGGCGTCGACATTTCCAGGACTGCTTACCCCGGACCCGACACGCCTTCTGACCCATCCAGCGCGAGACGGCGGTAGTATCCAGATCCAAGACGCTGGGAAAAATGGCGGGGAAGGTATCCACAAACCTGGGGAAGGCTTCCGAAAACCTGGGGTATCACCCTGCCTCGACCAAGCTAATTCCGCTGACGGTATAAACTGGCGAGTGTATTAGATATGTGCTTATTAGGGCCATGGACTCGGTCCTCGAGGTCTGGTCTACCTGCTGTGACCAGCATTTAATGCTGGCCTTATCCCGAGGTCTATTTCGGCCTTGTTGACCGCAATCATATAAGAAATGCAAATGACCTCCTATCGCGCATTCTGTCTCTGGCCGATACATTTCATTCTAATTTTGTAAAGAAACGGTCCTTTGCCCAGCAAGCCTAGACTTTACTCTTGGTTGACGACTCTCCTCTTTTCGATCACTTCCCAATATGTCTTCTAAAGAGGCAGACACGTCAAAGGGCGTCAGCGCCGCCGAGCACCTCGAGCGAACCATCTCGAACGATGCCGTCCTCAAGGTTGCCGAGCACGCTGACCTCGAGGCCATCGAAGAGACCACACCGGGCAACTTCGTCTGGCTTTGTGCTTGTGCTACAGCCATTGGTGGCATGCTTTTCGGTTACGACGTATGTATTACCCTCCTCGCAGTACCGACCGTCCATGGGGGAACTCGCAGAAATTTCGAACTAACGAAATGGTGATTAACATCGATATAGACTGGTGTTATCTCCGGTGTCCTGGTCGTGATTGGATCAGACCTGAACAACAAACCCATTACCGACTCTGACAAGGAGCTCATCACAGCCTTGTGTGCTGCAGGAGCCTTGATCGGGGCCATCGTTGCGGGAGTCACTGCGGACATGTACGGTCGTAAACCAGCTATCTGGTTCGCGTCTGTGTTGTTCACCATTGGCGCCGTCATCCAGGCGAGCTCCTTCACCATCGCTCAGATGTCCGTGGGTCGAGTTGCTGTTGGGCTGGGTGTCGGTTCGGCTTCCATGGTGAGCCATTTGTCCCACAACCTTTCTATGAGTTTGCAAGACGCAACTATAGGGAACAATTTTGTTGACATGTTTCTTACACGCCTTAGATTGTTCCCCTATACATCGCCGAAATTTCCCCCGCTAGATTCCGTGGCAGAATGATCTCAGTCGACATGATCTTCCTCGGCACCGGCTCAGTCCTGGCCTATGCTTTCGACGCGGCCTTTTACAAAGTGGCACATGGCTGGAGGTACATGGTCGGCATCGGCGGCATTCCCTCCATTATCCTGGGAATCCTCCTCTTCTGGTGCCCCGAGTCACCTCGTCAGCTCATGTTTCACGGCAGGCGCGAAGAATGCGAGAGAGTCATCAGACGCATTTTCCCTAGGGCCACCGAGGAGCATGTCGCCAATAAACTATTGTCTCTCGAACACGGCGTGAATGCCTCCAAGGCTCTCAGCGAAGAAATCTCATGGCGGACTTCGCTCAAGAACATCTTCACTGTCCCAGCAAACCTGAGAGCCACCATCGCAGCGTGTGGCCTCATGGCTTTCCAGCAATTTTGTGGCTTCAACACTCTCATGTACTACTCATCTACGCTCTTCGATATTGTAGGGTTCTCCAATCCCATCGCAGTCGGGACTGTGGTCGCCGTGACCAACTGGATCTTCACCGTTCTGTCTATCTTCCTCATCGACCGCATCGGACGCCGGAGGATCCTCCTCTGGACGATGTGGGGCATGCCAGTCTGCCTGGTTATCGCAGCTATCGCTTTCAGATGGATCCCCCTCGACCTGAATACCCTGGAACTCACAGACACGAATATTGGCTGGCCGGCATACGTGGTCCTCGTCATGGTACGTCCAATCCTTCCCCGGTTACGGTTGCCTAGATTTCTTTTGTTAGACGATTCGGTCTCCGTAGCAGGTGACTAACGCATAGCAGATGATCTTGTTCGTCGCCTTCTACGCGGCCGGCCTCGGCTGTGTGCCGTGGCAGGCGAACGAGTTTTTGCCCATGGAGGTCCGCGCGATGGGAACCACGTTGATTAACATTTCGAACTGGGGCCCAAACATAATTGTCTCTGCTACGTTTTTGACTATGATGCGGAACATGACACCGTCTGGGACATTTGGGTTCTACGCTGCTTTGTCTTTCCTCGGTTGGGTCTTCGTGTACTTTTGCTTCCCTGAGGCGGCCAACATGACGCTTGAAGAGATTCGTGTTGTGTTTCAACATGGATTTGGTGTCAAGTACGCTGAGGAGTGGCGGAAGCAACGGAAGATCCAGCAAAGAGCCGTCGTTGGGGATGTATGAGATGACAGTGGAGACTCGATAGTACTAACGACTTCTTGAGAATTAAACAGCATAACTCTTGCACAATTCCACACACTGAATGATTAGCCGTGCTTGAAACTCGTATCAATGCTGAGAATCTGATTTTCAAGTTCTTTTTGACACTCTGGCGGGCCTACTTGCTCATCACCGCTGTATTCTAGGCTTCTCAACAGACTTTTTGTGTAAGTCGCGCACCACTTGTTTTTTCTGCAGGGTCATACTACTCTACTCCTCGAGGCAAGCCCCACTCTCGTTCGCTGCGTGCAAGATATAGCTTGACCATGCTCCATGAAGACTGTCCTGCAGTATATGGCTGATCCCGACGCGACCGGACCTCTACCGGCAAACGAAATAATAACTTCGATTGTCAGACCTTTTCACCACATTGTAACATTGTCTCTTGATTCAGTCCAGAGGACCGTGGCGTGTCGGGAACTGAAACTCCACATGGGGCTTGTCTTTCAACTTTTGTGTAAGGGTGGCATTACCTCCATGCCTTCCAGCAGATAACTTGCTGCCCGCTCTATGCTACAAATCAGTCGATCTTCAAGTCCGAGCATAGAAGAAGCTGACACTTACGGCAAAATGATGAATCATGTGACAATGTAGCATGCTCACCGCAGGGAAATTGATCTCATAGCGGACAACAACGAGATGACCCTCTCCCCCATAGAGTGTGAAACCGTCTCTGTAGGGCGGGTCGAAGAGGTTGAAATACTCGTCTCCATCATTGGCAATCGCGTCCTCGATGTCCTTCCAGTGAAATCCATCGCGCCCTGACCGCCGACCCATACCTTGTGATTATGCTTGCCAACGGATGAGTGGAGTCAATCATCGTGCCGTTCTAAATGATCAGATCGACCACCAATGCGTTCTTCAGGAAGCCTTTGGAGTTCCCCCAGGACGTCTTGCCGCGCGAGATATCGTTCCACATGATGAATGTTGCGTTCTTCCGGAACAACTCGTGCAGCGCCGCATTCAGCACCCAGGTAAACGGGCCGGTGTTGTTTACCATGAACTTGAGGCTGAAGTCGGCCTTCTGGGATGGCAGTAGTGCGGGATACGGTGCTACTATGGGCGATACATTCGATTCTAATCTCCGTAATTGTATGTTTCCCCGGATCCTGACGGCTGATGTGACTGGGGTACTCTCTTCTCATGGAATCTGCGGTCACCGACACTTGCCAACTGCGCGTGAGTACTGCGAGACTCGTCTTGGAAGAACTCTTGGAAGTTCAAAGTCTCGCTGGCGATGCGTTCTACATGACTGAACCGCAAGACCCCGCGCCGTTTTTCCTCGGCGAAGGCAAGGGACTCAGCGAGCCTCAAGACGTTCCGGATTTGACGGCCGTTCAGTTGCCATCGTTTTATAACTTCGATTCGATGGGTGAGTTCGTCACGGGCTGTCCGATTCGAGCTGTCAAGTCGGCCGATGAAGTTGAGCCAGATATGTTTGCGGGTGTCCGATGTCATATGATCGAATTTCACCCCAAAGGAAATTCGGGACTGGAAGGCCACGTCTATAGATTTCATCCTGTTTGAAGTGAGAAATAGTATGCCGCAGAAATACTCCAGCTTACGGAGAAATACTGTTCATGTCAGTAGTTTCCCTACAAGCATCCCCCCAGGACGTGCCTTAGTCGCCTGGGTAGTGGACAATTAAGTTGGACCCCAAAACTTACCAGATACGAGAGCATTACGCTTCAGATTCTCATAAGCCCTCGCTTCAAGCACGACGTCTGCTTCATCCAAGAGAAGAACACCTTGCAGCCTGACCGAATGCTCAAAAATGGCTTCGAGATGCTCATCAATCTTCTCCTCGTCTGACAATTGGCCGAGGCTGATCGAGAACAAGGGCTTCTCTATATATTCGGCCATGGTTTCTAAGACAATTGAACCCTGTTAGACGAGGTACTCCACTAGTATTGCCATGTATACTTGCCAGCCGTCAACGTTTTGCCAACACCCGGAGGCCCGTGGAGGACAATAATCAGACTCTGACACGTCCAGCTGATTAGCAAGGGTCCTATCAGAACAGATGAGAGTGCTCATCTCGCCCTTATTGGGTATGAAATCGGTGATTGCACCCTGGGACTCGTTTCTTTGGTGCTCCTCAATCAGCCGTAGTAACATCTGCTTGGTCTCTTCCGGAATCACAAGAGCAGTCATTGCTTCCTTTTCGTAGGTAATTGGCTTCAGGTTATCAATAGTGACGGAATACCAAGTGAAAGTGCGTGGAACACAACACTGAACAGTGGACGGGCAAAGACGAGCCTGGAGCGCGGAGAATTCTTTTGCAGGCGGCTGCTCGTCTTGCACTCCGAGACTCACGTCAGTAGCCTTCCCCTCGAACCTGGCCCCTGGCCGAATCGCTAGTTTCGTGCAAGGAAACCTTGCGGAATCAACCACGACTCTCTGTGAAAGCTGGGTGGCACTATAATTAGCCATGAATGTCTTATTCGTCGAATTGTACCGTGCCCTACATGTCTGTCTCTTTGTCCATCATCACTTAAGTCTTCAAGCATCCCATGCTTCTTCGTCCCATGCCTCTTGAACATCCCTCTGTTTTGTATTGCGGCTGGCCCTTCATGGTAGAGATGTTGCACTGAAGGGCCAAAAAGTTCTTTCCAGCGACGTCCCCGATGCTCCAACTTCTGCTGCAGAGTCTCGATCTGGCTTTCATCTCCTCCACCGAAGAATCGCACCGGGTATGTTTGAAGATCGCTGATGCGACAAGATCCGGTAAAGGGAATGATGGGGGTTAACGTAAAATCCTTTACAAACATCTGGCGTGTCGGATCCCAATCTTGATGCCATGAACCCACGGAGAATGAAGATTCTTTCAGCGAAACAGGGAGTCCAGCCTGAGGATGGCCAGGAGATGAGGGCATTTGACTGAATTCATACCGCACTTCTGTTACTATACTCAGCTCGGGTTGTTCAAATCTGTCTTCAGAGTAAACCATCTCTCCCGGGCGGAATAGAGCCCACAGATCGGCGAAGGTCACAAAGCCGGAACGGATAGTCTCTCGAATCTGGTTGTGTGCAGGAAGAGCCCATCTCTCGTACCAATATTCAAGAGACTTCAAGTCTTTGATGTCCTGCTGACTTGGATGGTCTGCATCCGAACCGGACTGGATGATGTCGCTGTAACACCAGTAAAGTGGGACGTAGGGCTCGACAAAGGAAATGCCCCTACTTCCCTTCGTCATTCCCATCATGCCGGTCCTCTTGATGACATCTTCGAATAGTGAGACTAGAAATGGACTCTTGATGGACAACTTCTGTTTCCCGCCATTCATTGAAATCACTAGTGCGAACGAGCGGTTGGTGTCTGGCTGCAGGGGCGGTTCCCACTGAGCTTCATCGACGATACGCACCACGCCGCCGTCCTTGACCACTCGGCCAATACCTGTGAGCTTGACAGGTTCATCGCCAACGGTGGCAGTATCCAGTGGCTCAGCGTTGCTCTGTTCGTTTGGATTATCGGTGATATTTCTTTGTCCTGTCCCACTACTGGATGACTTGCGCTGATCGTTGAGGCTTGGGCCGTTCGGCTCTGTATCAGTACCCTCGAGCTGCACAATAGCTTTACCGATACTAGATCTTCTCAGCCACTGCGATCAAATGTAAAGGAAATACAGCCGCTACTAACTAGCTTTCGGAACAGCGTCTCGCATTCAAACTGTCCTTCTTCGGGGGTGGCGGTGGTGGTGGACCTTTATGAGTGATGCCTATGGAGGCGGCTGCGGACGAATGTTGGCTCATTTTGCAGTCAACCGCGGGCGATACTCTGATGTAGAATAAGACCGCACTTTGCAAGTTATAATCAGAAGGAATTTTTGGGGGTCAGCAGTGGCTTTAATCTGCCAGAATCTAAATGATTGCAAGTTGGGTCTCACAACCTGCTTAAACCGTGGTTCCAATACCTCAGCCACCCTATATGTGTTGGTTGTCCCATAAGAAGGTTCTCCCACATTGAGGAATAGGCTACTCGACCGTGAGATAAGTTACACAAGCAGCATGATGACGTATGCTCTTGTGTTTCCATTCGAGGAAAGCTGCAATTCCGGATTGTGCTTATTCTATCGTGGGCACCCGCTCCCGATATCTACTATGGAACAGCTGGCCGGTCAGCATACCTGCAGGCTCAGCCCCTCTCCTGCTTGGAAGCGCAACTCGGTCATGTGTATATCTGCACCGAAAGAGCCAGCCACATGCATGAAAGAACGTCAGCCAAGATTTAATTTACTGCGGAGCTGGAGTAGAAGAGGGAAACTGCTGCTGCTGATACGACTCAGCCTGTCATGTCGCGTATCGACTTGAAGACTATCATTCCTCCTCAAGCCTAAAATCACTTTCAAGCACGGCCTCTCATACTGTCTGAATTCTTGTATCATGGATCCGGCTATAGAAGTCGCTAATAGTCGCCCTCAAGTCATCAACGCGTTAGGTCATCCAGACGCCGCCAAACAGTCGACCTCTAATCTGAGCAGGTGGTATACACCCGGAAGCGATTATGGGTAACTTGGGCTCCCAATCACTACCCAAAAACTTGGATATCAGTATTGACTGGTGCATTCGTAGGTACTACGTAGTGGCTCAAGAGGCATCCAGCAACTCCAAGTCTCGACTGTCCAAATTGAAGCTCACGGCGGAGGAAACGCGCCTGCTCCTCGAACTGCCCCCCAACGGCGATGGAGTTGTGACAAAGATGAAGTATATCCTTGAAACGCATGAACGCAAGGAAAAGCAATCCAAGTGGCAGCAAAAGACGGGCCAGTTCTTCCTGAACTTCTGCAAGGTTGTCGACAAGACTTCAGCGCTCGTGCAGCCGATATTGCCACAGAGCCCAGAGTACACCGTGACGTTTGGCGTCTTGATCTTATTATTCAAAGTATATATAAGTGTTTACACTATTTTTGAGCATCGCTGACGTCTAGCTACTCCAAACCAAAGGCTGTCGTGACCCAGAACGATCGGGAAGAAGCCCTGATGGAGTCTCTAGACAAAGTCTCCGCCAAACTCCCTGTCATTGAGTTTTACAACACCACCTTTCCGACTGGTGAGATGAAACTAGTGGTGGCAAAGATCTACGCTGAGGTGATGGGACTGCTCGATGAGGCTCTCAACTACCATCGCAATAGCCGACTCGGTAAAGACTGCGTTCCTTGCGGGATCCATTGCCTACGCCCCTGACGTTCGCATATAGCAAAACTGACCGATGCGATAATACGTCCCGTTGATAGCAAGATTCAAAAGTGTATGCATCAGATCGAAGTGGAAGTCAAGAAGCTGGAAGACCTGAAGAACGTCGCTCATGAAGCTCAGACTGCGGACATCCAGAGCATCGTCACTCAGACTGGACAGGGTGTGTATTTCTACACGATACAGATCAAAAACGTGACGCTGACTTCTGGGATTGAGACCTATCGGCCCTATCTGATGATTTCCACAAGGTCAGCGTCACACTCGGCTTCGGCATGGAGTTTTTGCACAAGCGACTTCTCAACGTCGAGTCGACAGTCAGCCGTGGGTGTCCAAAATCTTTTGCTAATCAATGTCTTCTTATCAAATCCCAAAGCTGACATGGGTCAGAAATTCGGGCACATGAAATGGCACGGTACACACAAGTGCTGCAGAGCGCTCTCCTATCCTCGTCTGGGAGTACCGAGCAGCACTGGGACGTAGACGAGGCATTGACAAGACTTGCCTCTCACGACTTCCGTCTATCTCCGAAAGACCACTGGGACAACAACGAAGTCCTCGGCTATTTACTGGAGTGGTCTCACGGTCCGGGCCGTGATCCGGTACTGTGGATCGGCGGGAGCTCTGGCAACCGGGACACCTGGGTCACGGAGTTGTCGGTGGATATCGGCCGGGCCCTGCGGCCCCAGCTGAAAACCGTTATTTGTGTCTTCTGCTCCGACCTGGCACAAGCGTCTTCTACACTGACGCCCTCGGCTCTGGTGAGGATCCTCGTGAGCCAGCTACTTGAAATTCACCCCGAGGTATCCTATAGCGACGCAGTCTACTACAGTGCGCAACGGTTGCGAAATGCCACGACATTCTGGGGAATGTGGCGCATATTCGAGCGCTTGATTGCTGAGTCCTCGAACGCGTTCATTGTCATTGACAGAATCGAGGAGTGCACCGTGGATGATGATGCGGACCTCAAAAACGACTTCTTGCCGGCGTTGCTAAGACTGCTTCGAACCACAGCTGGCGCCAGGGCCATCATCACTAGTATCTATGAGCCGCCAGAGGGAAGCTTATTAGAAAGTATCTACATTGACACAGCACATCCCAAGGCGAGAAGCAATCAGTAAATTGGCCTGGGACCTGTGATCAAGCTATCATACCTAGGTAATGCAAGCTGTCATTCAAATAACAATAGAATAGTAATATGTAATCAAAGTTCTGAAAAAATTATTTTATTGATTTATATCGATTTATATATTACTAATGTCGACTTATTTTTAGTATCGCCACAGTTGTTGTCTCGTCATTTATGGTTTTATTCGCCGCGGATCGGCTCTGGGCACAAGACAGCGGCAGGTAACCCCTCCCCTTTTTATGTCACGAAAAGATGAAACAACATAAAAAATTGAATGTGAAATTAAGGTCTACAGCAAAATAAAAAAGATGTTGTATGCACGGTGCAGCCTTAGGTGACTTGATGGCCAATAGCTTAGCGTTTTAAGTAGTCTATATTCAATATCAAGCCTATATGATGTTCAACCTTGAATTTATTCTAGTGAATTCTACCTTTCTACGGAATTATATTTAAAATTAAAATATTTTAATAAACCAAATCACGATCAAATAATAATAATATTTTAAATAAAACCGTTCTCAAATTCTATATGCATTCAGTCATTAATTACCTATATCGATATAGAAATATTAATATAATTATCCTTACATCATATACAGAGCGTACGGCTCGAGCTGGATAAGGCTTGTATTAGAAACACCATAAATATAGTAGCTGCATAAAATCGCCCCAGGTAAGGTTTTCCACCAAAGCCACAAGAAACTCATCCTAGGGCAGAGATGACGTAGGATCTGTACACTGATAGCGGATGGAGTTGATGTGGCCAATCATCTAAAGGAGTAGAATTCTTACCATAGATAGTAGGCACTGCTCAGAGCAGAGACCCGAGTCTTGCTCAGAGGTCCTAGTCGTTCGCTTTTTGCCCCCGTATGATCCATGTCCTCGACACCATCAGAGAACACTCCCGAATTCTTAGCCGTAGCTCTCTTTTGCCGGAAACAAGCAAATCATATCGAAGTTGCACGAAATATAGTAGGCGTTCAATCACACCACCGAGAAAACACGACGATGAGCAAGATTTCTATGGACAAATCAGCAGCGCTGATGGGAAAGAAGCCAAAAGAGTCTTCTTGAAGCCTGGGCCTCAGACTGAGTCAAAAAGGTCTGCCCCTTGCCTGGGCCATGCTTGACAAAGAGCTCTATGGGAAACATCTGAATCGAAGCTCTGCGTATAAGTTCTGATGGCAGACCACCGGAAATTTTTTCGGCCACCTACACGAAAAGGCTGGCTAATCATTTGAAGAGCAGCTTCGAAATCTAAGATTTTACTTTGGTGTCATTATCCCGGAACTCGGCGATGGTCCTAATCACGATGGCTTTGTGAGGCCTTGGCGGGACTTTATGACAGATCACTACTCTCTCGTGGAACTCAGCTGGGCGTGGAAACATGGCATGGGGCTTCCTGTGGTTCGATTCTCTTTTGAGCCCATAGGGTCCGCGGTTGGAACTCCATTGGATCCAAACAATCAGTACGCTGCCCCGAGCTTTGTAGCGAAGCAGCATCATCATATCAAGGATTGCAATCTCTTTTGGTTCAACCATCTGTGGGAGAGACTAGCCCACTTCGATGAAGCACTCCCCCACAACCTCTTGCTTATATCTTCGCACCTAGGTCACTCCCTAAGCCAAGCACTCAAATTTCCCAGCCCTCGGGGGATAGACCTCCTTCAACACTGATAACAGGCACACAAGTTTAGAGGTTTCGATTCAAGGTCCATCCCACACACACACGCACACACACACATACCTCTCCTTCCACGTCCACTCTCCTAACTGCGACCGCAATAAAGATTCAACCCCATGAGGTCCAGAAACTTTATGGGTGTGTTAAACCCTTTCCCAAAACTAATGCATATTAAAGATAAAATGCATGTTGACGTCCAAGCAATGTAAAACGTCACATAATCGCCGTAACTCATCATCAGACTCCGAACAGCCCCTGTGAGCAGGCAAGATATTAACAGTCGCGGGGGGGGGGGGGGATCCAGGTAAGTAAAAGGGGTCTGAAAGCGGGCTGTGCGACCTTTTTCATATTGTCCATGGGCGGTGTCTACGTACGATATGTCGTGTTTTCCTTGATCTCGGCCCCTGAAAGCGTCGATCTACATAAGGGACTTGCCCCATCGCTCGTGCTCAAGTGGGTTCTCATCAGCCCTGTGGAGGCGCTTGTCAAATGAATCATACGTAGTCTACTGTAGAATACCATCACAATTCAAATTTCTATCCATAAAGACACGAAGGTGCGAATAATCGTGGTATTTTATCAAGCTTGAGGTGCCCTATATGTGGGTCGAGTGATAGCGATCTGTGAGTAGTTGAATAAGGCGGAGTGATCGTCGCCCCTTTTGACCAGGCACGGCTGAGTGCCACCAAGATATCGATCAGCCTGCTGAACGGGAGCAACGTACGGGCACCAAATCTCCCGTGCAGATCCAGGGATCCTCCTTGGTACGCGCGTGGTGGACTTGATGATCTTTGAATGACAATAAATAAATCCGATCTCTTGTCCAAATGAAGCTCTCATTTCTTCCTCTCCTTCAAGCAATCCATTCATTCCAGCCCTTGCCATCACCAACTAAACTACCTTCTTTTTGATTAAGTCACTCTTTAATCCCCGAAACTGGGCCACCAATACTCTCGCTTGAAGAACGACAGATAAACACAATCCGACCTCAACCCGTTCGAAACCACCCACACGCTTCACAATGTTCCGTATCGCCACTGCTTTGACGGCTCTTGCCGCCCTCGCCACAGCCGCTCCAGCGCCCCAAAGCTCCCGTGGTATTACCAGCGGTAGCCTGACATGGTACACTGAAGGTCTTGGCCAAGGATACACCGCTTGCGGCACTCTGAGCGCTATCACTGACGTAAGTCATCAACAACGCTTTGCTCAACTCTCGCCCCTTTTGCAATACACGGTAGCTTTTACCTCGTCCGCTACCTCAGGAATCCCTTGTAAATAGCTTTTTCTTACCATATCGACTAACTCTAATATCTTAGCACATCGCTGCCCTCTCACCAGCCGATTACGGCGAGTACGCAAACCCCAACGAAAGCCCGGTCTGCGGCAAGCAAATCCGCGTCCACGGGCCCAACGGCAACTCGGTCCTAGCCACAGTCGCAGATCGGTGCGCCGGCTGCGCTACTGGAGACGTCGATGTCACCCCTACCGTGTTCCTGGAGCTTGGCTACGCGCAGGACGTCGGCCGCGTGGCTATCGATTGGAGCTTTGAGTAAACCTGGGTAGCTCTTTGAGGTTTTCCTCGGAGGCGCTGCCATTGCTTGCAAAATTGCGATGAGAATTGCTCGGTCTAGGAGATGCATCTGAAAATGGCCGGCACGGGATGCATGGAAGTTGTTGCATAAAGAAACGCTGGGGCCATTTGGAATGAGGCTTCATGTGCCAGAAAGCATAAGTGTATTTAATGAAACGATAATGAAGCCCGAGTCTTTGTATTCGATGAAGCTTGTGGGCAAGAATTGATTGAATAAGATTGAGTGATTTTCATCACCCAAAATGCTTTGATTCTCGGGTTTTACGGTTCATAAAAGTCACCATTTAAACACTCGACACGGCCGTATGCCAAGATACAGACATGAATACGTAGAATTCGCATCACGATGTTACGACCGTTTCACTTGGATGACTAAAGGTCTGAGGTCGATGACTGGTTACACGGGCAACTTTGGGGATGCCCGATTGTGCTTTGCCATGGCCACTGTCTTCCGGCTTCTCAATGCCACCGAGAAGGCTACGGTGGCATGCCAGCCTTCTTGGTGGCATACCATGCTATTCGACGAGCCATGGCTGATAGCTTCGTTCAGCGTCTGAGGCGATCCGCAGCTATCTCCGAAAAAAACAGGATCCAAACCTTTGAACCTGCGTGAGGCAGGAGAGTGTCATGTAAGAAGTCAAGAAGGAATTCCAGATGTAATGTTTGGTGTGATCTCTTACTTTTGGGTATCGCATTCTGATTCACTCGCGAGTGACAACATCATTGGAGTATGAGAGCTAAAAGACCCAATTTCTTCAGCACTAATCTAGCAGTCTAGCCTTTTTTTTTGTAGCTTCGGTCGATTTCGCGTTTCAGAATCCTCAGACACCCTTGAGCATAGAGCCACCGTGGTTGTTCCGTTCAATGATCGAGAGCCTTCAGCAGTGAGTCACTCCAATATTTTCTGCCTGCACATTGTCACATCGAACATTGTATAATATTCCCTGTTCTCCCACTTACTGGTGAGCCACAGTTTTTGCAGAGTAACACCGGAAGTCACTGAAACTGCTAGCCACGTACCAGCGCTTAGTGACTGCTTTCATTGTCTGTTCATGTGTGGGAAACAAACATATAAAAGCTCTCAAGTTCTCAACAGTTCCAGTCAAATCCTTCACCTTCAACCCCCTATCGGTCACCAGTGTTCCTACCTTGACAAATAATTTTGCGACTCGTTTTGCGAAACTTAAACACAAAATAAACCATTCGCGACTAAAAGGAACAAGAACACCAACATGTTCTCTCCACGAGTTATCATCACCATCATTGCTTTCGCAACCAGCAGTTTCGCGACTGCTGCGCTCGAGACCGAGACTGGCTCTGGCACCAACACCACCTGCTGGTACCACAGATCCCCCTCCCCTCCCCAATTTCTCCCGTTAATTATCACATGACAAAAATCTAGAAATAGATGAATTCAGTCACTAACAAGATATGCAGGATTGGAAAACTCCATGGCCCCTGTTATGGCCATGATAACGGATGCCTTTATCAGGGAGTTCTTGTGAGTCGTCACCACTTTTCATTTTTGTCAGCCTTTTGTCTTGGCTTATTGATCAGTCCACCTCTTTCCCTAGATTAAGGGGTGGCTCATTCTTAACACGGAAATCTGAAAATTGAGCTGGGCTTGCTGAAATTTTGTTTACACGCAGGTCTCATGCAACTCGACTAGCGATCAGATGGTCTTTTCGGACTTCTGTGGAATTGATCCAGGTCACAACCCCGGTACTTGTCACTGCAACGGAGCTACAGGAGAGTCGAGTTGTTGATTCATGATATGAGGCCGAGGAAATACAGCTGACACTGCGGACGGGCTTGAACGGGAAAGTCTGAAATGGTACAGGGCACATGGGACACTGGTCAATATGTCACAAATCAGTCTTTCGTGGAAAGCGGACGTAATGGAGGATGGCGACAATCCGTCGGTGGACCGTTGCGATTGCCCATAGTCTTTCAGCATGTGTGCGAGCCTCTTTTCTTGCGAATGAACTTTTTTGGCACTTGAGTTCGTAATGCATCAGATTTGGGATCAAGCGTGATTATATTGTATCTGTTTGCTTGTTAATGACATGGCTCAATATCGTCTTCGACGTGCAGCACTCCATACAATTCATTCATGGTTGTAAATCGTAACAGCGTGATGTACCCACATTCCTTGCCTGAGAAGTCTGGTATTCTCCATTTCCAAAGCTGGTCTCATTTGGCCCGAGGAGCCGAGATCAATTACCGGCAGAGCACACAGCTTGACAGCAACTTAATGGAACGTCATACCCTGGTCATCTATGTATAGGCGTAGATGATTCCGAAGCATGCTTGACAGGATCAGGCGTAGCGCGGTAAGTTGATGTTTCAAAAGAATGTTGAAGCCAACCTGCCTATATGCTTGCTGACTTTGAACATCTTCGGTGAGGAATAAGGTCGTGTTGAGCTAGCTGGCCCAAATTAAAAGGCATGTAAAGCATTGTTATAGATATCAGAGGGTACTTTTCACTCAGCCAAAATGGTGGGAATTGCCTAACCCCGAGATGCTTTCCTGTCGTTCCAATTCCGATCGAAAACAGTCAAGCTCCTCTGGGCTGTGGGTACAACATCTAGTGCTTTCACGTTCACCCTGTCCGGTCTCTCCAGCACCCAAGCCACAGTTTCCGCAACATCATCTGCGACAAGTGGCTCGTAGCCCTCTATGAACTCCTCATACATCTCCTTGTCATGCCCAACCCTCTGCTCGTGGAAGTTCGTGGCCACTACCCCTGGTCTCACAGCGAGAACCTTGATGTCCGTTTCTTTCAGCTCATTTCTCAATATGTTCGTAAAGGCCTCCTGGGCAGCTTTGCTCGTGTGATAGACTGCCTCGCCAGGAAATGGCGGGCACTCAAGGCCGGTCACTGACGTAATGTTGATGATCTGACCACGCCCTGCAGCAAGCATACGACCCTCGTTCAGGACTGCATGAGAGGTGTAGAGAACTCCATATATATTGGTGTCAATCATGGTGGTGATGTCATTGATGTTCTGCTCAGGGAAGAGCTTAGGTGCGGCAAGAGCGAGCCCAGCATTATTAATGAGAATATCAATTGGAGCATCAAGTTGCTTGACGATGGCCTTGATCGCCTCGGTGATCTGGGAATGCTTTCCGACGTCGACGGCGAAGTAATGAACAGGGCCAGCGCCGTGGACTGCCTGAAGCTCGCTGCTTAGCTTTGCAAGCTTGTCGGAGGAGCGGGACAAGAGAACAAGTGTTGCTGATTTTCTGGCTAATTGGTAGGCGATGGCAGCACCGATGCCCATCGAGGCACCAGTTATCAAGATAACCTTCCCTGAGAGCGACATATTGGGACCGATCGAGATGAGCCCAAGAGAATTGGACAGGGAGGAAGGAAAATTTCGTACTGATAATGGCTATGAGTCGTGATGAATTGTATAAGCTAATCAATATGATCAGATACCATCTTTGAGGCTCGCTGTTGTGGGTCTGTGACGTGCGCTCGAACTCGGCCCCACTACTGTGGAATGGAATTTGTCTCAAACCCCGTTATGTCCGGGGCTGGAAACGGTACGGCGCCTATGCGCTTGCTCCGTTTCGAACCTCGAACCTCAACATTGTTTGAAGGGCAACACATTCTATGCTACACGCGCAGCTGTTGACGACTGCATAGACAAACCGATCTAGCAAACTCGACGATCACTCTGCTCGTTCAGGATCCATTTGCCAGGTACTTACTGCCGTTGGTGCGCTCCACATCCATGCACCAAGGGGGTCGGTCCCCTCGAGCGGCAATCTAGAATTTATGAATAAGTCACCTAGGGCCGAAAACTCCACACAATGTCTTCATAACAGAGCTAACTAGAGAGGTATTGTTGTAGAAAATTGCGATCAAAATTTTGCTGTCCTGAAAGGACAATCAATCTGTTCTCAATTGGTGAGACGCCAGTAATAACTCCAGTGCACACATTTAACTAACACAGTTCCGCGTAGTATAGCCATCGCACATTCTTCGTAACATTGGAAGCCTATTACTTGATTTAACTTCGTCGGGGCAATAATATTCTCTGAATGATATCAAGTGCTAGAGACAAAACGAGGCATGTAATTATGCTTGTTGTATTTCAAGGTATGCCGGCCTTCGCCATCGGCTGGTATTAGACTACATGAAAAGGCTAGCAGCACACTTTGTATGGTCAGCTGATAACGCCAGGACTATTCGGCAGCAAGTCCTTGAGAAAGGTGCGGGCCTTTGACCAAGGAGAAATAGGATCTCCTTAAGTCACCCATAATCTATTCTCGCCTCCCTTCGGCACGATTCGGCCAGTCCTGGCCCGAACTTGAAAAAGACTCCAGATGGGAATTGCCGGGCTCATTTCCCGCACCCGCGCGCGGAAAACCCGACTCAATACTACTGCTTAATGATTATAGACCAGCATACTCCGCAGCGAAATCACGGTCAACGCGTGTCCCTTGGAGCAGGGATGGGTTTTTACGCAGCCCGTGATGATGGTTATCAACTAGGAAACTGTCGTCGTTCTATGTCTTGTCTTCTACTCTCCTTCCTCCGCTTGCTACAATTTGTCACCCACGCTCCATTAATTATTAACCTCTCCTCTTTGGCCACCCTGCTGTTACAGCAGAACGTACCATAAACACTATGTGTGCCTGCATCTTGGGGCTAGCCCTGTTTGGGCTCTTTACAAGATCGTATGCTGTTCAGTTGTCGCCAGCCCCCACCGCAGCGACCATAGTCTATAGTTCCTTTGCATACACCCAGATGACCTCGGATCGATACGCCACACCTCTACCATCACCCGTTACTTTCCAAAGCTCTTATGCTCCTCCATTCAGCAATGTTTCCACGCTATTGCAGGCCAACATAACGTACACGATCTACACTTTCGATCGCAACATCACTTATAACAATGATGGAGTCTACGGCCAGAGCGCTTATGTGGCCCGTAAGCAGCTTTCGGATACAATTTTAATTCCTTTAGGGAGAAGGAAGTGCCATAAGCGTGTCCTTTTTCACTGCTTGAACCAAAGCTCTTTGTTGAGCTGCAGTTCTCGAGACAAGCACCGGGCATATAGTGGCCTTACTTCGACCTAAATTTGAATTAAACTCATTGCTCTGTGCTTTGATGGCTAACTCTAAATGATGCAGTGTGGGACAATTATACATATTCCACCGAGGCGCCTTTCACAACAACAGTCTCTCCAACTCCGATTCCGAGCAGCGAGCTCGTCTTCCCGCCAGTTCTACACAATGCACCGCAAATTGACCAGAACGCATCTCAACTGCCCCCTGATTTCGTATGGGGAGTGGCAGGCAGTGCCTGGCAGATTGAAGGCGGTCTCCAACTGGAGGGCCGTGGGCCAGGTCAGCTGGACACTATTGGAGCAATCGATAACCCTACCAGCGGGAACGACTCCAATACTGCAGATATGAACTACTTCCTTTACAAACAGGATATTGCCAGGCTGGCAGCCCTCGGGGTCCCGTATTATTCTTTCTCGATTTCTTGGAGCCGTGTCGTCCCTTTTGGCCTCGCGAATTCTCCTGTCAACACTCAGGCTCTTGAACACTATGAGGACGTCATCAGCACCTGTCTTGAATACGGTGTGACGCCTATAGTCACGCTCATGCATGTCGATAACCCCGTCCTTGTGTCTTTAGAAGATGAAACGCTTCGAGAGCATTTCCTGTACTACGCGAAACTAGTAATGACACGCTTTGCCGACCGCGTTCCGGTCTGGATCACGTTCAATGAACCCAACCTGGTGGGCTACTTCTACGGCTATACTGCTCTACCCAAGATTCTGCTGGCTCACGCCGATGTCTATCATTGGTACAAGGAAACACTAAAGGGTACGGGCCGAATTTCCACCAAGATATCCAGCACTTTGGCCCTTCCGTTGGACCCTTCAAACCCTGATGATGTAGAGGCGGCCAATCGCTATCAAGACTTCCAGCTCGGTATCATGTCAAACCCACTATATCTGGGCCAACAGTACCCAGAAATCGTCCGCAACACCTCTGGTGTCGACCTCCCAGCTCTAACAGACGACGAGATCGCCTATGTCAACGGTACGTGTGACTTCTACGCACTCGACGCCTACATCTCCCAATTTGCCTCTCCTGCTCCGGAGGGTATCTCAGCCTGCGCCTCCAACACGTCGGACCCTCTCTTCCCGACCTGCGCCACGCTCTCCAACACGCAGCTCAACGGCTGGACGATGGGCGCAAGGTCTAACGCGTATTCATATATCGCGCCGCAGTACGTCCGGCAACAACTGGGCTACGTGTGGAACACCTTCCGACCTTCGGGGCTCATGATCACCGAGTTTGGCTTCCCCGTCTACGGCGAGTACGCGCGCGCGCTCGAGGACCAGCGCCATGACCTGGAGCGCTCTCTGTACTATCAGGACTTCCTGGCCGAGGTGCTTAAGAGCATCTACGAGGATGGAGTTAATGTCATAGGCTCACTTGCGTGGAGCTTCGCGGATAACAACGAATTCGGGAGCTATGAGAACCAGTACGGGCTGCAGACTGTGAACCGGACGGATGGGCTGTTGACGAGGCATTACAAAAGGAGCATTTTTGACTTGGTGGACTTCTTCAGTGCACATATCTCTGCTCCTTGAGCACTTGCGAAAGTTTCATTCAAGTGATGTACATACTTCACGCATTGCGTGGCATGGCTAAAATTTTGGATATGCACATAGGCGTAAATATATTAGTTTTTCGGGCGCCCTCGTCTTCTCCTTGTAGAGGCCTTGCTTGTTTCCCTGATGCTAACCCTTCCTTGAGTCAAGTGGAGGCGCTTCTGCACTCATTTTCTGAGGCATTCAGCAATTGTCGCCCGCATATGCAAGAGGCCATTCAAGAAGGACCAAAATCGCCTAATGTCGCGCCCGCCCTTGCCCAGGTGCGAAAACTCGTCGTGTTGGATCCAGCAGATTCGCCGGTGTGGTCATACTGTGGATACGGCCAGTTCTCTCTGGAACTCCTGCCACTACGCTCAATGTAAGGCCATCCTTGCCTGGAGTTCTCATCCGAGGGAGGAGGCGAAGAAGAGGCAACAGTGGTGCTTCCGATATGCTCCCGGTCGAGGAGAAACGAATCGAGTTCGTTCTGGTGACAGGTAGGTCAGCTATATGAATTCCAAGAATGCACGGGAAATGGGCTAGTGATGCAGGCGAAGGCTTACCCAGTCAACGTCACCGTGTAGGGCCATATCTAGCGGATCATCCGAGTCTCGCTTCTTGGCGCGGCCAGACGAGAAAGTGTCAAGTCCAAAATCCCATGTCATAGAGAAACCTTTTCTAGCTGATGTGGTGGTCGAAGTGGCTTTGTTATTTACGGCCGACCAACAAGACGTTGGTGCTTCAGATTGCTCGGCAGGTGGATCTGCATTTGGGGGGTTCGAAGAGGATGTTGAAGAGGCTGCAGCCGCAGCGTAGCTGTAGCTGTTGTTGTTGTGTGAAGTTGTAGCCTTATCCGATGACAGGACTTTGGAGAGAATAGAATCTAGAAATTTAGTAGCGTGAGCCGACTCCTTGGAAGAACTGGCTGTTTGGCTCCATATAGTGCGTGCCCGCTTGAGGGCGGAGACCCCACGATCATGGTGATGTTGTTTACTACTGGTGGTGAAAATGGTTAATGGCCTATTTTCCGAACTCGGATCATTTGACTTACTTGTTCCCAGAGCCAGCTACCAGGTCAAGGCAAAGGCACATAGCCGCCAACAGAAAGACATGGAAACCAGCATTTGTTACCATGTATCTTTTCTCATACAGCCTACCTCCCTCGCGACTCTGCTCATCAAACTCGGCATGCAAATCCAGTAGCCGTAGCGATGCATCAGCGCATGCCTCTCTGGACCGGTCGAAGACGGCGTTTTCCCTCTGAAGGGTCAAGTATCGTCTGTGCAGTACACAGATTCCTTTGAGGTGTATGATCTCCAAAATTATGCGTCGAACTATTATGTCTGGCACGTCCGCGAAACTACTCTCTCGTATTGGCCTGTACCGCAGATTTGGTGGTATATCGTCGTGCAAGCTACGTAGATCGGTATCAAGGCAAATGACGTCGCCATATGAGGGCTGAGCAACAGCTGTGGCCTGCTTAACAATTCGGCGGAGTATATGTATCTGTCTGCCGTAGAAGATGTACGGCAGGATTGGAGTGAAGTCTGTGGCCGGCCTTGACGGTGGTAGTGATTTGCTGTACTCGCTGAATTCCTCGTCGCGCAGGTTAGAAGGCAATTGTGTATCAACATCGTCTCCGTGAACGATAGGTGGAACGCCGAGCAGGAAGCTGAAGGAAACATCCAGGTGTTCGAGCGTATACCACGTCCTTCGTCGCATTTCAGCATCAAATGGTGAGATTTTCATCTTGCTGCTTCGGTTCAGATAGGATGGATCTCGGTGATATCCCATTCTTTGAGCCAGCCGGATAGCAGTGCCGAAAGTGAGCCAACAGATTGGATCGGTGTCGCGTTTCTGCAGGACGAGGTGCATGACAAACAATAGGGCACCCTCGACAGAATACGGCTTGCCCAGAAGATGGTCACCAGCGACAAGGCAACGATATGACATGCTGCTGTATGATTCGATCCTCTTTCTAGCTTCCGCGTCTTGAATCTCTGTCGCACCTAGGCCTTCACAGCCGGCAGCTTTCGAGGCTTGTTGGAAGACCGCAGTAGAAAGAACAGCGAAGAGCGTACTTATCCACAGCGGACTTGTACTGTTCGGTTCTCTCCAGAAGGCTTCATATGCTCGCTGAAATTGTCCAGAGTGTATCGCCATAGGAATTGTGTCTACCTCAATGTCAACAAGCTGCAACATAACTCAGAGCCACGACCTGCATGGCTATCCGGATGGAAATCCTGTGTGAATCACATGGAAGATAGTTTATACATACAGACCTGTTGGAAGTAAAATGTGAGGATCTTGTCGCACTCAACCCTTGATGGCAAGCGATCCATGACTTCCTGTGTCGTGAGTGGTATTGTAGGTCCGTGGAGATCAACAGAAGTATCAGGTTGCTGCTGTTGCCCTTCTTGGGCATCACGATGCGTACCGGGTTGTGGCAGATGCTGAGAACTCGCCGACAAGTAGTCAGGGGGCTCTTCGTCGACAATTTCTTGGAGATTATGGATACACTCCAGAACAGCGGCATAGTTGGTGGCCCCAGCATATCGCCTGTTCTTGTCCTCCCTGCTCAGCTGTCCTTGGGACGAGTTCTGCTCCTGTGACTCAGCTTCATCGCTGATTGTGGTCGTATCAGCCAGCTGCTGTTCCTCTCGCGAGGCTACTGCGGCACTCGGGTCCTTCCTTGCCAGACAATTGGACTCAGTCTGCGTGATCATCACGTTGACGAGATCCTCTAATTGCTGCAACCTGATCTGCATTTGCTTCCGAGGGACAGACGGGGCATGGGTTCCCACGTTAGCGGCGCTATGGGCTCCAAAGAACTTGCACGAGATGGCGTCGCTTCGTTTCACGCAAGAAGTGCATGGTTGCTGGCGGTCGCATTTCAGTTTCCGGGTGCGACATGGTACGCACGAAACGACCTGTCTGTTGCGCTTGATCACCTTGCGGTGCGGATCTGGTGGCGTCAAGCGAAACACAGAAGTGTAATTAGATGTGTCCCCATTGTTAGGCATGGCTTAACGTATATCAACAATATATATCGACGACATCTGCCAGCACAAATCAGGGCAGGACAGGGCATGGATCTTATTATGTACTTGCCCAGAAGAGTAGTAGCCGCTCAAATGTCCGTGCCGGAGGTGGTGGAGATGAGATGGAATCAAGCAGGAGAAAATCGGGAGGGTTACAAATCGGCGTTCGGGGAATTCACACTTGGCTTCGGATTTTACGGACGGCCCGGCCGCTCTCACAGCTGGACCCAAACAAAAATCGGCAGATCTTAGGATATTTCGGCTTCTGCCGTCTTGTCCTACCAGCCGTTGTTTGCGGCATGATAATTGATGTGGTTCGTTGCCCCGAGGTTGTAAAATATGGACCGGTAGATGATGCTTCCCCACGAGTAACCGAGCGTTTGGAATCAATAAACATCTATCTATTTGGCTCACGTTTGCAGTCAGATCGGCGCAAGACATTATGCCACAGTTTCATCGTGACCGATCGCAAATTAGGCACTGGAGCCCTCAAGGAGAGATATACGCTCGTGGACCCATCTCAGGGTATGTCATTTGCATTAATAGCCGATTGCTGAACGCCCTCCCATGAGACATGCTTTTCCTAGTCGCATTTCACGTTCGAGTCCACATCGTGGGTCCCGCTTCATCAGGAATCGAGTTGAAAGCGAGCTCAGGTGAGCTTCTGCTTGATGAAAAACGACCGCAGATGGGACAGCTGCCATGCGCACGTTCCACCCAGAATCACCAGCTGGATCATCATCCATCGGACAACGCGAGAGTTTGTAGCTTCGGATTGGTCTCGAAATTCAGCTTCTCGTTCCTGGTCATGGTCATGGTCAGTCATCTGGGCTAGGTCCAATAAGCCATGGAACGGTGTGGCATACCCTTTGGAAAACCTGTTCCCTTCGAATGTCCTGAAGTCGCGAGTTAAGGTCCTTGACTCTTGACTGGATGTCCTGCAGCTTGTCCTTGTCCGAGCTCTCGATCGCGCTAGACTCTCCGATAGTCATGTCGAGGGTCAATTTAATGCCGCCATTGGGATTAGAGGTGCTGAGCCAGCCAGTCTTGCCGCTGTCGGAGGACGGAGTGAAGCAAATCTTGTGGTCGCCGGCCTCGTGCGCGGTGAACGTGTAGCGGCCGCCGGCACCACCCTTTTGCGAAACTATACGGTGGTTGTTGTCAAATAGCTCCTTTTCAAAAGGTTTGTCAGCACAGCGCATCGCATGCTTCGGAGGCTGGATGACCCACATCGACAGTGATGAAGATACTGATGCCATCATGCTTCCACCACGCATTCCTCTGATCATCGTACTCCTCGGCTGTGTAGTGCCCCACCACTAAAGTATCCTTGGGGAGTTCCTCGTAGAAGCACTTCTGGGTCGTGCCGTCGAGATAGAAGTAGAGCGCCTGGGTCACTTGAGCCAGGGAGCTCAAGCCCAGGAGAGGGAGGAAGGCCCTCATGGTATTAGCTGCCCCGGTCGATAGGGTCTAATATCTTCGCAGGCCGGTCGGCAAGCGCAAATTCGTGCGCGACAGTGGATATCTCGTCTTTCGATGACTGCGAGATTCAAGTCGGGATCGTGGGAATGATTTGGATCGCGGTCGTCGTGGTGGGTTGTAAGATGCTGTCGAGCTTGACACGCGCGCAAGGCAAGCTGTAAGCTGCTTGACAGCTAAAAGCCAAAAGAGCCACGTTCCTGCAAATCCTAGGCTAGGGGTCATTGGCGCGCCGCCCAGGATTCACAAGCTCCCTCTCGGCCGGCAGCTGCACCGTTCCTCCCCGTTACTGGTCCAAAACGGCGAAAGACACACGCACCAGTACCGTCACGTGCGCTAGCTGATCCGTGCTCCGTTCCCCTAACGTTGGAAGTTCAGTCGAGATCTTTTGAGCTGGAGGGGCGCGTCTCGATCCCGCGATTAACACTGTTCTGCATTCGTCATCAGAACAGACATCAAATTCCATCAACTCCCCGTCAAATCGGTTCGCTCCACTGTCACCTTTAGCGTTCCGCATCCTCCATGCCTCACTAAATGACTCCACCCCTTCTCCAAGGCCTGATACTCTAATATTTCCATCGTTATGGCATCCAACGACGTTCGCGACGTGCTTAATCTTCCTTCCGACGACCTCACCCCGCGACCATCCAAGAAACAAAAGATCGCAGGCCCGCGGCACAATCTCAAGGGACTGGCAAGAGAGGTCCAGAATTTGGGTGGCGACAACCCCATTGCGATCGTCCCAGAAGTTTCTCTCTACAAGAAACGTCGATTCGCTAATCGCAAACCGGCTGCGAAATGGGAGCTCAAACAGTTTAGAAACTCTGCGCGCGCTGACCAAACACTGGTTCTACGACATTGGAAACGAAAGACAGAACCTGGCCAGCCTAACGACTCGACCGACGGCGAGCCTCCGGAGGGAGAGAACAACGGAAATGGACAGGAGGGTGACAGAAAGGAAGAAGCGATCGAGGACTCGGCGTTTGCGAAATTCAACGTCAAGGTGCAGATACCTGAATACAACGATGAGCAATACAGCGCGAAGCTGCAAAGCGACGACTGGACAAAGCACGAGACCGACTACTTGATGGATCTAGTCAGAGACTACGACTTGCGCTGGCCGGTTATATGGGACCGATATGAGTACTCTCCCACGAAACCCGGGGACGTGGATATGGATGGGTCCAATTCTGCCGTGGTGCCTACTGCCAAGTCCAGGGACATGGAGGATCTCAAAACCCGGTACTACGAGGTTGCAGCCAAGATGATGGAGTTGCAGAAGGCCATTCAGTATATGACCCAACCCGAATGGGATCTACATCAAACTATGGTCAATTTCAAGCCGGATCAGGAAAGAGATCGAAAGAAGTTTGCGCTGAACTCAATGTCTCGTTCCAAGGAAGAGGCCAAGGAGGAAGAATCGCTGCTTATTGAGGTCAAACGTATAATGGCCCGCCAGGAAAGGTTCAACGAGGAGCGCAGGGAACTCTACCAGAGGCTTGAATACCCACATTCCGACCAAGACATCAATGCTTTCAAGGGAAGCGCAGGTCTCACGACACTCTTGAGCACATTACAGAATATGAGCCAGGCCAAGAAGCGCAAGCCTCTGACCGGGCCCGAGGGCACCAGTCCCGCTGTCCCTACGCCAGGCCCCAATGGTCAGCCTGCAAGCGCAACATCCGAAGCACCTCCGAGCCGACGCGAAAGCACCGCGGCACCCTCAGCTGGCATTCGCGAGTCTATCGGCGCCGAGAAGCCAGCACCAGTGGGTAACAAGAAGGGTCAACCACCACCAGAGCGGCGCAAGCTCAATGAGCAGGAAGAGCAGATCTATGGTGTCTCAACGCATGAACGTCTAGGATCAGGCCCGACCTTTAGGTATGAGCGGGTCAACAAGATATTCTCCCACAAGAGCGGCCAACAGCAGCAGCGGATACAAAATGTTCTCACCGAGCTCGACATACCTGTCCGTCTCAACATGCCGACAGCACCTGTCGTGGCAGAGTATGAGAAATTGGTCCTTGCAGTGACAGGACTTGTAGACCTGAGGAAGATGAGGGACAAGCTGGACGGCGAAATCAAGATCGAAGAAGCCAAAAAGGCCGAACGGGCCAAGGCCCGGGCTGTCCTTGGCCTGGATGGTGCCAACGATAATGCTAGTCAAGACAAGAAGGCTGACGCAGGTCCCGCTGAGACGAAGGCGGAGGACGCATCCGAGGATAAGCCCCCGAAGACCAACGGAGAGTCAGCCAGTACAGCGGCTCATGCCGATGCTGAAGCCGCTGCTGACGTCAGTGCTGACCCACAACAGGCGGGTGATGTGCCCGTGACAAATGACGACGGCGCCGCGGCGGATGGCGCTGAAGCTAATACTCCTGTCGTCAAGGAAGAGGATGGTGGCAGACCAGGCAGCAGCGGCGGTGCTGCTGGCAACAAGCGCAGCGCGAGTGTTCTCAGCACGACGTCCGACAAGAGCGCTAAGAGGCAGAGAAAGTGATGGGAAACTATGGTCACTCACGATTGATAGTGACGCGACCACTAGTCGTTGCTTTCATCCATTGTCGGTTGCACGAAATGTCATGGATAATGGAATAATTGTACCATTTTGCAGGTAGCAAGGGTCCATACAGGCTTGTTGACGACGTGAATGTGTTCTCGTAGTGCTACACAAAGTAGGAGATGAGACCATGTAGAGGTGCTATTGTTAGACGTTGCCTGCCCTTTGATAAAGAAGAGGAGTGTCAAAGCTACTCGGCTGAACGCCAATGTAAATGGTATTGGCAGGTTTGATGGGCGATGGCTCAGATGCTTTGCTGTGCTGTATGTTGGTTCTTGAAATATCATCGTTATGTTAAATCAAACGATACCGCCGTCTGACATCCACATGTGACTGACACCGAGTTGCTATTGCAAGGTTGTCCGGACTGACCGTCATAAGAATGACATAGAAGAGGCGATGCTCTCAAGTCTTGCTCATTATTGTAGGATTCTGAATCAGACCTTGTCTTGCTAAGAAAAAGAATATGGGAAGGGGGGAGGGGGAGTTGCCTCCGATTGACATCAAGCATTAAGACTCCAAATATACACCAAATTATATTTAAATAAAAGTTTCGAGGTTAATTTCATAAATACTAAATGCTAAATGACTATTCTATTATTAAGAAATATTTCATACAATAACAAGCTGTTTTTTTATTCCGTTTTTCAAAATCTCATCAGCTGTATAACTCAGAGGCTTCCCATCAACTATTCTAAATTGGTTGAGATCGAAGGTCCCAACTCTTCGAAACCTTGATGGAATATATGATTGGCGAGCCAGCATGAGAAAATGCATTTCTGCTCCTGCTCCTGATCCTTGAGTTCGCATCGCTAGAAGCCGTACAGACTGGCCGATCATTTCACGAGCATCCTCGATGGTATCGAGGGACGGTACCGTGTTCCATACTTTGATGAGTAGTTGCAGATCTGGTATCTCTACTCTCAACCAGGACCGCGAAAACGTCGATGGATTCATGATGTCATTCTCATCTCTCTGCTTCACCAGTGCTTTGAGATATATTCCTGAAATCTTCAACTCGCCCGCCTTGACGCGCCCGAATTCATCCACGGTTGATTTGATTGTTGATATACTCTCGATTTGCGCCAAATTAGTCTTATCATCACTCGGTGGACCGTTCTTAATCTGGCCCATGACCGAGGCCCAGGACCATGAAGGAGCAAGATAGGTGTCGGGCCTGCGTGGCGGTGGTTCAGCGGATGAAGACCACAGCAAATCGTCGAGCGCGCGGCTTTGCCGAATGCCTGCCATATACTCATTAGCAGCTACCAGAGTGCTCGCTATTCCGGAGAACGCCGGCAGGCGGTCAGTGTCCATTGTGATATCCAAAGATGTGTAGTCGCGAATCTTCTTATGCCAAGAATGCTCCATCTCGAGGGCCTGGGACTTTCTTTCCTGAGCGGTGGTATCGCTGCCAGTCACTTTGCTCGGCTCATCGAGTGGGTAGTCCTTGCATACGCCACACTCGCAGCTCCTACCCTCCTGACATTGCCAGACCATTTCGTCGTCTGCGAAGTGGAGGATTCTTGACGACAACATACGCTCCTGGAAACACCAAGCACGTGTCATCAATGGGTTAGACCCCAAGTGATACGATGGATCGTCCAGCTGGCGGAGACAGTCATGTCTCCGCTGCCTTCTGGCCCGAATATACACGCCATCCAATGCATTTTGGGTGCTGCTCAGCGCGTGCAAGTACGTGTCAACTTGGCGGGGCTTGAACAAGCCTTCCGAACCGTCATTAGCAGCCGTTGCCGCCAGCGTCAGATACGCGTTTCGGTAGATTGAGGCCATCGTGGCCGACTCCCTCGCCCAGTCATCCGCGCTGTCTTGGACGATGCATAAGGAGTCAATCCATAAGTACCGAACACCTATAATGCGAGTGATTTTGATGGCATCTTGGAATGTCTTGGGCAATGTTTCAAGCTTAATGCAGTTGGTATGAGCCTCGATATTGCTCTTGAGGGTCCTCAGGATGGTGATTTTACCCCAACAATGAGAAAGCGCAGTGTAGTCTGCGTGCTCGCCATGTGATTCATACAGACGACAATGCCCGTCTTTCGTGCTAACTTCAATCACCCGGGTCGGTAAGAGTGGCGTCTCTCGTTGACACTTGGGATGAGACTCGCGGCAGCGGTGGTTCCAGGTGATTATCTGGTCAACACTGGGCTGACCGGAGGGCAACTCCTCGATATCCCGGCGCACAGCCAAGCTGCCGAAGAAATCTCCTACGTTCGATGCGACGGACTGGACATCCTCTTCACGTGTGACATAGAATACAATACGAGTCGGAGGAGTACAGTCCTCGTCAGCGTCATTGATCTGAACGCAGGGTAGTTGATCTCCAGAGTAGTTTGGCAAGAGAACCACCTTCCCCGGGGGACCGTCCGGTGGATAAAAATGACGAAGGGTTCCAGCGAAGATCTGGCAGCTGGTGCAACCCTGGACGGCATCCTTGATCCAAAACCTTCTGACAATGCCCTGGCAAACCGGACAACAATCCTCTTCTTCTTGCATGATGTCGAACGCTGAAGGTTACTTGGCTATTTGGGCGGTGGAATGCGTTGAACTGTGGCGAGAACGAGCCGCTTGAAGCGTGTGGTGTAGAGATGTAGTGATATGTAATGATTCTTGGTATCTGATCTAAGGTCTGGTATTGTGCGAAATGTTCTCTCCGTGAACCCCCTTCTCGGAGAGCCTCGGGAGACTAATTATACCTAATTGGGTGGGTGTTGCATGAGACATTACCCACCCTTATGGGGACAGTTCTGGGGGCCAGTTGAGGTGCAGTTGGGGCATTAGCGACCTGTCAGAATGTAAAAAAAAACCCACTGACCATAGCTCAGCACCCAAATCAGTACATCGCAGTTCTCGCAATTATTCATCCACCAAAACGCTAGAAATCTCATAATCTTTTGACACAGCTGAAATCAGAAGCTTCTTGTGAATATACCGATATAATCAAAATCAAGCACATACGGTGTATTTGATGAAGAATTTAGATTTTAATGTGAAGGGTTTTGGTAGTTTAGGAGGGGATTTGGGGTACGGTCGGTTGCTTTTGAATTCTGACAGGCGACTGGGAGACCCACTCACGTCAAAGAAAATGAGCAGATCTATTCTCAAGCCAACACGAGGGGCGTAATGTGTCTCCAATGACCATCACGAGCTGTATCTATCCTCATTTGTTGCCGAGTGGTCTGGAATCATGGGCAAGGCTGTTGGTAGAAGACATCTTTTGGATCGTGACGTACCTAGAAGGGGTTTGACCTGAGTCGTCCTGTATCGGTACAAATGTCGACTTCAGTGTACCATGTGCGGCTCTCAAGGACATTCACAGGGGTGACATGGCAGCTATGGGAGTTCTAAGCGCTGTGCGATCGGAGATGACCCATCTGAATCCGAGTTGGTTGGACAGCGATCAAGATAGGGAGAGTGATCACTGGACATCTTGTCTGCGAATGTTTCTGCAGCTTTCAAGGGTCTGGGATCAACCCATGTCTACAGGTAGGTATATTCCTAGGATGCGACGGGCTCTGAGATGTAGACCGCCGTTGTCGACGAGGGCTTGATAGGCTTGATAAGCTTGATAGGTTGTTGTCGTGATAGACAAGTTACCTCGTGCAGCCGCATCGCTTTATTTTAGCAACGCGCCTGCACCTAGGGGCCCAGACAGCGCGTACGAGATGCAGGTTACCCGCCTCCTAAAATAGATCTGTTTCCTTCCAACGTCCTGTGTCGTTTCCATGCCGGTAGTCATAGTCGCCGGTGACGTTGGTTCTTGAAGCGAAGGACCCTTTGCGATGTTAAGACCACATCCTGGTCGGTGATCTGTCAGGTACACCAATGAGGCAGATGTGACAGACACCAGATGGCCCTGCATTGCAGCGAGCTGGCGGGATGGTAGATTTGAAGCAGACATTAACCGCCCGTGGGGTGTGTGCGGATGTGTTGCACGGCCACCGTCGCCGACCCGGTCCCGACGACGACAGACTCATAGACCCTACAAGACTTGATCCTTCAGCTCGAGAGCACAAGAACATCATGAGTGAGCCACGGGGAAATCAGCGTGACGCCCGTTCCGCCCATGCCGTGATGCCTTCGCATCCACCTGCAAAGCCCTGCGCCAGGAGGACCCAACGCGCCGGCGACTGACATCACCGGCGCCTCGTCCTGCCTTACAACAGCGCCCCATCGATCCGGTATGTGCTCGGGTACCCTGCATTTGTTCCTGCATTTGCTCCTGCATATCGAGATCTGGCTTCGAAGCCGGGCAATAGGCAGGCAGAGGAGGGCCAAGGAAACAAAATATGGGATCGCAAGCGCCTGCCCTAGGAGATCTCGACCATAGATGAACCATGGCCAGTCAAGAGGTTTGAGCAAACGTCGGTGAGACTATTTTTGGTGATGCTGGGGCCTTCCAGAGGCCTTCTGGAAATCGTGAGGTTGTGAGGAGGTCGGGCGGCGCTTATACGTCGCAGACTGACTGGCGGGCGGCTATTTGCTGGCCGCTGATTGCTCAGTGCCCTCGTTGGTGGCAGCGCGTCGAGCGCGTGGTAGATTCTGGACGTGGGTCAGTAAAAGGTTGGATTTGACAATGTGGACGAAACATTTTGACATAACTGATTGCCATTTGGTACATTGCTGGCGGTGTGGTAGTGGAGATTCGCGAAGAGATCGAGTTTCAACGTACAAGTCGTCGAGTTGTCGTTGAAAACGTGGGAAACAACCCCCCCCCCCCCTTTCCCCGACACCTCCCCATCGGTTGACATGTTAGGGTTGGATTACACAACAACCCAGCCAGGAAGGAAGTGAGGATCTCAAGTCAAGGAAAAGCACCGTAATCACCGCATGTTCTGAGCTCGACGTGACCAACATCCACTCCACCGCCATCTTCCATCTTGGAGTTTGCCAAGGTTTCCAGATTCCCAGATCCCCAATAACCTGGGCTTTTTGCTGCTGTTGGCTTCCTTCCGACTCAGTGCCCAATCAAATAAGACCTACCGTTTCCTTGGGCTCTCTATCCAACATGCATGGTAGCTCTGCCACAAAAAAAAAAGGACTAACCCTTGGTACTGTACGTCTAGACAGACCGTAAAAAGCTTGTTCAAGATGATCCCTTCGCCTCCAGACGGCTGTGAGGAGGTGACGACCCTCGAATACGCACCATTTTCGCCCAATGCTTTGACAACTGGCGGATATCATTTAACCTCAATCAACAGCTTGGGGCTCCTGGGCCCCTGGCCATCTCACTCAACTCCGAACAATCATTGGGTGGTAATGGTCTACCATTCTTACTGGTTGGCTCCACATTCAATGGTCGACAGCGACACTTGTGGTCACGTTGCAATGCCTCTAAGGCGCATGGGGCCGCTGTTCCTGGTCAAACTTTGGTACCAGCGGACCCGACGGAGACAGGGAGGCTACGTGCGTTCTGTGCTAAAGTCGGTATCACTTTGCACACAGAGGCCTCTATTTTCTCATTGCCTAAGAAGCTGCCGGGATGTCCTCGTCATCTGTGGCCTGCTTCTTAAAAGTACCCAGCCGAGGTATCTGTTTCTGCGCTGATCACATTTCCGCTCCTGCGCCGTGCCATTGCATGCCAGGTCCACTGGCGCCTGAGAGGGAAGTCAATTTCCCGACCTCTGCCGCGGCCACTACACCTTCACGAGCGGAAAGCAACACCCTTCACCCGGCCCGCTTGGTAGTATGAGGCAGCACATCGGTCGCTTGCAGCGTGCGCTGACGGATAGCAGGCATGTCCACATGGGCAAAGCAGCTCGGCCAGCAAGCGCCATACGCAGTGACCGCGTTGGACCAGCGGCCGTCCTTGATGGCCAACAATCTCCAGAGTTCACAGAGGATTAATGTGACAGTGGCATGCTGTATGCCCCTCGCCACGGCTCTCAAATCCTCTTGCAGAGAAAAGCTGCGCCGCGAACCAGCTTCTAGGGTCGCATCCTTGCGGGGACAGCGCGGTACGGCCAAAGGTCAGCAGCTCGAGGCTGCAGGCGAGCACTGCGACGTGTGTTGGCGACCTGGCTGCGCTGTCCGGGTCTGGATGGGTCAAGGCCCTTATGCAACCAGGTCGTAATCGAGGTGCACTTTGGCCTGTAGCTTTACTCCTCGCCAAACTGCGAGGCGCAGACGACTGCGATGTGACATGAAGACGACGATGGTGGCCAGCCATTCCCCACCCGGCGCTATCACACAGTTGGCTTGAATAAGCAGATTGCACCCTTAGTCACGCACGGTCTGTGTCTTACCTGAGCGGGACTGCAGCATTCAAGCAAGGTTGACGATGAAGGTCGCTCGCCTGCGGGACCGCCAACAGGACCTTCGCGGATCGCGATAAGCGACTCGTCAGCTTTGCACTAACGCGGGTGCGTCTGCAATGCAGCCAGATGTCATCACATCGACCGTGAGAGCAACAGTTTCCGCCGTTCTTTGTCGGGACATGCCCCCGGTTGTAGAATGTTGCAGTTCTAAGATTGGTATCACACCCTCGAGGCCCTCCAACTTCCAATTCTATCTCGATACAGCTTGGCGCACAAGTCTCATTCAGCTATTTTCCCACTTTCCAGCACTTTCATAGGCCGGGATGGTGTATTGACCCAGCCAATCACAGCAGCAGTGTCGCTTCAATTTCATCACATCGGGGCCAGCAGCTCCCAGGCGGGCCTATTTTGCAGCCTCTCCTGCGAATTTGGTATGCACTTGGCTGAAATATGTTTAGCACAGAGGAAATCAGCACGACGTTTGCACAAGATGCCCAGCTCATGTTGGATCTTGGGCAAAGGCAAGGCAAGGCCAGGCAAGCAGGCAAGGCGGCAAAGGGCTTGCTTGCTAATCCCTGGGGTATGGAAACGAGGATTAGCTGCTAAAAATATCACCCTTCGGCTGTTTCACCCAAGCCGGGGGGAGGGTACGCCAGATACAGATTCCGGTACGCGCACAATAGGCTCTGGCAAGTCTGGAACTGGTTTCTTGGCGCCCTATGCTGTCCATTCGCCTTTCGCCACATACCGCGATGTTACCCTCAGCAAGAAGAGATCAAGGTTAGTGAACTTACCAAGGCGACGAGGCACGATATCTCTACACGTAATGAACAGTAAACCACCACCAGACCAGGAAGTAGTGAGGGGGCTGCGTCCCCGTCCGCTAATCAACTTTTGGAAGCTAACTTAGGCGCGTCTTGGCTCGGTCTGCCGATGCCCGCAGCTCGCTTCTAGTTGCGGATGTTCGACTGATACAAATCGCTGCACAGCCGCGTTCGAGCGGCTGTCCAGCCCAACAATACGAGCTCTCTGTGTTGCCGCACAGATTGTACAGTCCTACTCACAGCAGAAACTCTCTGCCACCCACGCATTCATCGCGGGCAGCGGGCCCTGAGACTTGTGCTGCCCGCGCTAAAGTACAAGAACTTTGGCAGACCCTGTCTTGGGCGTGCTATTGGCTGCCGCTTATGCATTCTCTTTCGCACATCCAGGCCGTCTCATTGCTTCCGCTGGCACTAGGCCTCGGCGTCTGCGACGCATCTGCCACGAGGGTACACACATGATTGATGACATCCAAAGTAACTTTCTGCGACAGAACGAGGCTCGAGGTCAAATTCACCCGCCATGCAGTGGACTATCCCTTCCTATTACAGGTCTAAAGCCGCTGTCTGCCACCATTACAGGAGAATCAATATCTGTTACCATTTACGATTTGCTGGTCTAGGCTCCACTCGGACGCGGCTCACGTCTTCATCACTCTACAGATCAAACGGCATCACAGGCTCGTGGTCTCGTCCTGATTAAGCAGCCTTGAACACGCCTGTTGCCATGGTTGGGGGGCCCAAACAACGTAATGGACCTTTGGTGGCCCAACCAGCTATGGCCTTGCGTCCTCGCGAAATGACGCCCTGCCTCTGAAGTTTCATCTACCACGACCCCCGCCGCTGTGGGGCATGAAAAGAGTGAGGCAGCCCGTTTGGTACCGCAAACCTTCTCAAATCCAATATGGCCAACAACATGACGGCAGCATCACTGAATCGAGCGAAGCTGAACCTTGTGCTATCCACAAGCATTCCCTGTCTCCGGCCACTCCATCAAGATGAGGCACGCGCGGGTAGCCTGGGTACAGCACAGGCTTCTGTGTGCTCACCATGATCCGCCATTCAGGTAATGATTGTTACTGCCTCGTTTCTAATGTGCAGCTCCCGCCTTAAAGGGTTACCGTATCAGGAAGGTCATATAGAACGAAGTTATGAGCGATCTCTGAAAATCCCCTCCATGCGACACTGTAATGTATAGCGCGGGCACCACGAGTCTGTGGGCTGCGAAAGGCAGATGTCAGTAATTTTACTGCCGACCACACGAATATCCACGGCCCATATCATCAGCGCAAGCCGTACCGGCTCCCGATGCATGCAGGTCGACATTGCGTACATACTACAACCAACTGCAGGCCTTGCTTGCCCTTGACCTGTGAAAGTATAGCGGGGCAAACACTTTCGGCACCATGACATCGCTTGCTGAACCAACAGGTCGGTTGGTAGACGTGCTGTGCCGCAGTGGTGCCTAGAAGGCGCCTCTTCTAGGGTGCCCAGGCACTTTTTAGGTTCCGGCCGAGGCCAAGAGGAAGCACCACACAACTGGGATGACGATGTGGCCGGTGTTGTTTTGTGCTACTAACAGGACAGGCAGCCTGTCAAAGGCTTCGCGAAGGCCCATGACAGCGACAGCGGCCAGATGCACCAGTCAGCGCCCGAGATGTCGCTTACCACCCATGAAGCTTGGTTTCGAGACATGGGCGTATATGTCAGCAACAATGAGGAAGGATTATCATCCGCCCGCGGCTGCGATTAGCGACAAGGGATATGCCCTGTCGAGCACCCTAGCATCCTTTCGTCCCTGGCCTGCCTGCTCCTGGCCGCCGTAGCATTGGGTCCAGGGATGGGCGGGAGACTACGCCGCTACCGAGTATCAGCCCGTGTCTCTGTTTTAGCACGAACGACTTCAGAAGCATTGGAGTTTGTTCGTGATGAGATGCTAGGTGACTTCTGTGGAGGCCCGGGAGTTCTCTCCGTCAATGGGAATGCCTGGGTAGTGCAGCCAACAGTCAACATGCAGGACTCAGGTACCCAAGTACGGCAGCGGCAGGTACATCAGACAGACCGCCCTGGCGACAAGCGCCATGCCGCCCAATATTGGAGCCAGTCCGGGCTTAGCGATGCCCTGCGGGTATCGAAACTGGCGACATGTACCGGTACCAGCGCTGCCATGTACCCGCTCGCTAAACCCAGCTCCTCACCTACTCGCCATGGGCCACGATGACACCTTGCATGGCATGTGCCCTTACTGTCTTCAGGGCCTCGTTGCGACGAGAGGAGATTACTGCCGAGGACTCACTTAGCTTGTTGAACTGATCGACTAGCCCATGCTACAGAACAATTCTTCGATTCATATCCGCACCTGTCTTCCTAGTCCTGTTGTCCTGGCGGATTTTGGGCCCTTCATCAAACCCAAAGTTTGGTATTGCCTGAGTGGTGTCTAACCCCGTACCACACAGCCTTAACAACCACTGGGTCCGCTACTCTCCTCCTGTCAAGGTCCATGGTCCCTCCAACTTCCCACTTTTCGACCCCTTCATTGCTTGTCCACGGACCTGCATTTTCCCGTCTGATCTGACTTCATCTCGCGACTCCGCCACGACTGATTCCCTGCATCGCGACAAGGCCCTCGAGGGGTCAACTCGCGTAGGCAAAGGTAGCAAGCCGACCTTCTCTTGTATCACAGTTCTTGTCACTTTGGAAAGGCGAGAGAGGATATCTTCAACCCAGCCATTGATTGCTCAATTATCTCCGAACTTATACTCAGCCTCCGTGCCGGCGCACCCGTTTGAGCGGGCAGGAAACTTGCAAGCTGTGCCCTGGCCCCCTTGCATCGACCTATCAAACAATCTCGGGGCTGCTGCAGGGCGAGTGGCCAAAGACCTGCAGAGCAAACACGACACCGCTGAAGACTATTTGATGAACCAGGAAGGAAAGATCTGCTGTAGTGCAGCTCCAGTTCGCAATCGTTGACGACTCGTACTGTACCGCGATTAATTCTGTGAAGGAAGAGGGCCTCTTCAGGCCGCAAGCAGCGTAACGCGCGTCAGCGTCAAAAGGCCGAAGCTCCCCAAGCGCGCCCGCATCCCACTCCAAAAATCATCTGAGCTTTAGACCGTTCGCGGCGCTTCTCTACGCGGGGCATCTCCAAATCACCACTTCAAGCCAGCCCTTTTTTTATCTTTTTAGAGCTGCGGAGATCAAGCGCAACAGACGCTCGGCAAGAAACTTCGGCCCAAAGCAAAGAGAGACGCATACCAAACCAAGTCGAAACATCGAAACACAGTACCGCGGTAAAGAGGGACTGTGTCGACGACAAGGTTCTCAGTCCACGTCCTATCGGACATCGCCCGGCACTTCTACCCTTCCATCTGCAGACTGGCCTCTGCCTGCTCACCAGCGCCAGTCGCCTGGTCAAGTCCAGACAGACCGAGGACTGTTAGGGGCACCAAACGCCCAAGCCGAGAGCTCCAGAGCTCTCCTCACTTCTTTCCGGTAGGTTCACAGCTGTTTCCTCAAGTGCCACCATCCAAGCACTCCCTTTTTGGCCTCTGCAGCATGCCCGCTTGTATCAGCGAGCCTTGCACCGGCTCTTAGTATTTGTCTGGGTGTTGCACCCACAGTCAAGTACGCAAACCCGATCACACTCTGCAGCCATCCCCTGTATGCATACTCGTACCGACCACTCACCCTCCTCATTCCTCACTATTATATCCGTGCATGGCATGCTCGGATGGTGGTAGCAAGCGGAGTTGACGAAACCGTCTTCCCCATTGTGGTGCAGTGCATTGTGTCTGTGCCTCTGACGTGTCATCCGGATTCTTATCACTTTTCCTCTCCCGAGTTTTCCTTCCCATGTGGCCCCCAGGCCCCATTCCGTTGCGCCTAGCCCAATCTTCCAAGCGGCGTGTCAAGAGTCAGGCTCGCGGCTGTGCAAGTTTTTGATGCAGATACGGAGATGACTCCGTGCCTCACACCCGCGCAATCCCCCGTCTAGCCCTGCGTCTACAGCACGGCTCAACCAACGTCGGATGAGACCTTGAGATCAGGAATCACATCAGCCTCAGTCCAAGTGCTGAAGCCGTTCCTGTTGTGCTGTAGAGCTTGCCGTTCTCCGCTCGCAATCACACCATGCGATACTGTCCACGGTATTCTAACGATCCACAGGACTCCGAACTCTGCGATTTGATCACCACTTAGGAAGCAAAGCAAAGCAGAACAGAACAGAGCAAATTACATCGAATCACCGTCGGCTTTACTCGCGTACAGGTCTCACCGAGACCAATACTACATACGTAGCTTGAGCGGCCGCAGGTGCCGATCGACACGGAAGTCGAAGTAACCTTAGGTGACGACCCTAGGAGGTACGTTCAGCGTCTATTCTTTCTCCGGCATAGCTGTTCTTCGCCGTGCCGCCGACCGTCCACGCTCGAGCATCTTCTGCACATTCTCAATTCGGCGCGCGGTACATAGTACAGTTCGGTACATCACAGTACAGTACTACCGCGCCCTTGACGCCTCCCCCCCTGTCCATTCTCTTCTTCTCCACACTACAGAACAACCCCCGCGCCTTTCTCTTGAACCTCCGAGACGGCCAATCCTTCATGCTGATCACACATTAGTCGCGCTGATTCATCCGAGATTCTCATCTCACACGAGACGATCGCAAAGCCTCTTATTCCTCATTCCACCTTTTGAGTTTACCACCAGGACGTCGGCTCCTGTCGATCACTGTTGCGCGCACGCACACACAGACCTTTCCTGGCCGCATTGCATTTAGAATTTCTTTGTGAGACCTGATCCCAGATCCCAGCATCCTACAATCTTTGGACGAGCAGACGGCCTCGGCTCGAGGGTTGAGGAACGACCCCGGGCGCTTAAAACTTAGGCGGAGAGGAAGTGGGTTGCGGGCAGAACGACGTTCGAGACTTGCCGGCACAACCGTCTCAACAACCACGCAGCGCGCCTGCCTCAGTGAGGACGAGGGCTATCGACGCGGCTTCCCCAGCTTCGCATTCTGCTTTGGTTTCTGTCACGGCACTCTGGTTTGGTGTGGCCTCTACCGACCGCTTCTTGAGCCCGCTGCCTCACGGCCGAAGCACCTACGGCACCATTCTTCCTAGCTGTCGCAGGTGACATCTCGATCAGTCCCGGGACACACCGACGAAAGTTTTTGCAGGGTTCAGCATATCTACTCTCACGGCACACCGGTTTCACGAGATTTTCGGCACTGCCACCTTGCCACGGCTACCACAAAATCCGCCGAGGGCATGAGCATCATACCGCGTGTTCACAGCGCATCACCACCTGAATGAAAATGACGACATTTACAGCCATGAATGGGGCCGGCTCACCAAAGGTTGCCAATGCCAATGGAGACTCTGCGAGTACAAAGCGCGCAGGTTCCTCAGAGCGCACCAACGGCCCTGCACACGCCTCAGATCAAACGTCCAAACAGCAACCCTCAAGTGACGCCCCCAGCAACCATAGGGAACGTGACGGCTGGGCTCAAGGGGTCCCGGGCCATGAGAGACAGCCGTACTCACCAGCAAATTACGCGGACAAGGAGAGCTCGCACAAGCGCAAGAGGTCGAGCTCTGCTGAATCACCGCGGAGAGAAGCACCTGCACAGGCTGAGAGGCAACAGGAAGACGCCCGCCTCGAACGGTCACAGGACTCTGAGCCAGGGGAACGGGACCCATACGAGCGTGACGCACGAGGGCGACATTTTCGATCGTACGCGGACGAGGGGCGGGAACGTGGCCGTGAAACGGACCGTGAGCGGGACAGGGACTCGTGGTACTCTCCCCATGAGAGGCGAGATGACCGGGATCCTTATAGTCAGCCACCCTCAGCGGCGCCCGATTCGGCCAACACCGAAGAGCAAATCGGAGACGCGCTGCGGAGAGCCACGGAGGACTACCCGCAAACCAGCCCGGACGGCGATGACATGTCAATGTCCTACTCTGGACAATACACACCAGAACAGAGAAGAGACGGCGTGATCCAATCTGACCCCAAGAAGAGGAAACGAAACTTCAGCAACCGGACGAAGACGGGCTGCCTGACGTGCCGGAAGAGAAAGAAGAAGTGCGATGAGGCAAAGCCAGAGTGTAAGTGTGGTTTCTACTTGTTGTCAGTCACTCGAGAGCGAATACTCATTTCTGTGTAGGCAGTAACTGTCTGAGGGGCGGGTTCGTGTGTGCTGGATATCCTCCACAACGAGGGACGTGGCCCAAGCCCGAGAGCAAGGTGCAGACCATCCAGATCGAGTCCAAGGACCCGAACTACGTGCCCCCGGGAGCATACGGGATGCCGCAACCAGCAAACTTCCCACAGCCAGCGGTTTTTCCACACCAGCAGCCACCAAACCACCAAGGGAAACGCGAGCCATTGCCATCCTACCGAGGCCAGCCGCTGCGGATCGAACCACCTCAGGGGCGACCCGTGCTCACCGACGACGATAGGCTCACAGCCTCGACCCTGCCGACCGCATCGGTCATGGACCCGAACGAAAAGCTGTCGGCCCTGTCCTCGGCGTATCCCAACACCCCGGCCAATGTGTTTCCGACCCCCGTCAGCGCGGCGCCGGTTCCCTTCCCAGAGCGGGGCCCTAAGGAGTACCAGCGTGTGCCCCCGCTGCACGACCTGACGCGGACAGAGCCCGACCTGACGCCACAGAGCACAACGCTGCCGCACATCAACATCATGCACGCCACGCGCACCAACAGCCCAATCGCCACACCACAATCCAGTACGAATCCGCAGACGACAGCGCAGCTTGCCCTTTCGCACACATCGCAGTTTCCGTCGCCAATAGTACCGCCGGCTGGCGGGGCAGCAGGGGGGGTAACTGGTGGTGGCGGTAGTGGCACGGCAGGCCAGGCGGCGGGCGGCGCCGTCAGTAGCGCCAGCAGTAATGCGTCGGGGCGGCGCGAGAAGGACGAGATGATTGCGGGGCGGCCTTTCTACCCGTTTGAGAAGGAGCTGGTGCTGGAGCGAGAGCGATGCAACGCGGCTTGCTGGCGGTTCAACAACAGCACGAATCCAAACAATGGGGTGTCGCCGCTCGAGCGGGCGCGGCTGTTCCGGGAGATCCTGATGCCGCGCGACCCGATCCAGCTGTCGCCGACGCAGACGAGCCCTGTGACGCACACGGGCCGGGTGGGCGAGAACGTGGTGGTGGAGGCGCCGTTCCAGTGTGACTACGGCTACAACGTGTCGATCGGCAAGAACACCATGATCGGGCGCAACTGCACGGTGCTGGACGCGTGCGAGCTCACCATTGGCAACAACGTCGTCATCGGGCCCAATGTCAACTTCTACACCACCACCATGACGACGGACCCGCGCCGGCGCAACGGCGCTCGCGGCGCGTGCACGGGCAAGGGCATCGTCATTGAGGACGATGTCTTTATTGGCGGGTCCGTGACTATCCTCGGCGGCGTCAGGATTGGCAGGGGCACGACGGTGGGTGCCGGGAGTCTTGTTACCAAGGTATGTTTTCTATTTACCCCTCTCTTCATACATTAGATGCGATGGTGAAGGCTGACTCTTTATGCCTGCAGTCCCAGCCTTCGCACGTCATCGTCGCGGGAAGCCCTGCCAAGGTCCGGAGGGGAATCGCCTCGATGTATCCATGAAGAGAGTACGAAGAAAGCGAGCACGTGCGGGTGCGACCGGCACCTGATGGAGATGATAATGGATGACCGACTGTATAGGGTGATATGAGTTGACAGGGGAAAGAGGAAATGGGAGGACTGTTATTCCCTGTTGTCTTTTCTCTTTGATGTGTTGTGTTCTGTTTTCTGTTTGTTTTGGCTGTGCTTTTTCTCGAACTTGTCTGGCTGTTCTTGCTTGCCCAAGATACCCACTTAATGCCCTTATGAAAAAGCTGTATGTTGCTGTTCTGATTGTTATCTTGCTCGCTCCCCTTGTCATTCGATATCACTGCTTGTAGTGTTTATTTGGAAACAGGCACACCATGGCTTCGAGGGGTCGAGGGAAGTCGGTGACCTTGTTTCTTTGTCTGATTCCTGTTGTTTCTTGCTTTGTTTTGCGTTGCTTATCTCTGCTCTCTTTCTGTTGCAAAAGGCATTTACAAGGGGTATATATGTGGGCAGCGTTACACAGAGGGCAAGGTTATAGAGTGGATGGATGGTTGGGATGGGATGTTGACAGTCGGGAAACCAAGGAGGGAGCGGAAGTGTGTGTGTTGGATAGACAAGCTGGACGGATGGCACTCGATGGGATGAGATACCTACCAAATGGCTTGTTTGGGTTAATGAACAAGACGAGATGAGAACAGAGGAGACGATATATCTACTTATTACTCCGGTAACCTTAACTGAAAGTCATCTGAGCCTGACCTGATGCTATTCCTGAACCTGATCCTAAATCTGAACCTAAAGCTGAGTGTGAGGGTCTACCTGTGTGCCGTGAAATACTAAGATGGAGGAGATAGAAGATGCGTGAGAATAAGCCATGCAGGGCGTGCATTAAGCAGTCCCGAAGCTCTGGTGGACCTCGGCTCTCTGGCAGGCGGCTGATCCTCCACATTCCAAGGTCGCCTGTCCCCTGCTGTCCCCTGCTTCCGTTCTCCCGCCCGCATTCGATCCCCACTAACCATGACGCTGATCATCCGAGCCTCAGCCCAGAGCTCCAACCATAGCGACTCTCACATCTCCTCCTCGCCCCCACTGTGACTCTTCTCCGTCTAACGCAATTGACTCGCACCAAAGGAGCTCGCTGTTTATATTCTGATGCGGTGACGACAGCGCCTGATCTCGCCCCGGCCTGGCTCCTGGCTGCCCTTAGCTGGCGAGGCGCATCACAAAGGTAGAGACAGAAAGAGAGAGCGCAAGCGAGGAAAGGATGAAGAGCGCAGTGTTGTCGAGTCTTGGCCATCGCGGTCCCAGTCCTTTTCGCAACTCCTCCTTCCTCCTGCCCCGCCACACGACGCTTCAACAGCCTGGCATCGCATCCATCACCAGTCGAGTACGATTACGGAACGGACAGCAGCAGCATCAACAACGACGGCATGCTTCCAACCAAGCTAGAAGGCCCAAGACGGCCTTATTCTTCCCAGGTACGAGGGCGCTCTTGGTCAACACTCTCCTACGATGCCTGCTGGCATATAACTTTCTGACTTGACTTGACTCTAACTGACTCTGACATGGCTTGTCTTGTAGGCCAAGGCGTCCAGAAGGTCGGCATGATCGACCCCTGGCTCGAGGCCTTCCCGCGCACCGCCGCCCCCATCATCGACGAGATCGACTCGGTCCTGGGCTACTCGCTGACGCGCATCATCCGCGAGGGGCCCAACTCGCTTCTCTCCGCGACTCCCCACGCGCAGCCCGCCATCATGGCCACCTCGGTTCTCATCCTGCGCATCCTTGAGGTCGAGTTCTGCTTCGACGTCGCCGACCGCATCGACATCACCCTGGGCCACAGCCTCGGCGAGTTCGCCGCCCTGGTCGCCGGCGGCTACCTCGCCTTCGAGGACAGCTTGCACCTGGTACAGAAGCGTGCCGAGGTCATGGCCGCTGCCACTGCTGCTGCGCGCGCCGAATATGGCGGCGAGTATGGCATGGTCGCTATTGTTACTGAGCCCGAGTACCTGCCGCAGCTCATCGACGCTGTCGACAATTTCGTCGCCTACCCCAGCAGCGATAAGTCTGATAGCGGCGCCGACAGCGATGTCCCGCCCATCGAGCAGGTGCTCATAGCGAACATCAACAGCAAGAATCAGATCGTCCTAAGTGGCAACATGGCCAAGATAAAGACTCTCGTTGCCCACCTGCGCCAGTACCTGGGCCACGACCCGCGCGCCGTGCGTCTCAACAGCGACTCGCCCTTCCACAGCCCACTAATGAAGCCCGCCGTCGCCACCATGCGCAGCCTGCTCTCAGGCAAGAGCCGTGCGCCCGGCCGCTCGGGCGACGACATCGTCACCTTCCCGGGCAAGGTCAAGTGCATTAGCAACGTGTCGGCGCGGCCGTTTGGCTCCAAGGCCGAGCTCAAGGACCTGCTGGCGCGCTCGTGCCTCGAGACCGTGCGCTGGTGGGACAGCATCCGCTACGTCGACCAGCAGGAGAAGGTCAGGCGGTGGATCGGCATCGGGCCGGGCAAGGTCGGCCGCAACCTTGTCGGCAAGGAGGTCGGCATGCGCGGCACCGATGCCGTCAAGGGCGGCGGCGTCTGGGCCATCACGGATCCATCCGATATACACAGTATGCTGAGGGGCTTGGAAGATACAGATCCGATGTTGGAAGAGGAAGAAAGGATCATCGGCGATGAGCCTTGAGTGTGGTGTATGCACTGCTGCGTGTGTATAGTCTGTTATTTGCACTTCTTGAGGGGAGAATCTGGTTTCATGTATGATGGCTCAGCGCAGGTACTGGGAGTCCTATTACCAATTTTGGGAGTTTTGCGTTACGGGGAGGACGGCGCATGTGGGAAGCGATTAGTATGTCCGCCCAATAGGACAAATTTTGTATACTGGGGTAAAGATTATGGTGTCAGTGACTTTTACTGGACTAAGTTTAAATCCACGTCGCGTCTATCATGCTATCCTCCATTTGACTCATGCAGTCACTGAGAGAGGCTACCAGAAGCTTCCGGCAACATTGAGCCAGGCTATAACTCAGGGTCACAGCTTGCTTACGTCCGAAGTTCTCAGTACTGAGGAGTTTCTGTTGAAGCTCGGAGCAGGTCGCTTGGAGTGCCGTCTGTGTCCTTCTCTATCGCCTCTCGACATGTACGTCTTGGGCTTGTGCTGCCTCGCTCTCAGACATTCAACAAGACTCGGGTGAGACTGCGCTTGAATGACAATAGGTCCAGTGACGAGAGCCCTCGGGTATTGACTTGTGCTAGGAAGAGGAGACAAGTGCTGTGACCATCTACCCACGTGCTACCTCATGAAATTCTGACGCGTCGATAATGTTTTGTCAGTTCTTGCTGAGGACAGAGCAAGTGCCAAGAGGCTCTTGTGGGTAGAAAGAGGCCACCAGGAGAACAGCCAGACAAAGAGATCAGAGTTTATCACACATGTACAAGACTAAAGAGTAGTCCCCAATATCTGAAGACCAGGCTCAAAGCCGGCGATGCCCAGCATGCTTGCCTATCTCTTGGATCGCAGTGGCCAGGGATCAAGATCTGATCGGGATGCGCCTCGTCGAGTAAGCTGGCACATGGATTTTGATGGGCCTCCATGGCGAAATTGTTGAAGACCCTTGGTCCGTCTTCTACACACCTAATCCAGGCTTGCCGTCCTCGATCTAGACGGGGGTCGCCAACAATTGAAAAGAAGTCTGGCTTGACAAATGATAGTCAAGTGGGTATTTGGACCCAGGGGCGGCGGTGTAGGGATTTGCAGGAGGCTCTCAAGGCACTTAGCAGGTAGATGTTAAACATGGCAGCAGAACGGTATCCCATATCCCTCTGATGAACTCCTAGAACGCCACGGCGATGCTTCGCAATCCTCTTCGAAGCCAGATGCTGCGCCTGATCGGGAGGGACTTAGTCCCCATGCCATTTCCATCCACAGTGACTCCACTGACGCCAGTCTAAAACACAAAACAATCCGCATACTCAAGCACGCTCTCATCCGGCCCGGTCCCCAATGCCCTAGCATCACAGGCTTGTGACCCCAACAGTCCACCCCTCCCCGATGCGCCGCATGTCCGCCCCAAATTTCCTGGAGACAATCCTCTTGCCCCCGTGACCCGTGAGCGGGGCATGCTCATCGGGCTCGTAGAAGGGGTTCTGCAGCAGGCGCACGTACGCCGTCTGCATAGCTCGGAAGACAGGCTTCATGTCACCCTCGCGCAGGCCGACCACGGCGGCGGCGCCTCTCCTCGCGGCGGCGCTCATGCCACCTCCTCCTCCACCACCACCACCGTCACCACCGCTGGCAGCACCCTTAGCATCCTCGGCGGCTGTGGCAGACGACGAAGACGACGGCAGCGCGGCGCTGTCGATGCGCCGGCCCCGCATGTCCACCACCACGACGAACTTGACCCCCGTGTTGGTCTCGTAGCCGTACGCGGCTAGCCGCTCGTCCACGGCGTGCAGCAGGCCGTAGTCGCCCGACAACGAGGCGCTGCCTGAGGCCGAGGAACCACCGCCGATGGCCGAGTGCTTCGCGCGCAGGTCGAAGATGTCGAGCGTCGAGGACAGCAGCAGTGAGAACTGCAGAGGCGTGCGAATGGGCTTGAGGGTATTTGTGGCCGGGTCGTGAGACGGGAAGATGGAGATGTGGAGTGGATTGTTCTGTTTGGTTTGGGAGGGGCAGCGCCTCTGGCGTCAGATTGAACTTGCTCTGTGGTTTTTCCGGGGGGGAGTCCTCTTTGTGGTGGTGTGTATACTTACATTTCGGCCTATGACGCCTAGACAGGCTATGGAGGGTATCGCAGTGGCCATGGCTTCTGGCTATCGGCGTATTCGAGAGTTCGGTGAAGGCCCCATGCGGCAGACATGCATAGTAAACACATGGACAGTTAGAGACGCAGGCGTTGAGACTGAAAGTCGGGAAAGCTCCAAGACTACCTAGGTACCCTAGTCATAGCTCGCAAGTCCCCCTGAGAGGTGCGGGACCAGCCGTTCAGCTACATAAGCACGTGCCAAGTACCCAGGTACTGACTTGGCTGCTTTCTCACAATACAAACCGCGGCGCGACCCAACTAGAACTGCCTCATGTCGACACTTGAGTTATATGGCCAATCTTTCGAGCTACTGCTTCGAAGAGCGGCTTTCTCTTTCATCTTGGAGGAAGTATTAACTATAGTGGTGTTGTCGAACAGTGTTTGTGACAAGGGTCGTGGCCGTCCCTTTGGTCGACACGGACTGTTCAAACAAGGCCGTCCAGCGAAGCGACGTCTGTTGCATTCTGGCCAATGCCTAGAGCAACGTAGTTCATGCGATAGCACTGATTGCGTGCGTTGGCCGTGTTAATCTGTGCAGGACTACTGTCTTGTAATGGTTGCGTACCGTGCGAAAGTGGCTCATCCTGAGTCCAAAGTATATCCACGTTCTCATTTCTTTCGGAGGCAACAGGATCGAAAACAGCTCCTTGGAATCACTTTGGGGCGGAGCCAGCACCTTATTCATAACTTTTCCTGCCCAATCCTATGTTGCAGTAGCCTATAGATGTGCCATCACATCCGGAAGCTGCTTAGTAGCGGTCATGAGAACTATTGATCTTGAACATGGACAGAAATAGCAGGCATGCTTTTCAAGGTAATGTTATTCCGCTCCGGCGTGAACCCGTCCTCAACAACACAGTCGGGGTGCATGTAGCACAATATGGTGCTCACCCACACCAATAGCCAGTAGCTGCAACCGCCGGGGCGCAGCAGGATCCCCAGCAAACTCTCTCTCTCAGGAGCCATCTCGACGCGCACCTCATTCTCTAGCTGAAGAACCACACGTGGAATTCCCATACCCAAGAAAACACACTCCAACGATTGTCCGTAAGAGACTGGCCATTGGGGGCGGGGCGCAGATCGAGCCGCAGGATCATCATAGCTGCAAAGCTGAGGATCATGCCATTGGCAAGCTCTCACTCGCGGTAGGAAAGCGCCCTGCCATCAGACATACGAAGCCTCGCCGGATGATGGCGCTTTCTGAATTCGGCCTGCTCTTGCCGCCCATGAAGCGTACATGCTTGAATATATGTGTCTGGCTGTTTTGAAGGTAGATTGCCTGGTCAGCGTTGTGGCAAAACTGGGGTTCCGATCCTTGTGTGTACTCACGTCGGTCTCCATACAGCGACGGACTAGTGTTGCGCGCAGAGATGAGCATGCACGAGAATCAGGCTCACCTTCTTCAGCAGGTAAACCTTGTTGAGCTTGTGGTCCTCGACAACCTCTGAGCGTTAGCCACACTATAGTAGCGATAGAGCGCATTGAGAATCGACACGAGGATCGGGAAACATGCTTTTACTCGGCTCAGGTCCAGCAGACACAAAGCCATCACATTTCTAATCATCCCACAAACTTGGTCCACATGCGCATTCCATCCACCGGTTTGGAAGTCACTTCCCTGGTCTTGTAATTTTTTGACGTTCGGTTAGTCACAAGAACTTTTCCGCCAGCTTCGTCTATTCTAGGCTCATGGTATAGGAAACTCACATTGTACATCTTTTCCGCGACCTTGTACTGGCCATCGGCGCCGACTTCAGGCTGGCCAGTGGCGCCATCAAGGATGGCCGCTCCGATGCCCACCTTGGAGAAATCGAAGCGCCGAGCCACCAGCGCCATCACGACACGCGCCTCTATCGTCGCCAGCTCCTGGCCGATACAGTTGCGCGGGCCCCTCTCAAACGCTCTCCAAGCACCAGCAGGGATGCTGTCGGCAGCGTCGTGCCGGAGCCAGCGTTCCGGCACAAAAGTGTTAGCCGTCTCGCCATAGACGGCCGGGTCCCTCTGGATGATATAAGGGACGTGATAGAGCATCATCCCGTCCAAGTCTAGCTCGCAGGTTTCACCTTCAGAGGTACACATAGTAGCTCTGAGCCCCTCCCCTGGCCTAGTCATACGTGATGTAGCGCCGGGGGGCCATAATCGAAGCGTCTCTCGGATGACGGCTGATGTGTAGACCATGCGGTTGACAAGCTCCTCCCCGCCCGGCGAGAGCAAACGAGCAGCCACTGCCGCCGGGTTCGGGTCCGTGCCAAACAGCTCATCAAGCTCAGTACGCACTGCGTGCAGGGCGTGGGGTGTGCGCGAAACCTCATAGAGCATCCATGCTATAGTGGTACTGGTGGTGTCATGGCCAGCAAATAAGAAAGTGCTTAGCTGGTCGCATGTTGTACCGAGTAATTTTGGTGACAGGATATCTATATCCTCAAGACTCATAGAGAGTATGCTTCGGGGCCTATTAGCGCTCCGATCGTATTTGGCGTGACTGCTTTGAACAATGGCCTGGAGTGTGTTTCGGACCTGCGTAGCAAGGCTGCTGCGTTTCCACTCCAGGCGAGGCGTGAACCACCACGGCAAATCAATCTGCTCGCTGGTGTAGGTCTGTATAAGCTCCTGGAAATCACGAGTCAACTTCGCCGGCCTTGCGGTCTGAGCTCCCTGTCAATCGTTAGTCTTCTTGAAGCAGTCTAAGAACGCAGGTCCCTTCACACACCATGTCGGCATCAAGTGCTAGATCTCCTATAATGTCGAGGGTCAGATCTGTAGCGAGGCGTTGGAGAAGGAATTCATCTCCACTACGTGCGAGATCGTTAAGGCGATCTACAAAGATGGATGCTTTGTGCACAATAGCTGACAGAAGGCTGAGAAGGTGTTGCGGAGCAAAACCAGGGTTGAATCTCTTGCGAAGTGCCTTCCATTCTTCACCCTGTTAAGTGTGGACAAGACCGTAGTCAGTGTGTGTATGTCAAGAGATGAGGTTTGCAGAAACATTTGCGGGCCCAAGGAACACAGCTATTCGAATATGAAGCACTTACCTTGGAAGACGCGATTGATGTTGGCCCGCTGAGATGGACCATATGGTTCCATATCTCTGGTACTTTTGGGGGGCTGTGAGGAAAACCGTCTGACGGCTTTGCAATCTGCTCCGCGATCTTATAGCTAGCTACAACAAGCATAGGTGAAGCTATAGGACGAAGATCCACAAACATGACAGGTGGGCGGCCTAAGGCCTCATGCATAGCCGCAAAAGCGACATCTGGTCTCTGGTCAGCTGCTGTACTTGACGGAGGAACTATCAGGGAACTAGATAGTTACCTGGATGAGCCTCAGGTTCAGAGCGCTTAACGAACTTGTCAACAGTCTGAAGATGTCCAAGAAGCACCGAAGGAGGCAGCTGGGGAAAGCGGGCGAACTGGCGCAGTCTCTTGAACCGAATCTTGCTGTAGAGGTAGGATACTAGCAGCACGACTGCTGCAACGAAAAGTTGCGTAAGCATTTTACACGGTAGCGCAGATCCTCGTGTCGCTGTTGCAGAGCAGAAGGGAGAAGAAAACTCCGCCTTGATCCAGTCCTGGCGGTTGGCCATCGAATGCCGTAGTAGTATTTCAGTCCCGGTAGCAAGGCGGAGCCAATTATCGAGATGAGATCTGCCTACCACTTTAGATGAGATTCTGGAGACTTTCAAATTTCGCTGCGCCGTAGACGCGACAAGTGTTCATGGACTGTTGGTTGGTGGCTTGGCCATTTCCAGGACGGGCTCATGTGCTGTGCCGCGGGCCTGCACCAGCTAGGTCCACGGGCGCGTGCAAGTTTCTAACCAACAGCCTCGTCTGCATGCATGCGCCTTTACATTCTCTGACAAGTCAGAGATCAGCCCGACGGTCTGAATACATAGACACCAAAAACGGTTCTGTTGAGTCAGTAGGATTTGCTTGGGTGACAACTGGGAGTGGGCATCGTCCTCATAATATCTTTAGAACAAGCGCGGAGTTCCTTGTGAATGTCAATGAGCAAATCTCCCCATTGCTCTCTTATTCTAGTCAAGGCATCTTATTCCACGCTGAATTTGGCGGCGGTAGTGTATACTACACAGTACTCTTGTTGGTTTACGGCCAAAGACATCTGGAGTAGTGCTGCATTTTTAAGTATCTAGACTATGTACTTCAGCATCGTGGATGGGTTCCTGGGTCGCATTTTAAGCGGAGTGGCTGCATCTCCGCTGTTATCAAGAGTTTTCGTAGCCAACCGCTACGAAGTCCCGGTGGACTGGTATCCATTTTTGGCACTGAGACGGTGAAGCACATTCCATTGCCGCGCCCCCACCCTTTGTCCATCCGACGAAGATATTCTTGACCTGCGATCCAAGTTAACGTCCTGCTGCGGGATCAGCCGCTTGGTTTTGTGTGATAGTATCACATATACTCGTGAACTGGCCACAGATGTCCTAATTACCACTCTCTTTCCCATCCATATTCCCCTTGGCTCTTTCCTTCGTGTTTCACATTCACGTTGAACAACCAAATGTGGGTGTCTTTGACTGCTCAAGATATTCCTTGTCTATGCAAGCTTGACCTCGACTTCAACGTTATCCTTTCAAGTCCACAAGCTGACCATAATAGACACCATGGCTATCCTCAAGACTTTCATCACCCTCTCCGTGCGACAGGATCTCTCTCAGATCCCGGCAGCGCAGCCTCCCGATGGCCTGACCTCCAATTTCGTCAATCCGCCCTCACTTGCGATCGTATATCGGGTTCTTATATACATCTTCATGCCGATAATGTCCGTCCTCGTTGTCATCCGTCTTGGTACCCGTTTACAACAGATGCGCAAGCTGGCGGCTGATGACTGTATGTATATGATACTTAATGATTCCTAGATCAAGTCTGAGTAATTCACTGATTCCTCGTAATATTAGACCTTTGCGTCCTGAGCGCTGTGAGACTCATTTTGAGCACGCTTCAATGTTGACTGTCAAGCTGATCGCGAGCTCAGGCCGCCATTATCTCGTATTGCGCCACCGTTCTGATTGGTAAGTTTGCCTACAGCAACAGAAGGAATACCCTTTGTGATGAGCGAATTGCTAAAGATAAGTCAGAGGCCGACTATCCATTGGGAAGACATCTGTGGGACGTTCCCCTGTCTTGGATTACAGATCGTTATTTGGAGGTACGTTTCCTTGTCTCTGCACTAATCCTTTCCTGCTGGCTTGCCGCAGGAGCAGTGATAAGGCACTCGGTTAATACTGAAGTGTGTAGCTCACGACGGTCGGGCTGATTTTACATTCTTTGGGCTCCATGTTCTTTAAACTCACCCTGCTGGTCCTCTATCTCCGACTCTTCAGCCCCATACGCTGGGCGTACTGGCTGATCTGGGCTGGTATCGCATCTATCACCGTTGTTTACACCGCCCTCTCAATCTTCATCCTAAGTAATTGCGTACCCAGAAAGGGCCAGACATGGCATTATACAACTTACTATGGGAGGTGCACAATGGCACAGAGTCAAAACTCGCTGGTGAATGGCGTTTTTGGTCTGATCTCGGACTTGTATATTCTGGCTATCCCTCTGTGGCTTGTCTCTCACCTTAGTCTCCCACTAAATCGGAAGCTTGGGGCCATGAGTGTGTTTTTGACAGGCCTGTTGTGAGCTCCCGCAATTTGAACTTGAGCTTCCCTCGCGCGTCTTGCTGACTCTCACCTCAGGGCCTGTGGTAGCTCCGCTGGGGGCTTGGCTGCGCGGTACACTTTGGACATGGCAGATGGAACATGGAGTGTAGTTTACGTGTTCGGGTAAGAAAGAATCTCGTTCGAAAACTCTCCCATCTGCTTGATTGTCTCGTTTAGAGCAGCACAAACGAGAGTTCTGATTCTTCTTGATAGCATTCTGGAGCTCAACATCGGCCTAATTTGCGCGTGTATGCCCGTCGTGGCACTCCCATTCAAAGTCATCGCTACCAGCTTAGCCACATCCTGGAACTCCTTTAAAGAACCCCTCACCCGGATTTTCATCCGCTCTAGCAAAAAAGGGGGCGACAGGTACAATACGACGAACGACCCCTCCTCCAAGGAAGGGGAGCACCAGCTGCCGCAGATGGTCAAGGGCGACGGCGCCATTACCGGCCTCAGGAGCTTTATCCGCCGGGCGTATCGCTCCTCCACCATCACAACCAACACGCAGAAAATCGCGCCAATGATCGGCACCGACGCGGCCACGTTCGCGACTTTCAACTCATTAGATTCTATCGATGAATATCACAGCCAGCTGAGGATCATCCATTCTGTAGATACCTGGGGGCAAGACAGTTATTTTGGGTCCGCGTCTCTGCCCGGCTCATATACTCAGACGGTGCCCCAGGCGCCAGCGGCCTTACATCATCCGCCACGGTATCAATATGGGGAATATGGGGAGTATACAGGGCACCTTGTTTGATAAGGCGTAGGCTAGCCTCCATGTTATTCAAGTAAATGAGCTTGGTCATGACCATAACCAAGAGACACCATGACGGACACAACATTTTATCAGAAGAGGCAAGGGACTAGAGGTACTTTGACAAGTAGACTCTGATGTAGCTCACGTAGCAATAGCTGCCCAGAGATGTTATAGAAACCACAACGCAGTCTCTCACATGCTCGCTGGACAACCCTAATCTCGCTCCAGGAGCTCATCGCGGTAAAGAATGGTGTGATCAGTAGGCCAGAGGAAAATGGATGGACCCGGATGCTGGGAGTATATTTTTCGAGTTATATAGGCAAGTACGCCAACATGATAGGTCAGTGGACACATACGTCTCCGCATATATAAATACTAGGGGTTTGAGATGCCCTCAAGTTGGTGTTGGAAGAGATACTTGGCCAACCATTCTGACTGGGGCTTACGGTAGGTCCAGTCGTGAGCTGCCCTGCAATTCCGTGCGACGAACCAGCAGATACATCTCGCAGCTTTTCCATCTTAAGAGCTTCCCGTTGCTTGACAAGTTCCTTGACAGATGCTACATTCAGAGCCCACATAGCGACGTAAAATTCACGATGGCGAAGATCATCCAACTCTGTTCCCTGTTGATCAACCAAATAACATCATTTTGGGTCCCGCGTGTCATCTCAGACGTCCATGAGTGGTTCTCACCCGCCCTGTCCGATATCAATTTCCAATCACAAATCGGCTTGGAATGAGATTGACTTGACCACTCCTCCCTCGTTTCCTCCAGACAATATGCTAACGTCGGGTCTTGATAAAGCTCAGGGGGTGCTATAGGCACAGCATGCTCCATCACATACAAAGGACGAGGACGCTAGAAATGTTCGCTGTCAACCAGAGCGACGTAGGGCTGACATACAGAATGGGGCAAATCGCTGCGGTCTTGTGTTTTGCGAAGCTACTTGAAACGCGGCCGGCACAAAGCGGTGGCCAGCAACCCAGTCTTGATGGGAACTCAGAAGTTGCCTCCGAGGTAGTTGGCTGCCTCAAACACGGCCAGCAGCCAGTCCATGCCCGCCTGCCAGGGCCAACCACAAACAAGCACGATTCTCGAGGTCATTGGGATCTGGATTTGAGCACGCACGGGTTGCCTCATCACCTTTTGTCAAGTGCTTTACATAGATTCCTATTGTCTTTTTTTTCATCTACAACCACTTCCCCTACCACTCACTCTCCTCCCTGCATTTGCCTGCCTCCATCTTTGCCCCTTCCGTACTACTGCATCGAACAATAAATGAGAAGAGAAACAGTATTAAAGTGACAACTCCTTATGCTAGTCCAGACTCCGCCAGCAATGAAATAGAAAAACCCCAAAGTTCACCTCCATCACCACCGAGATGGGCCGCCGATCGCTCTTGCAATCGTATCTTCTGCGCCGAGGCTGGACTGCCCTCTACACTCTAGCTCTCCGTCGCCGCAACAAACTTCGCTCAACGTCGTGTCATGAAAACTGCCCGAGTATGATATACAAAAGCAAACCCGAAAACAGTAGATCAAGGCCGTCTCCACAGCCCAGTTTGTGGATTTCTTTTGTTGCTTTTACAAGAATATTCGTCGACGCTGTGGTCACACGCCAATGTGGATGACAAAAGCCGTGTGTTGAATACATAAAAGCTGGCCAGAACGAAATGGGCTTGAGTGGTGAGAATCGTCAAGCCGATGGCCACAAGCTCCAGTCGGAGGGGCCGTGTATGTCCTTCGCTCGTTGAGTGCACCCCGTAAGCCCCGTCGGACTTGGGATGAGCAGACATCAAAGCTGCGCTCGATTGGGCGATAACGCTGGCCGGTTTCATGGGGTCGCCGGTGGATACACGTTCGTAAGGTGGGAAAACTGATTAGGATGAGACCACAAGGTCTCAAATGCGTATATGAGAAAACCGGGATATGAGCGAGCGTAAAGTCATGAGTATGCCTCTATAACCGAGAAAATCCGGGACATTTCGAAGATGAATTCCCCTTTCGATGGCCGTCTAAACATCCAGCAGGAACCATCCCCCGCAGCCAGACAGGCAGGCGCCCATTGCTATCTGCGCCAGGATGAGTCGATTCAGATTACAATTATCGTAGAGCTTGAGACTGAGACGGACCGTAGGAAAAGCAGTCAGAAATCAGGTGCCTAGCCACAGCAGATAGCCTTCACGAATTTCTGGAAGCCTGTCGGCTGCGCAGGCTCAGGTTGCCTTCCAGGAGTTGTTGGTGTGGACTGGTTCATTGCCTGTGTCGAGGTCATCGGTTTCGGCAGGTTCTGGGCGCTGGCCTGGAACTGGGCCTGAGTAGAGCCTGTAGGGGTTGCCATGTCCCGAAGACCCCCGACTCCGGCCCGGTTCTGCATCATCAAGCGGTCTGGGGCGTTTCGCCGGTCTCCCTTGGGGCTCTGTTTGATCGGCGAGGGAGGCGGCGGTTGCGCGGCGTTTAAACGATCCATCGTCAGGCGTGCCCGAGGGTCGGACATGTGAGCCGTCGTGTTGCCACCCCGCGAGTGGTCGTGGATGGCCATATTGGAAGGACCTGGTCTCTGGTCAGGATTGTGCAGTGCACCGGGTCGGTTCCACTCGCCCTTCCTTGCGTTGCCTCTTTGCAAGATGAAATCCCAATCATACTTGTTGTCCGACTCGTCGATGTTGTGCTCTCTAGCCACTTCGGTGAAGAGGCCTCTGAGGGCGTCGTAGTCAGGTGTGTCCTCGAAGCCCATTTTCCGAACTTCGTCGAGGTACTTGAAAAATTGTGGGGGGTATTGCTCGATCACCACTTTGTGTTCCTGGTCCCAGAGTTTACAGAGGTCCTCTTCAATGTCTGTTTTCTGCTTCTTCTCCCCAATCTTCTCATATTTCTGCTTGTTAGTCGCAGCCTTCAGACCTTGCCAGGGGAGCGATCCTCGCAGGAAGTAAAAGAACACATGGCCGAGTGCTTCGAGGTCGTCACGCCTCGACTGTTCCCGTCCAAGATGGGTGTTGACGCTCATATATCGTGCGGTACCAGATAAGGATTTGCGCTCTCGGTAGGGGATGTGTTGCTTTGTCTTAGGATCCCGATACTGCTTGGCCATACCGAAGTCGACGACATGGACGACATTCTCGCCCTTGCTACCAATCTTGCCGATCAGGAAGTTGTCAGGCTTGATGTCTCGGTAGATGAGGTTCTTTTCGTGGATAGTTTGAACGCGAGAGAGCTACAATGAACAGTCAGCACATGTCAAGAGCGCAACTGCGCAAAAGGTCAGCCAAGAACCGTCGGCTGAGAGCCGCTCACCATCTGCTTTGCCACCATAACGACGGTCTTCAAAGAGAATTTCCGCTGACAGTGGTCGAACAGATCCTCTAACGATGGCCCCAATAGGTCAATTACGAGGATGTTGTGCAGTCCTTCTTGACCGAAGTAGTACACGTTGGGAATGCCGGCTAGTTAGACGGGTTAGCCTGCGCACCGGCGACCAAGATCGAAATGACTTACGGCACCCGACGAGGATCTTGTATGTCCTGTACTCATCACGCAACTGAGGAGCATCGCTCTTCCTTGGTTCCTGGCGCGCGCAAGGTTAGTGTATGGCCACCTGGGTGGACGACGGGTCTGACGGCGATTGAACGCAGCCGCATAACCAACATACAAATTTTATGGCAACTTGTTGATTGTTCAACAAGTTCGTTCCCTCAAAAATGACACCAAAGGAACCCTCGCCAATCTTCTTCCCAACTCTGTAGTGCACGCCGACGACGTTCGATGAAGAGGAGGCCATCTTGACAGAGAGACCAATCCTCTAGGACGCGAGAAAGGGCGTGAGACGGTATGAAGGACGTTTCGATTCGAGAGATGGAATCGAAAGGGGTGGCCGATACCGAGTGGTGATTTTCGGCTGGGTAATTACCAGCGGGCCCCGGGGGTTGGGGGGAAGGGCCTAGTTGAAGCGAAAAGGGGCGGTCAGCAGGGCAACGCCGCTCATTTTCCGACGACCGAAGGACAGCAGAGGCGGCACGGAGGCTTCAGAGACGGCTCGGCGTGGCCTCAATTGCCATGGGAAGCAGGATCAGGGTCGTGAAGGCGACAGTTGAAGGATGTGGAGATGGGAAAACAGAGCGAAGCATGAGCAAAAGCCAGGTGAGGAATGGGTGGTGTGGTAACAAATGGGGAAACCTTGAGTCTGGGCACTAGGGATGGAAGAGAGAGAGAGGGCTGCCTGCTGATTGTTGCCGATGGCCTGGGCCGGGGGGCACGCGAGTCACACACAGTTCGCGCCGTACGTACCTTTTCTGGGGTCCAGCAGGACCTAACGGCCGACCTGACCAGTTGGATGGGGGAGACCTGACAGGAGGCGAAGCTGGCGTTGCCCGCAGATTGGTTGTCGCCAGGAGAATTGCCCGATGTACGGACAAAAGGTCACTGGACGGGCCTGGCTCGTACTTTGGAGGATAGATACAAACTACCCGTGTTTGCCTATAGTGTCGCCACGGGATAGGGGGAGGGACAGGATCAGGATCAGGATCAGGCTCTATAATGCTGACATAGATAGGTTGAATCGAGGATCCTCTGCAGGTCAAATGGCGACTTATCGACAGCTACAATTGAGCCGCAAAGAAAGGGATTGTCGTGTGCGGTACGGTAGCAGGTGGTCGACAGACGGGCGAGGGAAGCGGGCGGAGGTATCGCGGAATGGATTGTCGCCCTTTTGGGTCGGGAGCCGATGGGCAAGTGCAGGCGGGCAGGTCTTAGTGACGACTATCTGCCGCTATTCCTTGCCTTGCTGGGTGACCGTCCCTTGAACCCTGCTTCTGCTTCTGCTTCTGGTTTGAGGAGGAGGAAGAAGAAGGAGAAGAAGGTTGCCTCGATGTTGGCTGGCCTTGGCGTGGAAGCTGGCCTTGCTGGCTGATGAGCTGGCTGAGCAGGCTGGGCTTCTTCCAATGGCTGGGCTGGGCTGGGCTGGCGGGCTGCTGAGCTGAAGTCAATCGGGGGCGCGTTGTAACTTGTGGAGAGAGGGAGAGAGGGAAAAAAGAGGGAAGAGGACTGCAGGAGGTTGCAAGGAACGAACGACAAACCAACGAAACCATTGGACACGACAGGAGAGACACAGACCACAGCCACGACACGACAGGTACGGGGTTGCCATCGACAGGCTGACAGCCAGGCAATGCCAGGCAATGCCAGGCGAGCTGGCTGGAGAGATTGGAAGGCTCGACCCGCAAAGGAGCAGAACGGTCGGGCCACATTTGGGTGGGTACAAAGCACAAGCACCTACCACAGTAGCATGCCTAGGGGCTGGAGAGCACCACCCTCTGCGTCGTAGCTCGCAGCTGCTACGTACCGTTTGGGCCTGCAGGCCGGTCGCTCACTCAACCATTGGAGCCGGGTCCAACAGGGGCCAGGGGACAGGGAACAGGGGCCAGGGGCTAGGGGGGTCCAGGGTTGCAAAGGGGGGTCGGGATGTGTAGGTACTGGAGAGTCTACCTTGGTACAGGGGACCACCAGCCAGCGACCCATCCATGCACTAGCACACATCGCGTCGGCATTGGCTGGAAGATTGCTAAGAGATTCTCGCCAGTTTTGTTTGTGTACCTAGTACTCAAACTCAGCACGGCCGTCCCGCCCGTCCACAGTCTCCCCCCAGTCCCAGCAAAATGAAGAGGCGAAAGGGAACGCGCTGCAGTACGTGTTTGGGTCTCTCAATATCCCTCAGCTCGACAACCAACGACGGGCCCTCGGAGCATAGGGGAAAAGGAGGTCGTGGTACGGAGCTGTCATGCAACAATGCTGACCAGATAGATACACAAAGTGGCAAAGAAGTATGTATGGATGTATGATGTACATACATATAAATATATATATATATACTCACAGACAGCCAACATCATCTGGACAGCTCACTCTCAGGGTCCTCACCCAGCCTCGGGCGTGTACCGTGTGTGCATATGCAGGCGGTTGTGCCTCTGCATTCTTGCCAGTGGATATACGTGTACTCCCTGGCCAAGCTCTGCCACCTAATCTAGGAATCTGCACATAAGAGGAGAAAAAGGTCAGCAAGCAGCGCCCAGCAAACAGTATAAGCTTTGCCCTAGACCACGATCGCCATCTTCGTCAGCACTACGCTATGCTGTGCTGAACTCGGGTCGACAGCCGCATCTCGCATCAACAAGCTCGAGTGCTGAAGCCGGCTACCAAACAGCCCGACTCAGAAAGCAGAGCAGCCCCCTTCTGCGCCCGGGTCGCCGGCTGATGGAACGCGGAGCCTCCTTTTAGCTTGCCCGCCGACGAAGACAGGGCGTCGCTCCTACAAACCACAAACAATTGCTTGAATCGTAGAGAAAGCTTCTTGTTAGTCGACCAGCTCCGCCGTGATCAACCACCGCCGACCTGTAGCAGGGTCAGCCGGGCAGGAGAATGGGCCGGCGGGAGGATGGCTGAAGGCTGATGACCCTCTCCGCCTTGGCCGACTTCCGGCCCTGCATTGGGGGGAATAGATAATACAACCCTACAGAGACGAGACAAGCGAGACCAAGCGTGCACATGCCCACACACACACACATACACACATCCACACAGGTCGCCGGCAATTGCCAGGCGACAGACGTGCTGTGATGTGGCGGCATCCGCCTCTGCATTGCCCGTCTTTCAACGGGGCGGGCTCTTGGCCGCCGATCCTGTTTCTCACGTCACACGGCATCGCATCGTTGTTGCCAGGCGTTGCCAGGCGCTCTCGCTCTCGCTGATCCAACCGGAAATGCGAAGCCCTTCAGGTGCTTCTGCCCAGCAGATGAGCTCATTCTACAACAGCAGGCTCGCAGGCTCGCGGAGAAAAGGCCTGCCAATCGAGACCCGCAGTTCCCCAGCTGCATCCCAGGACCCGGCCCTGCTGGATGCGACCGCAATCTTGATTGACCCCAGGGATCCTCCGAGGAGAGATGGGCACTGGATTCGAGCTGGACATTGCATCAATGCCATCTTTTTCATGTCCGTTCGTGACCGCCCGCCCGTGGGCTATATAACCACCAATATGAGTTGTTTGTTTCAATAACGGACGCCGTGCCTCGGATGCCTGACGTAGGCGCATGCGTGCTCGGGCTTGACTGTCCTCAGCTTGGCGGTTTCTGAATCCCAGTGAGCAAGGCTTAATATATTGCTCTTTTTTGAGGCTCGCTTAGCAGCCGCAGGGATGGTGCCGTCCGCGGCCGACCGACATCCTCCGGCGGCTAAGTGCGAACCGCCTCCATTGGGCTGCCCGTCTGCGGCGTGCCTAGGGTTATTCGCCAGCCGCGCTGCTAGACGACATGCGAGGTTTGGCACCACGGCGGCAGGAACGAAGCGAAAGCTCGACGAACATGCACCGAGCCAATCTTGGGATCCCAACGGGCGGTATCGGCCGCTTGCCGTGCAGTAAGGCTCTTGAGGGGGGAAAAAAGTAACATGGAGCCCCAAACCACCCATATGCTATTGGTCTGTGCCACGGCTTCCAGATTAACTTGACGCGTGCAAAGGATGGAGCTTCGTCTCGCTGCAATCAAAGTGTTTCCGACTTGATTGGTATCTGCAGTCTCGACCTCCACAAAGCCCCGTACTGTCGCGATTCTCGAACTCGACCGTACCAGGTCGTTTACACCTGCCGGCCGAGGTCCTGACACCGATCGTCGAGGAGGTCTGCATCACAGCGGAGCTTGACAACCTGGGCTAGACTGTGATAGTGGAGTTCGAGTGCCCACTCAGGAATTTTCTGTGAATGGGTGTGAGGACTGCTATCCATTCTGGAATGTCCTGGGCAATGTCGAGGCAGTGCCGTTATCGCGGAAGCCGCTCACAGTGAGTTGGCATTTTGTCTTGTGCTGCCACAATGGGGGGCAGAACACGTTTTCGACGATCGAATTGCAAGAATATGGCACCATCGTGATGAGTTCGAAGCCTCCATCACGCAGCGATTCAGGGATCAGAGTTTCGGCAGGGTTGTCTCGGACTCGTTCCTCCATGGATATGGAATTCATTGTCATTGCTGCCCTTGTGTTTTTTTTTATGACAACGAGCGACGTGAGAGCTTATAGCAGGCAGCTTTTCTCCCCCAGAATCTGACAGAAGTACCAGCGCATTTATATTCTTATTTCGAGTTGTCAACGGGAAGAAGGTATATGTCGGGACAAAGACAGTGATCCAGGATATCGCAGTAGGCCCGCTTCCGACTCATAGCTATCCAGGGGGATCTAAGACGTCTCTGAAGAGCATGGCTCGTGAACACTGTAGCATAATTAAAGTCGAACCGCCAGCCCCCGAATGGGACAGTAAATGTTCTGCGGCGAAAGAGTTCACTGCTGTCTAGTTCAGAGGTTGAATTGGCTGTCAAGCATCTGGATGGTTCACTCATTCTTAGTTAGAACCTCACCAAGACTACGCAAGTATGAAAATATGAACCTAGCCTAAGGAAGGTTGTATCTGTTCTGCTCTGTTCTTCTCTTGCTATGCTTTTTGTTCCGACATCTGCCGTCTCCCAGAATTACCCGCCCCGCCAGTCAGGGGCAGTGGAAAAGCGAATGATATATAGACACGGACCGGTAATACACCTATTTGCCCCCAAACCCTTGCCCGCCCCATCCCTTTTTTTGCCTTGTAAGAGTAAAGAAGAGTAAAACGCAACCATGTACGCCCACAGAACAGACTGAACCTTATCCGAGCTGCAATGTCTGCCTGTATGATGATCAAGAAACAAAGGGGAGGGAGTAGCCTCAAGTGAGCCCATGAGGAACCCGATAACAAAAGTCCTGAGCTGACGTTCCTCGGCGGCCACACCGAATGATCCTCTACTCCTCATCGTCGTCTGCCTCCACGCTCTCCACCACGTGCCCGTTGCCTTGCCCGTTCACCTTGGCCAGGGCCATGGGGCCCCCATTCGCGCCATTCGCAGTCACCGCGTCCAGGTCCTCCATCACCTCCCTCTTGGCCGACTCCCACGCCGCCTTGGCCCAGCGTGAGAGCTGGTTCTTCTCAATGTATTTCTTCAGCTGCGTATCCTCCCACCGCATGGCCTCGGCACGCTTCTCCAGCAGACCCGGATCGTCGTCCTCCCACCTAAGGACTTCGACGTTGGGGTCTGTGTAAACACCCTGGCTGGCTTCTGGAGAGAGAATGTAGTCGGTCTCTATGTTATCTTGTTTAAGTTCTAAGAAGCACGGTTAGCCTTGCGAAACTAAACAAATTGAAATGATAGAATTTGACAGGGAGCTTACGGTGTTGATGGCATGCGACCATAGTGCAGTAGGGCTGCGTCTCGACCAGCTTACTGAGAACAGCTTGATCGCTCATGTTCTCGGTGTAATTGACCTTGGTCCAATCGTCGCGAATGTAACACCGTCTCCAGATGAGCCTCCTGGCATCCTCCCTTTGTTTGCCCTTTATGCCAAGTTCGGCCACTCGAAGTGCTTGGAAGAACAAGAAACCAGGCTCAACACCATAGTCATCAACTCGAATCAGGGTCAGGAGATTGATGAGGCTAAGTGGCTGCAAGGCTTTGTGAGTGACAAGCTGGAAGAGATCCTCCTGCAGATCATCCGACAGCACCTTATACTTCTTCGGAATTTTGGGCGAGAAAGTTTGCATGGCGAGCTCGACCGCTGCAACGTCGTCAACAGCGTCTTGAAAGGCTGGAACCACCACCTGGTAGATTTGGTCTTGGATTCGAACAATCTCGAGGTCATTCTCAACCTGCGCCAGCTGATTGTCACACCTGGCGGCTTTGCTGCGGACCAGAGCCGAGTTTCCATCAGTCTCAGCACCGGCTCCTTCCGCCAGAAGTGTCAATTTGCCCAGGCTCAGCTCAATCTTTTTGTTCCACACCTGGTCTTCCGCCTGGCCCACACCGATGAGAGTCTTGGCGGCCGAATCCAGATCGTGTTCGCGCTCGATGTCGTTTATCCAAGAGATCTTGCCGAGGCGATCGTCGTTCCTTAGGAACATAGTAGCGAACCCTTTCTTATCAGAGCCTGCAAACTCCAGCACCATCTGGATGCCACCATAAGCAAGCAAGAGTCTGTACGCTTCAAAAGCGAAGCTCGCACCGTAAGTATCCATGTACTTAGTGAACAGGCGTTTCTTCTCATCCAGTTTGGCGTTGATCTCCACAAGCCTCCGGGCTTCAATACCACGCACTCTGGCTTGACTGCGCAGCTCCTTAATCTGGCCAACAACCAATTCTGCGAGGGCCCTGAGGCTGACATATTTCTCGGCAAGCCGGAGCGCATCATCCCAGAGCCCGTAGTTCTTGAGCTTCAGAATCAGGTCACTCAGATCAGCAAGGATCGACTTGCATTTCTCGCAAAAAATCAAGGCTTCCTCGTCGCCATTTGGTTCAGCCCAGCTGACTGATTCAGTCAGAGTCACAATGAGCTGGTCTGCCAAACTAGGCATCATATTTCGAAGTGACTCGATTAGGCTCGACGATGGAGATCCCGAGACAGTCTGAGGGGGGTAATAAGTATCGAGCCACATCTGGCAAAGTTGATTGAGGCGAAAGAGGTTATTGGTGACAAAAGCGGTCGACGTCCAGAATACGGGCAGGCCGAGGTAGTCAGCCTGGTTTTTCAAGATGCCGTTTTCGACATTTTCATCTCCAAGGCCGTAGAAATCGAGATTGCGTTGGCGATACTCAAGAGCGCCGTGAAGGATCTCGTAGAACACGTGTACACCTTCATAAAGGAAGCGCGTCAGAGCCGGGTCGTCCGCCAGATGCTCTTTATGATAATGCTTGATCATTTGGTATGTCCAGGGCACAAAGATCTCCATTCGGCCAGTGTCATTGACAAACCACGTGCGAGCCCGATCGAGCTCTCCAACATTGCGATCGGGGTTCTTCTTGTCTTCCTCGGCGATGCACTCGATGACTTCAGAGACAACAGTCTTCCTGTCGTTATTAGGTCTCTCGCTCAAGAAAGTCTCGTGCAATTTCCACAACTCCCGTGCCATATTCAGTTTCTCGGCGTTGGAAAGTAGTTGCCATTTGGTGCGACGATCGAGTTTGACTTTTTGCGCGTTCAAGTGAGACATGAGTTTGTCGAGATAGCTGCCGCGCTGTCGCAGGTTGAGCTCTATCGAAGCAGGTAGGGCTGTGAGGACAGATGTATTTGAGGCAAGAATATCATTCGACAACTCCAGAGCTGCCTCACCAATTTCCGCATCAGAGAACGGCATTTCTCTCCGGCCCTCGAATACCAAAGGATTGTCGTCCTTGAGTCCAAAGATGACGGCCTGGTCCAGCTTGTTTCTCGCAGTCACCTCGGGCGGCTTTTCGCTGGCGAACTTGTCAATGTCTGTGAGTGCGACTCGAACAATACCCACGCCGCGGATCATGAGTACCACTGTCGGATTCTTGATCTTCACGCGGTGAGACCTCGGAGCCTCAAGCTCCTGACCTGGGCCCAAAGGCTCTTCCACCCCTGAGCCAACTATCTCGAGTGATTCCTCATTCCGCAGATCGACCACATCTTCGTAAGTGGCTGGCAGGACGTGATTCTCTCCTTGTATTTGTGAGTCTGGTGTTTCAGGCGGCGCCGCTATGGATGCCATCACAACAGCACGGTCGAATACAATGAAGGCCACCAGACCTGGTCTCGGCAGACAGAGTCGTGTCCGCGCGGTAGCTGAAGGATTGACCGGGGTGGTGTACGAAGAGATGGTCCTGACCATCCCGACGTCCAAAGCTTCACCCCGGATGACGGTTTCAACAAGAGCATATTGCGATTGACGTTTGTTGCTGAGAGATACAAGGAGTAGTAGATGCTGAACGGAGTCATCGTCCACGGTCAGGGCTTGGCTCAGTCGGCTTGCATCGGTGTATTTCGTCTCAATACCCCGTGGGACGTATGTAAAGTCGACAACCTCGAAGTCCACGTTGCTTTGGATTGGGGGGAGGACTGATTGGAGTCCAGCCAGGATGGATTCACGCGCGTCGATATTAGCGATGATCTCGTGATGTCCAGCGCGTTGAACCCTCCACGCATGCAGCCGGCCAGCCTTGGTTGCCGCCACGACATTCTTGGGCCCAGGTCTGCTGGAGGGGTTGACTCTCACAGCTGCAATATCACCCCGTGAAACAGCTGACTTCAGGGCGTTGCGAATGCTGCCAAAGACGCTAGGCCAATGACCGGAGGACTGGCCCCATGTAGCCTGAAGAAATTGGATCGATATCGAAGGTTTGCCCTGGCCGTCGCGAACACTCAGATGTGCTAGTCGGCCACTGCTAAGCGAAAGAATGAAACCAGCGGTGTCGGCCTTTGTGATTTCGACGACGTGTTCCCCTCCAAACAGTCCTGGTACCGTGTCCTCGACGCCGTTCCTTTGTTGTCGAATGAAGTCGAGAGTCGCTGCGCTAGAAATGTGCTCCCAGAAAGAAACCTTGCCGCTGACGGGCATCACCACCACCAATCCGGGCTCTTCGGTAGGAGTTCCCGCGGAGACAAGCGACCCAAGGGGCAAAGGCTCGGTGGCATGTTTTGAGGGGTACGGCAGGGTAAAGGCAAATGTCTCGGGAGAGGGCGTGGACCCGGCATATTGCCAGACCAAGGCGTGGGTGTGGGTGAGGCAAAGACCGTAGCCGTTGGAAGCGTCGATGGCACCGTGTTGCCGACCTAGAAGCGGTCAGTCAGTCAAGCAATGCGGATGATGGAAGACCTAGCTACCCACCTGTAGAGTCTGCGCGGATTCTATCCGGAAGGGCTATCAACTTGCTCACGGTGTACGCGCTAGATCTTGCCTATGAAGGGACTCGAGGTCAGCGAAGGTCCGACTCCCGACGTCGTGGGACGCGTCGTGTCGGGTCTGTATGGTATTGAGGTTAACGCACTAGCTCAACACTACCGTCGCTCTTGCTTGTCCTCTCGGCCTGCTTGGGCTTCTTTGGCCTGACAGCAACTTCTCTCCGCACAGATCTCGTCGTCAAAGCCTGGGCGTTTTCAATGCCATCGGGATGGGAGGGCAGTCTTGCGATCTTATCGTTCTTGACCTCAAGCATCTCGGGAGGCTGCGCATTCTGGGGGTCTGGGTTGACGAAGGTGGAATCGGTCAGAGGACGCCGTTGCCGCTTGGCCTTTGGCTGTTGTGTCAGGCTGTTGTCGGAGCTGACAGGACGTTGCCTCCGTCGACTTCGAGTGGCCATGGCGGGGCCACCGGAGGTGTTTTGGTTCGGTGAAAACATGGCGGACGCGGACAACGGACGAGGGGCGGGTGTGATGCAGCTCGTGGCGTGCCGGTCAGTCGCAGTCGCAGTCGGAGTCGATCGATCGGGGCGGTCGCGCTGGTGGTTTGTTGCCAAGCAGGGCTGGTATGGGGATAGGGCGCTCTTGATGGCAAAGTCGATGCAGATGTGAAGGCTGGAATGGTCTATTCCATGACGATGAGGGGAAGTCTCGATCGCTGCGTGCAGGACGAGGGTGCTGATGCAGGCGAGGAGGATGGGGGGCCGCGCAGGCGATGTTGTGTAAATTCTTGGTTGGATGGACCGGCAGAATTGCGCTGCAGATGCTCACCACCAAAAGTTGTCGTCTGGCCCCAGGATACCAAGCCAGGATGGGTAAGGTTCAAGGCCAGCAAGGCAAGGACTCGAAGCTTCAGGCCAGGCACTGTTTCTGGGTGGTGCTGATGGTGCTGATGGCAACGAAGGGTGCACAACGCGCAGAGGTGATTGGGTCTTGTTGACTTGGGTCGAAAAATCACCAGTTGCTACTGGACCGTGCTTGCAGTCAGCTTTGCCCCGTTTCCACAACGCTAGACTCGAAACGTCGAGCAGCCCATGGGTCCATCCACACCGCCGCAGGGGTGAGAGCCCCACTCATGGTGTTGTTGCTGCTGCTGCTACAGAGCTCCAGAGCTGGAGCTGGCAGAGCTCAGCGAAAACAAAGGCACCTCAATTCCACTTCAAGGTCTAATCCATGGCAACCTCGCCGGCGACAGCTTCCATAACACACAATTCGTAGATCCATTGTCTCCCTTCACTTACACTCGGATGCCCCTAAACAATGCTGCCTGTCCTATTGTATGCCAAGGCTGCTCTGCTGTTATGGAGTCGGCCGTGTCTTTCTCGAACTGAGGCTAACGTGTGACATCATTTCGCCTGCAGAGCCTCACCAGTGGCTGATATCTCCAGATAGTGTCGGCTCAATGCCGAAGTCAAGTGCATCATCACCTCCGATATCGACTCGGTCCTCAACACCAACTTTCCTACACCTGTATCCGTGAACTTTCAGCGCTGCAGGTCTCATCGATGGCCGGCTGGGACATCAAGTCTATAACTCATAGAAATATTTCTTTGCTTTCTTTCTGATATATTTATGTACATGATTCTCTACGCATTTTGGAAATAATGAAGCGTCTCGGTACGGCTGTGACCATTACCGACCCGCTCGTGAAGTACAATGCGCTTCTGGCAACCGGCACTTTCCACCCTGATCCAGCTCAGCACCGTCTAGCCTATCATCTGCAAAAGCTATATCTTCGCTTAAAAGACTATCAACCGTCTACAGAGTACCGAACAAAGCTCCGCCAAATAACCCAGTCCATCGGTGGTGCCAGGGAAAATGAGACGGACCAGCTGGCAGTCTCAAGCCATCCCATCAGGCGTAATCCCCTTTTCGCCAGATTTTTCAGATCGACCGAGGGCCCGCGAGACAGTCTATCCCTGACACGCATCCTGACGAGCCATCAAGCTGCCGTCGATATCGACTCTCCTAGAGGGCTGTTCCTCTCCGGCGAGGTGGGCACTGGCAAGTCCATGTTATTAGACCTGCTGGCGGACGGTTTACCCACAAGCCGGAAGCGGCGATGGCATTTCAATACGTTCATGCTGTATGCATTTTCGAGACTCGAACACTTTCGAACAGCGCACCCCAGCATCACTCGCGAAGACAGAGAATGGTCCGTGCTATGGATGGCCAAAGAGATGATTGAGACGTCGCCCATTTTGTTCCTAGACGAATTTCAGCTCCCGGACCGAGCTGCGAGCAAGATTCTCAGTAACTTGTTCATCGCATTCTTTCAGCTTGGTGGCGTGCTGGTCGCATCATCCAATCGCATGCCTGATGAGCTCGAAAAAGCCACAGGGACTTACGGATCCCCACCGCCTACAGGTGGCCTGGTCCGTAGCTTTTTTGGCATGGGCGCTCAGAAACAGAGGGGAGAGCTATTTGGAAGCACGAGCGATTTTGCTGCCTTCTTGGAGGTCTTAAAGGCGAGGTGTGATTTTTGGCATATGGAAGGTGCACAGGACTGGCGGAGGCGAGACATACAGGAGCATCTTGGTCTGCAACAGAACCCAAACACAGAGCCCGGCTCTACCGTCTCCGGCCCCGCCTTGGACAACTCAGATTCCGGCCTTTTGCTCGTCCGGGACGAAATTGGCGACTCTACGACACCGCGGAAATATGCGCTAACGGTGGATGGCCCCGAAAGTTGGAATCAAATGGTACTTGAGGTCGTCAATAACCCGCTTATTTCGTCGATACCCTGGTCGTCAGCCACTTTGGTTGTATATGGTAGGCTGGTCAGCGTGCCCAGACAGTACCAAGGCATCGCAAACTGGGATTTCAACGAGTTGGTGCACAAATTTGGGCCAGCGGACTACGTTACACTGGCCTCGAACTATCATACATGGATTATTGACAAGGTACCCGTGTTGCCAGTGTCTATGAAGAACGAAGCACGCCGCTTCATCACACTCCTGGATGCGCTTTATGAGGCTCGTTGCAAGGTCCTTATTCGAGCCGAAGTCGGGCCCGACAACCTCTTCTTCCCGGAACAGAACCGGCGCAAATCTTCACGTTCCGGACTGACTACGATGACCCGTACGAAAACGACAAGCAAGAACGAATCGAGTGACCATGAAGACGCAACTTACTCCGAAACCATCTCTGAAGTCTACCAGGACTCTGCCGCCCCCTTCAGACCCAACATTTCGAGCTATAATGACGGCCCATCCCCTTCCGCCAACAAGGCCTCCAGCATCCATGCCGAGATTGACTCGGACTTCGGCATACTGGGACAGAAGGTCGACTTCGTGAACACGTCTGCATTCACAGGTGAGGACGAGCGATTTGCGTACAAAAGAGCAGCGAGTCGGCTGTGGGAAGTCTGCAGCGCGTCCTGGCATGCGCGTCCTGGGCCCCCGGAGGCCTGGTGGCAGCCTTTGCCCGCTGAGGCGCGGCACTGGGAGAGCAAGGAACCAACAAAGCCTCTTGACATGAGCTACGCGGCACAGAGCAAGACACCAGGGGACGTGTCTTGGGGACCCTCGGTGGACTTGGAGGAGCCAGCGGGGCTCTCAAGACTACGCGTTGATGAATTGAAGAACGGCAGAAATGAATGAGTGTCGTTCACATGAAGTCACTGCATCTTGACTTATTCGTCTCTTGAACATGGAGGCTTATACAACATCCAGTGTTTTTTCGAGCAAGTGTGCCCATGTAAGATGATTGGTGGTTCACGTCTTGAAAGGTTGAAACACCCTCTGTGGATCCTGTTCACCAGTCTCAGTATTCCCAAAGACGACGGTTTTGCGCGCCTAGGTAGGCAAAGTGCACTGCTCAAATGCAATCTTGAGCGCCTGAAAGCCAACGTCAGTTACATTAAAACAGACACTGTCAGTCAGGCTGGGGCGCCTGGTCGAAGCGGCCGTGGCACTAGCTGCGAACCCATATACCTGCAGCACTCCGGAGCACCACCCGCCGAGTCTATTTCAGGGGTTGGTTCCCCGCAACACCAAATGCCAGGTGACCTCAACCTCGACTTCATGATTGTGGGCCGCTCAAAATGAGACTTGTCTCCTTCCCTTACCACTGCATAGATTATGTCCAAGTATCAGATGGGCAGCTACCTTTCTTAATCCTACCAAAATGTGAGAGCAGTCCGCCATGATCGGCGACAAAACCATAAGGCCAAGGCAACGGCGGAGGCTGCGAGATATCCTCTGCTGCGCAGGGCTTGTCTTGATTATCTACTGTTTCTTCTTGGCTGGGCAAACGCCCAAAGGGAGCCAACATGGGACCTCCGCCATCTTCCAGGGCTCTCACGGCGGCCTGCATCCTCCAGAGCTTTTGAACAGCCTCTCCCTTACGACCTCACAATGCGAAGCCGCGTTCCCGAACCTAACCTGGTCCATCGACGACGTCGTCTCACAGGGACCCTTCACTCTTACCCCAAAGGCAGCACCGGTGTTAGGACGTATTGAAATGGGCCAGTTGCATGTCCTCAAATCTCAGCGCAAGAACGAGCTCTCAGACGAGATGCTCAACTCCCGCACCGCGTCGCTGCACCAGATCCACCGCGCCATGCTAACTGCACCGCCCTCCGAGCCCGTTCCGGACACGGTCTTCGCGCTGAATTTCCAGGACCAGCCGTTCGGCACGGCCTGGGCCTATTCAAGACAAGCCGATCCCAACTCGCGGCCCGGCTTCGACGACGGAAACGCTAATGCGCGGACGTTCCTGATGCCACACTTCTCCTTCTGGGCGTGGAAGCTGCCCTTCATCGGCTCCATGGGCAGGGCAGCCAAGGCCATCGCGGAGATCGAGACCAAGCTGCACCCGACGTTCAAGTCCAAGATCCCCAAGGCGGTGTGGCGCGGGACGACGTGGTTCAACAGCGTGCATAACCCGCGCCTGCGCGCCAACCTGCTCGCTGCGGCCAAGGACAAGCCCTGGGCGGACGTGGAGGCGCTGGTGTGGGACGGCGGCAAGGACGGCAAGGCCGGGCGGACGGCGACCAATAGCTTGCCCATCGAGGACTTCTGCAAGTACAGGTACATACTGCACACCGAGGGCGTCACGTACAGCGGGCGGTTTCAGTTCCTGCAGATGTGCGCGAGCGTGGTCATCACGCCGCCTATCGGCTGGATGCAGCATGTCACGCACCTGGTCCGGCCGGTGTTTTCGCACGCCCTGCCGGGGCTGGAGGGATCCTGGACCCCCGGTGCCATGACGAGCAGGTCATGGGCGGACGGTTATGGGCCCGAGGAAGCTAACATTGTGTTCGTGAAGCCGGACTGGTCGGACCTGGACGACGTGGTTGGCTGGCTGGAGGGCCACCCCGACGTGGCTGAGGGCATCGCGCGACGGCAGCGGAGCTTGTTCGCGGATGGGGGTTATTTCAGCCCTGCTGCTGAGGCGTGCTACTGGCGGGCGCTGATCCGGGGGTGGAGTGAGGTCGTGCGAGTCGATGAGGGCGAGCTGGCGGAGGTCGGACCGGGCCAGACTTTCGAGTCCTTCGTGTTGACGAATGGGGACTGAAAGACGGGCACACGGAAAGTTCGAGCTTTAAGTCAATTTCCACAGGATGGGGGTTCTGTTGGGGGTTCTGACCCGCTATCCCACCTTATCCTTCACATCGTGTGTTGGAAAGCCGAGACACTGAAAAAGAGAAGGCTTTGCAGATATGGCGTTATGACAGTGACTCACTGGCGGGTTCGATGCATTAAGAGGAGTCTTCAGATTATTGTGGTTTCTTCTTTATACACTTGCTTTGTCACGGGCGATTACACTCACCAATGTGCACTCGAGACTCCTTCCCGCCGAAGCTAACACATGCGTCAGGTCGTTCTGCTTGTTGCTTCTTCCATCCTGTAGCCTATGAATTGAGTTGAGATGACCATCCACCGTGGGAACGGTGTCTCGGAACCTTTAGATCTCCGGCCATCTGCAAGGACCCGGCCCCAATACCTTGGTCCCTCTTTCCTACCCCAGTTGGATCGCCAGAGAGGTTCCTGGGATCTCAATGAGTCTAATGGCGCCTTGCTCGGCATCTTGGCATGCACAAGTGATGGCGGGGATTTGAAGGGTGCGGGCGTGCGGCCCAGTCCTGCAAGGGATTCATCCTCTTCTGGGTCTGAGCCAATATCAATTGTAGTGACCAACGGGCGCACAGGAGTAAGTGAGTCACTGTGAGTGTTGTTACTAAGAAATGACCAAGGAATTGGCCAAGAAGTTCATCTGCACAGTTGGCCGACTTTGCGACCTCCAGCCTACCAGGCACCCGGAACCAAGAACACCACTTTTCATTCGTGTTTTCCCGTCGAGAGCCCAAAGCGTGTGACATTGTTCTAGCATATGCTGAGAATTGACAAAGCCTTTGCTTTCGTCTTCTCATTTGTCGAGGACCGCGGGCTGCTGGTGTTTACATAGGTCGAAGTTAGCGTGATATATTGCGGCGTAAGACTTGGACGGTTCTCAGCGCCGGCTCGGATCCGTCGGAATGGCTGGACGTCACTGTCAGCAAGAACTGCCTCGAAGGATTTGGCTGTACTGCTGACGTTGTACGATTGGGTGCCTCGTAGGATCTTTGAAGCCAGATTTCTAACATGCCTAGTGCAACTTTCCCGGAATCGACAGGTTGTCTCACCTGTCGCGGTTACACAGCATGTGTCGCCGAGAAGTCTTGCTGCTTTTTAAAGTCGTGAGCCGGGTCTGACTACTTGCCAACGTCTTCGTGAAATTCTCGCTGTCGTCTTTTGTGCATTCCTTATACACCTCTAAGGGTGCCTCTTGGTTCCACCTCGATATTCACCAGTGTGCCTTCAGGCAAGGCCGATGCGACCAACAACGAGCGGAGTCCACTGTCCCTCGTTCCCGGACAGACCTCACACTTGGCAATCATCCAACGAGAAATTTTATGAGAAGTGGACATGGCACCCTTAACGGAGGCTACATCGACGTCGACTGCTCTTGAACCAAGAGAGACCAGGTTCTATTACAACAACGGGGACTGCGGGGACAAAACTATCTACATATGTCGACCTGGAATAATCTTCGCGATAATCGGGTCTATTATCATTGGCGGCGCTGTTATTTTCTATACGCTTTACAGTATCAGCAAAAATCAGGTGAGTTCATGTTCTTGAGAATAGTAACCCCTTTTCTTGAAACAATGAAACGCGTCACGCGCCAATTTTGAGTGGCAATGTCTCGTCTCATCTATATATTTGTAGAGCTAATATAGATTTAATGAATGGAAGGAACTTATGGAGAAGCTGGGCCCTATTTTGAAAAGATTATTGCCTTGTTTTCATCCGCGAAAAAAGGGAAAAACACGCCGCCGTGCAAAAAGCAATCTAGAATTGACCACCGTGGACTTCGACGGCAAACCAGTCACCTCGGACCCGCCCAAAGACTCTGAAGCCACCGGGGATAGCCAAATAGCGTCGGCCTCAAATTCACGCCATGTGCATTTCAGCGGCCCCTCGTGAGCCATTAGCATAGCGTTCTCGGCGATCAAGCTTTATCAATCCCATTACAGCACTGCGAAATTCAAAGGAACATGCGCATCAGAAATGACCCGGACCCGGCAGCACTTCTGAGTGTCGCATGCCACCTGCAATCCCTTCGCGAAAACCAGAAAGGCGATGTGGACGTTGAGTCCAAACTTAGCCTGATGGATGATGGGATCCTCACCGTGACCAGCAAATGAAGGGATGCAGAGGTTTAACTAGACCGTAAAGAATTCCGTTGACAGACGTTGGATTTCGAAGTCTCAAAACTTCCTTTGCAGAAGGGAAACACAGAAGAGCTATGAAACGCTCATGCACAGGCGATCCTCACCGCGGTGTCACCATTGAGGTTTGAAGCATTGTGACTTTCCAGGCCATCCGTCAAACTGGATGCGAAGGGGAATATATGGTCACTACATGGGATTTGAGATGATGTTTGGCTATTGAGGGAACATATATAAATTTAGACACATCAATATCCAAGCAAAGCTTCGGTATAAGCCGGACGACTTGATCCACATATATGCAATTCGCGTAGAGGATTGCAGATAGGCGAGGTTCAAGAGATTCGGCTTTCCTCAATCTTGATTTAGAGCGAACGAAATATGAGATCGCGGTCACGCTGCGAATGTGTCGACAGACCCAGCCCGAGTAAATGCGTACAGAAAATTATTACTCACTATTTGTCTTTGTTGACAGTACTTTTTAACATGGATTGAATTTCGCACATTGCCTTAAGTGGACAGTGATAGTATCTGACTACTTAACGCTACATACAATTGCTAACGCTTGTATAATTACAAGTCTCATTACTTTTTGAGTCATCAATAAATGCCCAGGTAGCCCATGGATCTTCAATTGATCTAAAATCTTTTTGGGATCAATCAAATAAGTATATAGCAGTGAAGAGTGGCTTCTGCCAAACAAGCACAACGCCTCATCCCCAAAGTTCGGACACATTTGATAGGCACTATCCCCGTATCAACATTATGTTTCATGCATGCCATTCTGTCAATCTAATCGACGTCAAAGAATATCTCAACGAAGACCACAAGTTTTCAGAGCAGAGGGCATGTTGCTACTATTACATATGTCAGCTGCTATCGGAGATTGCTAACTACTCGTTACCTTTAGTACGCTTGATAGTTTGGAGCATCGACTCACCATGCAGATACACAAGTAGAATTGGTAAGACCTCCATCAGGACACGCATCGACACAGCTCATGTAACTATTCATCCACTGTGTCTCGCAGGCACTAATCTGCCGTGACATCGTGGGCGAGCCAGTCGGCAGCGCGGTTACGATCGTGGTGAGGAAAAGGGCGATGACGCCCTTGGGCTGTTCGAGTTGCATTCTCAACTATATAAAACTCTTGACTCAATGGAAAAAGATTTGTATGCCTCCCGGTCATCCAGGTAGGAGTTTGATAGTTGCCAAGGTGGGGTGCTTATTGTCTTGATGACCGGACTGACCGTCATGTATTTATACTCTTGAACAGGAACGGTCTGTCATCAAGTAATAACCAGGTATGTTGCAGTATTTGATATGCGCGTCGCCTTCCAATGATGCTGTGAACGAGTATTCTTCACACTCGCAAGCTCTCACATGCTGGAGTGGCTGACAGGCCTGGTCAGCCACGCCGTCAGCCATGTCGCCACTACCTGCCTACGATGCTGGCGTTGAAACCATGAGAACTTCATGTATGCAAAAGTTTGTCGTCAAGACGTTTTATGCTTGTGAAGTGCATCATTGAAAGGTTGCATGACCGTCGCTGATTGGGTTCCGAGTGCTCCTGATGTGGTGCGAGGCCGACTGAGTCACCATGCGACTCGCAGGGGCCCAACGCCGTAATTCTCCAATGACTTTTTGCGAGGATTACCTCGATACAAAGGTCTCAGACTCGGAATGCGGGAGCATTAAGCAGGCCAATCAAGTTGAGTCTAAAAGCCTACAATGACTACCCGTTGGCGATCCGGACCGAGGAGAAAAGAGAGGGAAGGACATTTGTGCGATGGTGATCCAGAATGGACACTCACTACTGGCTTCACAAGACAGGCCGTGGGGAGTGAAAATCCCTGGTTTACGTGTAGAATCGTCGTCCATGTACACAAGCCAGGCTCAGCACCGTATCTCCACACCTCCCTTGCTGACAGTCAAATACTTGACTCCCTTATAAGGCTTTACGCCCTCTCCCAGGCCCCTGCTCTTCCGGACATCCAGCAAGATGCTCTCTATCCTGATCCCACTTGGCACCCAGCCCTTCACGGAAAAGCTCACGGATGCTGAGCTCGGCATTAGGATTTTGTTCTGAGCGACTCGCTTGGCATCGCGATCGTCCTCCGAGCCTGCGCCAGCAGCCTTGTCTAGCTTCGCCCCAGCCGCCGTAGGCTCAGCTTGGTATGGCTCTTCGTAGGTGTAATCCATTGGTGCCTCCTGGTCGCCCTCGGCCAAGGGACCTGTGACCGTGCACTTCAAACCGAAGTATGTTATTCCTGCATTGAGCTCCTTGGACGGTATGTGCCATTGCAGCTCTCCGTCGCCCGGGTTGTACGTCGCGTCTCCCTTGGTCGGCCGGACATCAGGTAGATTTCTGACGTCCTCGGGTAGTGGCACTGTGATGACGAGGTCTTCAAGCGAAGGAGAAGCGGGCACTCCTTTGCTGGCGCCCCCCCTGCCAGGAGGTCCCGAGCTGGTTGGGGCGCCGAATATCTTGTTGATGTAGATCTTGACCTCAAAGTCCGACCCTGTTGGTCCGAGACCTGTCTTCATCTCAAGGTTTACCGGAAGCTTCAAACTGCTCGAGCTCAAGTTCCCGCTCTTGCCACTAGAGAATGGCAACAAGTCTACCTCGTAGCCCGCCAATATAAACCTCCCATCTGGTGGGATAAAGCTTATCACCCCAGGTTGTTCTTTCCACCTCGCTAGCCTCACACAGGGGTGGAACACCGGAAGCTCCATGACGCTACCGAGATTGTGCTTGCCCGAGGGGCTTGTAAGTGTCATATTGATGTCTGGAACCCCCGAAACCTTGCTGGTGAAGGCGATCGTGCCGTTGGCAAATGCGGCCAACGGCCTCCCGCTCGGCGCAAGAGTGACGTTGAGCGTCTCCACCACATCAGCGTATAGCTCGTTGCTAGTGTGCCTGACGTTGGCCCTCCTCCATGGCAACGACGGCGTTGTGTTCTGGAGCAGCGAAGGTGTGCCCAGGGCGGGGCTGGGTGATCGGCCGTATGCGCTCAGGTCCTTGACTTGGCCCGGCAGGGTGATGCTGCCCAACAGCTTGCCCATCCACCCTTCTACTTCGACCACATCTCGCAGGGCGTTCGGCTCGGTGGTGGCGACCATGCCGGCGTCGCACATCTCTGTGAGCAGCTGAGCGACGACATCATAGTTGGACTCGATTTTGTGGGATATAAGAGGGGCACCCAGGAACTCTTCGAAAGCATCGATGACGCGGTGGAGGAATTCGAGCACCAGGAGAGGTTCGACCTCGCCGGAGGTTGTCAAGAGGAACAGGAGATTTGAGTGGACGAGGGAGAAGACGAGGGTGGGCGGGTTGGTGTTCGGGAGGTAGATGAGGTTCGGCCGCGGCTGTGGGTGGGAGAGGTAGAGTGGGAGGAGGTGCGTCGAAGAAAGCGGCCGCGACGTATACGTGTGCGAGAGGACAGGCGAGTTGCGCTCATCGTAGATGTACAGCGCCTCTATCACACCGTCCATCTTGTCGTTGTTGTTGGAAGGGAGCTGGGTACTTAGACCACTGCACTAGACCACTGCACCCAGCTGTTGACGTTGGTGGGGCAGCATGTCAACGTAATGGCGTGGTCCCCCGGCAGGCAAGGTTGTTATGCTGTGGAACGATTGAATGCAATCGTTCCACAGCAAAATCACGCTAGCGACACACGTCTCTGTCCCTTTCAAGCAGTGTAGCCCCTCCTCTGCTGGTTTATCAGCCCCGTATATTATCACCAATATTTACAGGATATCAGTGCTTGTGGTGTCACATTTTGAAAATAGACATTTCAAGGTAGGTGAGGCTAAATTTGTTGAAAATATGTGAAGACAGTGTGTCCTTCTCCCTGACCTTGTTCTCGTACAAACGTTGGAACTTCTTCATGAGAAGAAGGTATTTAATTTTTATCGTGAGTCTGGAGCTGTGAGAATTGCAACTTGTCATTATGATTTTCGAGAATTCAGAAGTTATTGTTGAATGCTTCCACTTTATTCTCGCTTTGTCCCGCGCTGTCTTTTATATCTGCATGGCGAATATCTGAAGCCCAGAGCCTGCGTAGACAGATAAGATAGGCAGCCACTGATTTTCACTGCCAACGCACTGTTTTGAGGCGACTCAACCTGTCTCCTCTCAAATATTCTCGAAGAAGGATAAATTTGTACTGGATTGGAGGGCCTGTCTCAAAAAGAAGACTGCACCGCGAGATGCTCTGGAATTCCGGATTGTTTTTACGGGGCACCCACTGTTTATAGCCACATCTACTATAGCAAATACTCTTTGTCTCTTTTCATCTTCTGAGAAGATCTCCGTATCTTGTGGTTAACGCTGACCTCTCTTTACTGGCTCCTATCGGGTGGTCATTTCATCAGCTAGAGACGCTTGTGCATGAAGCCGGTCCGTCCATATCTGATCGCCTCTTGCTATGCCCCGTCTATCATCCTTGAATTTTCGTACCAGCATGAGGCTCATTCTCCAATGGTCCCCGTCCCCCAGGCCGTAACCAATTGTATCAGCGGAGGCAACGTACGTGAAAGCACTTGAAGACATGAAAGCAGGGAGAAAACAAGCTTTCTTTGTGACCAAGTCAGGAAACAATTAAATAACAGGCAAATGGTATCAAGGGGCTCTCCGAATCTCTGGCTATCTGTTAACTGACCTAGCAAACAGGTCGTAAACTCTGGCCAACACTCCCAATCAGCCATGCTAGATTGATCAACGATGATAACCTAGGGAGTTTCAGACAACGCTTCTCTTTTAAGACTATTAAGCAACTTGAAACACAAGTCACGATTTACTATTAATGGATGGGTTTTACAGCTGATCGGATAATACAGACGTAATAGTCTGGCAAGAGACCGGGGCAGTCCAGCTCAGATCTGTGATAGCATGGCTCAGAGAATACTCATTGGAAAGATGTGGGATTTCAAACTGGTACTCACATATTATCTGAGAATAAGTTGAAAGAAAATAGCACCCAGCCAAAGCAAATGAAAATTATGATTTTGAGATGGAAGCAGCCCCCGCTGCTATATTACCTTACAGAAGTTCTGATCAAATCTCGCCCGTAAAGAGAGCATCCTGATCGGGAATAGAAGCATATCTAGACCACGAGAGCAGCAGATATACATTCTTCAGCCAACCGAGTGGTATGATTAACTTCATACCTTGAGGACAGGCGATAGGATCAAAGAAATGGAGCTGAAGTCTCTGAATATCAACATGAATAGCAACATGGACTTTCAGCCCAATACTTGAGAAGCAAATGCTTTCCGAAATGTGGGCAGAGGAGGTCAATCTACAGTGAGCATGGAGCAGGATTTGACAATATCTCCACTCAGCGCAGGATGTAGCTGTGAATCAGATCGCATACCTCTATCCTGCGGACTTCTGGAAATATGTAACATCGCTTCAAAAACAAAGGCTGCCTCCGACGGACCGGGACCAAAGTCACCTCGCGAAACGCTGGGCGCCGCCTTCTCCCACCTTCCCCCAGAGAGAACATCATCTAGCTGTAAACTGCCGAAGTTCTAGAGTCATCGTCGCACCGTGGCCCGAGGGCCGAGAACTCAATACTGCCTGAACATCACCACCTCACAGCTTGGCCTGCTCCTTGACCGTGCCGACTTTGAGCTTGTCGCCGTACTTCTCGAGAACCTTCTCGTTGTGGTACTTCCAGAACTGCTTGGATGAGTCCTTGCCGGCCATCCTCTTCAGGATCTTGGGGCCGCCTGGGTGCTCGTCGAGAAAGTCTGCGACGTGTCAGCGGGATTGTTTTGGGCGGTGATATAAGAAATTGGTAGGTGATGCTCACTTGTGATATCGTACACGCCGCTGTCGACGATGATCCACATGCCGTTGCTCTCGTCCTTGTGCTTGGCGACGTCGGCTACGGAGTACTGGTTCGACATGGTGCCTGTTACTTTATGTGGTACAACAAACGAATTGAGTCGAGGTGATATGCTGATAGAATGGTGGTATGATGGATGGATGAGGGTAAGAGAGGTGATTGGAAATGTCGCCGACTTGAATGGGTGAAGACGTGCACGGCACGAGGCGAGACCCGAGAATCTGGGGTAAAGCGGTCGATGGACCTCGGCTCATCTGTCGCCGTCACGCTGGGCCTGGCGCTGTGAAAGACAGGGGCCAGGGGTGGAATGGCCCCGTCCTCGGGGGTTTTGACCCAAAGACGTCATGCCATTCTACTGTCAGAGTACCTGCGGATTTACGAGTCAACGCGTCTAGTATTCCACAAATATTCAGATGATGCCGCGGCTTCGACAGCGGTCGGGCTGGATATATGCTGGGTTATGACCAGGTGATGCATACTCCATCGCAAAGTCAAAATATGGTGTTTTATCAGATGTTCAGCACGAAATAACTGCTCTTCCAAAGATTGCCCACCGTACCTTGTCACGTCAGTGATCCATCTGAGCGGGTTACTTTCTCATGAGTGAGACATCGTAGAGGTCTCTCGAGGCTTCTGTCGCCAATTCCAGAGTTTCCAACGTCGGAAGCAATGGAAACCCGATACCTGTTGATATTGCTAGTGATGTAGAATATGTCTATGAAGCCGGGCGTTGCTTGCTGGGGCGGGCCGAGCTGATGACTGACAGGGTGAGCAACCCCACCGTGATGCACTGCTCTCAGCCGTCGCATGCCAAATGGATGCGCCACAACCACAAAAAACAACAACTCGCACAACCCAGAAGCCCCGAGCTCACACTGCCCTTAGACTGGCCTGGCTCCAGATGCTCTGGATATCTGGGACTGAGCATCCAAATAGACTCTGCTTCTAGCCAAATATAGCGACACCGACGACAGCAGCCCGAGTCCATACATCCGCCCCCAGCTCGCCCCCGAGCTGCCACCATGGCATCGCGACAATGCCTCAGGTCGCCTTTGGCCACCCGTATGCTCTCAAGAGGCGCCACGCAGTCTCATCTTCGTCGCGTAACACCGCCGACACTCACACCACCGCCTCGAATACCTACGCTTATTTCCCGACCAAGCATTCCCGCGTCTTCCCTTCCATGGCGCCCCTTCTCCCACTCTTCGACTCGCCTTCGACAGACAGACCCGCGGAAGCCGCCAGAATACGACTACGACCCGAAACTTGGTGACCCATGGTACCACCACCGACTGCGCAACGCGAAGCCTCTCTTCAGAGGCAACGCGAAGACCGTCCTGCGCTCCCCGCGGACTCACACCGTCGTCGTAGTCTCCATCGCCCTCGCAGTGGCCTTCTACTACTACAACCTCGAGGTGGTGCCCGTGTCCGGGCGCAAACGCTTCAACTGCTACTCGGAGAACACAGTCAGGCAGATGTCGGATATGCAATATAAGCGGCTGATCTACGAGATGGAGCGGTCGGGTACGCGCTTCCTGGGCGACTGGGACCCGCGCACACTGATGGTGCGGCGCGTTATGTCGAGGCTGATCCCCGTGAGCGGCGTGGACGAAGGTGAGGACGGTGTCAGCTGGGAGGTGCACGTCATCGACGACCGCTCCACCGCCAACGCCTTCGTTCTGCCCGGCGGCAAGGTCTTTGTCTACAGCGGCATCCTGGGGCTCGCCCGTACCGAGAGCCAGCTCGCCGCAGTGCTCGGCCACGAGATCGCCCACAACCTCGCCAAGCACTTTGGCGAGCGCCTGTCGCAGTCCATCGGGGAGTCCTTCTTTCTCGGCTCCGCCCTCATGCTGCTGGCCGCCACCCCGCTGATGTTCGTCGCCGGCTGGTTGTTTGGTGGGGACCTGCTGGGCCTGCTATTCTCTCGTCCCATGGGTCGCATGCAGGAGAGCGAGGCCGACTATATCGGGCTGATGATGATGGCCGAGGCGTGCTATGACCCGCGCGAGGCGGTGACTTTCTGGCAAAGGATGGACCGGATGCATCAGCGGAGCGACGTCGAGGTACCGGAGTGGGCGTCGACACACCCGTCGAACCAGCATCGCATTGAGCGGATCACTGAGTGGCTTCCCAAGGCTATTGAGAAGCAGCAGCAGAGCGACTGTCATGGCACACAGGGCTTTGCGGAGATGTTTAGAAGGGCCATGGCCAGGGGAGATGTAATAAGCGGCGGTATGTAGAGGTTCGTGGGACATGTAAGATACCCTAAGCTGGCGTTCTTGGGCCTGGCTATATTGCAGCGTTGGCGGGACTGGGGCTGGCGCTGGGACTGGTAATAGAATTATATCAACAACACAATCAACAATGGATCTTATTCTTGGGCCAGGGAAACAATTCTGGCCTCTCTACCTCCGAACCAATGCCGCGGCTAGCTGCTGACCTCTCTCACCACCCAAGTAGACGTCCTCCTCACCTGAATCGCCCAGCCTCGCAATCTCCACAGCCTCGTGATATCCCCTTATGATCATGTCCTCGTCGACCCGCAGGCCGTTCTCCACCAGTGCAGTGATGACGCCCCTGACCCGCGTGATCTCCCTCATGACCTCAACCTCGATGTAGTCGTTCTGGCTGCTGTACACGGCCTGGCTGACGCTCTCCTCCATGTTGGTCACGCCCACGCCGCCAGCGGACCCCCCGCCGGCAGCCAGGCTCTGATCCTCGACGTGCTTGCTAATCCACACGTAGCCGTTGACGCCGAGAACGACGTCGATCTTGGACTGCAGCGCGCCGACCTCCATGGTCCAGACCTGCCTGCGGCTGCGGACGACACCACCGCCGCCACCAACACCGCTGACGGCGAGGAAGACGCCGTTGCGCAGCTTGCCGTAGCGCAGGCTGCGCGTGTGCAGCACGGCGCCGCCGTCGGCGTACAGCTGCTGCACCTCGGCGACGAGCAGGTCGCCCTCGGCGAAGAAGGACCGGATGGCCAGCTCGTCCGTCTCGGTGCGCCGCCGCTGGATCCCGCCGGGGAGGTTGATGGCCGACAGCGGCAGGCCCGCCAGCTGCGTCGACCCCACGTCCACGCGCCACCGCTTCGACTGCACCTCCACGATCCGCCCCACCACCAGGTCGCCCACCTCGGGCGTGTAGCGCGCCCGCAGCGGCCGCACCGACAGCAGCTTGTTGGTGCGCGTGATCATGCCCGCCAGCGACGACACGATGGCCGTGGCGTCGTCGTCCTCGCCTCCGGCGCCCTGCGCGCTCGTATACGTGCCGTGGCCGCGCATCCATTGCGGGTTGGTCGTGATTACCTCGCCCGGCGTGACGATGTCGCTGTGGCTGGCTGCTGACCGGGCCGTGGCCATTCTGATGTCGCCTTCGATGTCCACTCCGCCATCGTCTGAGTCTGAGTCTGAGCCGCCTGATGATGTACGCCTTGTGTACTGAGGTACTGGCTTTGGCTGTATGATTGTGATAGGCATTCTGGGCGTTGGTTCGTTCGCCCTTGGCGACGGAGCTCAGATGTGGTGGGGGCCTCAATCAGCCGTGACTGTTGTTCGAAAGACCGTTCTAGTAGCTTTCTTGAACTATTGGCATTTGACAGAGAATAAGGCTCGGGAACTGGCGGTCTTATTTGCCTCAAAATAGCCGTTTGGCTCTTAGAATGACGATGACTGTTACAGTGAGGGTGGAAATTTCGAGGTTCTGAGTGCAGACTGGAGGACCAACGATGACCTGGGAATGACGACGCCAGAGGTGAACACGAATCGAAGTATGAGACAAGAGACAATTTAGACACCTGAAGTATTAAATTCGAAGGCGATCAGGACTTTTTTTGCAATTCTTCACAAAGCTGCAGCTCTACTGGTACTTTCGCAGCTCGGATGAGAGCCTCAGTTCGATTCTATGCTTATCTTATCGTGACAGCAGCTGGTCCCAGCTGGCGGACGGTCCGCTTTGGACGACACCTCCTCGGGCTCTTCGCTTTGGCAGCCCGTGAAGCAGCTCTGCGCCAGACGACCAGCATCCTCAACTGATCATGGACTTCCTTTCCTTTCCATGAGCACGAGAAAGCCCAGCTCTACCGAAGGCTTCCCACAAAGCCCTCTTGATCCTCTGGATGGCGGGTCCGTGGATGCCGTGACGCCATGCGAAGCCCGACTATACTAATTGAGCAGAGATTCTTCTTCATGTCTCCCCATGCACCTCCTTCTCAATCAGCCAAATAGTCTGTACAGTCCCATCCAAGCCAGACCCAGGGAAAGACCCCCAATGCCCATCTTCCGGCCACGCATGCCCAGCCACGAGTTGCTCTTCAGGATGACGGCGCGCTGCTTTTCAAGCTGGCTCATGCCGGAGACGTAGCTGTAGCCCGCGAGGCCAAGAAACGCGGTACCCCCTATATCAATGAGACAGGCATCGGTCAGCGGGAGCCAGACAGATGAGGTGAGGGAAGAGCTTGCCGACGAGGCGACACGGCGTGCAGTCATAGTCGCGCTTCTCCTGCTTCAGGATATCATTGAGCTTCTCCGGCTGATTGGACGGGATCATGCTCTTGTCGCCAGCCATCTTGAGCTTTCTGTCCAGGCGAGTTGCAGCTTCAGCTAAAGGAGTCAAATGGTGTTGCCTCTGAGTGGTGAGATGGTTGCATGGGCCCAAGCTTCCGAAGCTCAAAAATTGCTTACGTAACCAGTCCAATAAGGCATCCAGACACGATTCCTAGAAAAATAATCTGATTCAAATTAACGAAACTGTAAATCCTAAGATCTCCAAATCTATCATACAAACGAGAGTAGCAGATTGAATGGCGTTGACGGGGGCTGCCGGAAGGGGACACCACCCAAACAGCATCCCACCTTGCCTTCCTGACCTTCCATACTTGGATCGACAAGCTCTCCCCAGTGTTACATACAAAAAATCTTCTAATAATATTAATACATATTTGATTAATTCTTTTATTTACATATACTTGTTGTAAATGCCAGGAAACATACTAAATCATATAATCATTGAGAAAATCGGGGGGTTTACGCTGGTCAACCCCTCCTTTGCGCCGTACCCAATCCGCAGTCAGACGGATCCTCAGCTCAGACATGTGAACATTATGCGATATTTATACGCGAACATTTCTCCCGCAGAATCCTTTCCGTACCAGAGCTCCACGCACTGCAACAATGCTTCACTCGCATGATAGCCACACAACCATGCTTAAGAAGTTTACATTACACATAATGCGCGGTTGGCGTTATAATGCGTGCTATAATGAGGCCTATTAATCCTCTAGTCGTACAGTCGTCCTAGATCGGGACAGCTCGTCGTCATAGTCAAACGCCGGAGGCTTATGTCGCCGTGGAGTACCCGGCTCGCGGCTTAAACGACTGGAATGACGACTTGAGCGACTGCCAGGGCGGACGATCGATATATCAAATTCGTCGTGACTATCAACCTCGTCGCCGCGGGAACTTGCCGTAGCGATGTATCCGGCTAGGCTCAAACTGTCGTCCTTGTCCTTGTAAGGACGTTCGCGCTCCAAGGCAGCAGCTGTTTTACGCAGCCGTCCGTCGACTGGGGGAGCCTCTTTGCCCTTCTTCGCAGTGGGGTCGGATTCGTCGTCGATCAGAACAATCATCCAGACGCCGACGGCGCCATTGCTGCCGAGCAAAGGGGTACAGTGTATCCACCGCACCCTGCCCTCACTGTTGGCTGAGCTCATCCATCGGACCTTGGCGGTGACTCCGTGGCCGCCCGCAAAGGCGTGGTGAAGTCCGTCACGGACTCGGTTCGAGCCGCCGATCTTGTCCATGAAGTTTGACTGGAGAATGCCAGGCATCCTTAGAGATGGAGAGGCGAAGAGGACGCGCAGACTGGGGTACGGGCGGACGAGCAGGTAGTATTCGTAGATCCCAGGGAGCTTTCCGCTGTCTGATATCGACGGAGAGATTGACAGCCCGTGTTTCTCGATCGACGATGTCTCATCCTGGAGTAGGATACGGGGCTTGTGCCAGTTATTTGACGATCCATCTTGAGGCTCGTCTTGTGGCACGCGATGCATATTACCACCGCGGCGCCGGACCGTCTCGAGCTCCGTCATGTTAAACATGTCGCAAAGATTCTGAAACTCATCTTTGTCCTCCAAATCTTCGTCGATCTCATCGCCTGCAGCCGCAGCGGACTCTCTCGCAGCGACCAGGTTTTGGAGGGCATCCAGCCCTGAGATCTGTTTGGCGAGACCCGACACGTCGACCTGCGCGCCAATAAAGTAACGAATAGCTCCACGGCTATCATACAGGGGAGCAATCATGAGGAGGTTCATGAAAGGCGAACCATCGCGGCGATAGTTGAGAAAGGTCTCAAAGTGTTCTTTGCCGGCGGAGATCTTATCGCGAATCCGCCTCACGCTGAAAGGATCCGTCTTGGGGCCCTGTAGGAAGCGACAATTACGGCCAATGACATGTTTCATGCCGTATTGCGTTGTTCTGTGAAACTCTGTCGACGCCGTTAGCTGACATTACTGTGATGGTGCTGAAGGCCAATGAAGAGCATTTACCTTCAGATGCAAAGATGATGGGGTTGTCGTGTCTTGACGGGTCTGTCAAACAAAAGACCTCTGCAAGACCCTCGGACATCTCCTTCAGCTGCACAGGGAGAGTGCCTGTGATCCGTTTCGAGATTGACGTAGTGACAGTCTGAATCCAAAGATGTGTGACGTAGGCAGGCAGGTCTTGTTGAACCAGAACGTCAAAGGCAGCCTCAGCCTTCTTCTCTAGCGAGGTGTTGACCGTCTTGTAGGTATTATCGGTAGAGAAGTCGTGCTCAGGAAGGGTATCCAGGCCATCAGTGATGGCATTTGCGTATGAAATGGCCCGCAGAGCCTTGAGACAGTCCAGGTAGTACGACAGAAGAGGTAGTGAATCAGGGCGGACTGAGTGCAGGAAGTCAGTGAATCGCTGCAGCAGAATGTGATCCCTGAAGATGGCGCGGAGATGGTCCTTGGAGAAGATCAGTAAAGATCGGTCCTCAAGGTCGTAGTGCTGTCCGCTGTCTCCATGTGATGGCACTACGAGGTCAAAGGAACCCGGTTCGACCTCCTCCTCGGCCAGAGGCTCAAGAATCTCGTCGTCCCCAGCACCCTTAGTCTGTAAAGCTGGCAGCATAGAGGTGGCATCAGTGCGATAAGTTGATGTCTCTGAGTTCGCCCTGGACCTTGATGAATGCGTGATTGGGCTCATGGGCGGGCTGATGGAAGACGGCCTGCTTTGGATGGTCAAGGAGGGTTCGGCATACTTAGCCCTCCCCCTCGACCTCGAAAAGCCTTCTGGAGACTGAGCAGTACTAGCAACGTCATTAGCTTTATACTTGAAAATACTGTAGATTACAGGGCCCATGAAACGCACAGTCTGTCTTTTTGAGAGGTGATACTGTTGGGGTTGATCGGTCTGTGGGGTGTCCAGTCATTATTGTCCTCCTCGCCCCATGCCTCATCGATGCGTGAGGGCTTGAGAGCCTGCTGCTCTGAAGTGAGACGACGCCCGGGCCGTTTGAGAGGAATATCAGGTATCTCGGCACCACCCCCCTCGTCTGCATCTATGCCATGTTGTTGGCCACTCTTGGGATGATTGACGCTCAGAGAACTATGAGGACGTTGTTGTTGGCCGATGAGAGAGGTGAAACTTAGAGAGCTGCCAGGTCGGCTGGACTGGGGGACGGTGAGGTCACCACCATGCCTTTGTCGGCGGTGGTGGTTGGGGCCTAGGGCCACTTGAGCCATGTGTCTGCCGCGCCGGAAAAGTTCAATGACTGAACGTTGGCCAACGTCAGACTCACGGGCCAAAGGGGATTCAGACGGTTCAGACATAGCCTCACTAGGAATGAAAACAATTGGGAGACTACTTTATAAAGAGGTGTGATGTTTAGGTTTAAGCGAGGAACGGGGATTTCGAACGCCAAAAAAGCATTCATAAAGCTGCGGGTCTCAGACCACACTTTCGCAACGTCATTCAATTGGCAGCATCAGGCTGGGCGATTTCATCAGGACCGCGAAGGCGTAGGTGATCGAGTATTGGGTAATGATCGAAGAGAGAGAGAGACCAGCAGAAGGGGTAGAACTGCAAGGATTTTCTAGCAGAGCATGGGATTTCTCGATCGACGACGACGCAATTGACCTATTGACGGATGATAGGCGATCCGCGTCGAGTCGCAAGCACACTACCTCAGGTACCCGCCAACCAACGAGCCATGTCATCTCTGTTAGATAGGGCTGTTACTGGCTGTCGAAGTGTCAATGCCGGGGCTTCTGTCCAACCCCTTGACTAGATAGACCACTGTTGCTAAAATGCATACTTTTCACGGACCTCCAGGGTTGCAGCTGGCACGGCATCTAGAAAATCATAGCGATGTTACGTTTCCAACGCTGACGAGCAGATAGATCAGCCGCTAACCCACTTGGGCAGCGCTCAGGGCAGCACGGTAAAATTGGACCGCCGAGAGAAGGAACTTCTAGCCCAAGATCGCCAAAGCTTCGAGACGGAATGGAATAGTCGTGTCTAACCTGTAAGCCACAAGTACTACCATTGCAAATCTCGATGTGGTTCTTACTCGCGGGTGAAGCGCCACCATTTTCCTCTGGCGCCTTTGTGAAGCCGATGAATTTATTACCCAAGCCGCAACCACGAGTCAAAAGGACACCTATTGGACTGTTTGCATCTGCTCGTGATGGTGTAGCAAGTGCCTTGCATGAGGTTAATTTTGATATTGACACATGTTGAATACGAGCATGATATGCAGATGGTATGCGGCTGAGAGGTAGGCATCTGACAGGATTGGCAGATTCGCTGAAAAGGGTGATTGTGCTAGGCTAGATGAGGTTTACTAGCTCCCGGCCCGGTGGTACCGTCCCAAAGTGTAATGATGAGCGGGGCACCCCGGTAGTGTGAAGTCACGGTAGTACTGTGAAGATCTTGAAGAGCTAAATGACATGCACATGACCTTGTCCCGAACGAGTGGCATTTGACGGGGTGGACGAATAAGCTTAGACCCAGCCCCAATTGGGTTCTGCCTCCCGAAGGAACCCCAGACCAACGTCCTTTGATGTAACTCATATGCAATGAATGGATGGGACATGCTTTATTGAGCAGGTGTCCAACGAGACTTTGTTCATGCTCAATGCGTAAACAAAAAGGCCCTTTTTGTCAAGTTGACGGCACAGAGCCGCTGCTAAAAATTGATCCTTCTTCTTTCTCTTGGACAGGCGAGGCAGCCGTGTAAGCATTTACAGGTAGACAACGTAAAGACACAGCAGCAGTTCCAATAGCACAAAGAATTAATCAATCGATACAACTCACTGTAGAAATGCTGTTATCGATGTGCAACTTTCTAATAAATACTAGAGGGAGATGCTCCCTTGAAAGAGCCGAATGCGTTTTAACATCTGTAGCTAGTCTTGGGTTCTACTTCTGATTTTATTCTCAATTTATTTTCAAATTATTTCTGTATAATATGGATTTGGCAAACAAGGCTAGATTCAACACAGTAGTGCGGGTCACTCGATCACAACTCCTTGTAAGTAACCACTCAGGAGGTTCTTAGACTAAGTGAAGGGCTAACATGTGATATTTATTTCAAGGATGATGGCTTTCTGCTCAGCCAAGTGAATTCACCACCATACAAAGTCATAAGAGCGTCTGCGAGATGCATTCGAAGCTTGAATTTCCTTCAGGTCCGTATTCGAGCCTGGAGAACAGAAACTTGACTGCTCAACGGCTAACAACTTTGTGTCCAGAGCGGCCGGCAAGCCCCAGTCGATGACAATGGCCTCGATGAATGCATCCGCTTCCATTTAGAGTACATGAATTATGAAGTGAGTAGCTCTAGCAAACTGTTCACGTGCTTTCTCCTCTTGACGGACCTCGCATCCTGTGATGTAAAGGCTCTGTCGGGCAGTCGATAGCTCATGGACAGAAATCAGCTCCACCTGGCGCAATTTTCTCATTGTCTTCGTAACTAATGCTGGATTTTGCAGATACTTGATCAAGTCAATTATATCGATGGTGGAGACTTGTATGTAGGCCTTTTCAAGGTAAGCAGCTTCCATAACAGCATATGCATGTGTTCAACCTAGGTCCTTGTCCATAAATCTTCTGGTGATGCAGACATGGGATTTGCTCCCCGCGTACCTCTTGTGCAGCTGCTGTTACGAGACAGTATAAGCACATCAATGATATGATTGTTACAACCCACAGGATAATGAAATATTTCGAATACTGGTAGCTAACTTTAGAATCCGAAGGATGTAGCTGGTGCCCTGCCGAACAGTGAGGAAGCCTTCCAAGTTACACTCAAGACGATGGACGTATTTGACCCTGACTTTTTCAGGCGGATTAGCAACCGCCAATTCACCTTGTGGCTCATAAATACTGGCGAGCACTGGGCATCAATCGTGTTGCATGTGCAGGGTGGTCAAGTCGTAAATTACGCGATTAACGAGTCCGGGAGACGGCTAGTGCTCATCAACCTCATAGACAACCGTTTACGGCGGCTGCTTGCAATCGGCGGCGTTGCTATACTTCCCGTACAAAACCAGATAAAAGATATATGGTTTCCCACCCAACTGGACGGCTTCACTTGTGGTCTCCGGACGTACGAGATCCTTCGAGTGATGATAGAGCGCATTAATGAGCGCTACCACCTCCACGGCGTAGATGACTTGTACGATGACAGCCTCTGGGACCCCATGTCGGGCGACTTCCAGCCAAGTAAAGTCCGGCAGCTAATGATGGGGATATGCGCATGTAGGGCCATGAAACACCAGAACTACAAGGCGAGGCTATCGGTCACTCCTCGAGAGCGGATCCGTGGTTTCAAGGGCCCTCGGTACGTGAGGAGACTAGACGCATTTGACGGGCTGGAGCCTGTCCAAATGCAGCCAGGAAATGCCGCCCAGGCCCAGCAGGCTGGGCGTCGTGCAAAGAGGCTTACGCTCGACGCGAACGACGACCTTCAAGACGTTACTGATCTACCAAGACAGGCACCAAGCCGAGCAACGCGTGCGGCAACAGGTGGTCCGCACTTCGGATTTCTTAGGTGATGTATCCTATCAAATTATACGGACAGGCGTAAATAACTGCTTCTTGGTTCTTGTGCGTGTCTACTCCTGAATTACGACGTTGTCGTATACATGTAGAAAGGCACACAACTTTAACTCCGCCAGCCCGATACACTGAGATCACTGATTTGAAGATTCCCCGGCTAGCTATGTTCAACTCCTATTCCAAGCTGAGATGAACGATTCTATCGGTCGTACCACTTGCTGCCACACAGCTTGGACAAAGCCGGAATTGCCCAAATCTGGAGTTGCTGCCTGCTCAAACATGCATACGAGACACCGCTTGATGGAGTCAGCCAAGTCATGACCCAGTTCCTCTTCGACTTTTTGCTGCCACAGAAGTGCCGTTGCCAAATCAGTTACCGCGGTTGGCTTGCTGTTCGGTCCCATCAGCCCGGCCCGAAAGTGCTGGTTCTCCAATTGGTCTCTGAATACGAGCTCCAGAAGCAAAACGCCGAGTGAAAAGAGCGAATCTCGAGTCTGCTTGGCCGTCGACCTCGACTCGTTGCTGGAAAGTGACTGACGAAGCGATGTGTGGTTGAAATAAGGCCGCGGAACCGGGGCTGTGGGATCTCGGATGAGGAATAAGTCCTTCGCGGTCCACGAGGCTGGAACCCATGATGAAGTACCGAGGCTTAGTATTGCGAGGATTAGGTCACGGCCAACTTTCAGCCGGGCATCTCTTCGGGGCGTAGCCCTGACGAAGGCTTCGAACGATTCAATTTTGTAGCCTTGCAGCGGCAGCTGATTCTCCGGGTCTAGGTTGAGTAAGAGCCTAATCCTTGATTTGCATTCTAGGTAACCAAGATTGGAAATGTTGATACTGTCTATTGACTGTGTTGTTGGGTTGATGGTTCGGCACAAGTCATATATAACTGTAGAACCTTCATCGATGCTATACTCTGCGGTTGGTTCATTTGGAGAATCGTCGGCAAATCGAACTGTGGGAGGGGAGGCTTTGCCCATATTCTCTGCCTCCTCTCTGGTATACATTAGCGTATGCCTCTCCAAAAATGTGCAAATACTTCCGAAAACATGTGATCTTATTTCAATCTGCTGTATCCTGTAATGTCTGCAATGAAATTTTGTATCGTAACGTACTTCTTGGTTGTGTTTGAGGGCCACCGGATAAGCTTCAACTTTGTCGGTTTGTCTTCAGGTTTCCCTGAACCTTTTCTTGATTTGCCAAATGCAGGGCTACTGAATGTGGGTATGGTGGAAGCAGCCAGCGCAAAAATTGCTTTTGAAGATCTTTTACGCACTGCTTCTAGTCGGTTCCTCGTGGACAATTGCTGATGAAATGAACTAACTTCTTCCAATTTACTGGCGGCTGGCTCTGGAGGCTCCAGCGTCTTTATTTCTGTTGCTGGTATTGGTAATATCCTCACTTGAGTTCGACACGGACCATCCCAGAAGAGCATTTTCAAATGAGCTGTGGCAGGCTTGTCTCTTTCGCCATCCATTCTTGAAATTGAGATGCCACAAGGGTGATTACTGTCACATTTACAGTGTAGATGCATTTGAAATGTTTCGTATAGGGCAGTGGCCTCACTCTGAAGAGCAAGCAATGGCGTCGTCTGTTTCCTTGCAAGCCTGGGTGGGGGAGGTGTTCTCGAACTGCTGAGATGAGCGGCTCGTTCCAAGAATGTGAAGATTTCGTTGTTGCGATCTCGAACCTCGGCCAAGAGTACATCTTTACGGTGAGTGAAACTGGTCTTTAGCCTGAACATTTCCCTTTCGATGCTTGAAAAGTTCACGTAATGGATCTATAGAAATCAGTACCATTTCGGGGGCCCGAGTAGACCAAAGATAGACGCCTGAGATTGATCTTAATCTTACAGTTGGTAGGAGATCTTGAAGGTCACCCAAAGCCCTGTTCATTGCAGCCAATTGTCTCATAAACCAGTTGTAATAGCGGTCCTGGATTCGACGTCGAAGCTTGACCTGTGTTTGCACGTCGTACCATCCTGAAGCGGTAGGGTCAACCTGAAGAGTATCCTTATCTTCTTCTGGTATATCTAGGTCCTCGAGAAGAATTTGCAAGTTCAGTGAGTACTTGATGTGTTCTGTCTCTAGGACCGACAAAAAGTTCTCAAACTCCCTTTCGAAGCGCCACCAAGTCTTGACATCCTTGAAGACCTCACGTAGATCCTTGGCTGTCTCCAGGAGAACAGGATATGCTCCCAAGACGATCCCTGCGACCTCGATCCCCGACATGACGCTCTGAGGATTTTGAGGAGGTTGAAAGGTACATGAAGACGGAGACGTGATTGACGCGCAGAGGGGTGTCTGGAATCAGGTGAGCCGCCCAGCGTGGGGAAAGCTCCTTCAGGGTGTAACTCAAGCTACTGATAATCTGGGCCCTGGCGCTAAATGAGTGTTTGATTTGCGGAAAAGTATCTATGATTGGATGCACGTCTTTCCTCTATGCATGTCGGCATCAAATTAGGCCGGATTTGCCATGTAGTGGAACCTTGAGAAACCCATCAGTGGCGTCTCCTCGGCGAGCCATGCGAATCTGAATTTTAGATGAAAGTAATTGGCGCGAGCTTGAGGCTCTCTGCATTCCCCTCTTCAAGCCTTCAGGAGCCCCAAGAGCTATACGCAACACCGCCGAAGATGGATCCAGTGGACCTCGAAGCTGCAGGATCCGACACGACCATCTCGTCACTTTCAAGGCGATGCACCTCTGGCTTTATATGGTGCGTTGAGAGCAGCTTTTTCGATAATATGGAGGCCATCACCGACGCGCAAGGGAGGTTCAATGTCTGGGCCGCCAATCTGGGAGCATTGCAGCCTCCCCAGTCCATGAAGTCACTCGACTCTCGACTCAAAGAGGCAGAATTGATGAGAAAAAGTGTCATTGCCGGCTTGGAGCGATTGGAAGGCGTGCAGACAAGAAGTACGTGAACATCAATATCAGCGTCTCTCATTCAAACCCGGATATTTACGCAGGTCTTTTCCAGCAACACAAATCCTCACCGGAAAGCAGCCGAACCGGAAACCGTCAACGACAACATTTGACACAGCGAGCCCAGAAGCCACGGGATTGGTGGTGGACGAACTCCATGAGCTCACTTTGAACATGAAGGCATGTATCGACCATCTTTTTGGACTGTCAATGCTCATTCGACGACTCAGACCTAGGGGAAGGTTTCGTCAGCTCACCTCTTTCCAATCGTCCATCGCTGCCCAGCGTGATACTGTGACAATAGTAGACAGATTTCCCAAGACGAAGCACACACCTTGGCTGGCGTATCGACTGGGTAGAGCTACTGATCAACGGCGACAATTCTTTACATACCGGCAGCAACACCGGGGTCGATTGGGAAATGTACCCAAAACGAAGGTTACTCCAGATGGCGATGATAGTATAACCCTGGATGTAGCCACGACCGTGGCCACTACTTTCGACGAGGGCAACGACAGTAATGCGAGTCAATCCAGACTGTTCGAACCTGGTCATCTCCGGTTGGATCGAGGATCAGTCATAACTTCAGCCACCTCATTCGTCAGCGACTTTGATGACAGCGGTCATATGGGTCGCCGTATACCTGAGCTGCCAGATATGACACTCGATGGCGTCCAATTGGACTACGATGAACCTATCGAGTGCCCATACTGCCGAACGATCCAGACATTTACAAATCGTCAGACATGGAAGTAAGTCTCTCAACAGTATTGGATGTTTGCATTATCTAAGAACTGTAAATCCAATATAACTCATTCACCATTAGGAAACACGTCTTTTCCGATCTACAACCTTACGTGTGCACTTTCGAGAACTGTAGTGTCACTCCATTCTCGACCAGAAATGAATGGTTTCGGCACGAGCTGGACAGTCATCGTCAGCAGTGGGAATGCATTCTTTGTGACAATCCAAGACCCAGATTTTTGAAAAGGGCAAAGATTGCAACTCATTTTGAAGTAGATCACAAAGATGCCGTCACAAACAATCAGATCGATCTGATTTTAGGGGCGTGCGAGACTCCGATGACCAAGTTCGACGCCTCTGCTTGCCCATTATGCTCGGAGTGGGAGCCACCCTTGGATGAAAAGGTCAACACGAGGGAATTCCGTCGACATCTTTCGAGACATCTGCAGCAAATATCCTTGGACGCTCTGCCTCTATACATTGAAGGTCTCGAGATTGCAGAAGGGCCCAATGAAGAACATGTCATCGAGAGGTACCAAGGAATTGTTGTTCGCGACTACTTTGACGGCAACACTTTAAGACTTGGGGCAGGGGACGAAGTTCTTGTTTTGGACGATATAGCTGACGAAAGTTTGTGGCAAGTATGGAATAAAAAGACCGGAGAGGAAATTCAAATACCAAGAGAAATTGTCGCGATAAGAGGAACTACCGCTATTCAGATGGGTACGTACTACGGGTAGGACCTGAATAGGGAAAGACGAGATAGGCTAATATTCTCATAGGACCCGATCCTTCTAAATTGCGGACATGGACATCCAGTTCCAATTCGTTCCAGGTTTCTGCTCAGTTTATTGGAGTCGAACACGGCAGTATTACCCTCCACAAGGCGAATGGTGTTAAGATCAAAGTCCCTAGGGACACGCTTTCCACCCAAGATATTGCATACATTGACAACATCACGGGAACTCAATCGGACTCCGATGACCACACAGATTCAGGCATCGGCGAAGACGAAGAAGGCGGACCGTCTGCTGGCAGCAGGCTGTACGCTCCTGTCTCTGCACGTGTACCCAAATACTGTTTCGCCGAAGACAAATTTTGGTTTATTATTGAGGTGTTGATGGAGGATGGCCAAACCTGGGAGCTGGCACGGTATTACGAAGATTTCTACGATTTGCAGATTGCTCTGTTGACTGAATTTCCCGCCGAGGCTGGGAATACTGGCACCCAAAAGCGAACATTGCCATATTTGCCTGGTCCGGTTAACTATGTTAACGACTATATTACAGAAGGACGGGTACACAACCTGGACGCTTATATAAAGAACTTGTTGGCACAGCCGACCTACATCTCGGAGTGTAATTTGGTCAAGCGATTCTTCCGTCCTAGGGAGGGAGATTCCGAAACTGATGCGGTCAAGTGGAGGACTTGACAAGTATGCTATAGAATTTTCGATTTTCTGAGACACCTGCTCAGCCAGTATCATTGTTGAAGACTATTCTAAGTCGCAATGGGGCCCCTATCTCTATTCATATCCCAATCAAGATTGAGCACATAGCTTTGTCCATCAGTGCCCTTCGCGATACTGAGTGATGGCTTAATATGGTGCGACTTTCCGCTGCACCCCTCCGCCTTTCCTTTGTTTGCATTGGAACTCCGTATTTGCATCAACACGAAAGCACGAGAGACGTGAAAAGAGAAGCGAATGACTGTTCAGGACGACGGCCCCCAAACCGCAAACACCGAGGTCGAGTGCCTCATTGCAATACAGCCATATCTCATCACGGATTTCAGAAGCCTCTCAGATTCATCTTATTATAATTAACACATCTTGTTTGTAATGAGCCCTTACTTGGTAAAGACGCGGTGAATCCACCTCGTCAACTTCTGCTCTACAACCGAGAGGGATGGGTTGAGAAAAGCGCTACATTCTAGAAAATGCCATCAGATGTCTGAAACAGAGCTCAGAGCTCAGCAGTGGACACCTTTGAGTTAATTAGAAGTCTGTCTGTTAATGCGTGTATCAGAAAGACACGGAGAACAACCAGTACAAATGCACTGTCCAATAGTCTCTTGCTGGCTGCTGTCCGCAACGACAGACAAGGAAAGCGAGCAACCAATCGCAAGTAGCAATTGGAGCTACCTGATCAGTTCTTGGACGAGTTCTTACGGGAATCCGAGCGACAATGATGACCCAAGAGAAGGCGGCTAATGAAGCCTAGACCAAAGCGATTTGCCTTTGAAGAGCGGCCCGCACGCAAATGTGGCCTCCATCCGTTTGGCCGCTCCGGCTCCCGCCCGACGATCTCGTGGCACTGACTGATAAAACAGGACTCGGAGAGAATACAGAAATGGAGTTTGAGGATTGTCCCAGCAACGGAAAACTACATTCACTACAGAAAGCGACCGAGAACCCCTGCATCATATGTGACGGCATGAGCAATGCTGTCTTACTCGACAGTGCTGTGTGTGGTCAGACTCCATCGTGCTTCACATCTTGCTGTCGAGGGCGCCACATTCTCACTACCCTTGTCAAGGTCAAGAATGGCTTTTTGGACTTGTTAAAGCCAGTTCCACATACTGGTCGAGCATGGTCGTGAAAAGTGGGTCGCTTCATCGCCTCAAGTTAAGGGCACAAGAACAATGCTACTGATTCTGAAGCATAATGTCAAGCAACGTTCTATTCTTCCGCCACCATAAATGACAAGTCAGGACCAGTCATCTACTCCGGCGCATTCCAATCAGTCATTGCTAGTCCATTGTTTCTCACATCGTGTTCACATTATACCTCAATTTTCTTGGTATTGTGCTGCATCAGGCTCCCCATTCTCTTTGTCTCGTATTATGGAGTCGATGTGGTTACTTGTTTATTACTGCGCTGGCTTCGCTCATAAGCCACGAGATGAGGATTTCGTGGTTTCCTAAGTCTTCGTCACTTCACATTCTCTGAGTTGACCAAGTCCGAAAGAAATTCTTGAATCGATACATTCCGATACTTTACAAATTTGGGATCACCGCTCGCTCTCGAGTCCTCAGTGTTGTTTCCGCACAGCTCAGCACAACACCAGTCCATAAGTTCAACACTACATCAATCTGGGATCAAAATATTCAGTCACTTCACCCGAGTTTCTTTTCCCATTAAATCACGGTAGTCACACGAATACCAAGTACCAGTACCTCGGTCGCGTCGGAACATCCTCGAGCTCAGATCAGAAGGGCACACCGCGATACCACCCAAGGCGTGAAATCTGGTTGCTGGCGTACGAGCATAGTGGGAGTTCCCTCACAGAACCCATCCCAGCGTCACGATGGCCGATCCCAGCCTGAATCTCACAGCGTTGGCCATGCAGGACCCCCTAAACCAGAACATCACCATCATTGGGGCAGATGGCTTCCAAAATGTGGTATCGCTCACAGAAATCGACGCCAATCAGAAATATGCCGTCAGGAAGACTATCGCTTACTCGGTGGAGTTCGGTGCCAGTTTGGTGATGCTGGGTGTCATACTTGCCATGACTCCAAGAAGCAAGTTTTGGCGGTTAGCCTTATACATCAACGTGGCGGCCCTCTGCAATAACCTCGTACGGACCATACTTCTCGCCATTTTCTTCGAGTCATCCTGGACGCGGTTCTACGTGCTATACACTGGTGACAATAGTGTAGTCACAGAGGAAGACTTCCGGAACAGTGTCTGCTCTGTCGTCTTCAGCATCCCTCAAAATCTCCTTATGATGGCAGCACTCATGTTCCAGGCATGGGCGATGGTCAAGCTCTGGCCGGACATCTACAAGTGGGGAATACTGATCTTTTCGGGCCTCCTGTCGCTTGCAGAGGTGGCCTTCATGCTCGTGGCCCAAGCGGACCAGATACGCTCGTTCTACCCGGTCTACAACACGTACGAGTTCCTGACCCAGCGCTTGTGGCTGCGATACACATGGCTTGCCCTCGAGCTGGCTTCTGTTTGCTGGTTCTGTCTCATGTTCATCCTCCGGCTTGTCACACACATGTGGTCCAACCGCAGCTTCCTGCCGAGCACGAAGGGTGTTGCGGCGATGGACGTGCTCGTCATGACTAACGGCGTGCTGATGCTGATACCCGGTGTGTTCACCCCCCGTATCTCCATTATACAAAGGCTTGACTAACAGGAAGACACGACAGTGGTATTTGTGGCGCTCCAACTATCAGACAGGTACATCTTCGAAACTGGATCTCTGGTGTACACGTCCGTCATCATCGTTCTGCCTCTGGGTACGCTTGTAGCTCAGCGCGTAGCAGATCCCGGGGCATTCAACAGCGAGGCCAGTCGCGGGGGGACAAAGCGCGGCGGCAACGCCTCTGATCGGTACGATGCCTCCGTCACGGGCAAGAAATCTCTTCTCCCCAGCTGGAGGCAGTCTGATAACACCTGTACTGTGTACTCAGGGCATAGGGGCAGCAAGTACGGCGCAGGGAAGACAGGGGTTACATCCACTGTCACGAGTGACCGTTTCGCTAGGCGGAACTCTGATGCGATGCGCGAGATTGATATGGAGCTGGCAAGGATCGACGACGACCTTGAGAAGGGCAGGGTGAGGGTGAATCGAGAATTCCAACGGTCGGAGGAGGTGCTCTAGTAGAGTGGATATAATCCGGGCTGATTTGAGAATTTGCCTTAGATGACAAGGTCGATGCTAGGGCATCAAGGCATGTGAAAGAGAATCCTCGGAAGGAGCGTAGCTGTCAAAAATGCGTGCATATACCAATTCCATTATACAAAACATTACACCTACCATAATGTGGGCTTCACAAGCGCAAAGCATCAAGTCCCCTTCAATTCGACTGACATGGATGCAGCTCAGCAAGCCTCTACTCAGGTAGCATGTTGAAGTGTGATCAAGTGCCCTGTGTATTGTTGACAATTACCTCGTGATGAACTGGGCACGATCAGTTACCATTGAGCCTTCCCATCTGAGATGTTGTCAATGGCTATTCATGTCGGCCGGTCTTTCCGTGCACACTGTCATGCCTCACGGCTCTTGTTCATTTCATCATGTCTGCTTCAACTTTTCGCTCTCTGAAACCAAAAGACCCTTTGCTGTAAATCTCCTTGCCTTCAGATGTCCGGTTTGTTATTATTGACTTTGAGCTTTCCGCCAGCAGATTAAAGCACCAGTGTCCACAACATCATATCACCTCCAAATAGACACTCCTAAAATACATCCCACCCGAATTCTTTGCCACTTTGAGGTTTGTCCCATGGAGGTCGACGAGTTCCTGGCATTCTTTGTATTGACCGCGGTTGCTGTCGTCGGTCTGTTGGTGGCCTGTGTCTTGAGCTGTTTTAAGAAATCTACTTCTCAGGGCCAAGAGGATCAAAGCCATGAACTCAGCAATTTCGCCGTTTCCAACCAAAGGCCTTCAGGAATCCATCCTCCAGGGAACTCCACCAGCCAAAGCAGCGTCACACTTACGCCGTCTGAGCAGTAACGCCGCTGTCGCCCAAATCAGACCGAACGGAAAACTGAGGGTTCCAGCTCAACAAGGACCCATTCAGTCGGAATCGAATGGCTCTGTTGCAAACTCGAAGATTCCACAGGACAATGGCCTGGCTCCTCACAAGACTACACCGGAGTGCATATGGCGTTCGGGTTCAGAAATTCAACACTGGGCCTCATCAGTACCAATTCATCGGCTGGGGCTACCCAACGGACTTGGCTCACCCCCACAATTCGGAAACAATGGACACCCAGGAGGTATGCTTGACGTCTGTAATTGCTTTGGCCTGGTATATTGCTGAGATATCAACTCCGCTTTCTAGGATTCTATCAAGCCGGCGTTGCACTAACTAGCTACGGTTCCTCGAGTTCTGGCCAATCTGTCCTGCATATCCCCAAATCCAATACATGGAGCGTCACTTCAACCATCCAGAGAATCTCGACAGACAACAATGGCTTTCCAACAGAGTCGAGTCCTGCAAGAGTCGAGTCCATTGTGAAATCAACGCCATTTGCAGTCCCATCGGGACCGTTTCAAAGTACCACAGGTCGGACATCCATTTCTGCATTGCCAAAGTCCTTTGACACAGGCACTGAGAACAACCAAGAAGTCACTATCGACCGAAAATTTACCAACGATGGTGAATCAGAGAAGCCGAAGCCACATTTGCTTCTTGGTCACAAGGCTGAGAGCAAAGCTCGGCCATGTATGGATGTTGTAGATGAGCATCCAGTGGAAGAATATTTGAACCTCGCGCCACAGAGAGATTATTTGAGATTGAAGAGTCCCCTCTGGAACAAGAGTGAGAGGGAATTAAGTGTAATGCTCCCTGAATCATTGCCGCGCCGAAACAAAAAGTCCCAGAGGATTGCAACAACGAAATCACATTTTCAAACGCATGAAGCCAGCAGAGATCAAGGCCACCAAAAGGGCGAAATCCACTCCACAGACTCTGTCGACACAACAAGTCCGAAGCTCAGGTGTGCTGAGCTCAGGTCCAATGACCAGATTTCATCGCAGCCGGATTACTTGGATGGGACTCCAAACATGCCGGCGACTGAAGAGAACAACGGGGCGCCAAAGCCACAGCGAAAGGGAAAGGTTTCAGAATTGAGGAAGGCCTTCGAACGGGGTCTTCTGGACCTACTGCGCAAAAAGCAACCAACAGAATCCAGCGAGGGTGGTCCAGTCCCGCAGTCGGCTATCAAACACTTGCAGCCTCCAAGACATTCAGTACAGGCCAAGAATACCGACTCTCCAGAAGACAATCTTTCAAAGAGCTCGCTGATCTGCTCACCCTTACCCACTTCATTCCGCCGTGAAAGCAATTGCCCCTCGTCACCGTTGAAGGACAAGATAAGCATTTTCGAGGGCTTGGTGAAACCCAACTCGTCTTCATCATTTGTGACAAGCCCTCTGCAAGAAAAGAGCAACATCAAAGCTAAGGAATCACCATTCCTGACAGGTAGCAAAATTCTACAGAGTGAAGTTAAGGAATCGACATCTCGGCTCCCAAATAAGCTCCGGGGAACCTCGGGCAAGAGAAACATTCATGATCATGCCGCTAGGGAGAAAGGAGACTCAAAAGGAAAGTACAGCGTCAAAGTCCAGGCGAAAAGCCTATCAGAACCATCAGTATCTGCCAAAGAACCCACGAGACGGCTGCAATCAGAACAGTAGGAACGTCGTAACAGCGGCAGCCAACCGACCGACAAAAGTGACCTACCGAACTTCCTGAGAAGGCTTTCTTCGACATTCAAAAACAAGCACAAGCCTCCGCAAAAGCAGCTGATCGGTACAAAGAGCTCGATGGCGGGTCGTGGAATCGAAGAAGAGGCCACTCCGCATTTCTCAGAAGAGTCGCAGTCGACCCCCACAGGTCAAAAGAAGAATATGGGTGAGCAACGACAAAAAGCAGCTGCCGAATCTCTCAGAAAGCGTCTAGAGTCTGAGTTGAGGACTAGTACATCTATCAATGGCCACCAGGATATTCAGGCGGGCCAGCGAGCTAGCGGAAAGCAACAGGGCAAGCCACTCCCCGGGGTACAAAGCTGTCAGAATGATACGGGCCAAAATTCGACATCTATCAATCATCCGAAGGTAAAACTATGGGATATTGAAAACCCTTTCAAAGTCTCAAAGACCAAGGACAATAGCGATGGCGGAGACTTTGACAACAGAGGGAGTGACGACTTCCGCAGTGTGGCTCTCGCACGCGTTCCATGTAAACAATCAACGCTGCATCATACATCCTCAGCCTCCCGCCACCGCCAGCCAACCCCAACTTCTGGTTCGTACAAAATGGGGAACGGCACTCCCAATGAGGACTCTTCGGAAAAGTCGAAAGAGGAGACCGACCACAGTGACAAAAGTGATTTCGTGGTTGTGGCTAACGCGGAATGTGAATTGACGCATCCGCGACCGTCGAGGTCGAGCGACAAGAAGATGATCAAGGTGCTTTGCAAGTGCGGTCGAGAGCCAGGTGAGGACGAGGAGGATGGCGGCCGGGAGAGCCTTGTCAGTGCCAGTGAGGGGAGTACTTCCAGTTTTCATACTGCCCCTGTTATTGCATCGGTTTGTTAATGTGTTTACTTTACGCAAGGTTTGTTTCAATTGGTATTTTCTCGAAGCAGGATATTGGATTCGCTCTGGAGAGCCGATCATGTTATTCGACGGTCTGGGCGGTCTTTGTGCGAAATGGAGAGGACGCTGGGTCCCGGAGACGTTGGCCGAAATTGTGTCTCGTACTTTGTCCAGAATACAAGTATCAAGTTTTGGGCAAGGCTCAAAGGACGTTCTTTGCTTCTGAATCCTTACTAACGACGTGCAAGTCTGCAAGATGTAGAGGAGCGACCTATGAAATTGCAAAGAGACGCGTCCCCTGGCCTAGACATTCAACCTTTGGTCTTCGTGACTCATGAAGACGAGTGTATTTTTATACATGAATATTAACTCGGAGTCTTTTTGCTACAAACGAATGGGTGTTCTACGTTGCCTGGGATTCAAAATCAATCAGGGCACTCGGCAGCATTAGGTGTCATAGACGCGAGAGCACGCACCCTTATTGGTTCACGGGGATGTGAAGGGCTCTCAAATCAGCGTTTTCCTTGACGGCCCTTCGAGTAGTGATCACAGAAGCAAAATGGTCTCTGGTCGGGGTCCTGAAATTTGCCTCATCCATGTTTGCCTATAGCATATGGATCAAATAGCACCCCATGGTCTCAGTTTCCCAACCCACCCCTCCAAAAGATCGCGGCAAGCCAGATATGTCATGTGTACCAGTACCGCTGCAGGCTTCCTACTCCAGCACGCATTTGTTTCTTAGCCCGAATCGCTGATATTGAAGGCTAAAGTCCAATACATGTGGTGAGAGTCGCAGTCGAAGGTGTCATGGGCGGCCAAGATACTCGTGTTGTCACCAGGCCAATTCCAACTGAATCTGAAGATTGTCTCATTGATGAATACCACAACAGCATCGGCCGAGATCCTATCACAAACTTGTCATCAGCAAACACATATCCTTGGTTCAAAATCTGAACGCAAACTCTTCTTAAATATAAGAAACTCAGAGCAAACTCACGTTTCGTTATCTCCGTTGGTGTTGTTTGTCAGACAATCGATGTAGAGAGAACATCTACCGTGAGAGGCGATCAAAAAGGGGTGCGAGGCTGGCGTGCATGAGGTATTGAAGTTCCCGGTCTCGTTACTGATTTGCTGGAAATGATCAGAGAGATTGGCGCAGTCCGAGATAATCTCATCCTGGTGATGCTGGTCGCCATAGTCAAACGTCACATTGTGCTCTCCATCCGCGCAAATTAGATGCGGGGGAATCACATCGCGAAAGAACAGTTTCGTGAGGCTGAGGTAGCGAGCCGGAGTAGCCAACGAGAAGACAGGAGAGGCTGCGGTGACGGTGAATATGAATGCGAAGAAGGTGAAGAGTGAAATGATATCCATGTTGTGCTGTCCAGAAAATGATCTTGATTTCAGTTGCGGAATTAATTCTGAAGGCAGGATGTATTGTGATCACTGATTGCGCGCTGGTCGAATGGTCTAATGTGAACTGTACGGAGCTGTAAAATGCGTAGACTACAATGGAAGAGACAGCAGCAATTTATATTCCTGGACGAGGATGTGTATGAGTGTTAGGTTCTTGTGATGGATTACGCTGGCTGATTTCAAAGTACGGCTCACCTCCAGCTCCAGTCACTCGCTTTTGCTTTTGCACTTCATCCAATTTCAACTCACCCAGAACTCTCGTTTATCTTATTTGTGTCTTCGGAGAGTTGGCCATCGGAACCTCTGTGAAGGGGAAAAGGAATTCAAACGTAGCATAATCATACATGGATTATACTCCTCAGGACTCGGGGAACGGTGGCTGTCTCAGAAAGCGTTTGGCTAACGGGCGTGGAATGAGTGCGACTGTCATCGCGAGATGGTGGGCGATTACCTGAGGCCACCCAAAGTCTACTCATATCAACATGACTGTGTCGAATGGATGATTACAAAGATTCGAGAGAACATATTGGGCGTGACGAGTGAATTCACATTGTACTGCAATATCACAGCTTCTTCATATTTCTCAAAATTTCCTTCCTATCAGTGCAAAGTGAGTCTGCAGAAAGTTTCTGATCTTCATTGTGACCTGTTCTGGAAAGCCCCGGCAACTGTTGCACCCGCCAAAAGACGCTGTATCTTCAGTGCATGTTCGCGTGCCATTATTCTTGACATTTAGGCTCTTCAGTTCTCACATGGCATCGCTTCGTATCGATAGCAGGCTCGTCATTGACTTGTCGGAATGGGTGCTCTCAATCCTGCCATTTCTTAAGGTCAGCACTTAGAGCGTTGTATGCAGAAAATTTAGAGGCGATGGCATTCAGTGCGAAAGATTGACGGAAGCCCATCAAGTGTGTTGATGCAGTGACTTACAGGTAGTCATCGGATCTGCGTCGGCGTAGCAGGCCAAGAAGACTGCGGTCCTGGTGTAGCATCCATTTCCCAATCAGTGGCCCAGTGCGTTGAAGTGACCAAGTCGGCGTCGGATGGTGGAGAAGTCTCCGCCAGGGGCGCAATGGATGGGATGCCGTCCTCCAGGCCAAACTTCATGGCCACGCCGGGCTGACACTGACACCACCACTGGCTCACACAGGCGCAAATGAAAGGGCTGTCGCAGGTCGTCGGTCCTGCGTAACCTATACCACCGCACTGTCCCCACTCAGGCACGGTGGTGCCGGTGGCGACGGGGGCCGTGATGGTCGTCGTAGACGTAGCAGTAGATCGTGGCATGGTGATCGTAGTAGTAGTGAAAGTCAGCGTCGTAGAAGTAGATAGAGCAGTAGATTGTGGCAGGGTGATCGTGGTGGTCGTGAAGGTGAAAGTGGTGGTCGTCCAAAACGGAGCGGCAGCCGCTGTGGAAGCCAGGAGGCCGAAGAGGATGGCACAGAGTCCGAAAAGAGGAGTTAGGAGCTTCATGTTGAGCATATTTGGGTCGTCTAATGCCAAGTCTAGCTTTGAAGTTAGAGGATTTGGATGGAAGGCCTTCGGGGTTTGAGCGTTACCTTGAAAGTCTTCGAAGTATCAGGACCACGGACAGTGTGTCACAAACAGCCCTTTATGAGAGATGTGGTGAGCCGCTGGATGCGCGACGATTTGTTGAGCTTGGTGCTTAAGAGCTTTTTTTTGGAAAGATCAGGTATTGCCGATTTGCATATTTGAGCTAAAAAAGTATTTCCTAATTCTCCCATACCGTTTCAGTGGAAGCTCCGATGACATCTGCAAACACACAGTCTGATACCGAAGTACAAGTTCCAAACGGACCTTTTCTGTTACAAAATCATGCCACTCATTTTGCCGGCTTGATGACGTCTTCTAATAATCCTACAGTAGTTTCATTTGAATGTTCTTCGGATCATTCTTTTCTTGTTCTAAAAGCATTTTGGTCTACGTTCTAGAAAAGCCGAAGGAAGGGACTACGGTTTCCATTGGCAGATATGAGGTGCTAATTGCACCGACCCGGACGTTGGGCATGCAAGGATGTGCGATGCTGGTCAGTTATCATTCATATCTTGAACATCACAGCTAATGACGAATACCTCAAGTCTGTGGCTCGTATTGTCTTTGCGTTCATTGGTATCTGTAATTATCTGTTGCTATCGTGCTTGTGTGCTTCGTCCCACTTTTCCGACGCGTCAAAGAACTCTTCTGTATCAACCTCTTCCTCCTCAATGCCAGGATTGTCTTTGAATCTTTTAGAGAACAGCTGCAGGAGCCCCACGAATTTCTCCCTTAGCTCGAGAGGCGCACTGATCGTTCTTTGGTCAAAAGTATCTAAAGGCGTTCTACCGTTATTATCTTGCTGCTCCGGGTCCACTGAACACGAAGGGTCGGTTGTGGCGAAGACCGCCATCATATCCTCGTTTGATACTTCAGCGATACAGTGTAGCACGGTCTTCCCCTCGTTATCGATGTCACGGACATCAACTCCATGTTGCAGGAGGACCGATGCCGTATTACATGCGTGGTACACTACTGCATTCACTGGACAAATAAAGTTAGCACATGCGTAGGAAGAAGAAAGAACAAAAGGGCTGTCCCAAGAGTGGCTGAGCATAGTATCCTTAAGATAGTAAGACATGCTTGTAAAAGAGTACGACAGTCTCGAAGTTTCAAGAGAACAATATTCCAGGGGTTTTGCTTACTGAGCGGTGTGGACCCGTCGCGGTCGTGATGGCTGACATTTGCACCAGCTGAGATCAAGAACTCCACCATTTCAACGTTATGGGTACAACAAGCAAAGTCCAGCGGCGTTGCAAACGCATGCCCTTCCTCCCAATTGACGTCGGTCCCTGCATCCAACAGAGCAGCCGCAATTTCAATGCGGTTGCCAGGTGCACCCGCTGTGAGGCAGAGCGGTGTTTGCTCGTAAGAGTCCCTGGTATTCACATCCGCCCCGGCGGCCAGTAGCACCCTGACTGCTTCCGGGCTTGCACCGATGCGGCATGCAATCATCAGCGGGCTCTCGGAACGCATGCGGGTCTTGCACTCGATTTGCGCGCCCGCGTCCAGTAACTGTTGAATTGCTTTTATGTCGCCTTTCGCAGCTGCCCAATGTAGGGCTGTCCTGCCAGAGTAGTCCAGCTTGTCGACGGGGCAAAGGTTCAGCTTCAAAAGCTCTCCTAAGTCTAAGCACCGGATCCCAAGGACCACCTTATGCAAAGGTGAGAGTCCAGCCATCTCAATCACCATGTCCAGAGGTAGGAGTTCCTCGAGGAGGGAGCGGTCAGACTTTGGTACATTCGGATCCGTGTAGATCTTCTCGAGGGCCATCATAAATCCTGGTGGAGCCACACCAGTTGGCCCCTCTTGAAAGAGGTCGGCGCCTTCTTGTAGCAAGAACTGGACCATAGGAATGCTGAAATGCCGGATAGCGAACCCAATTGGTGTCATGCCAGTATCAAGAACATCTGTGACGGCCACATGCCTTCTCAATACGGCCTCTTTGACTTTTTCGACATCCTTGCGGCTGATATCTAAAAATTGTCAATAACATACTACTTGGCGCTAGAAAATGGCTCTGAAGAGCTCTGTTAAGGAACACTGAGTTATGCTGGGAGGGGGGGGGGGTTCCCCACATACATCCAAAAATATTGTAGTAGCCGTCTAATGAACGGGAAGAGAGAACCCTACACACCCTGATGAGGAGCTCGGGAGACCCAATGCCGTCGGTGAACGAAGCTGTTATCGCCGCCTGGAACAGCCAAGAGGGAAACACGTATGTTATCCTGAGCCACCTCGCGCGGCGCGCTCGACACGATGTGTCTGTACAAGCGGAGGTGCCGGGGTTTGGACCTGTGAATGAGAAACATAAGGCTCCGAGGCTACTTGCGAAGGCAGACAGACTGAGGCGAGCGACGCTCCGGTTCGAGTGACAACGACAGCGGCAGCGCGGACTGCACATCGACCCGCCATATTGTGGTTGTCCTTGCACCGAGAAAGGCCGAGTCCCACGCTCACTGACGGCCGGGCTGTGAGTAATCTTTGAGAAGGCTTGGTCGAGATGTTGGAAATAGGACTCCTTCTCCTTGGATCGTACGTAACGCATCTCGGACAGAGCAAGCTGGTGCATGCTTGGAGATCGTGGTGACTGCGGAATATCACTCGGGATGCCATGTTTTGAGGGGCCGCTTCGTAATGTTTCCTGACGCAAATGTTTAAACACCGGGAACATCTCAGAGGAAAGATACTTTTCATTGTCGATCTCATGCGGGACACTCTTCTCTTCGGGCCAATCCAATGAGTGCTGATCGTCTTCAGGCAGTTCTGTGACCACCGACGGTGAAGAGCTAGGGAGTTCTTGGTTGTTATATACCGTCCCGGTAATCTGGCCCAATGAGTCCTCATCGGGGTAGGTTTCTATAGACTTGACACTATCAAAAGCAGGACGGTTAGTCCTCGGGATTCCCTAAAAAGGGTGTTTGTGAACAGTGCTGGACGTGACTCACGTATTGAGAACGACTAGCTTGGACAGTAATGAGAGGCGGCATTCTCTGAGGTGTCGAGCAATGTGGTTTATACGTTCCTTAATGGGCCTCCTCACTAGCATCTCGGCACTTGGATCTGGACTCGACGATAGTCCCGGGTCGCTCCGTCGGTCGCCTTCGTTGACAGGGTAGATTTCCCGCACATTTTCGAAACATTTCAGGATCGCGCGAATGTCTCGGTAAATAGCTCTAAGAATGGCAAGGTCCTGTTTCGCTGTCCCAGAAAATGTTTTCGTGTGAAGTTGGCTGACAGGATTCAACAGGTTGGTCAGCTCGATAAGCTCCTCGTGGATTAAATGAACATCCGGGGCATCCAGCCGCGCGGATATGCGCCTTTTGAGCCCTATGATCGTGTGTAACGCGACGTCGGCTGCGCGCTCTACGTCGTGAAGCGCTTCTTCCATGATTCATTTTCTCGTTTTGGCAGTTCGAAGGTATTTTGACAGGCCGGAAGGCCACATCAGGTGGACCGATATGAAGCAACTGAGTGAGATGCACAAGTCAAATGAAGAACTGGACAGTCGCGTTTCTACAAATGGCCCCACACGCGGAGCCATGGGTGCCAAGTTATCCGATCATCTGGTTCGCTCTGTAGTAGCGGGCGGCATGGGCAGGGGATGCTGACACTGTATAGCGTTGCAGCCGAGGGTACTAATTAGGGAATCCCCGTTATGAGTGGACAACGATTTGGACGTAGGCAACCTTCTTATCTGCACACATATACACAAGCTGAAATCTATTATACGATGTCACTCAAGTCATGCAGGTGGGGAACCGGTTTGGGCAGGCAACACTGAGCAAGATGTAGGTCTGTATTAAGGATATTTAGGCATCACAATAAGCATGTGATGCTACGAAACGCCCCTCTAACCATTGTCCTTCAACAACCATATTATAATTGATGCCTAATCGGAAAGCAGGCACTCTGTCACGACTCTATGATGTCAACTATAGTATTTGAGATATACCGTGAGATTTTCCTATGAATTCCCTAAAACAGAGACCGTGGGGGCGGTTTCCAAATAGTGTCGAATCCTTCGCTTACGCCCCTCACGTGGCCCCTATACAATGCATTTTCACCCCAAGGGTTGAAGTTGCTTGTCTTGCGTGATGATTACCGTGACTACCTACCAATAGGAAAACAGCAAGTATCTACCCCTGCTCACATCCAGTACAGCTAGACTAGACAGCTTATAGGTTTAAAACATCGTTCAAACAACATAATAGTCCCTCCTGTCCACAACAGGTGCAGAAATGCCTTGACAAATCGAACACTCTTCCAAATTTATCTCAGGGGTTAGAATTACAGTCGTGCTACATCGCATATCGCTGCAGACATGGTCAGAGTCAATCAATGTACGGCTCAACCTAGCAGGACAGGCAATACAGAAGACTTGACTTGTCCGATACCCCCGATTGCAATGCTTCGGAAGGTTCCCTGCATTTAGCTTCCAGAGATCAAAATATCATTCTTTCGCACATACGATGATGGAATTCGAAGACCTAAATATGACAGCGAATCACAAACAATGTGCCTTAGCTTTGCAGAAGACATTTGGAGCTTGCCTCCGGTTCAGCATGTCACAAAGAGCCAGGAGACAAGGAGGACCATGGACACAAACATCACAGGTATTTGAGTGATTAATATGGATCTAGCAAGAGCTTCATGATTCTCTGCCACATGACCGCCACCGTGAGACGGCGAGCACCCCTCCTTACGAAGACTAACAAGACAGTCACATATTCATTAAATTCATGATTGTCGTACACACGGCAGGCACAGCCCTGATGAGCTTTTGTGAAAGTAGCCTGTGAAAGTCGAATGGGGAAAAAGAGCACTGAAATGCTCGCTTCGAATTGTCATGCACTGCCCACGACTCCTCCTAATGGTCCGAAACACAAAGCCTTGCTTGAGTCCTATCCATATGGCGGGGATATTGCTCAGACAATGATGCAGCCCTCAACCGTTCCTTGCGCAAACCCTCATTCGATACACCACACTCCTCCATCTTGCGGCGCCGGCGAAAATCCGCATCCTTGTCAAGGTCAACAAGTGACCCGGCAACTCGTTCTGGCCCAGTTAGCCAATGACCCTCCATGACCTCCGCAGCTCCGTCGGTGGTACCATCAAGCTCGGCTGAAATGCGACCAGCTGCCCTCTAAGCAGCCGAGTGGAGTCCCATTCCACGGCCGATTTTCTTGACCAGCGCCTTCTTCAGGTACCATTCCCTAGCCAAGCTGCGCGTTGTCTTAGCGAAGACAGCCGGCGCGACCCGTCCCCTTTCAACACCTCGTCCAAGTACGAAGATGGCATCAGCCAGTGCGCGCTCCTCTGCCACCAGTTCGTATAGCTGATTCCCCACGACGGTTGGTGCGACGAGTAGTTGGTCAATGTCTGGCTCTGGGAGGCGTTTGCTACTTTCAATCGTCTCATCTGCGCGGCGCATGGTGTCCCGCAGGATGTTTGTGTTGTTCTGTAATAAATTAGAAAGCTGCGTCAGAGAACCGATCTCCGATTGCATGGCGCCCATGGCGCTGAGCATGGCCGTGCGCTGGGCTTGTAGGCCTTGCATGCTGGAGTCGTTCTGTTCGCGGGTGCGGGTTCTCATCTGATACAAAGTTGTAGCAAGCTGGCGGAGGAGGGCGTCCTTTTCAGGGTTAGGTGGTATTGGGGGTGCTGGTACGGAAGAAGGTGAGGGTATGTTGAGGGTCAGGGGCTCGTCCATCAAGTCAGGCGGTGGCGGAGGCTTTTGCTGTGGTGGGGGAGGAAGGGTCTGTGCCGGCCCTTGTTGCCATGTCTGCTGTAATGGTGGAGGACCAGCGTATTGTTGTTGGTTTTGCGGAGGCAGGCTTGACATTCGACGCGGATCGGCAGGAGAAACTGGCATAGGTGGAGTGCCAACTTGATACTGAGCCTGCACCGGAGGGCCCTGGAAAGAAGGAGGAGGGGGAGGAGGGGCAGCGTGAGAGTAGCCTTGCGGCGGTCCCTGCTGTTGTGGATGTTGAGGGACAGGAGGCAGTGGTGGCGCACTATCGTATCTGGACATGCGATTGTTTTGGGGTGGCTGAGCTGATGGCGATTGCTGCAATGCGGGTGAACCGTACCGGCTCGTTGGGCGCTCGACACCTGGGGGGAGAGGAGGTAGAGGAGGGCCTCCGTCTGCTCTCGAAGCCTGTTGATTGGGCTTGGGGGGTGGAGGCGGTGGTCGAGGCCCTCCGTTTGCTATGGGAGGTGACTGTACGGAACTCGGTGGTCGAGCAGACAGCTCCTGTGGCAGAGGAGGAATGGGCGGCGGGGTGGGAGCAGCTTGTGGCTGGACCGAAGGAGGTCGTTGTTGCGCCTGGCCTCTTGCGACAACTGGAGGCTCTTTTGCGAAGACATCTCGTAGGACGCCCATAAAGTCGAGTAGGTTGGATTTCTGCGCACATCCTTGTTTAGTCACATTGAATTCAGACAGACGATATGCCTCATCTCTTAGATTATGGAACGTACATCCCAGAAGTCAGCCCAGCCGACGAGGTACGGATGGTAGACTTGTCCTTGCGGGTCAACATGCTGCCCCGGCCTTACGACCATGGTCTCGGTCGGGGTGACATAAACGAGAGGCGGCTCCCGTGGGTAGGCGTGAGGGACCCATATCGAAAGGGGGAAGCGGTATGTAGTGCCGCGGAAGTTGACGGGTATCGTGCCGGAGATGTGGAGGAGGAGGGCAGAGCTGCCGTTTGGGAATGCTGTATCGCGGAGAGACCCAAGTCAGTATGAGGTCCTAATGCAGAAATCGGGAGCGTGCCATACTGTGTACATCCGTCCGAGGCGACAGAGAGGGGTACTGGGACAGAGCCTGGGCTACGTCGTTGTAAGTGCGGTTGACATCGTGGTATTCCTGTTGCGATGGAGGGGAGGGGTCAGCGGCATCAAGAGACGACAGTTGGGCACGAGGCGAGGCGCGATAGGCGACGGGCACGTACACTTGTCAGGACGCTGTACAGCCAGTTGAGGACATGGCGCTGGACTACCATTGTCGGTTGTGGGAGATGGTCTGGTCAGCAGCTGTCGCCAAGCAGCTTCATGACAGGAGGTTGTGGCAGTCAGGCGTGTATCATCGTGATGGTCTGGTACCTCGGGAGTGCATCATCCTCACACTCCACCAGCCTTGGCAGTGGTCGAGGCTCCATGCAGCAGCTTCCTGTGAGCGGGCTGGAGGGACAGTGGGACAGTGGGACAGGCGCTAGAAATGGGAGCTTGAACCCTGGCCACGTACCTATTGTAGGTAGCTCCGCTCCGTTCCACAGCAGCTTTGCAGCACAGCAGCAGAGCAGTACAGCAGCAGCCTCAGTGCGAGGGTACCTAGGTACATATGCAGCAGGTCCATATTGTGGCACGTGCGCTCTGTTTAAGACGCCGCCGATAAACGGCGCCAGATCTGATAAACCGGGGGCTCCGTTCTGGTGTCTGGCCGGGTTGGCTCGGTTTCAGGGAGCCCCAGGTCTCCGTTTTCCTCCCCCACTGACCACCACCACCGCCCGGCCTGCCAGCCCAACCTTGCAATTAATTCTTCATCTGGTCGATGATTGTCGTCTTCGAAGCGCTTCGCCCACGTCATAGCAAGCAAGCATCAATCAATCTGCAAGGCTCTCTTCCGAACAGCCACACACAATGCTAACGCATCTTGTCGCCATTTCTCGATCTGCCTCGATTCCCGTACAGAGTCTCACACGGGAGGGGGGCGGGACTCGATTTGCATGACGGCAAGAGAGCAGCAATGGCAATGTCAAACACATTGGATGACCGCTTTGACTGAAATGACACTGGCAGGGCTGAGCCGAGGACTTACTGCAGTCTGAGGGTGCAGTTTTTCACCCGCTGGTCCAGCATCGGCCCATCCCATCCACCCGGGCGCTATCGGAGCACGAAATTGCAAGAATCGTCTCATTGTGCAGCCATCCATCCATCCAAAAATATCCACCTCCAGAATTGCATTTCATGAGGGTGTGTGGAAGTGCACGCGTCTGGTCTGATGTGATGTGGTGGTGGATTGGGTCGGCTTAACGGCGACCTCACCTGCGACGCACGGTCAAGCAGGAATCATTGAAACAAGAAAATCACTTCTCAGATATGCCACGATTCAGGTATAGCTCAACACAGAAAAACTCAGCAAAGCCTCGATCGATTCTCTCTCTCGGGGGCCGCGCGGGCCAGCCGGGCTCTGTCACACCCAAAACAAACGGTTTGCGTTGGTTTGTAAACACTTGTGCCTCTTTTCGATTAGTCAAGCCGAGCGGCCGGCCATCTTTTTCGCGTCCCTTATAAACCATGCCATCCCCTGCCCCAGACGATTCTCTTCTCTCTTCAACACCAACGCCCTCAATAAGTCAGCATTGCCTTAAACACAATTTGTCTGTCTTCAGTTCAGACACACATGCCCACGATACAACGGTGATCTCGCACGGCTGAGGAGTATATCAGAAGATTCTGTATACTCCTTGCGTCAGGACTTCCATCCCATCCAAAGCCTCTCACCACCGGCAAGCAACCACAGCGTCGCCCATCAACGCCAAGCACCAGCACTGGTACCAGAAATCCTTTTTCTCAACCAATCAAGGATCTCTTGAAACAGAGAACCGTCCTACAAAGTCATGTTCCCTCCCCTCCCGGTACTCTCCGATTATGGAATCTCGCCTAGCCATGGCTTCCTGCCCGAAGCCCTTCCCTTGACGAGACTCCCGGACCCGTACTACAACAAATGGGAGGCCATCGTGGCGAACCTGCAGGCCTTGATCCTCAGCAGGCGCCTCCGAGGCGTCATCGACCGTCTCCCTGTGCTCTCCACCGTCGGTCTGGAACACGACGCGGAATGGCGGAGGGCGTACAGCCTGCTGGTCTTCATGGCGCACGGTTACATCTGGGGTGGTGACAGCCCCAGTGACCGCCTCCCGCCCGCCATCGCCGTGCCTCTCCTGACAGTGTCCAAGAGGCTCGAGGTTCTCCCAGTCGCCACCTACGCTGGCGTGTGTCTGTGGAACTTCAAGCCGCTGTTCGTCGACGAGGGCATCGACTCGCTCGAGAACCTCGCCACCCTGACGACCTTCACTGGCTCCATCGACGAGTCTTGGTTCTACCTGGTCTCTGTCGCTATCGAGGCGCGAGGCGCGCCCATCATCCCTCTCATGTTGACAGCCATGGCTGCTGCCCGCGACGGTGATGCAGCTACCGTCACGCGCTGCTTGTGTGCTTTTGCCGAGCGTTTGGATGATCTCGGCACCTTGCTACAGCGCATGCATGAGAGCTGCGATCCGACCATTTTCTACCATCGCATCCGGCCGTTCCTCGCGGGCAGCAAGAACATGGCCGAGGCTGGTCTGCCTAATGGCGTGCTCTATGAGCTCGATGAATCTGGTCGCGGCGAATATCGCCAGTACAGCGGTGGCAGCAATGCCCAGAGCTCAATCATCCAGTTCTTCGACATCGCACTCGGTATCGAGCATCGACCCACTGGCGAGAAGGCCCCTTCCGGCGATGCGTCTGCTTCCGAGTCTGACGCAAGCCGCGGCAGGGCTCCTGCGCCCAGGCACAATTTCCTCATGGAAATGAGGAAGTACATGCCCGGCCCTCATGCGCGCTTTCTGAATGATGTCTCCTCCGTGGCCAACATTCGCGACTTTGTCGAGACGCACGGGCCACGGGACAAGGCACTCCGCGTTGCATATGACGCCTGCCTGTCGATGCTGCGCGCGCTGCGCGACAAGCACATCGCCATTGTCACGCGTTACATCGTGACCCCGAGCCGGGAGGTCCGCGCCCGCAGCCGCAGCCGCAGTCCGGAGGCTGTGAGGCAGCGAGTCAACCTCGCAACCGCGTCACGCCAGGCCCAGCGGCAGACGACCAAGCCTTCACGTGGGCCTCAGGGCATTGCGCTCGACACGAGCTCGCCAAAAGACGGGAAGAAGGATCTGACGGGCACGGGCGGCACCCAGCTCATGTCCTTTTTGAAGCAGGCGCGCGACGAGACGGGAGAGCCGGCCGTCGAGGAGTGGGCTAGAAGGTTCATGAGCCGAAAGCCGCGCAAGGAAGGAAGGAATGACTTCTTCCTCGGTAAGGACGAGCTCCCCGTCGAAGAGGTTGAAGTTGCCGGTCTGGCCGGCACTTGGACTATGGAGGATGACTTCGGGGGACTATGTGCCTTTTGAGGGTTGCTAGCCAATGTAGTAATGGCCTGTACGAAGGTTACCTAGAAGCGATCGTCCGTATTCACGTTGAATCGAGACCGTGCACCATAAAATTACTCGAAAGTTTGAGCCTCATTGACATTCACACACCCCAGACCCTTGGCTCAGTCAAAGTTCCTCCGCACGTATTTGATCCCTGTTTGTTTCTTCAGCTGTCTTCCCACTTTCCGAGATCGCCAGGGGATCTTCCGCACCCCAGGAGACCAATAGCCAAATTTAGATGCACTTTGTCTTCTGCAGAACAACTCTGTATCTTCGCTTGCAAATTTTCCCCTTTCTCCCCTAAAGGCGTCGTCATACTATGCTGAATTCTCAGTGCATGCTTCTCCTCCCCTTTCATGCGTGATTCGCTTCGCGCCAAGAAGCTCGCGGCCGACTCATTGATCCCGCCAATAGAGCCGGAGCAGCGGTCCCGATTCGGAATCCCCCTCCTCTGTACTTGATGCTCTTCCCGCTGCCAGTTCAATGGGCCCCGCGGACGCCCTCATGATAGGAATGTCCTGCCCATGAGGCTCCCACTCTTGGGAGAGGGGGCCACGGCGCACGTCCCTTTTTGTGTCCTCGCTACCAGAGGACCATTAGGCTTTTCTGGGCACAAAGTCTTGTGTCCATTCGCAGTCGCGGGACGTCCAACGTGACTTGAGCTGCTCCGGTACAGCGTTACCGAGATCAGATCAGGATAATTTCCCGGCGCCTGGGTGGTATCGGGAGGAGATCATGGCATTATCGCGAGTGATAATGCTCTCAGCAAAAGTCACCGGCGGGGATGGGAATAAACTCTACTGGAACACAACCCTCGGGCACGTTGATGTCTCCGGCTCGTGCTCGAGAAGGTATCAGGCAGTTTCGCAAATGAGCAACCAAGCGCTTCGATAGAGTCTGCATGAGATTTGTCTTCGAAGTCTTTTCTTGCTTGTTTCCAGGAATAAATATACGCGTGGGCCATTGTGCTCGCCGTGAAGGGCATCATTCCCGGCCATGCAACCGCACGTCCCATGGATGCACATGGTGGGTGTGGGGTTTTCTGACATCTCCGCCTGGCTCGAGATAACCTCATCCGGAGTGCCGACCCGAGGACCCTCATTGTAGGCATGTGCTCGAGTCAATGCTCTAAATACACCAACAGCGACGCATGTATAATTACCCGTCTACTCACTCTCACGATGATGTGAATGCGCCGAGTTCTCCAGCGTCCGCTCTTTACTTTCCCTCGTTTTTCGCCTGCCAGGAACATCTTAAGGGACGCTATACATCCTCCAATATGGCTCGTCTCTTCTCCGTGGCTATATTGGCCCTCGCAAGCTCCGCTGCTGCTGCCCCGAGTCTCAAAGCCGCCCGCCAGACAGAGGACACCGTCAACGCGACGGTCGTGAGCAATGTCACTCTCTCTCCAATTCCAGTGCCACTAAAGCCTGATTGTCTGGTCCCACAAACCAATGTGTCTCTCGACTACGGCCTTAACAACACTGACCTTGCTGCGGTCAACGTCACCTTGTTCACCAGCTACCCTACCATCCTGCTAGAGACCATCTCCAACCTCACGGCTGTTGACTGTTCGTCCGACTCGGTGGCGATAACCTTCAACAACGCCCAGGATCTTGATGAGGCATACACGCAATGGTCATCTCATGAGAAGCTGCTGCTCATCACGAACCACATGGGTGACTGTGATACGGAGTTTGAGCGTGGCTTCTTCGTGGCTGGTACCTATACAACCGACACATCAAGTCTGAGTCTGACCGTCACTGCGGAGAAGACAGATGTACACAACGTCAGCTGTGAGTTCCTTCCCCCTGTTATTACCCACAGCACAAGAATCGATGCTGACGCTCCCAATCAGCATACATGAAGACGCAGTTCCACGGCCTGCCCGCAGCCAGCACCGTGAACCCAGCAAAGCGGGACGTCGTCATCGACCCCGGCAAGCTGACATACAACAGCACCTGGAACCTGCCCTCCCAGGTCCTGTACGAGTACGACCCGTACGTCACCGTCACCGCCCAGTCAGGCCAACTGGACCTCGCGGTAGGCCTGAGCGGGTACCTGGAGTTCGACGTCCTCGGGCTATCCCTGGACGTGCTGTCCGTGGACTTCGAGACCCAGATCAAGTCGGACCTGGTACTGGAGCTGGGCGTCACGGCGCCGTACAACAACACCTTCGCGTACACCCCCGATGCGCTGGCGTACTACATCGTCAACGTGCCCGGGATCATCACCTTCGGCCCGGAGCTGCTGTTCAGCATCGGCGCGGACCTCGACGTCGCCGCCGCGGTGGACGTCGTCCTGGACGTCGGCTCCGAGATCGAGAACGGCACCGTGCACATCGACTTTGTCGACTGGAACGCCACCGCCGCCGCGGGCTGGGAGCCCACGTACCACGCCAACGTCAGCATCTCGGAGAAGGCCGAGGTGGCTGTGAGCCCGTTCGTCTCGTTCACCGTCGGCGTCGGGTTCGAGCTGCTCGGCGGCGCGCTGGACCTCAGCGGCGGCCTGACGCCCAAGGCGAGCTTCCCCACCACCGTGACGCTGGACGCGGGCCAGGATGTCAGTGCCGGGAGTGGCGAGAACACCACGGTGAGCCAGCCTGGTGGGGAGGGTACGTGTGAGAATGGGGCGGCTGTTGTTAGCGACTTTGAGTTCAGCTTGACGGCGTTTGTGACGCAGTGGTACAAGCAGGTAATTTATGATGTCAAGGTACCTATCGCTGATGAGTGTTATTCTTGGGCCTAAAGAACGGTCTCCCGGGGAAGTGATCGGCGAAGATGCCATGGCCTTTCATTTCAAGCGATTTGTGTCTGTAGATAGTAGGGAGCTTGGAGAACAAAATCGCTACATCACTTTATCAATATTTATTAGTGACTTAATTATTGTCACGAACCTGAGTTCTTGTTCGAGATCGGGGATAGTACCGGATCGTGGAGAAGCTCTATGTCCAAGTTCATCTTCTCTACCCAATTCGACGGTATTTGTTGAATAATAATTATAGATATGAAAAAGAGCATTCGTAGTGGTGGCGGCGGCGGAAAGCGCTGCAACATCCCTACTCCAAAATCCACTTAATGCGTGTAGGGGGTATCCGTAGGCCCCAGTGCTAGCTTGTTTTGGGCTGCACTCCCCTCGGCAGGCGGTGCTCGTAAAAAATACTCGCATAGAATACTCGCTCGCATCGAATACTCGTATAGAATGCTCGGAAAAAGTACAACGACAGCCCCTCGATCCCATACTGACGATGATCGCAATCAAATATAATATACTCGCTGGTAGATACTATGCCCTAGCCTGTTTACCAGCCAGAAAATTGGGGCTTTACGGCATTTTGATACTAGAAATTATGAATGTATGCGATGTACACAGAGGACGTCAGGATTCGTATTAGTACGAGGGCATGTGCAAGAAAAGTATATAGACTCCATGCTCTCACCACACCAGAACTCTTCAATCCATCTTGTCATCGCTACAGCTTCTTTCTTCTGTATTTATAATGCCTTCAACTAAGTTTGCCGCATTGACCGCCATGGCGGGCATCGCTTTTGGTGCGCCTTCCAATCTCACTACGCACTCAATCGATCTTGCGCCTGTCTATACCAATGGCACCGTCAGCGTGGAGCATCTTTCTGTGGCCGGAAACCTCGATGGCTTCAAGATGGTCACTCCTGCTGCTCGCAAGAGTGCCGATTTCTGGTACTTTGACGTCTTCTCCAGCGCCAGCAACCAGACGCTCAACATTGTCTTCTTCAATTCCGGCGAATTTTCCCAGTACCCGCATCCGCTCGCCGTCCAGGTCTCTGGCGTATACGCCAATGGGACCAGCTTCTACTTTGAGGCTTTAGCCGACTTGGGCGTCTCCCTCACTAACGGCCCCGATGGCATCACGGGTGAGTGGAAGGGCATTGGCTCTTTCAAAGGCTCAGCTCTGGACGAGCCCAATGTTGAGTACACTATCAACCTCGATTCCCCTCAAATGGACATTTATGGCACCATTGTCTTCAAATCGGTAGGCTCATCTTTGGCCAACATCACTGCCTCGCTAATTCATACGAAACAACAGATTGCCCCCTCGCACTATCCGTGTGAGCTGAACGGAGCTGTGGGTGCCAATCAAAACCTGCTGCCCAGCTTGTATTGGGCCAACGCCGTACCTGATGCCAATACCGTTGTTGAATTGCAAGTCAGCGACACCACTATTAGCTTCAACGACGGTGTTGGTTACCACGACAAGAATTGGGGCAATAAGTCCATCATCGACGTTCCTCGTTACTGGGACTGGGGTCACGGCCGCCTTGGTCCTTACTCTGTCGTCTGGTACAACCTCCTGGACTATAACGGCAACGAATCACGCCGCTCTTTCGTCACAAAGGATGGCGAAGTCTTGCTTGTGAGCTGCAGCTCTGACGCTCTGATCGTGCGACAAAAGGGTGGACAGGCCGCTTGGCCCCCTACCACCGGTCTGCTTGAAACTGAGGGCCTGTCAATCAATTACACACTGCCCGATGGAGAGATTTTCGCCATCGACGTGACGACTGAGCTGATTGTGCGAGATGAATCTGGTGCCTACCAGCGCGCCAACGGTCTGTTGAAAGGTGGCTTCGTTGGAAAGGAGACAATTGAAGGCCGTGCTCATTACGAAGAGTTCATTTTCGGTATCGTTAACAACTATACGCCTAGTGTGTAGAATCTTTGACAATAATTAGTCGAGATTACCTTTTTCGCTTTCTTTACAGCTTCTTCTGTGGATATCTTGGAACACCGGTTCTAGCAAACTCAACTATACGTGTAAAACTTCTTCTGTATGTTGTATTCTAGCCTATACATTCTGTTGGCGAGAGTTGCCGATCAATTCGAGTTTACCTCGAGCCTTGTACCCTGACTATGTTTCTCTGATGGAAAGAACAACGAGTCGAATTCAGGAACGAAAGGCATGAAAATAGCATTTCTGCTTTTCCACGGCTTTGACTCGAAGAGGACCAGTGTTTAAATCATATACTTTCCTAACAGATACAAGTGGTTATTATTGATCGCGGGCTTGTTTGACTTGGCGATACACCATCAATGTTATTGTTGAGCTTCTTATACCCATATGAAGCCGTCTCGGCGGCCTGCTGGCTCGTTCTCTACAACCGCGATCCTTGTCAACAATATCATCTCCCATCAACGTTGACTGCGCTATTGAAAGCCCCTTCTGAGATTGCGTATCATGCCGAAACAAGTAGTACAAGACGATCATGACTGCGAGTATAAGGACCGCCCAGGGCGAGGGCTTCCCCACGCCGTCGGATGATCGCCACTGTGTGGACAGTGTCAGTTCTCCCCTGAGGAAGAGGCGGCGTTACCTCTGAAAATCTATTTTTCGACGAGCTGAGAGCGTCGGATTCACAGCATGCCACAATCAGTACTGTGACTTTATTGTCCAAACATAGAACGAAAATATGTAATTGATTTATGGTTTTCAGAAGGCTGAACCTGGCGCTGCTGCCTTTCTATGCTGTAAGTCCTCATCGCTGAGCTTCGGCGAGTACGTAATATTTACACTTGTTTGTCTCATGATGCCGTTTTTCATCTGTTGTCCCTCTCCGCTTGATCGCTCCTCTTGTTCGCGACCAGGAAACATATCCATAAAATCCATTGTTGTCACAATTCTCCTCTGCGACGAGCCATCTTCTTCGTCCTCCGCCAATACGGACGACACTTTTGTATTTCCACGCTTGAGGCTCCTTGAAGCTTGCCCTACGGGGCTTTGCAGCTCGATTTCCGGATCATATCGTCCGTTCCCATCTTTCCGTCTCAAAGAAGACCTTCTTGATACTTTCGTGGCGGAAGCAGAGGCGGAGGCGGAATAATTTGCGACGCCTCCTTGGTACATCGCGCTCGGGCCATTGTCTTCGTAGTATTCGTAATACCGGTTCGTCGAGTCTCGACCGAAAAAGCTGGGGAAGTAGTGCAAGATCAACGGCTTGAGGAAGGGACCGCACGCCGATGCAATAGCTAGGTTGACCTCGATACTCGAAGCGGTACCTGCAACACCATATGTTGCGTCCGGGTTCGGCTCTCCATAATATGATATTATGAGATAGTACATGCGGTAGACACTGATACCAGTGACACTACGAACATTGTCAGCAACGGTCACAGCCTTTTCGAGCGGCTGAAGAGTGAAGATGAATACTCACAACAAGCCCATTGACAGAAGGAAAATGACCGCCAGCTTCTTCCTTAATTTCATCTTCAAATTCCACGTCAACCAGATTGGGATGATCATGACCAAGATATCTGTCAAAATAGTTGCTGCTGCAGTGCCGATGAAAAAGTCGCCGACGTGAATACATGTGCCAGCGGTGCTGGCGTAAAATGTCTTTTCGATGGGGACACATTGAAGTAGATCGATCAAAAAGATGGAGACCATCATCAAGGTGTTTAGAACGATGATGGCAATAATGAAGACTCGTAGTTTGTCGATGCTGCCGCCAACACGGAGGAAGAACAGAAGCATTCCATTCTTAACAAGAGCCAGGATAGGATTATATAGGAGTTGGGTAGCGTAGTTGTATTTGGCTCCAAGGACTGGGTCCATTTGATCCAATGGAATATCCTTCACATGATAACCAAGAAAGTTGACCTTTATTCCTACAAGATGTCAGTTAAGACGGTCTTGTCAAGACTCATAGGCAGCTTTCTCTTACCCATAACTGTCGTATAGGCCTGGGCGATCGAGAGAATCATAGGTACAACGATGAAGCCATCATCCCAGCCTAGATTTCTGGTGATAAAGTAACGACTGTATAGACGAAGCAAGACAAAAACGAATGCGACACATGGCGCAGCAATGGAGATAGCTATTGCTGTTGGTTGAAGCCCTGTATCAGCCATGTCGATATCCAAGAGACTTGGAGATATCTGCGGCTGGGTTAGGTGAGGCGCGAAAGAAATACAATTCCATTGGAAAGTTCAAGCTCAAAAGGATTGTGTAACCACGGAGGAAGGCATAGGGATGGCATGATTACAGTATATCTTGCGCTGGCCACACCGGCGCGCAGCCACAACCATCCCGGGCCGTGGAGACAGGGCTGCGTCGGAAACTTCCAAACCCTGTATGATTTCCCAGCAAGACCCAAAAATATTTGAGGGATCATCCACCTAGATCTCGCGGCTATCTACTTAAGCTGCCCCCGGCCAAGCCACGACTCATGTTCGGGCCTGCATATATCAGGGGCACACACCTGAGCCGGCGCCACATCGGGTCGTTTGATGTTGAAAGTACGGGCTGACACATGCCTGCAACATTCTCGGCTGATTGCCTCTTTTTTTCTTACCGTATGCCCATGTACTCCAGTATCTAGCTAACTTGCTGACAAGTACTTGCCCATATCCGAAGTTGAGAGCCTTGAAATGTCGACCGTCGGAGAAAGTTCCAGCCGGCTGGGTAGAACTGTGGGACGATCCGCGTTGGCCGCGTGTTAGCGGCAGTTCGTCATCTCCGATTCGACATTGAGAAGATCTCTTGCGCACAAACAAAGTGCGATCTCGGCTCCAAAGCATTGGGAATGTACAATTTTTGTCATGTCATTCCTTAGGCGAGTGTCTCAATACATGGTGAGCCCACAATGATCGCGAAGATCTCTGGAGTTTGCAGGTCAAAATAATGAGAACCTTCCATGTGACAGGTCAAAAAGGGCGCTGCCGGGACGGCGATCCGTCAGTGCTCATTCGAGGCCGGGGCTTGTAAAGTTTTCCCGGCACAAACATCCACGATTATCCTGGTTCTCCTCGCCCCGACGCTCAACCTCGACGGAAAACCCGTGTTCTTCAGACTCACAAAACCTGCAGATACCCACTTCTTCAGCTTCTCGCCTGACTTGTAAATTGCTGTGGGGACACCATCATGAGAATGAGTTTGGCTAATGGAGTTCGGAAGACGTCCTTGAACCAATGACTGCGGAAGATGAGGGCTCTTCAGTTCTCCAAAGCGGCGAGACGGGGGATTCCGCGAATGGAGGCGACTCATCGTAGATTGGCACTCCTGGCAAGACTGGTCTCTCCCTGCCCTGTGTTCTCTCAGTCTCTGTTCCTGAATTCCATGACATCTTTGTGCTCAAAGCAGCCGTCCCAGGTCTTCCGAAGCACGTCTCTTTTACGCTGTACGTTTCCCCAAGAATTCCACTTGCTCAGTGGGCCAGAGCTGACACAGATATAGCCAACGTAACATCAGTTGACGTATGTGAAACGGCTTTGCATAATCAGCACGTTCGTCCTCTGGTTTTGTGATTGACCAAAGAGCCACGGGATCGACATGGCGAAGCACTTGGGCTTCCTGGCCCTGCTATTCGCATCTGCTGCCAGAGTTTCATCCCTGTCGCGATCCTCAGCCGCAACCCGCTCAACCAATGCCAACACTCTGTTCGCTGAGGAGACTGTCCAGCTCACTGACGAGTCACTGAGCGAGTTGGGCTCTCTTCTCTATGGACAATCTATTGGTCTCGACCATGCTACCTTCGACCAAGTTTTCGGCTTCTCAAAAGGCGATTCCGTGACCAAGAGGTCTTCAGGAGACTGCAAGACTTATGCGGGTGACTTCTCATGGCCGGACCAACTCGTGTGGTTCGCTTTCGACTTCCTCCTTGGCAATGCCCTGCTCGAGGTGCCACCAATAGCCTCGCCATGTTACTCGAACTGGGAAAACTACGAAGAAGCCCTCTGCGCGTCGATCTCGGATAGCTTTACCGACAGCCATCTCCACATGGACCATCCTTCATCTATCATGAGCCCATTCTACCAAGGCGCGACCTGCATGCCCATCGAAGGCAGCCCAGGAAATTGTACTTTGGGAGGCTTCCCCTATTATGTCGTCAACGCTACCAACGTGGCGCAAATCCAACTCGCCATCAACCTGGCGCGGAATATGAACCTTCGTCTCGTTATCAAGAACACTGGGCATGACTTCGCAGGGAAGTCAGCAGGCGCAGGCGCGCTCAGCATCTGGACGCACAATATCAAGGGCCTCGAATACCTACCCGAATACTCGAGCAGCAGCTACACCGGCCCAGCTTTTAAGATGGGATCCGGCGTCCAGACCTTCGAGCTCTACGCCGCGGCCAAAGAGCAGGGAGTAACAGTCATAGGTGGCGAGGGTGAAACTGTCGGAGTTGCCGGAGGCTATATCCAAGGTGGTGGCCACTCGCCCTTGGGCAGTGTCTATGGGTTGGGTTCCGATCAGGCCATCGCTTTTCAGATCGTCACCGCCGACGGGCAGTTCTTGACTGCGTCTGAGGAAGAAAACTCGGATCTTTTCTGGGCTCTTCGTGGTGGCGGTGGAGGCACCTTTGGGGTTGTGACGAGCGTCACGGTGAAGGCTTACCCGAAAATCGGCGCCACCATCTCCAACTTCACGCTGACGACTGGTGATGATCTCGACTCGGAGACCTTCTGGCAGGCGATGCGACTCTTCTGGAATCACTTTGTGGATCTCGCAGATGCTGGAGCCTACTCCTATTTCCGTTTCTACGCTATCGGCCCGGACTCTTACTACTTCGGCATGACTCCTTTCTTGACGCCAAACATGACTGTAGATGAGCATAATGCCTTGCTCCAGCCCTGGATCGATGAACTGTCTGCCCTCAATGTATCGCTTACATGGGTCTCCGAACCGACGTACTATGACAACTTTTACGATGCTTGGGAGCAGGCGTTCCCTCTTGAGACAGTTGGCCTCGACGCTGGCAGGATTGCTTCACGACTGTTCCCACGCGAAAACTGGGAGAACACGACGTTGCTGAACGAGACTTGGGCCGCCGTGAAGAATACTACCGAGAACGGATTCTACTTCACTGGGTTCAACATGAAGAATGAGCTGTTCCCCGGAAACACCGCAAGTTCAGCGAACCCAGCGTGGCGGAGCTCTGTGTTGCACGCGATTACGGCTGTGTCTTGGACAGATCCTACCTCGCCGGAGAAGATCATCGAGCTCTCAGACAGCATGACATACGGATGCTTGGACCAGTGGAGGGCTGTGACCCCTAAGTCTGGATCATATCTTGGAGAGGTAAGTAGTTTGTCCAACTTCCTTTTGCTCTTCTGTGTTGCATCTGTTGAATTGCAATCGCATCGAAATTTGCTGGATCCTGTATCTGACAAGACTTCCCTGCACAGGCTGATTCCGCCGAGCCAAATTGGCAACAATCCTTTTGGGGATCCAACTATGATCAGCTCTTGTCTATCAAGCAGAAATATGACCCGAATGACGTATTTTATGCCAGGAACGCTGTTGGCAGTGAGAACTGGAAGGTTGAGACTGAGACTGGGCTGCCGACGCAAAACGGCAAGCTTTGCAGGATATGAGGTAGAGAAGTGTTTTTTTATTATTGTTTTCTCATGTATTTAATTTCATCGGCCAGGACCTTGTGAACTTATCACATTGATTTGTTCCAAGGCGAGCAGTGTACATATTCGAAGAACTCCCTTGGATCTTCTATCCGTGTCCTATCCAGGCATCCCAAACTCCAATAAAGCCTGCGCGCACAGCCAACGAAGTCTTCGTCAATCTCAGTCATCACGCGAAGGTGGAAGGTCAAGCAAAGATGCCGTTGAAATTCGCGAAGCCCCAATGTTGACCAGCTCTATGATCTCCCGAGGTCGTAAAGCGCCGACCTTGCACGGTGGGATCCTCTGGCCCTTTGCATTCTTCTTTCGGAAGCATTATCAGTGCCATTCTCTGTTTCTATTCGGTTGTATCGTATTCTAGACGAGTTGATATCTCGTTTGTTGCATTCGTCTGATCTGCCGCTCATTTTATCGCCATCATCGCAGTTAGCTCGGCTGCTGTCTCGACCATCAGGGTTAAGGTGGGTTGCGTGTAGACTCCTGGCGTGGTTTCTGAAAAGTTCTTCTCGAAATGACGCATTGTGAGATTCCTGATCGTTAAACATCTGCCCTCATGTTGCATTATCGCCGTCCAGTGCTCCTGCTGGCCGCCGACGAGCTAGGTACAGCAGACGACTGAGAGTTCGGTCTTGCAGCCTGAAAACTCCGCTGGGTTATTGGCTGTTGCCTTCCCTTTCCCCTATCTTTCTTCCCATCTTTCGGTTTGCAGGCGAAATATGCTAGTACCGCTGTCTGCTTCTGATTGTATTTCTGTCCGGGCTCCAGAGGTCTGCGTTGCTTGCGACGCTTGTGTTCAGGTCTGATAATTGTGCTCCACAGAAGCTGTCCATCCGCAAGGGTTTTGAAAAACTCGTTGACTAATTTCTGGCCCATGATGGAGATTAAATGCTGTCGATTTTTGGCTGCAAGAAGTTGAAACCTTCAGCCGTGAGTACGTTTGAGTTGATAAAGTGGAAGTGTAAAGTTAAGAGTCGCAAAGCGATAGTCAAAAATTATAAGTAGACATACTGAAGTCTGAGTGATTGATAGTCAAACAAGTCTGTGGTCAACTCTAGATGCATTAGTACGATGTAGTCTTGTGACCAAATATTTTTCGAACCTCTGTGGTCGAGTGACAGCCTAAGGGATGGTCCGGCAATTCGGGTAGCTCAGTTTACTTGGGTTTAAGTTGACTAATATGTCTGGATGCCATCTGATGCTCGCCGAAAGTCCATGACTAGAGTGCTCTAAGTCCAAGTGGCCACATTTCATCAAATTCTATATGCATTTTATTCGGAAAGCCACCAATAAATGTATACTAGAGCTAAGAATCCTATGTGGGTACCCGAGCGTAGTAGGCACAATTTTCGATCGAGCTTGGAATTGATGATCGCAGTCAAGGAAGTCTATTACCGCACAAATTCTATTTTCCTCGCATCTTCTAAGATTCAACAGGAAACTAGTCGACCGGAAGATCTCAAAGACATACGCAGGAGAATCAAGGCGCCGCAATGGCCTGAGACAACAAGAAAAAAGAGAACTCAGACGCAAAGACCAGACTGCACGTAGGATTTAGATTGTCTTCTTAGTCCCGCATTTCTGCTCCTCGTCGACGAACCACTTCCCAGTTCTAGCCAATCCCTCGTCCATGGTGACCTTCGGATGATAGCCTAACACCCGCTTTGCCTTCTCGCCACTCAGCGTGCGCTCAATGACTGTCAAGCGAACAGCTTCCCGAGTGACGATGGGCTGGTCTTTACCGAAGGTACGAATCCACGTGAACCACTCAGCGATTGTTGCTATGAGATATGCAACCCAGATAGGAAGAATCTTGATCTCTTCCGGCTTGACCGGCAACCCAACAGATGCAGCAATTGCTCGCTGGAAGTCCCAGAACGGTACAGACTCCTCATTTGTGATGTTGAAGCTCTCACCATCGACGCGCTTGTCAGGGGGTGGAGGAGACTTGCCCCATGCGCGCAGCAGGGCTTTTGCGGCAAGGATGTGAGCGTCGGCGCAGTTCGATGCGTAGACGAAATCATAGAGGTTCTTTCCTGGGCCGAACTGGATTTTACCCTTGCCCTGTCTGGCATTTGCCACAATCTTGCCGAAGGTAATGGTGTCGCGCTCCCCAAATACTGTCGCGGGCCGCATCGAGACAGTCAGCATCGATGAATCGCCATTTTGACGATTGGCAGCGAGAATCTCTGTTTCGGCTTCCGCCTTTGTGAGAGTGTAGACTCGTTTCTGGGCCGGATATTGAAGGACTGGAAGATTCTCGTCGGCTTTCACTAAATCGGTGACATTATCGTGGATCACGGATGAGGTTGAGGTGTTGATGAATGCGCGGACAGTCCCGATCTCCTTGGCGGCGATAAGTAGGTTCTGGGCGCCGGTGACGTTGACTTTCTTGAATATTGCAGGCTGCTGTACTGTAGATTCAGGGCACGCAACGTGAAAAATAGTCTTTGGCTGAGCCTGCGCGAAAACTTGTTCAACCTGGGAGAGAGAAGAGATATCGCAATTGTGATATTCAACGCCAGCAATACGATTGCGTTGGGTGTCAATGTCGATGACGTGGATCTTGCAGTCCGTTTCATGCCTCAGTATTTCGACAATGATGTGGTAGCCAATGAAGCCGCAGCCACCAGTCACGATAACAGGGCTGAGCGCAGGGCCACCTTCAGTGTCAGCGAGGCTGGTGTCTGCCATAATGGATAGACGGGTAGAGAGCCTTGGAGGGAGCGCTCAATGACAATCGAGCACAGTGAGACGCTGCGACTCGCGAGATGATGGAGGGCACCGCGGAGACGATGGAGCGTTTGGCTGTCTAGATTTCATATTAACAAGTCGGGGAGAAAATTGACAGTTGGGACTCGTTTCATTGGAAACGCGTCCCCGCTCCGGACTGTTGGTGCGCACACGTTGCCAACGCCAGCGGGTCTCACCAACATGTACATTGCCAACATCAAATCGCACCGCCGAGCCCACATCGCAAGGTTGCATTCGTCGGCTCGATGATTCAGTGGGATAACATTGGAACGAACCAACCAATAGATTTTGGTTTCCGTCCCATAATCGGACAGAGTCTGTAACCCAATTCTATGCAATCCGTAATTAGATCAATTTTCTGTGCATACTTCGGAAGGCAATAAATTCTTGAATGTTCTACCAAGAGTCTACACCCACACCTACATTCATGAAGGGCAACAATCATCCGTACTGGTGCAAGCGACACACATCATTCCACTTCGAACCAGGAAGCAGCCTGTATCCATGTAGTTTTCCATAGCTCAAAATGACAAAATCAACTTGATCGAATTATGCAGCCTATCCGAATTACAGGTGTCCAGGAGAACTTTTTGAGCACGCTCGCCTCGGCATCCTACTTCCAGCTCACATTAATACAATTGCGGGGAAGCTTTTACTCGAATAATACCTCTATACTAATATAAGTAACTATCAAGTTTACATGAATAGGAAAAGAGTGACTGGCTTTGGCAATGCATAAGACTTATAAGCATTGTCCATAATACGCATTAGCCGTTGAGCATGTGCTTCCGGACGCGCAAACTGTCGGTCCAGCCCAGCCGCTCCCAGCGCATTGCCCGAACTTGGACTGTGTTGATCCCCCAGAGGTACTTGTTGTCGTGGCTTGCGAGGTCGTTGTGAAAGTTGTTGACGTAACGGCAGGTCTCGACGAAGATGAAGTTGAAGCTGTCTTCGTCGAGCTGAAGCTAGACCTTGAACTGCTACTCGTCTGGGTCGATACCGTCGATGATGAAGAAGAGGGTGCCGTTCCTTGGACGCATTGCCAGTAATCTGAATGCCGAATTAGTGGGTGACTCCGGGGCTGTCAAGAGTTAGAATTTCACATACAGTCGGTCACATAGCTACAATAATATCCAGATGGGCACTGAATTGGTCAGCATGATCCTTTAAACTCGGTATCTCCAGGGGTGAAATACGTCCCAAGTCGAGATTTCCACATCGAAGATCTTCGAGGTCCAAGTCCTTGCAGCATATGCTGGTCGGGGAAGAGAGAATGAAATCGAGGTACGTACAAGCATTGCTACATCCCAAGTCAAGCTATCACACTGTGCGTATGCTGCAGCAGTGGCTGTCGGGGTCGGAGTTGTCCAGGTGGCCGGCGAAGGCGTGACATATTTCGGAAAGCTAGCATCATCGTCCCTAACGCAACCAGTGATGCTTGTGAGCTCCGCAGGACACGAGATCTGAGTGAAGGTGTGCGTCGGGTTGTCAGCGTTTCTGAACCAGTCAAACCTCCAGTCACAGCCTGCCTGAAGCTTGGATGGCATGGTCGAGCACTGAGAGCGGTTCGAAATGCCCCCATATTGAGCGCCCCAGGAACTGCCGAACTCGGTGGTGCAGCCGTCGAATATGCCAGTGCCGCCGCCGGGAATCTGCAGGTCGAATTGGTTTCCACTGAGGTCTCCGCCTGTGTTGACCGACTGTACCAGCATGACTTTGCCCTTGGCTTTCCCGGACGTGAAAGTCAAGGCGTAACAAGCACAGCACCAGCTGGCTTCCGTGCCGCCACTAATAGAGGTTGCTGCGAATCCATACGAGATAAGATCATTGACTGCCCAAGGAGCCTGGTTGGTACATGTAAAAGCTGTCCCACCGCTCTCACAGCCCGAAGTTGCCTCGTAGTTGGAGAGAGGGCTGTCCTTGATGTCGCAGGTATAGGTAGGGTTGGTGACGTTGGCCTTGCCAGGCCACGCACATGAGGGCTTACAACAGTCCCAGTATCTGTGCAATAGTAAGTGGCTGGGTTTCTTAGTATCGAAGTTCTTGGTAATATTTTACCTAGTGGACGAGCCTGTCCCAGATGCTGCGTGAGCAATTCCAGCCAGAATGGCCGTCACAGCTACGGTGCAGATTGAGCGACTCATCATCTCAAATTGGAGTCTCATCTCGAAGCACAAATTTCGCCAATTGGCATGGCAGCGGATTTCTATGTTTCATACGTTTGTCTAAATAGTCCAAGGCTCACGAACCACATGACGAGGAATCCATGCAGCTCCAATCAGGACATCAATTGTGCTGGCACCACGTCCATGTCGAAAGGGGTAATGGCGGGAGGCAAGCCTCCGGTAGGGTGTCAGCGGGAATGACAAGCCGCCGTGCGCCAAAGAACTGACCATAAAAGCCTGGAATTGGGTCGGATTACTAGTCGAATCCACAAATATTCAAACTCTTACGACGACTTCGGCCCTCTGGTCCGGAATGTCTGCAAAAAGGTGGTCAGGCGCTGGCCGAAAACCATGACTGAGTTCCTCACGCGCCCGAGTATCCGTGAGAGTCACCAGGTTGGACAGCGATATCGAAAGGCTTATCGTCTTTTAGTCTACTTTATACTTTCAAAGTCGAACTTCAAGCTGTTCTTTGAAAAAGGGCGTCGAAAGCCCATACCTCGAAACGCGGGCAATTGCTGTATCCTAGTCTTGACCTAGAGAATAGGACGAGCTTTCCTGCCTCTGATGCCAAATGGCGAGATGAAAAGTCAACATAGAGTTTAATTTGCTTTGATAGTACAAGATCAGGGACCGAATATTGCTCTAGACAGGCTTCCGTGTGATCTGTCGCAGCCAGAGGGTACCGCCCAATCCCACAAAGATAGCAGAGGCTTATCCCATCTTCAACTCTGAAATCCAGCGGTCGCGATGCTGGCTAACAGTATTGCGATTGGCCTAGACTTCCGGTCGGAACCAAATTATGTTGAGGGCGCCTTCCAAGTATGGCCCGTTACGCTGTGACATGGTTGGAATTCGGGGTCAAGGGATTGCAGGAACAAATTGATGCATTTCGACAAAACACGACAACCCCCATCGTGGGACCGATTGAGGCAGATTCAAATAATCGTGATTTTTGATTCCCCCTGACCCATACGCAGATAAATATTTTCCTGGGCAGAATGGCCCAAAGTGTGTCTGCCCAAAGCTGCCCGCTGTCGATAGCCTTATGCTGGATCCACATCCACGAAACTCAAGCATTAGCTTCGAGACAGCGCATGCTACGATCGCTTTTTGCTCGTGGCGGGATGGTGCTCGCCTGAATTCCCCCCACGGCCGCAGTATAATTACATAAAAAACTCACCAACTTTTTTGCCCAACTACCGTCTATGAACAACAACAGCACTGACTCATAATAATCGTTCCCGTCCGAATTCCGAAGTCTACACCTTGACCTTCTTGGCATTGCTGCCGTTGGTCTCCTCGGCAGTGACTTCATCTGATGCTCTCTTCTCGGATTGACCAGCAATCTCTCTCTCGGCCTTCTTGAACTTGGCATGCTCCTCAGAAGTCAAGTCGGGCAGCAGAGGCTGCTGCTTATCTGCGGTGAGGTTCAAGTGGAAAGTACGGATAACGGAGTCGGCGTCATCGATAGCCAGTGGTCTCACGTCGGCCATGGCCTTGACCTTCTGGGTGCACAGCTTGACCTGGTCGTCGGTCATAGAAAGGCCAAGCTGCTCAATACGGCTCTTGATGGCGTTCCAGCCAGTTAACCTGGACGCAAAGTGGACTAAATTGACAGACGCGCATTAATACAGATCCTTGCTAACAGCTTGCGTTGCAGGGGAAACATACCATAGCGAGAAAGACCGAAGTCTTCAGGCTTGAGAATCTCATATGTTGCTGGGTTATTCAGGATAGCCTTGGCGTGGATACCGGCCTTGTGAGTGAAAGCGCACTGCCCATGATGTCAGTTGTCATGAATTAGGAGAGAACAAAATCGGAGCGGGAGAGTCATACGAATCCAGTAATTGGGTTGTTGAATGGCACGTTGATTTGCACTGCTATTGTTAGTTTTGTATCAAGCAGGCCCAAGCAAGGTTGACGTACCTGAGTCGGCCACAAGGTTTTCGAGGTCCTTGAGCTTGCTGAGCTTGTACTTGCTGGTTACGTATTCGCGGTCGGCAACGATCATTCTTGCCATCAGGCCGCCAAGGGTGGTGATGCCGTTGCGCTCACCGATGCCCAGGACCGAGGTGTCCACGTGTGTGGCACCGGCTTCGAGAGCACAGTACGCATTTGCGATGGCACAGCCAGTGTCGTCATGGAAATGGCACTCAATATCACACTTGACAACACCGCGCAGAGTCCTCACCAGGTCGTAGACCTGTCTTGGGGAAGCGCAGCCCACTGTGTCCGCAATTCCAACACGGTGCACGCCAACCTTGTCGACGGCGCTGTAGACGGAAAGAAGATCGACGAGGTCGGAACGGAAAGAGTCTTCGCTGGAAAACCGGACCTCGAGACCCTTGGACTTGACAAACTCGATGACCTCAATGGCAGTCTGTTTGTTTGTTAACATGGTGTCCGATATCGGCCAGGTGCATGGAAAGCCTTTGATCGCCAAAGCCACCGAAAAGCGCCACCACTCACGTTGATGATGTAGGTCATGTCCTTGCCATGCGAATGCTCGCGGAGGTACGAAGATGTGCCAATGACAACATCGAGGCCATCGACACCAGTTTCCACAGCCAGACGAGCATCGTCCATGTGGCAACGGACGTGTGTGAGGATCTTGGCCTTGAGGCCGAGCTTGCAGATGGTCTCGCAGTCCTTTCTCGATTGCTCAGAGGCAGCCGGCGAAGTCAGCTCGATGTAGTCGACGCCGAAGTCGTCGAGGGCCTTGGCGATCTTGATCTTGGTGTCGATGTCGAAGAAGGCGTTCGCGAACTGCTCGCCCTCACGGAGGGTAGACTCGACTGGTGGTAGGCAATGGCGTCAGTGAGATGGGTTCCTCATGCTGGCGAGGGACGAAGATGGGAGATGTGGGACCCCCATGCTCGTTCAATTGTGACTCACTGATCTTGAATCTGGAGACATTACTCAGGAAGTCACCGACGGGCTGGTAGGGGGCGGAACGAGTAGGCTTGGTCTGTGAAGATGACAGTTAGAGCGCCGCACGAGAAAACAGAGGCCACGGCCTGGTGTGGTTCAAAGGTAAAAGACTTACAGGAATAGCTGTGTAACCAGGGTGGGCTGGGACACAAGACATGTCAGTAACAGGCTCTGCACTCTATAGGAAGAGCACAATGGACGAAGCAAAGGTACGACGAACAGTTGTCGGTGCCATTGGTGCCATTGGTACCATTGGTACGGCTCGTGGTGGCCGGGGCGGCGTCTGGAGTAGGGCACATTGTTGCAGCGGACTAGAATGAGGGTATCGAGGGTCCGTCAGTCGGTGTTTGTTGGTTGATGCTGAGGGAAAGAGTCAATTGGGGCAGCCCAGACAGGAGGTGCATATATATCTAGTAATTATTTCCCCAGGTCTTCTGAGTCACCCAAACAGGTCAAAGGCAATGACGAAAAAAAGTTCGTTTGGGGGAAAACCAGGCATGCTAGTATAGTGGGGCGCCCCGCGAAATCAACTGTGAGGGAATGCACACTTCCGGGAGCTGCATACTATGGTGCAAATGCTGACAGGGGTCCTCCACCAACCGGATGTACCTTCGTACCTCCGAGGCGGCAACGCACTTGGCCAAGTCCAGCCTAGTGCCCTGCCCGACACGGCAGGCCTGGGCAGGACAGCTCCAGACTTGACCGCAGCAAAACTTCAAAGGCGACGTGCCTGGGAATGCGAATCCACTGTCGCCCCCCATCTCGACTACCATCAACCCCTCAGCTTCCACCAACCGCGTCGCGACAGGACTGCCTCTGGTCATCCGTCCTTGTGCACCTTCTTTCAACATCAGAGGATATCTTCCTGGTGTCCCATTTGATGAGGTGAAGCTCTGCGCGTCTTGGGAGTTGATGCGCCCGAGCTGCCTGGTGGTGGGCAGCTATTTCTAAGCACAAGCACGACCGCTTCGCGTTTCCTCAACCCACCGACCGCGCCATCGAAGACCATCCGTACGGCGAAATACTCGACGGTCACCCTCCACCAACTTAAAATCACCAATCCATCACTTCGGACAACGTCGACATGGCGGACTACGGTGAGGATGTTTGGGAGAACGACTATGACGAGAACGAGGAGGACATGGAGGATGAGTCCATCACCGCCGAGGACTGTTGGACCGTGATCTCATCCTTCTTCGCCAAGAAGGGTCTCGTGTCGCAGCAGATTGACTCTTTCGACGAGTTCGTCACAACGACTGTTCAGAGCCTGATGGACGAATACTCCACCGTCAGCCTCGACCAGAAGCTACCGCCAAGCGACGAACCCGAGCCTGCGCGTATGCGCCGATACGAGATCAAGTTTGGCCATGTCCTTGTCACCCGTCCCAACGTCACCGAAGGTGATGGTGCAGTCAAGAACCTTTTGCCCTATGAATGCCGCGACCGGAATCTTACCTACTCTTGTCCCATTTACGTTCGCATAACAAAGGAGGTGAAGATCGCGAGAGAAAAGGAAGTCCCGTATGACGAGATGGACCCAGACCAGCGCCAGCACTACGAGGAGACTCAGGAACGCCCCACGACCATAGTATGGGAGATGGAGGAGTCCGAAAAAGCAGGCGACAAGAAGAAGACCGGTCCTGAGCATTTGCGAGACATGGTGTACATTGGAAAGATGCCCATCATGGTCAAGTCACAGATTTGTCACTTGCGCAACGAGGACGATGCCGGCCTGTTCCTACTGAATGAGTGCCCTTACGATCAGGGTGGTTACTTCATCATCAACGGCAGTGAAAAGGTGTTGATCGCCCAGGAGCGGTCTGCAGCCAACATTGTGCAGGTCTTCAAAAAGGCCCAGCCAAGTCCAGATCTGTACCATGCCGAGATTCGAAGTGCGCTGGAGAAGGGCTCTCGACTCATCAGCTCCTTGACCTTGAAGCTCAAGGCCAAAGGCGAGACAGGACGAGGCGGTTTTGGCCAAACCATATCCACCACGCTACCGTACATCAAATCCGACGTTCCGATCGCCATCGTGTTCCGAGCGCTCGGTATGGTCAGTGACGAAGACATCCTGAACGCTGTCTGTTACGACCACAACGATACCCAGATGCTGGAGATGCTGCGACCTTGTATTGAGGAAGCATTTGCTGTACAGGATCGTGAGGTTGCCCTTGACTTCATTGGCAGGCGCGGGAATAACGGTCACCAAGTCGCCAAATACATTCGTATCAAGAACGCCAAGGATGTCTTACAAAAGGAGCTGTTGCCACATATCGCCCAGACCGAAGGTTGCGAGACGAGGAAGGCGTTTTTCCTTGGTTATATGACTCACAAATTACTGCAGTGTGCTCTCGGTCGGCGCGATACCGACGACCGTGACCATTTCGGCAAGAAGCGATTGGACTTGGCTGGACCACTCCTGGCAAAGTTGTTCCGAAATATTGTCAAGAAGCTCACAGGCGATCTCATGGCCTACATGAAGCGATGCATTCAAGAAGAAAAGGGCTTTGACCTCACACTTGGTATCCGTCACGGCACTTTGACCAACGGCCTCAAGTATTCTTTGGCGACTGGAAACTGGGGCGACCAGAAGAAGGCTATGAGCTCTACTGCTGGCGTCTCCCAGGTTTTGAATCGCTACACCTTCTCCTCCACGCTCTCCCATTTACGGCGCACAAACACACCCATCGGCCGTGATGGAAAGTTGGCCAAGCCGCGTCAACTGCACAACACTCACTGGGGATTGGTCTGTCCAGCAGAAACCCCCGAAGGTCAGGCTTGTGGTCTTGTCAAGAACTTGTCGCTCATGTGCTACGTGAGTGTTGGAACACCAGCAGACCCCATCAGAGAATTCATGATCCAGCGGAACATGGAGGTACTGGAAGAGTACGACCCTGCTTCAAACCCATTCGCGACCAAGATCTTCATCAACGGCACGTGGGTTGGTGTTCACCAGGACCCAAAGCACCTCGTCAGTCTTGTCCAGGACCTCCGACGCAAGAGTATCATTTCCCACGAGGTCTCCCTTGTCCGTGACATTCGTGACCGTGAGTTCAAGATTTTCTCAGATGCTGGCCGAGTGATGCGGCCTTTGTTCGTAGTAGAGCAAGAGGACAACCATGAAACCGGCGCGATGAAGGGTACTTTAGTGCTCAACAAGGAACACATCCGGCGTCTCGAGGCTGATCAGAATCTGAACCCGGCGGACGACGAGTACTTTGGCTGGGACAGTCTGCAGCACAGTGGCGTCATTGAGTATCTGGATGCCGAGGAAGAAGAGACGGCGATGATCTGCATGAGCCCTGAAGATCTTGATGAGTATCGAGAGGCAAAGAAGAGGCCAAAGCAGACCGAAGAAGAACACCACCAAGAGAAATTGGACCGCCTCAATGACGACTCGACGGATCTGAACGCCCGGGTCAAGACAAAGATCAACACTGACATCAACATGTACACCCATTGTGAGATCCATCCAAGCATGCTTCTCGGGATTTGTGCAAGCATTATTCCGTTCCCGGATCACAACCAGGTCAGTGTCTGCCCCATGGATTCGTATCTGTCCACAGCTAACGTACCATGTAGTCCCCGCGAAACACCTACCAGTCGGCTATGGGTAAACAAGCCATGGGCTTCTTCCTTACCAACTACTCTCGGCGCATGGACACGATGGCAAACATTCTGTACTACCCTCAGAAACCTTTGGCGACAACGCGCTCCATGGAATTCCTCAAGTTCCGAGAGCTTCCTGCCGGCCAGAATGCGATTGTAGCCATCGCCTGTTACTCGGGTTACAACCAAGAGGATTCCGTCATCATGAACCAGAGCAGTATTGATCGCGGCCTATTCCGAAGTCTCTTCTTCCGTTCTTATACCGACTCGGAAAAGCGAGTGGGCATCAACGTTGTCGAGTCTTTCGAGAAGCCGTTCCGCTCCGACACACTCCGATTGAAGCACGGCACATACGACAAGCTCGACGATGACGGAATTATCGCACCCGGCGTTCGTGTCTCCGGTGAAGACATCATCATTGGAAAGACATCGCCGATCAACCCTGACAACCAAGAACTGGGGCAACGGACTGCACAACACGTCAAGCGAGATGCTTCGACTCCACTTCGAAGCACAGAGAGTGGTATCATCGACTCCGTCATCGTCACGACCAACCAAGATGGTTTGCGCTACGTGAAGGTCCGTGTTCGTACCACTAAGATCCCTCAGATTGGTGACAAGTTTGCTTCTCGTCACGGTCAGAAGGGCACTATTGGTGTTACTTACCGTCAGGAGGACATGCCCTTCAGTCGGGAAGGTGTTGTGCCCGACATCATCATCAACCCCCACGCTATTCCGTCGCGTATGACAATTGCCCATTTGGTCGAGTGTCTCTTGTCCAAGGTGTCGACCTTGAAGGGAATGGAAGGCGATGCAACGCCCTTCACCGATGTCACTGTCGACTCTGTCTCTGACCTGCTTCAAGCGCACGGATATCAGTCACGTGGCTTTGAAGTCCTCTACCATGGGCACACAGGGCGCAAGCTCAAAGCTCAGGTCTTCTTCGGCCCGACATACTATCAACGTCTACGACACATGGTGGATGACAAGATTCACGCCCGTGCTCGCGGTCCGGTGCAGATCATGACGCGGCAGCCCGTAGAGGGTCGTGCCCGGGACGGTGGTCTTCGTTTCGGAGAAATGGAACGTGATTGTATGATTGCTCACGGTGCCGCAGCCTTCCTCAAGGAGCGTCTGTTCGAGGTGTCAGATGCATTCAGAGTCCATATTTGTGAGATCTGTGGACTCATGACGCCGATTGCGTAAGTGCATGCCCCTAACTGCCTCGGTGTGAGAGCTCAAAGCTAACACGTGCATAGAAACCTTACCAAGCAGTCCTTCGAATGCCGGCCCTGCAAGAACAAGACCAAGATTGCGCAGGTGCACATTCCGTATGCTGCCAAGCTACTTTTCCAGGAGCTGGCAGCTATGAACATCGCCTCGCGCATGTTCACTGATAGGTCGGGCGTGTCCATCCGATAAAAGATCGCTGATATACACCTACGAGTTACTTGGCTCGGTCAGCCGGTCCGCCTCCGCTGCGCCGCTGCGACAACGGACGGATTCATGCCCATCTTACTGCACTTTTCACATCAGATTGTCCCAAGGTTTCGCGTATACGGGTGGTTGAATTGCATGGACAACGGCGTTGAGGCTTTCAGTGGGAGCTACCATTATAATCGAGGCGGGGTCCACGTCATCTTGCTCAGCGTTGCGTCGTTGGAGGATGCGTACTGCTAGACAGGAAAACTGAGGGAGGTAACAGGACTGGTAGCAAGGCTGTCCTTGAATAGAAGCCACCAGAGATCGCCGTCAACAACAAGAGTGATGGACAAAAATGGAGTCGCCTCTGGAGGGCGGACAGAACTGACGCTCAAAGGAAGGAAGGCCCATCGTGGTGCAAAGGAAATATACAAATGACAAAAAATGATACCAATTGAATTAGGATCCTAGACCCGATTTATAACGCAGGCAACGCAGGCCCTGAGTCTCAGTAAATTGTTTGTGCATTGCGTGACATGTGTGATATTTACATGGAGTGGTGGACTATTGCCGCATAACTTCATTCCCCAATTGCGGGCCGAACATAAGAAGATCTACAGTGTTCATCAACCTTGCCCATCGGGCCTCCTCTTCAGCGAGGCGTACTGAGTGGAGATTTTGCATCCTCTCTAGAACACATCTTCTTGGGCTGTATAGATGCTTGCGTGTGCACGTAGGGCTTCAAGAGCTAAGCAGACGCTCTCGCGGGCATCTTTCGCTCGGTGCAGCCAACGGCGAGTGCCTCGTCCTATCTTGACGGGGCATATTGGATTCTTGTTCCTCGTTAAGCCCGCGCCGGGCACGGCGAAATCCAAGCACCTTGTTGGCTACCTCTTTGCACCCTGTTGGCCCTGTACGTCCTCTATTGAGCTCCGCACCGTCTGCTCCTGCTTGTACTCGGCCTCCAGCTGCTTCTGCAGGTCGAAGTCGAGCTGTCTCTCGCGCTTGATGCGCTGCTGCTCCATGTCGCGGACGACGCCTTGGTGCATTGCCTGTTTCGAGCGGGACGGAATCGTCAGCGGCCGGAAGGAGATATGGGAAAAAGGATTTCAAGAATTGACGAGAAGAGTCCTCGGGGGGAGCATAGCGGGGTGCGAGTTGTAGGGACATACAGCTTTCTCGGCTTTCTGCTGGAAGTGGACGAAGACGATGGTCGACACGGCGAAGAGGGACGTCCCAGCGAGGGCGATTTTTGAACCGCGGGAAGCCATTTTGTCAGAGAGAGAAGGCTTATTACACAGGAGGGAGAGATGCAAAAATAGCAGGCTATAATATCATCCTGAATAATTGGCGATCCGCAACAGCTCGAGGCGCATCTCAATCGTAAGAGGTCTCGTCTTCGGCGTGAAGCTCGAAAATGCGTGCAGTCAGTAAAACCGAACTCCGTCATCAAGCCCCCCCCCCCCGGCAGGCAACTTGCCGGGTCTGCTGGGCTGATGCCACAAGCTTCCCGCTGGGGGAGCTGTCCCAGGGCCCATCATCGCTTGGCGGTGGCCTTCGACTACCTAGGTCATAATCGCCGCAATCCGCCCAGCAACCCAACCCTCTGCCTTTCGAGTTCAACCTTCCTTCACAACGACCCGGCGATAGACCCTCTTGACAGCTTATTGGATACCCCTTCATCTCCCGCTTCTTAAGTTCCTCGAAACATCCTCCAGCATGGTCAGCCAGGCTCCGCTCTCCGGAACAATTGCGTGGGACAGACGATGCTAACAATAGTAACATGGCAGTCCGCCCAGAACTCGGCGGGTATCCAGACCCTTCTCGAGGTATGACTAGCAGTGTCAAGTGACCCGATTCCATTCTTGGCTGACAGGAGCTACAGGCCGAGAAAGACGCCTCCAAGATCGTCCAGAAGTGTACGAAAGCTCCAACACACCCCCTCGTGAAAGCCACGGACGACGACGACCTGAGTTGAGCTGACCGAGACTGGGTGACACACAGCCCGAGAGTTCAGGACGAAGCGTGTCAAGGAGGCCCGTGACGAGGCCAAGAAGGAGATAGAGCAGTACCGGGCATCGAAGGAGGAGGAGTACAAGAAGTTCGAGGCTGAGGTACGGACGCAACCCGAAGGACGTTGTTCCTCACTGTCCCCCTTCTCTACATAATCACACGGCGAAGCATGACTGACGATCCGTGTGAATGGTTGTAGCACTCGCAAGGAAACAAGAAGGCCGAGGAGGAGGCAAACAAGGAGGCCGAAGTCAAGATCAAGGAGATTAAGGATGCCGGCAAGAAGAACCAGGACAAGGTGGTCAAGGACCTGCTGAGCGCCGTGTTCGACGTCAAGCCCGTGCCGCCTACCAAGGGATAGACCTGCAAGTCAGTTTGGGTTTGGGAACGTCCGGCAGATGACCTGTGGGAGTGAGGGCCAAGATGTCCATCAGGCCGTACAAGCATGATGGACGTCAGGCTGGCATTATGCATTGTACGAAGAAAGAAGGGCACAAGACACTGTTTCGTCGGCTGCGTACGTGCGCCTGACTGTGATGCATTATTCGAGCAACCTGTGGTATCATAAATTATAAAAACTCCATCAACGTCGCCAACATCTCTGAGGTGTCCTTGCCGTCTTGCGACGCCTTGTCGTCGATGGCGTCCTGCCGCTCCTGCAGCGAGGTCTTGACGACCTCAAACGTCTCGTCCCGGTCCGCAAGCAGCGCCTTAATTTTCTCCCTGGCCCCATCGTCCTCCGCGATGAGCCACGCCAGCACGAGGTCGATACTCTGCAGCAGGAACAGGCCCGCATCTAGCCGCCGGAAGAAGCGCTCCTCCTCTGGGTCTGTGTCCTCCTCATCGGCGGGATCGCGCTGCTGCTGCTCCTTGCGCATCGTCTCGTCGACCAGGCGCAGACGCGCGGAGACGTCCCTCCGCAGCTTGATGAGCTTCTCTGTCTTCTCGAAGTCCTTCTCGACGAACTTGACGAGCAGCCGTATCCGCTCTGGAGAGTTGGCGGGAAGGAGCCGGAGCATCCACGAGAAGATGCCTACGAGGTGTTCTACCGTCGCTTGGTTGTTGTCGCGGCTCTTCTTCATGAACGTCGTGAACATATTCTTGAGCCCGCCGGCCTCGACCAGCTTTTGACACACTTCCGTCCCAGATGACCCACCTGCCGCGTGGTCGAGCACTCTCAGTGCGGCGGGCTTGCTCTTCTTTCCCTCCTTGAGCATGATCAGACACAGCTCGATTCCCTCGGCCTCAATAAACTTTGTCTTGCCCGCCGGCTCATTGACGATGCACGTCAGGGCCTCGAACAAATTCTCCATGTACTCCTCCTCTTGGCCCTTTTCCGGGTCCAGCTTTCGGTATGCGGCCAACAGCTGCAGTGTGACATCTACTGCGTCCTTGTCCGCCAGCTTCCTCCGGTTTACTGGTGAAGTCTGCACCAGAATTGCTAATATCTCTGCCGCGTACTGCTTATTCTGTGTGATGGGTCTCTCCTTCTTTTGTATCCTCGCCAGCAGCCACTTCAGCAGGCCGTCGTCCTTGGCGATCTTCTCCGCCGTAGCCACCTTGGAGCACAGGTTCTCCACCACATTGAGTGCGTGGTATATGCCGTTGCGGTCCGCCTCGTCGTCCGAGTCCTCGTTGAGCCGCTTCAGATTGCTCACCAGCAGTCCCACGAGGTCCGCCTCTAGCAGCGAGTCGACGAGGGCGTCCCACTGCTCCTCCTCGGCGGCGACGTCCTCGTCCGTCAGTTCGCCGATGATCTCGATGGCGCCGATGGCGATGTCCATGTTCTCGTGCGCCAGCAGCCCCACCAGGCTCCCCACGGTTCCCAGCCTGGCGAGGTCCGGGTACAGCTCCGGGTGCTCGCCCAGGATGCTCAGTGCCTTGATGTCGGCGTCGAGGTCCGCCTCGCTCTGGATGAACTTGGCGGGGTCGTCCTCGTACTTTGCGCGCTGCGTCGCGTTCTTGTTGATGCGCTGCTCGAACTTGAGCGCCGTCTTCTTGAGCCAGGACGCGTCGATCCTCTCCTCGGGCAGGTCGTCGCCTGTCTCGTTGATGTAGTCTAGCGCCCTCGACTCTTGCGCCGTCACGCCGCCGCCAAAGAAGCGGCCTTCTTCATCGTCGCCATCTTCTTCTCCCTCGTCGGGAGGCATGGCCGGGCCATAGTCGCCGTCGTCATCTTCGCCGTCTGGTGGTGGCAGGGAGGGGCCTGCTTCGGTGTCGTCGTCGGCATCGTCTTCTACGTGGGCATTGCGGCCAGGATTTGTGGAGAGTTTGGCTGACTTGTAAACTTGATCTGTAGGTAAAAGCGATCCTGTCAGTGTCATAGGCCTGAGATAGTCGGGTCAAGAGCTAGGCACTTACTAGGGTCACGGAGTGGTTCAGCCTTGCGTTTGCTGGGCAGGCCCTGGACGGAACTTGGTTAGACGAGTTTGCATGGCACGAGGGCAGTGTTGATCTGGAGCTTGCCTTGAACAATTCGTCAATGCTAGTCATGGTGAAACGGTCTGGTCGTGCCTGACCCAGCGCTCTGGGAGTGACGAGTGGCTGTTGAATGTATGTTTTGTCTAGACTTAGAGCTCCAACTTTTTGGCACGCAACTTGGAGCTGGCTCCAGGACGGTACGACTGTTCGGGGGTTAGCACTGTCCGGCCCCGAATCGGCGCCTCACCTCACCGGTCTCTGTATGCACAGTCCGCTCGGGGCGACCCCATGGCGATTCATCAGTCATTCTTTCCACGGATGAATTTAAGTGACGCCTTTGTCTTTACCAAAGTTGAAGGGAAAGAGTCACTCTTCCTCGCTTTGTCCGTCGAGCTCCTCAAATTGCGCACGTTGCAATCACATAGACTGTGAACCCGTTTTTAAGAAATATCGCTTCCGCTCTTACACAGCGCTTACGACCAGTAGACGACTCATACTGAAAATGCCTCCCACAGTAATCCTCGTTAGGCACGCCCAAGCGTTGCATAACGTTAATCATAAGTACCCTTCGCCATCTCCAGTGAAATATGAATACTAGCTAACAGCGTCACACAAGACTACACCATTTTCGACCCTGAACTCTCGGAACTCGGCCGGCAGCAATGCCAACAACTAAACCAGAATCTCCGTGAGAAGCTGCTGAAGGATCTCGACGTCGGCCTCATCCTGTGCAGCCCCATGCGACGCACCTGTGAAACCACTATGCTGGCCCTCGGTGATTGGGCTGCCGAGAAGGGCGTACCGATCCAGGCCCACGCGGGCTGGCAGGAAAACTCGGCCAAGCCGTGCGACACCGGCTCACCCATTGCCTCCGTCGCCGCCGAGTTCCCCAAGATCGACTTCAGCCACGTCGACCCCGTCTGGCCCGACAAGACCTCGCCCGCCGGCGAGAAGTACTCGTACGTTAAGAAGCACCTGCTCGCCCGTGCCCAGTCCAACCTTGAGGACCTGTATAACCGCCCCGAGAAGGCCATTATTGTCGTCTCCCATTCGGGCTTCCTGCGCCAGGCCGTCACGGGCGACTGGTACTTCAATGCTGATTACCGGATCTACGACTTGGTTGAGAGGAAGGATGGCGCGGACAAGTTCGAGGTGAAGCAATGGGATCTGACGAAGAGCGGCCACGGTGGCATGGGTTGGAGCTGGGATGAGCTCGTGGAGATTGGAGTTGGGCTCCCTGAGCATGCTCTCCCTCCTACTGATGAGGAGCCGTTGCCTTCTGGTGTCAGACCGAACTAAGAGTTTATAAAGGATTGTATCGCTTCTTGACCTGCTCAGAGACTTGTCCTCGCCTGCTTGCCCTGGTTAAAGCAGATCTGGATTTCATTGATAGATGCTAGACATGCGAGAAGAATACATGCGTTGCTTCAGTCATTATCCACGCCATTTGAAGTTTTTGTAATCTAACAATATATATCAGCTGTGTTTCTGTGCTTGAATATCACCAGATGATCACGGGATTTGCTGGCCTTCAACTAAGACAATGACATGTCCGCCTGCCTTTGAATAGAACAAATTAAATATGCATAGCTATACAGGTGAATGGTGCAATACTTCACCAAGACTGGACATAGACCCTTCTACCGCATCAAGTTGAGCCTCCTGTCACACACTCTCGAACTGTCTTTCACCAGGCAGGCTCTACATGAAGGTTTGTCTCAACTTAAAGGGAGGAAAATGAACCCCTGGGATCATTTCAAAGTATATTAGACGATTTGATCAATGAAGTACCCACGGAAGTCTGAAAATGGTGGGGAGCCCAACTTGACTTGCCTACTTACGTTTTGAGGCATGTGGCGTAATGTGTCTCATTTATGCAACCCTGCTCGCCCAGATCACTAGACGATATTGGTGATAATAGAAACTATCGATAGTCTTATAAATCCAGAGATGAGAGCCCCCAGTGCATTGCTATTACGGGACCGCGTATCGATGCTTACAGGAGTCTAAAAACAGTCCAGGGCGACGTAGTCTTGTAAATTACTGCTCGCATGGATCTGTATCTCAAGATGGTCTGTTGCGGGTTGGCGTTGCACCTCTGATACATCGTCTGCAGCCTTTGTTCTCGAACGTTGATCACAAAGACTGTCAAAAATGAAGTTGCGGCAGATGTGTCAAGCGAAGGGAACTGTCACACGCAGAGACAATGGGAAGGATTGTATGAAATCAATCTATTGTCATCCCAACAACAATGTCAATTCTTACAGCATAAAATATGCTTTGCTTGTCTGCCCTCATGTTCGTCTCTGACATTGAAATAAATTGTCTACGTTGAGGAACAGCATACTGCTCACACATCTTCCTACAAGCCAATTTTGTGTCAGATCATCATGTCTCCTTTACCAGCGACTACCGGTGCTAAGGATCTCCTTCAAGATTCAGCTGAGGTGCAAAGAAGGTTCAAGCGTTGGAGGTTGAAGAGGAGCTCCAAAGGTCGCCTCCAAAAGGACAATTCAGCTCCGCTGCCTTTTCCTCAGTATGTTCACAACACTGAATCCGGCGCCGACCAAGCACCCATCATCACAGTCACGACAACTAAGGGCATAACTCTGTTCTTGCATGAGAACGTGGATTTTCGGATCATGGTAGTTAGTAGATTGCTGAGGAGAGCTGTTAAGCGACAGGAGATGAGAGGTGAAGCCAGGCCTTCACATCATTGAAGAAAGACACACTTTTCCCACTCCCTGCAGGCTCCATTGGTGTCGTATAAAATACAGTGAATTTTTTGATCAATATAAATTTGATCTTATACCATAATGATTTCCTTCATCAGCTGACCTAAGAACATTGAAGACCAATATGGAAGAGGTCTAATGTGCTTCAAATGAGAAGTCGGGAACAAAGAGATGCGAGGAACATGAAAAATGACAAATGATGAATTTTTCAGACTAGGACAGTGATATATATTCAGTAAGCGCCATTGGAACGGTCTTGAAGCTTGAAGATGAAGAAATGACGGCGGTAGAGAAATAGATTCGGTCAGATAATGGAGCTGAATTCCAGGGACAACATGGAACACAAATGAATACTTGTGTCTCTGGAAATCGCTGCCAATGATCTCGGCTTGACATTTCCTTTTTTAGTAATTATTACTTCATTGGAATCCATTTGAGAAACAAACAACTAGGTCTTTTGAGTAGAGATGGGTGATCACTATCACTGCAGAGTGGAAATGGACAATGTTACGGGTATGAAGAAACTTCTTTAGCCAAAAACAAACGAATGCTTTCTACGGTAGTAATTTCATTATGAATTTACTCTGGGCATATAATCAATTGCAAATTATACAAAAGACTTACTCCAGCGCTTGAAAAGAGAGATGGCGGATTTTCTACATGCTTTACTTACCTAGATGTTCCCATTCTCATCACAAGTAATATTCTCTCCATCAAAAACGTAAGCATTTTTGCAAACATAAAGGATCTGCAACTCACCTGGTGACATGGAATCACCGCATAGGAAAATGCTCCGCAGCCCCACAAGGTCGTAATCAGTGATGAGGCCCTTCCTCCCGAGGTCCGACTGGCTCAGAGCGAAGCTCATTTGCACCATATACCCTTTGTTGACCTTCCTAAGCTCTGCGCCGCCCCAAATTGAGCCCAGCCAGCATTGCGTAGGCTGCGGATGGGACGGCGAGACAAAGACCGTTGTTGCGCTGGCGGTGATTGTGATCGCTGGTGGATTTAGCGTGACAGTGCTGCCAGCGGTATATGTTGTGGTAGGCAGAGGGTGTGCGTAATCTTGACCTTGACCTAGCAATGAGATGAACATGTGAGGGAAAATTAAATAATTCTTCACAAGGTCAATACAAATTTCACATTGTCAATCAGATTTATTGACGAGGTTGATCTCTTTGTCGCCTAGACAAAGGAAATAAGTGATTTTGCACTAGTATGTGAATGACAATGCTTGGTGAACTGTCTTGTTAGCAAATTATGTTCAAGAATTCTGGATACAATCAAGTAAGGCAAAAACTTCTCCTCTGGAGCTTAGCTATTGGTAATTGTATCTCAATGGCGAATATGGGTTTTCAAGCTGCTCGCATTTGGAGACACGACCCCGAACGTGTTCTGACACTGCGCGGCTGGTGCACCCGTTCGGGACCTAGAGCTGGAGAAAAGCCACAGACGCGATCAGCGGTATGCAGTCTGAGCAAGACAGTCAGAAGATTCATATATTTTGAGGGAGGGACATTCGTGGTGTGAAAGCTCTCAAATCCTTGCCCACGTTGACGTGACGTCTCACTGGAGGGCCTATCCGGCCGCGTATCGCCGATCTTCTTGAGCGACCCCTGGACTGCGGGGCCCAGCCCATGATTTGGCGATGATGCCATCGACTTTCCATATGTCTCTTTGCTCAACGATCCCCTTCCAGCACATCTCACCCAGTGTTTCTTACACTATCTATTCAAACTCGATCGGTCGTTACATCAGTCAAACAACATGGTAATCAAGAGCATTCTCAGTGCTGCACTGTTTGCAGCTGTCTCAGTGGCACTAGACGACATCCCGGCTCTCGGTCTGGGCACTTGGCTTTCTGACAGAGACAGCGTCCCTCACGCCGTCGAATTCGGTCTGAAGAATGGCTACGAACACATCGATGCAGCCTGGATCTACCGTGCGTACTTATAGGCAATCTATTCCATCGCTGGGCGAGCTGACTTGATTCATGATAGGTAACGAGGATAAGACCGGCAAAGGGCTGGCCGCAGCGGATTTGCCTCGCGAGGATATTTGGGTGACAAGCAAGCTGTGGAACAACGCTCACCGAACGGCCGAGGCATGGGGACAGATTCATGAGACCCTCACCCATCTGGGTCTCGAATACTTGGATCTCTACCTCATCCATTGGCCCGTGGCTTTTCTCCCCGACGAGGGTACCAAACTCGATAAGGAGACGACCATTGTGGATACCTGGAGGACTCTAGAGAACCTTGTCCGAGCCAACCTCACTAGGCACATTGGTATATCCAATTTCGCAAAGAAGGATGTTGAGACCATCCTCGATATCTGCGATATCTGCCCGTATGCCCATGAGTTCGAGACGCATCCCTATCTCCAGCAGCAGGAGTTCGTCGACTTCCACGACAAAGTCGGGATCAAGGTCATTGCTTACTCACCACTCGGCAACACCAACCCTACGTACGACAGCAAGCACGGCAACCTCGAGCCGCTATTGAAAGACTCCTTCTGGACGGACGTTGCCGAGAAGAAAAACGCAACTGCCGCGCAAGCTGTGCTGGCTTGGGGGATCCAGCGAGGAACTATCGTTATTCCAAAGAGCACCTCGGAGAAGCATTTGACGGACAACCTCGGAGCTCTTGACATCAAGTTTACCGACAAAGAGCTGAAAGAAATCGCCAAGCAAGACAAAAAAGCCCGCTTCAACAATCCCAGCAAGTCATGGGGCGTGAAGTTGTTCGCCGATTTGGACGATCACTTCGATGACCTGAGAGAGGATGAGCTTTGAGGGTTTTCAGCTGAGCCGTTGGCGTTTTATAATGTTGCACGGTCACCAAAAGTTCAAAATTGAGGCATTGAAATTAATTTCATTCGCAGTCTGAAGGCCGTCGTCGAGCAGATTGTATTTCTAAGCAAGATGTATGTTCCTACAAAAGATAATTCTCTAGTCACTTTGATCGTTTCCCAAAGAGCATCTTCTCAGAACAACCATCTCCACATTAATTCCCGGTCCATATGCAGCCGAAATGATGTGGTCTCTTCCCGATCCCGCTGGAAATAGCTGGCTTAGCACAGCAAGGACCGAGGCGGAACCAGAGTTGCCCTTGGTTCTGTAAACTTCATTTGTCACTCGGACGTGGTGGTCCTCCAGCCCAAGCATCTCTTTGATGCCGTCGACTATGACAGGTGATCCGGGATGCAATGCCCAGTCGAAATCGGAGGGGCCCAAGCTCGAATCTTCCACAAATTCGCGGTAAGACGCCAGCATGTCTGGTAGCAAGGCTTGAATTGCTTTCTTAATATGGTTAGCCACGACACCCCTTCCCAGGATTGTCCTGTAACCTAATGCGATGGTCAGTCAATCATGATACGTCAGTTTGCTCGAGAGGATGGCTACAAAGATGGCTACATGCCATTAGGATCCGCAAAGAAGCCCACATCCGCATGCGTATTGGGAACAACCATATTCTTCCAGTTGAGGAGCTGAAAGCATCCCTTGCCCCGGCCCCGAACCTCCCCACCGTCCAAGCCGATGGGACATAGCCTCTGGTCATTACATAGCACAAAAGCGCCGGCACCGTCCGAGAGCATGGTCGCAGCCGGACTCAAGGCCGACATATCTGTGCTGCCCTCTGCTGCGGCGAGGTCGTAGCGGAGCATCGCCGTGCAGATCTCGCATGTGTATGCCAGGACCCGCGCGGGCTGGCCCCTCATCGTCGCGGCGCCGGCGGCATTGGCTGCCGCGCGCATGAGTGACAGCCCGCCGGAGCAGCCCACGCCCTGTAGGAGCGTGCTGTCGACCGTCGGCGACAGGCCGAGCTTGCTTGCGACAAGCACGTCATACCCCGGGCACCCGTGGTTGGTAGCCGTCACCTATAAGCCAGCTAAGTCAGTGGCCAAGTCGTCAAAAGGCTCATGATCTCGACATACTGCAACAGTGTGAGTAATGTCGGCTGCGGTGCAGCCGCTCTCCCGCATCGCCTTTCTGCAAGCGCGGACGGCGAGATCCACGCCCGCTTGGCGAAAGAAGGCGTCTATGGCGGTCATATCCGGCAGTTCGGCCTGACATCCGAAGCCATTGTCGTATGAAATGGCTGATGGCCGCTTCTCAATGGTTGTTTTCCTACTAACCTCGAGAAGGTTTTTGAGTCTATTATATGGGAAATCATATGTCAGGGCCAATATCGCGAAACAAGGCGGATAAAATACGCTTGTTCCCGAATCATTGACGCTGGCTTTCAACAGTGAATGAGTGTCAAACTTACCCTGGGGTTTTCACATCATAAAATCGGGAGGCAAACTTTTCGAGGCGCTCCGGATCAAGCGAGTAGGGAGGGAATTGTGAAGCAATTCCAGTAACCCATAGCCCCGGCGCCGCTGGTTTGCCGTTGGTCGCTCCATTGGTCGTCGACATCGTCCAACCGGTAAATAAAAATAGAACAAGCAGCGTTACGGCTCGGCTCCACGCTACATCTACACCTTCTCTCCGCGTACATGATAGTCATGCCAGGAACGGACGCTACACGTATGAGTCTTATACGGCCCGTCTGAAATGTGAATGGCTGTTAAACCAACTGCCGTGCTTTCTACGGCTTCTGCCCGCGCGCACTTATCAAAGAATATAGCTTGGCGCTACAGCGCCGATGCTGGCTCAACTTTATCCAAAAGTTAAGCTGGGGCCAAGTTGAGTGAACACTCGGCTTCGTTTCAATTTCGTGAAGTAGCATTGTAGAAAATGCGTATTAGCTCACAAGGACTCAAAGTTTATGATTCGAAAAGAAGAACGCATTTGTTTCAGCATGATTCCAGGGGTTTTCAACATATCAAAACAAAAGTCTCAAGGATAAAGTGTTGTTCATAAACCTAATTCGTGTGAACCTTTTCTGCCTTAGGGAGCCCGGCCATCTAGATACCCCTGCATTCGTTTCCATGCAGTTCGACGCTAGACAAGTCCAAGAGACCGAGACGGGATTTTGTAACACAGTGTGTACAGTATCACCAAGTTGTAGTACCTCACACCTGCGGTTGATCAATCACCCGGTTAAGGTCGAGGATACCCAGGCATGACGTGACAACTTTTCCCGGTCGGAAAGCAGTTGGTGTACCAAGGGCAAGACAACAACATATGCTATGATCGTATAAATGGCTAATTGTATTCGTACTACACTTCCGCGTTGCATGCATGCAAACATTACGAGGTGAGAAGTTGCTGAAGGAAGTTGATAACCTATTGAAAAAGTGATTTCTTCAGTTATGGACAAGTCGATCGCCTTGTGCGGCTTTGGGATGAGACTTCCAGGTGGCGTTCGAGATGCTGATTCTTTTTGGAAACTGCTCTGTAACAAGTCCAATGGGCGATGCAGAGTCCCCAAGGACCGGTATAATGTCGAAGCTTTCTACGGACCGGGAAAGATTGGTCACGTCGCGAGCGAGCACGGGTATTTTATTGATGATGTTAATCTCCAAAATGCTGATGCTTCCTTCTGGTCCATGACTAAAGAGGAGATTGCGACGATGGATCCCCAGCAAAGGCTGGCGCTTGAGGTTGTCTATGAGGCACTTCAGACAGCTGGACAACCACCTGCAGAGCTGCAAGGCCGCAGAGTTGGCGTCTATGTGGGGTCATTCGAAGGAGACTGGCAGGAGATCAATGGGAGGGATCCTCAAAGCCACCACATGTATCAATTGACTGGGTATGGCGACTATATGCCTGCGAATCGCATTAGCCGCGAATTCGGCTTCATAGGACCAAGGTGAGCCTGCCCGCTATTGTTCTTCTGACTTTCACTTTGTTATCGACATTGGCTATGAAGTTTTGTGCTCACACAGACAGCCTAACTATTCGGACGGCTTGCTCCTCCTCTCTTACAGCTCTGCACGAGGCTTGTCAGGCCCTCCTTTCTGGCGAGTGCGAGTCTGCGTTGGTTGTTGGCGCGAACATCATCTTCTCACCTAGGACTTCCATTGTTATGCAGGAGCAAGGAATCATGTCACCGACGGGTTCGTGTAAGACTTTTGATGCTGAAGCTGATGGCTATGCTCGCGGCGAGGCCGTATCTGCTGTGTACGTCAAGAAAATGAGCGACGCCCTCCGCGACGGCGATCCTGTCAGATCAGTCATCCGCTGCACTGCTCTCAACGCCGTTGGCAGGTCACCTACCATCACAACCCCAAGTTCTGTGGCCATCGAGTCACTGATTAGACGTGCACACGAGCTTGCCGGTGTCTCTGACTTTTCCAGGACGGCCATGGTTGAATGCCACGGAACAGGAACTGCTGTAAGTTCTTTTCTTTCACCAACATGAAATCTGAGAACTGAAATGTCTTTGCTGACGCCGGATCACTCAAGGTTGGAGATCCTATTGAGACACAAGCCATTGCAAACATCTTTGGCGACTGGGGCATTCACATTGGCTCGGTAAGTGACCACAACCCAACAAAGGAAGGAAAGAATAGTCTCCTCTGGCCTTCATGCTCATCGTGTTTTAATACAATTTTTTCAACTCCAGGTCAAACCCAACTTTGGACATAGTGAAGGTGCCTCAGGGCTTACTAGCATTATTAAAATGACATTGGCGCTTGAGAATAATATCATCCCGCCAAACATCAATTTTAATACCCCAAATCCGAAAAGTAAGAAATCACATTTCTCTCGAATTCCCAACTTCGCTGTTTTATATCTTAGTATCGGCCATGTTGACACAAATTTTGCGATTATTTAGTACCGTTCGACAAATACAAGCTGAAAGTCCCTCTCAGGCCAGAGTCCTGGCCCGTTGGTCGTGACGAGCTCGTTGTTGTCAATTCTTTTGGCATCGGGGGTTCAAATGCCGTTGTGAGTAGACCAACCGCCACTGATCAGGCGTTCGCTGCCCGCTACTGCTCCACTTATACAATGAGCAGCCCTGATAATCTCATCTATGTTGACTTGTGAGCCAGGCTTTGTTATCGTCTGCCAAAGAATGTGGAGTTGTGACTGCAAGCGTAAGTGCCGCGCCGAACGGCCATGCGGAACTCGAGGATTGGGAGTTGATGCCAAGGCTCCTCCTTTTCTCGGCGAAACATCCAGATGCCCTGCACAAGTCCATTCAGGATCACGAAGCTTATCTTACCTCTCATGCCGACTCTTTGCGTGATATGAGTTTCAATCTCGCTGTGAAGCGGGAACACTTGCCCTATCGCGCCTTTTGCGTCGCTGACGGCCTTGACGACTGGGTGCCTACAAACTGTCGCCGTCCTATCTTACCAGGGATAAGAGAACCCCCGAGGGTCGTTTTCATGTTTACAGGACAGGGCGCGCAGTGGGCGGCAATGGGACAATCCTTGATGCGCAGTGCTCCCGAGTACCGCGAGGCCCTTCAGAGCTTGGAATCGTTTCTTGGCTCTCTTGATAATGGGCCAACTTGGTCACTTTTGGGTATGCACGGCTAACACTTCGAAATCCACTCTCCTTTCGTCCTCTATAATTCTGCGTTCTTGCTTAAATTTTCTTACCGAGAGATATTAGCCATACAACTGACACGAAACAATAGAGGAGTTGGCAGCGACTGGCAAAAGGAGCAGACTCTCGGAGGCAGAGTTGTCGCAACCATGTTGCACCGCCGTGCAGGTAGCTTTGGTTGTCCTTCTTGCCAAGTATGGGATCCGTCCAGATGCTGTGTTGGGCCACTCGTCAGGCGAAATTGCTGCAGCGTTTGCTTCAGGTCTCATTACAGCCAACGAAGCAATGCTCATTGCGTATTACCGCGGGCGGGCTGTAGCCAACTTGGACGTTGCAGCCCACCCGGGAGCAATGGCCGCAATTGGGCTCGGGGTCGAGGCGATCACGTCGTATCTCATTCCAGGTGTAGTTGTAGGCTGCGAGAATAGTCCTTCCAGCACAACCATCACAGGTGACACTGTGGCCGTGGAGGCTGTCATGCAGGCTATCAAAAAGGACAGGCCCAACACGTTTGTTCGGGCGCTGCGTGTTGATCGGGCATACCATTCGCGTGAGCAATTTCCTCTCGGACCCAAAAGTCCTCTTTCATGTGTTTCATTTTCTCTTTTATGCTTTTGTTCTGTCACGTAAGACTATACTTGGCTCATCACACACATTCCGCTGACGTTCTGGGCGCTGACTCGCTATCCAGAACATATGGAAATGGTCTCGTCTGCATATGAAGCACTCTTGAGAGGAAAAATATTTCCTCAAGACGGAAACGTTCCCTTCTTCTCAAGCGTTACCGGGGATGTGATCTTGGATGGTAAACACGTCGGTCCAGCGTATTGGGTTCAGAACCTTGTTTCCCCAGTGCGTTTCTCGACAGCAATTACTAAAGTTGTCGAGACTGTTGACGCGAGAAAGGTGTTCTTGGAGGTTGGCCCGCATTCCGCTCTTTCAGGACCGCTCCGGCAAAATCTCGACAGTCTAGGATCTCGGAAGGACGAATATGTGAGCACACTGACACGCGACAGCGACTCATTTGCCGATATCCTAAGGGCTTCAGGTAGCCTATGGTTGTTCGGCACTCCATTGGCGTATGAGTCCATCACAGGCCGTGGCCGCTCACTTGTTGACCTTCCTCTATACCCTTGGCATTATGAGGAGCCTCTCTGGCGTGAGAGCCGACTTTCCAGTGGATACCGGTTTAGGCAATTCCCACATCACGACTTGCTTGGAACTCGTGTGATCGAGTCGACAGATGAATTTCCGTCTTGGCGCAACATTCTGCGGCCCGACAATGTCGATTGGTTGTTACAATACGAGATAGGCTGCGGTACTATTTTTCCAGCTACAGGCTACGTCTGTATGGCTGGGGAGGCTGTCCGTCAAATAACTGAGGCTGAAACCACCGGCTTCACTGTGCGTGATGTGCAGATCAAGTCGAATCTTGTGCTGCAACCTGGTCAAGAGGTTGAAATCATCACTCAATTTAGGCGTCTGGCTGCCAACAAGTCGATGGAATTCAGCTGGTACGAATTTTCTGTGTCTTCGCTGGATGCCTCAAGAAATTGGATCAAACACGTTGCAGGTCAAGTAAGGAAACGAGACGATTCCACCCTTGCTTACACGGTGCCCGACATGGCGGTGCTGCCGCGTCTAACCTCACGGGAGGACTGGTACGGAAAGTTGAGGACCAAACAGATGCGATATGGCCCACGCTTCTCAGGCCTGATAGACATGAGGACGCACGTCACGGAGCGCCATGCTGTCGCCACCACCATCAACGACAGCCGCTGTGGTGAAAGCTTCTATATGATTCATCCGACCGCAATTGACTGCATGTTTCAAGTTCTTCATCTAGCCGACTTGAATGGTCTCACCAGGCGCCTCGGGTCGGTCAAGTTACCCACATACATTGGAGAGATGACTGTTCGTCCAGCACCTCTTCAAGCGCGACTGCTCATCGCCGCTCAATGCGACTCCAGGACAGGCTTCAGCAGTATTTCTGGCAAAGTCGTTGCTAAATTTGACGGTGGCATTGTCACCGAGGCCAAAGATCTCCAATTATCAGCTTTAGATGACGCCGACATGAATCAGAGAGTTGGCAGTACTCAGCCCTCTCAGACCGACGCGGTCCTGGCGTGGAGAGAGGATTTGAACCTGCTAGACGCCTCTAGCTTGATCCATTCTGTGGAAGACCGAGCAGAACTGCACAAAGTTCTTGATCAGTTCGCCGCTGCATGCATCGTCGAAACCGCCGAAAAGACTCGCGACATAGAGCCTGTTCACCCTTATCTCACGCGATACGCATCCTGGCTTCAGACCGTTTCCAATGACATCCGTCAGGGAAGCTATAGCGGTCTATCATACTTGGATGCACGAGCAATTTTTACAGGCCGCCAGGTAGTTCTGGAAAATTTGCGTCCGATTCTGCAGCAGACAGCGGCGGCTCCAGCAGCGGAAGCGATTTGGCGTGTCATGAACAATTGTCGGGATATAATGATGGGTCAAGTCGACGTGCTAGATCTCCTTTTGGAAGGGCGCGTGCTGCATGAGCTGTACAACTTCATGTCAAATTCGGATTCCTCCGCGTTCCTCGACCTGCTTGCCCACCGGAAGCCAGGCCTCAGAGTACTAGAGATTGGAGCTGGTACCGGCGGAACTACGGCCACAGTCCTTCCGTCGTTGCATCTGGCACCCAATGGGCGAAGGATGTACCAGACTTATGTTTACACGGATGTCTCGTCAGGCTTTTTTCATACCGCCCGGGATCGTTTCAAGGAATATGCAGGTATCGAATATGCGGTCCTTGACATCTCGAAAGATCCTTTGGCTCAAGGCTTCGTGCCAGAATCTTTTGATCTCATCATTGCCTGTAATGTGAGCCGAGGAAATACTCAAACCCGATGTCTTGTTCCTCTGTTAATGCCGCTAATCTCTAGGTCCTTCATGCTACACCCAGTTTGAAAGAGACCTTGGCCAACGTGCGGAAGGTCCTCCATCCCAGGGGACGCTTGTTTCTACAAGAATTGTCACCCGGTGAGTACAATCCTAAACAACGCAGAAGTATATGGCTCTTTTGTAAAAGCAACAAAGTGGATCAATTTCGCAGCGGGGGTTTTACAGGGCTGGTGGCTCGGGGAGGGCGACTCGCGATCCCTGGAGCCGTACGTGCCTGCAGAGAGATGGGACCAGGAACTTCGCTCCGCCGGGTTTGCTGGTATCAAGAGTCTCGCTTACGATGGCTATCTCAACAACAACATTATCACCATGCCTTTCCTCCCCAGTTGCAAGCCTAAGCGAGTTACGCTGCTCCTTCGTGACGGGTTGCCTCCCGTCAAAGGTCCAGTTTTTGACTTAGAGCAACATCTCATACAGGCTGGTTACCAGTTCGACCGCTTCACCCTTGATGAGATCTCTGCACGAGATGTGCCAGAGAACCAAGATATTGTTTCCGTGCTGGACTTGGACGGCATATTTCTCCGAGACCTTGACGAGCACATGTTTCTTCTGTGGAAGCAGCTCATCTTCAAGATTCGTGCAGGCTCTCTTGGACTGCTCTGGCTCACACGTCCCAGCCAGGTCGAGCACTGTGTGGAGCCGGAGTACGGCGTCGTCATCGGACTGGCTCGCATGCTACGTAACAAGGACAACCTGGATTTCGCGACCGTTGAGATTGACTCTCTTGATGGTTCGAGCCTCGGATGTGTAGTCAAAATTCTAGACGAGTTCCACGGTCGGATGACCGAGGAAGCGGTCCAACCAATTATGGAGTGGGCAATAGTGAGTGGACAAGCACTGATAGGGAGGTATCAACCTATCAATGTCCCCCAAGAGCTTCAAGGAGGCCCTGAAGGCTCTACACATCGGATTCGGTTGATAGACATACTGCATCGAGCTGAAGCCCAGTCGCCTCGATTGGGTCCCGACGATGTTGAAATTGACGTGAAGGCTGTGGGATTGAGCTTTGAGGTAAGCTGTCGCGAACTATAACAGTCGTCACTACTTGTTCTACCATGGCAAAAATTGAGAGAAATTTCGTTCCTCGACTCACCAAAAAGCAGGATCAACTCACGGCCTCCAACACAGGCATTGAGGCATCTATTGTCGAAGATTCCGGGTTTGAAGCTAGTGGTATCATCAAAAAAATTGGCTCCCGTGTTTCCAAAGAGCGGCTTGGGCAACGCGTGGCCATCTGCAGAACTGGTTGTCTTGCGACTAAGGTCCGCGTACATTCAAACCTGTGCTTCGGGCTGCCAGATAGCTTGTCGTTCGAAGAGGCGGCGTCAATGCCAGCAGCTTACAGTGCTGCCATACATTGTATTATAGACAGAGCTCGCGCTCAAGAAGGAACGGTAAGTCATTGTGGTTATTCTTCCTACCGTACGTTGGGGAGCGTCCCGTTGAAGCTCAAGCGGGTATCACGCTGACAATACGCGTCTCTGTCTTCAGACGATTTTGGTCCACTCCGCAGCTGGCGGCTTCAGCGTTGCCGCCATTCAGATTTCGCGTATGCTCGGGTGTAAGGTATATTCATTCTATTCCTTCTGCAGGCGTTACTGGAGTGTCATATGTCTCATTGAAGTTCACAGATATACTGCACGGTCGGCAATGATGAAGAAGCCGAGCAACTCGCCACACACTACGACATACCATGTACAGACATTTTCAGCTGCCAGGACAGCTCATTCCTGGCGGGCGTTATGACGGCAACCAAGGGCACAGGAGTTGACGTGGTTTTCAACTCGTTGCGAGGAGACTTATTACATGCTTCGTGTCAATGCGTGGCAGAATTCGGAAGTCTGGTCAACATCTCCCCGAGAGATGAGCCAGGTGACCAGTTACTTGCAATGAGGTCTGCAAAACGTAATGTGACCCGAATAGACGTTGACATGAGGCACGTCAGTCGCCACCGGCCAGACATTTCAGCCAGGTACGCTTTGCTCCATTCTTCTAATCAGTGGGAGAGTTGGTCAGAATTATTGAACGCTGACGTGTGGTTCTAAAGCCTTATGCAACGCGTTCTAGACTTCTATGTGAAAGGACTTATCGGACCCATCGTGACGAGGAAAATTGTGCCGGCCGTCGAGGTATCCAATCTTCTCTACTGTGCCCAGAAGGCGGAGAATATGGCCAAGGTCGTCTTGATCATGCCAGACCAGTCCGAATGCTCACCAGCTGAGACATTCAAAGAACCACTCCGGTTTCGGTCTGATCGAGCGTACTTTATGGTGGGTGCGTATAACAGATTCAGCCAAGCAGTCACTAGTTGGCTCGTGGAACGAGGCGCTCAGCACGTCGTGTTATTTTGCTGTTCAGCTGACAATGCTCTCTACGACGACTCTTTTCAAGTGGAGCTGGAAGCAATGGGATGCAACATAGTGCGGGTGATCGGTGACATGACAAGATATGAGGATGTTGTCCGCGCCATTCGGTCGAGTGAAATTCCATTTGCCGGCGTGCTGCAGTTCCCTCAGAGTTCCAAGGTACGTGCATCACCTTTGGCCTGGTGTCTTCGTGTCAAAGTGCTGTACGGATGTAGCTAACGCGGTTCAAACGAGCAGGACAGCACAAGCTCCAGCGACGTCTGCTGGGAAGACTGGAAGGAGTCCACAACTTACAGAATTCAAGGCACATGGAATCTGCACCGTGCGTTCCGGACGGAGCAATCGGAGCCGCTAGACTTTTTTCATTTGTATATGTCCAACAGTTCCATATTGGGCATTGCGAACCAAACCAGTGACGTTGCTGGCGATGCATGCCTTAACGCTTTTGTTTCATATAGGCATTCACTCAATCTAGCTGCCAGCTGCGTCAATGCGGATGTCGCCGAGGACGAACTCCTTTCAGCTGAGACAGAGCTGCTGGATTGCACAGAATTCGTGCTACGTCCGGACACACGGCAGACGCAGGTCGTCACGGGTCTACTATCTGAACAAGCACCTACAATCTCTGGAGACGGCTCTTCCCAGCGCAGCGACCCACGTTTCCTGTTTTGGCACCTTTTGATGGACGAGAACGGACCAGGATCAGCGCCGTCGTCATCGTTGTCGCCAGATGCTGAGCTCAATCAGTTCCTTGATGGAATACGCTCCAGCTCCGCAAGGCTCAAGACGGCATATGCATCTGAACTGCTTGCACGCGAAATTGGAGCGGCACTGTTGGGCTTGATGATGCGGCCTAGGGAGGACCTTGATGTTGATGCGCCACTTTCTACGATGGGAATTGACTCTTTGGTGGGCCTTGAGGTGCGAAATTGGATTCGACGTACTTTGCTAGTCGAATTGGCCGTGAAGGATATTGTTCAAGCTAAGAACGCCCGGGAGCTCGGTGCCTTGGCACAGGGAAAAATTATTGAACGGATTGAGGCAAAGAGTTGAGCTCCTTCATATCTAAACGGTCATTTAGAAATCAAGATCCAGATAGTTGAGGTGTCGGAATTTGATCTAGAGACTAAGTTCCAGTTGAAAGTCCTGTCATATCCATTCGGCTTCGAGGGCGCCACATGTGACAAGCGAGGAGAGCAACAAGGAGCTTCTGCTAACTACAGTCATAACGTGTGTGAAGCAATGAATTATACGTTCATGGATTCTTCTGATGAGATCTGATATTGAAGACTGTCAAACATTGAAGCTTGCTCCTAGATTCTATTGCTCTCAGGCCATGGCCAAGTTGCGGGGCACTATTATAATTATACGAATACACAACCAATTCTCGAGAAGCATCGTAGTCCAGGTCTACATACACATTTGATTGGCAGAGAACAGCTTCTCGGTGATACATGGCATATTGTGAAATTAGGAAGTGGCTATGGAACCTTCACTTCCAAAATTTGGTCGTATCTGTCACGCTCCTCCGGCAACGTGCCGTTTGCACCGCCGCCATTGGCCCCTGAGTTGGCGTTTATCTTGTTACACAAATTCTCGACCGCTAGGCGAGCCAGAGTCTCTAAGTTTCTGTTCAAAATAGTTAGCGGCTGACGTTTCTCATGGTGCGGGACAATCACTTACGATTGCATGATCTCCAGCACGCTAACTTCCAGGCTTAAGTGCTGGCGGCACCAGTTCCGCAATTCGATTGCGACGAGTGAGTCGACCCCCAGACCGCTGAGTGGCTTATCGAGGGCAATATCCTCTTCCTGCTGCATGAGGAAGCCACATAGTGTTCGTCCGATTTCTAGGGCAAGCTTGCTAATGGTCATGTGATCTGAAACATGTTCAGGCGACAAAAGGTGCTTTATCGCATCATTTCGTGATCCTGATACGGCACTGGCTGAGCTCCCAACCTCCTCTAGATTCCTGTAAATGCTAAGACGAATATCACGGCGCCAGACCAGTCGATTCCCAAGGTCGTCTAGAGGGGTTGTTGAGCGCAGGCCTACGCCAATGACTGATGGATTGGTGAAGGCTTTATCCGTATCGAATGGAAGGGCTGGAGAGCGCAATATTGCCAGCTGAAGTGCATCTAGATACTCCTGCTCGCTTATTGCGTACGTGCTCATCGCCTTCATGCTCTCTAAGATGGCTGGCGACTCGGCCACGTATCCGACATCAGAGATAGGTCCCATTTCGAGCGCTGATGCGGGCAACCCGAGACCGTGTCGGTACTGGACAAAAGAGTTTAAGAAGGTGTTCGAGGCCGCGTAATTGGCCTGACCAGGCTGACCAACCATTCCACTGAATGAGCCGAGCAGTATAAAGAAATCCAACTGGACGCTTTCTAGCGCGTGGTGTAAGTTCCAGACGCCAGTCACACGAGGTCCTATGACGGTCTGCCAATCGCTGTATGGCATGTTTCTAGTGGCATGATCCTGAGAAGAGAGAACACATTGTTAGCAGGGCAATTTAGCGATAGGAAATTTACTCACTTTCAAAACCATGGCGCCATGTATGACTCCGGCAATTGGAAACTTCGCCTCCTTGACTGCGAGTCTCACTACCGCATCGTCCTCGACCGAGCCTGTGATGAGCACTGGTGAACATCCAGAGGCTTCAAGTTCGGCGAGAAATTTCACAGTCGACGGTGTCATCCCTCGTCGTGATAAGAATATCAAGTTCTTGGCGCCTTTGTCAACCATCCACCGCGCTGTTGACTTCCCTAAACCACCGAGACCTCCTGTCACGAGATAGGATGCTTCAGGCCTGAAGTGAATCCGGCTAGCCGTGTGTACAGTCAGGTCGAGAAGGCTTTCGGGATTTTCAGTCATTTCGAGAACTATCTTGCCAATATGGCTGCCTTTCTGCATGAATCTAAACATGTCCTGATAGTCCCGGGCAGCAAACACGGTGACAGGAGAGATTGGCTTGATGTGGCCGTTGCGAAAGAAGTCAACAATCCTCGTTAGTAGACTGTAGAAAACATCAGCGTAAGGCCAGCACGAAACGCAAAACAATACATTAATCGTATTCAGAGGGCAGACCGCAAGAGAGTGAGTAAACGTACGACTCCCAGAGATGGGGCTTCTCCACGAAAATATGTGACAAGTCGATGCCGGCATAACTGCGGTTATCTTCGAACGGGAGCAGAGACAATTTCCCCCTCCCTACCAAATCACGCTTGCCAATCTCCAAGAGCATGCCAAACTCAGCTACGCACTGCCATGAGTAGTGTAGCAGCTCACCGGAAAGTGAGTTCAGGCACAGATCAACACCGCGACCATTTGTGGCTTGCATTACATCTGGAAAGAAAGACGGGCCGCGGGAATCGAAGATGTCCGTGGCGGGGATGCCAAAAGTCTCTGTTAGATACTTCCTCTTCTCCACTGAGCCAACCGTGGCCAAAACCTGAGAAAAGGTCAGTTCAAATCAATAGGCCGACGAATTGATGTACTCTTACTCTAGCTCCAACCATTTTGCACAGCTGAATAGCCGCTATGCCAACACCACCACACGCGGAATGAATCAACACTGTCTGCTCTTTCTCCATTCGCCCAATATCTATGAGAGCGCGGATGACTGTAGCATAGACACAGGGCATGGTAGCTGCCTTAACGAAGTCTAGCTCGTCAGGAATGGCGACACATGTAGCTTGCCTCGTCACGACGTGGGAAGCGAAGCAGTGAATTGAGACTGCCATGACCCGTTGGCCGGGTCGGAAGTTGGTCACGGAGCTACCGACATCCTGGACTATGCCCGCCGTCTCGATGCCAATGGCTGCAGCATCTGGTCCTAGTGCCGGTGTGTCGACGATCCCCATAGCAATCAACAGGTCCTTAAAGTTCAGGCCAGTGGCTCTGACTTTGATGAGGATTTCGTCTGGCTTTAGTGGCGGCAGCTGCATGTTCTCATAGTGGAGCGTTTGAAGAAGTCCTGGCGTTCCAATGTGTAGCCGCGTGGTGCTGTTGTCCGCGTCGCTGGCGGCACCATTGATCTTGGTTGAGGCCCCTTCTTGAGTCTTTCGAAGTTCTTCATTCACAGATATCCAATGGAAGCGACCAATATGGGGTACGCCGTCGGAGATTACAAACTCGTGGTCCGGCTCTGTCGCGACCGTGCCTCCTCGTGGGGTGTGGAAGTCACTGAAAATTCGGGGCACAATCTCACGAGCCAAGACATCCTCCGGCTTATCGATCTCGATTGTGGTGAAAGCAACGGACATCTCAGAGCGAATGTTGCGCGCCAGACCAAGTATAGTAGCGAAGCGAGGATCGTTGCCACGCCCCATTTGCGTACACCGAGTTAGCCAGAGCACCCGCTGCCCCGGCTGTAGAGCCGCAACCCAGGCAATGAGCTCTTTGAAATACCGTTCGCTGATTGAGTCCAGGTAAGGTGTCTTCAGGTCAACCGTCACAACAATGCTTTGATCAGGAGATGGTGTATCCGCGAAAGTCCGCCACTGAACTCTGAACTGACGTGCTTCGAATTCTTGTGCATAGAGCTTCTGTATGGGATCAATGTCGCCTCCAGAATTGATAAAAGTAACGGTCGGCTTCGCAGCCAACTGCCCGATCGTTAAAAGCCTCTCTCCGGTCCATGATGGGTCGGCCGAAGCAACAATGGTGGCATTTATATGGAAGGGTGCTTCGTGATCGTACACCGCCGCATCTGCTCCCTTGAACCCCGCGGCTTGTAATTCGCGATCCCAGCGGTCCGGCGAAATGTACGGCTCGACAAGGCGCCCATCTTCAGCGCCAAGCCACCACCCAGGAAGCATGCCGAATATGAAGTTGACGCACTTCGCAATGGGATTTAGTTCTTGCAGCAGGAGCCTCCCTCCATGCGGGTTCAGAAGCTTTCGCACGTTAACTAGCGTCTCGCCGAGGTTTGGAGTGGCATGTAGGACGTTAGCAGCGAGAATAAGGTCGTAGCTGCCTGCCTCGAATCCCTGCTCGATTGGATTTTTGGAAATATCTAGGACTTTATATTCGATGCCCTCATTGTCGCGGAATCGCTGCTGCGCCGCGGAGAAGAAGCCCGGGGAGATGTCGGTATAGGTGTACCTGGAATACAGACGCTCGCCATACTTGGACTGTAGACCACTCAATATGGTGCCTGTTGTACCTCCAGTCCCGGCGCCAATCTCGAGAACTCTGAGAGTGGGCTTGTTATGTCCCAGGAGTTGAAGAAAGTCATTGTAGTCCCAGAAACACAAGAAGTCGTAGATCTTGTGAAGATTGTTGTCCTTCATGAGGATGTCAAGTGGCTCGGCAGTGCCCTGAAAGACTTCCACTGCAGAAAGGCGATTCATGTTGACTGCGATTGCGTAATTTCTCATCTCTGTGCTGAGAAGACTGCTGTAGAGGGCTTGTATCTTGTTCTCACGCTCGCCAGCAGTAATCTGTGTGAGAGCTCCTGCATTGCCAAATATATGGCTCCCGTTGTTTCGGACCTGACTGACGAAGTCACGCAGCCAACTTTGGAACTTGCACAGGTGAGGGTGAGCAGCCTCGTGAACAGCCTCCAACTTTTCGATTGTGTCAACAGCAGATAGAACGAATAGCTTCTCCAACTCAGTGATCTCATCCGTGAATTTCTTCGTCGTACGCATGAGCTTTCCGGCGTCAACGTAGTCAAAGAGAGGCTGCCATTCCAATTGTACTGCGGCATGAGGGTCAGGATCCAGGATTCCTCCGACATCAACGGGTGATGCCTTGAGTCCTGAAACCTCAAATGTGACGGCTGGGACGCTGCTTCCAGCACTTTTGAGATATCCAATGCCGTTGCCGAGCATGCCGCCCGCACTGGTTGGCTCGACCGTTACCCGTGCATTCACATCCATGCCTTTGCCTTGACCATTGACATAGATGTGTTCAATGAAAGTTGGTACAGCGAGGGTCTTGAATAATCGAGGTTGGCCATGCGCTGAAGCAACAGTGAGCAGCTGAAAGACGTTGTCCATTGTGGATGGATGTAGCTGGTACCGTGGTTCCCCAACTTCGACGTGGTCATGAATCGTGCCATAGGCTGCGTGTGACTGAGGATGAGAGCGGATGTCTTCCAGGGCCCTAAAAGGGCCAGTGTAGTTGAGGCCCACTTTGGACATGGTTTGATACCATCGCCTTGAGTCCACCGTGGTGGGCATATCCTCACTTAGGCACGAGAGTTCGGGCTTCGGTATCCCAGTCGAACGTCCGGCAAGCACTTGACCCCAGCAATTCCTAATCCACGATGACCCGCTGTACGAACTGATGCTGAAGTCATACCAGTCGCTTCTTTGGGAAGTGGTTAGCTGTGCTTTTCTCAGCACAGTCATCACCTCAACCCTAGAGCTGAGGACCATGGCATTTCCGACAACAACGTGCCGCAAAGAATATGCTGGCCCGCCTCCAATCTGACGAAGGGCCTCGCCAACCATGGCTATGTATCCTGCAGCAGGAAAGACGATGTCCTTGCCGATTTTGTGGTCGCTCAACCAAGGAATATCTTCCACGCTCAGAATATTCCTCCACGTGGGCTCCATGTCATTCCATTCGAGGATGGGTGAACCAAGGATCTCATGTGGCAACTCCTTTCGGAAACGCCATTGCTGCGCTATTCTGTTCTCTTCCCAGAAAGGCTGTTCATGGTACCAAGGATAAGGAGGTAGATCCGTCAGCACTTTGCCTCCTGCGGGGAACAGCGTAGAGAGGTTGACCTGCACGGAGCGCACCCAAAGTTGGCCTACCGCTTCGAGGAGGCTCTCTTTCCCATTGCGGTGGCGCACAAGGGTGGACGCATAAAGTAGCTTGCTGTTTGTGTCGCGGAATATTTGTCTCAATGGGCCGGCGAGAGCACTGTGTGGCCCAATCTCGAGCATGATGCGTGAGTGGCCGTCGTCTGCTTCGCTCATGTGTTGTAGAAGACTGCGCACTGCTGTGTCAAAACGGACTGGAGACTCCAGATTAAGCCTCCAATACTGTTCGTCAAGTTTTAAGTTGGCTGCCAATTGGTTTCCATATGTCGAGGAAAAAAACGGAATTCGTGTCTCTGCTGGTTTTTCTAAAGTTGTCAACAAATTCTGCAGGTATATCTCTCCGCATTCTATCATGTGGTCTATGAAACAAGTCAACATGCAGCCTCAATTACTGAATCCTTTGTTTCTGGGATAGAGAACTTACGTGAGTGATATGCCTGTTGCACACGCAATCGCCGAACCAGAATATCAGGATGATGAGTGCGAATCGCAGCCGCAACCTCGTCAACAGCTGCCTCATCACCCGAGACTGTTACGCTAGCGCTGCTGTTCTCACAAGCGACCACTGCTCCGTCCACGAGGAATGGTGTAACTGCTTCAGGGCCGAGTCCAACAGCCAACATGGCACCGTCTTTCCTGGCAAATTTGGAGAGCCGACCTCGATAGTAGGCAATTTTGATCGCACTCTCGGCGGATATTGCACCTGCCGCGTATGCTGCAGCTATTTCACCGCTGGAGTGGCCGACTACGCTGTCTGGCACCACGCCGAATTCGCGCCATAGGTCGACAAGACCGATCTGGACGGCTGTGCACACAGGCTGAGAGAATTCCGCCTCGTCAATGCGGCTTTCTGAAGCAGGCGCAAAGATTCGCTCTAGACATTGAGTTAGACAACGTGGCTCCTCTTAACTTTTTGTCGGGAACGAAACTCACCTCTCATGCTCCATTTAGAACCTTGGGACTGAATCTTTTCAAGGACAATGTCAAGATCATCGATCCTATTGGCGAAAGTAAGGTACTCCGTAAAGAGCGCCTTGCCCATCTGTGGCCACTGGGCCCCCTGTCCTGTGAAGACAAAAGACACAGGAGAAGGCGATGCCGTCTTGACACTGGGAAAGTTCATCTGGTCTGATCTATTCTTACTGTGTTCCGGATTTCTCGTTAGGAGAAAGCAAGTTCGATAACGCATTTCGTCTCTCTTTAACGCTAATGTATACGCGAGGTCGGAAACTGAGCCTGAATGATCCTCGGCATATTTCCGGATATTCTGTACCATCTTCTCTAGTGATTCTGGCCTGTTGGCGGATAGAACAAGTAGGTTGGCGTCGCATGAAGTATTCTGGATGGCAACTGTCGCTCTGTGCCCGTTGGTCCTGCCATTGCTGTATCCATCGGATTTATTAGAAGGCCTCGTAAACGAGGAAGCAGAGTCAAGGATGACATGCGCGTTCGCTCCACCCAGACCGAAGGAATTAATGCTCGCCCTTTCGGGACGATCTTTAGGCCAGGGTGTGGGCTCCTGTGGCACAATGAGGTTGTTTTCTTTGAAAGGAACTTGACACATTCAGACATGGTAAGCTTAGTTCCCGTAGATGAGATCGAAAGCGGGTTGAAAGACTTAGAGACCTTACTCTTCGGGTTCGGATTTGAAAAATGGAGGTTTGGTGGTATCATTCTATTCTCCAGTGACAAGACAGCCTTTATTAAGCTAGTGATGAAGCTAGCTCCCTCGGAGTGGCCAATGTTTGCCTTGATCTGTGGCAAGTTTGAAGTGTTAGTACCTAGGTATCTCCAGATTGACATTCATATAGCCATGCATAGTTGGAATACATACCGAGCCCAAATATGTGCCCCTGTTGCCAAATACGCTTGAAATGGCGGCTGTCTCAAGAGGGTCTCCGACCTGGTATAGATTGTCAATACTTTGCTATCTGAGTGATTGTTGACATAGATCCATACCTTTGTCCCTGTTCCGTGGCATTCGACGTACGGAGCATCAGCCTCCTCCAGGCCAGCAGCCGCGTACGCTTTGCGGATAAGCAGCTCATGTGCCTCGGCGCTCGGGCTTGCAAGACTGGCGCTTTTGCCATCACTATTGAGTGCGCTGCCTCTGACAACTGCTCTCACCGGCGTACCATCTCTCAGAGCATCATCAAGTCTCTTCAGGTAGACAGAATTGACAGCTTCGGCACGTGCGTACCCATCTGCTGAAGCGTCAAAGGGTTTGCTGCGGCCCTCGGGCGATACGAGACCCTGCTCCGTCATCGCTACCGAAGCACCTGGGGCAGTAAAGACGCTTGTGCCGCCGACAATGACCCCTTCGCACTCTCCCCGAGCCAGAGCGGTGCAAGCCAGATGGAATGCAATAGCAGCAGACGAACACGCTGTCTTGACTGTGAGGCTTGGGCCTTTGAGATCGTATTCAAACGACACTCTGTTCGCCAGTAGGAAGTCGCCTTGGCCTGTGATGGTGTAGAGACCACTTGCAAGCTTGTCGCTCTGTGACAGCTCCGACCAGTCTTGACCGAAACTCCCTACCATGCAGCCGATATTCTTCCCGCGCCACCCAACCTCGCCAGCTGACTCCATACACTCATGAACCACTTCCAGCAATAAGCGCTGCTGTGGATCCAGCCGCTCGACCTCTCGGCGAGACATCGAGAAAAAACTGGCATCAAAGTGTTGCAGACCGTCCTCCAGGAAATAACCATGCTTGAAATTGATAGTCCCTTGCTTGGGCTGGTGCTCCGAGTAGTAGCCTTCCACACTGAAGCGGTCTGAAGGGATCACGTTTCGGCCCTCGCCTTTGCTGGTCAACATGTCCCACAGCTCGTTGGGATGTCGAACGCCGCCAGGAACACGCAGGGCCATGCCACACACTGCAATGGGCACGTATGTGGTGGATGCGGCCTCTGCCGCTTTGTCAAGAAGGCAGCCATCGGCTGAAGTTCCCTGCTCGCTGGACTTCATTTCCTGAGAATATGATGGCTGTGACAGTGTCGAGATAGTTTTCTGAGTGTCTCTTGGGAATTGTGAATAGTTGCATGTACATCACTCTGTTTATTAGCGGGGAGAGTCTCTCCTGAGTTATGATTTATACATTTATGACTAATTCTAAGGAGTGTTTCTCCTGGCTTCTGTTTACCATGCCATCCTATGGCATGTCACCCATTCCGCTTGTATCTATATGCAGTGTCTCATCTGCCGTGGCCAAGCCGTATCCCCGAGTGAGGACATAACCCTGAACGATCAATACAATCCTGGATGATAGGATTTACATTTATCCTCAAAGTTCTGAACTAGTACCTTGGGAGCCAATGCTTCGAGCATAAGTTGCTCAATAGAATACAACGAGAGGAATATTAAATTCATTCAATTAACCCGGGTATCTTGAGTATATTTCTTAATAATAATAAAAAAGGTTCAAATTTGTATATAATTCTACGAACAGTTAATAATTGACCACTCTCGATTCTTCTCTTCGATACTATTTATTTAATGCCTTGAGTTGATTTGAAATGTCATAAATTTTCGATCAATTCATTACTACTCCGCAATTTCTCGTTCTAAATGTACTTTCGTAGCACGATATCTACCCTGTTGACGCATGACAACGCTATACTAACTTAGGTCTGTTCCCAATATCACCATTCATCCCAGCACAACCCTACAATGAGCTGGTTGGGAGTCTGTTCGTAAAGCATGCTCCGCTTGATCCCGAAGAGCGAAACAGCTAGGAAACCATAACTCATTGATAGCAAATTAAACTCTGGCTAGACTACCAGCCGCAATCAGGTCGTATCACCAGCTTTCGATAATTTGCACTGTGTACCTACGTGCCGTGCCATCTCATCCCACAATTTTTATTGAGACGCATACCAGAAAACACATGGAGTTACCAGACAAGTCATCTCTTCACTAACCATGGCTAAGCTAGCCAATTTGGCCGCAGCATCTGGCGCCGAAGCCATACTCGTCAATGTTGTTCTTAGCGAAGGCAGAGGAAGGATCGAGCCATCATGGTCGCTGTTGTGGCTTTCGCTACAGCTGTTTCTTGTGCAGTCATGTCTTCTTGCGCTGTGGGCAGTCCTCGTCTACCCCAATTTTCTCAGTCCATTGAGGCATCTGCCCGGGCCCAAAGTAAGCAGCAGCCTACTTGTTGCAATTCATCCTTACTCACTAATGGCATAGAACAATTCACTGCTGATGGGCCAGTACTACAATGTCAGCAAGCAGACTCTGTGCGATCCGTACAGGGACTGGATTGAAAGTATCCCAAATGATGGCTTGATCCGATACAAATTCATCGTCAACTCTGAACGTCTTTTGGTCACTTCGCCGAAAGCTCTCTCCGAAGTTCTTGTCTCGAAGAACTATGACTTTGTGAAGCCAATTCAGCTCCGGCAGGCCCTCAGCAAAGTCATCGGCCAGGGTATTATCCTGCAGGAGGACGCAGAACATAAACACCAGCGAAAACACATGGGGCCTGCTTTCTCCACCCTTCATATTAAGGCTCTGTACCCTGTCTTTTGGTCCAAGGCGAAGGAGCTGGCCGACGTGCTTGCTTTGAGCATCATCCGATCAACCTCGGACGGCGGACTGAGCCCAGAAATTGATGTCGGCGAATGGGCTGCTCGAGCGACACTAGACATCATAGGCATTGCTGCCATGGGCCAAGATTTCGGGTGCATTCGCGACCCTGACAATGAGCTGTCTACCTGTTACCGGGAGCTACGCAATGTCCTCCTTACCAAGACAACCCCAGGTGTCAAGATGCTCTTGTCGATGTTGTTGTCATCTAGTGACCTACGTTTAGTCAAAGGCAACGATGACGGCCTTGATGCAGGCGGAGCGTCAGTCCGACGCATTGCCCGCGACTTGGTACAAAAGAAGAGGGAAGCGCGCAAAGCTGGCTCGAGCCCCGGCATTGATATTCTGTCCATCTTGCTTCAGTCAGATGCCTTCAGTGACGATGAACTGGTGGACCAAGCTATGACATTGCTCATGGCTGGACATGAGACCACAGCCGCCTCCATCACCTGGGCTATGTACGCGCTTTGCAGATTCCCGGAGGTTCAGGCTCGACTGCGCCGAGAGATTATGGAAGTCTTCCCCTCGTTTTCACACGGTAATCTTGGTAACGACGGCATAGATGCCAAGGGAACAATTGATCGTCTGCCTTATCTCTCGGCTGTTTGCAATGAGGTTCTCCGGCTCTATCCTCCGGGGCCCCGAACGATCAGAATGGCCAAGCACGATACCAATATCGTGGGTCAGCACGTACCGAAAGGTACACCCATCATTATCAGCCCCTGGGCTATCAATGTAAGCACTGAATTATGGGGTCACGATGCAGCACAATTCAAGCCTGAAAGGTGGATGGCGCCTGGGCAGGCTACCACAGGAGGTGCACATGGCAACTACGCCTTTCTTAGTTTTCTGGCAGGCCCTCGGTCATGCCTGGGGCACGCTTTCGCAAGAGGGGAATTTGCGTGCATCATATTGGCCTGGGTTGCTCGCTTTCAGGTGGAGTTTGCAGACCCGAACTACCAACTCGAGGTCTCCACCGGCTTGACCATCAGGCCCAAGTTGGGTTTTTCCGTTCGTTTGACACCAGTCATGTAGCCAATTTCGGGCATTATTTGCAGCATCGGTACTTGGAGACAAGAAAGATTCCTCAGAAAGTGCTGATCCAATAGGTCCAGCCGATGTCAAGCAAAATCACCAGCCACCGAGCCAGTCGGGCTTCATGGCCCGTCTTCCTACATGGTTGTATAGATGATTCAAAACGTGCTACTTCCACAGTCGATCCACTTTTCATATTAGTACAGGTAGCTAGTAAGTGAAGGATCTGGTAGTAATTGAGAAAATCTCTGCCCTGTTCATAGATACGAAATTATTCTACTTTCTGTCCAGCTTGACATAGATGTAAGGAATCCAGAATGGTGATCCCATCTCACGCTCACAATAGTAACCAAGTGATTTGCGCTTGAGATCCTCAATGATTCCCTTTTCTTCCTCCGACTCGGATGGTCCTGTTCCCACATTATTTGCCACGCCAGTGCGCTTTGTCTTCCTGATGGCCTGCAAGAGAAACGGTGTATAGACGGCATAAGTCATCTCCACGAGCGTCCTCGCGAACTTCACGTATGCCTCTCGCTTCTCATCTTGGCCGATAACGGCACAACTTTCCGAGTAGGCAGAGTAGTCAGGGTGCACAATGTCTCGGACGAACACATGCTCCGTAGACCAAACATCCTTGACTTGCTCAAGCGCTTCGTAGACTTGCTCTACTGTCCGGGTCCCCATCGAATTGCCGTGCCTAAGCACCACGTCCTTCTTCAGCAAGCCGTCGGAAACAGCAGACATAAAGGCAGCGCGCATGGCAAGTCCTAAGCCCCACCACACTCTGTGGTCGTCTTCGCTCTGGCACGGAAAAGCCAGGATCAAGGTACCGCCTGGGGAACGGATTTCATCACTGCGAAGACGCAGAAACTTCACCATCTCGGCTACACTGAAGACTTTGGCTGCCTCCCTGGTGAGATTCTCCCACTGGACTGCGTCGGCGGGGAGCTCATCGAGAGGTGGCAGCTCATGCTCCAAGTAGTGTAGGCTGCTCAAGCTGAGACCTATGTCGGCCTTTAGCGGCCCAGGCAGAACTGGCCCATAAAAGCTAGCAGGCAACATCAACTCGAAGATTTCAAGTTCACCGTCGCGTGAGAGCTGACCTCTATTGCGTTCAAAGGTCGCAGCTAGGGTATTGAAATCGTTGTTGGGGCTGTCATTAAGAGCCAAGATCACTTCGGTGCTCTTCGGAAGAGTAGACAACGTTTGGACCATCGCAGTCATCCTTAGTCGAGGTCTCTCAGTCACCTTGTCTTATTACTTCATTGGAAGGATTTCCTCACGAGTTCTGGCCCTGCGAGCACCCATAATCAACCAAGCACACGGAACTGTTCTTCCCTATGTGGCATAGATAATGTCAGTTTACCAACCATTGCAGCTGTGTCAAGTGTACGTACACGTGGCAAGGCTCGGGAGGAGCTCCAAAGCAGGCTTTAGTGCCTCAAGCTGGAAGTTGCTATTTTGATTGTATGAGCCCGCTCTCATAGTGACTGCTTTTTCCTGTCTCTGTGTCATTTTCGCTGAATGATCTGGGTCTAAAGAGTCGACCCCGGTCTTGGCAGTGAGAAGAGGGCTAATTAGGAACAAAAGGCTGCCACTATTGTCTTATCAGGTTCAGAATCAACCTGATAGCTTTTGAGAAGTGTAGAATACTATTGATGATATTCTAGACAGATGTAATAGAAGCTAAGCTGTACATCCAATTAAGTTCATCGAAAACTTACAAGGCACCCAAGTCTTAAATTCATACTTGTTTTATACACTCTTGTATTATTCTCCGATATTTATTTTATTAAAAACTGTCTTTCTGAGTGATGTCGTTTGCTTATTGATTTTTTCTTTCCTCTTTTTCCTCAAAAAAATCTGCAACGTAGGCTTATCGGAGTCACATAATACCAAAGACGTATTAAACTTCGGACTAGACACGTCATTACGCTGAGTGCCCTTTGCCCACATGTCCCGCAATGCTGTTGTGACAAAGTCACAACCCCTGGCACAACATTGATCTTAGTTTGTATTTTGTACTGTAGCCGCACTGTTCTGAAATTCCAAAAATAAGTTTCACTTATCTTCGCTTGAGGGCAGCCCCGTTCTGGTTACAACCTGACCTTTTACCGAGACCTGCCTTTAGCTGTTCTCAGCTCTACGCGCGCTGTACGCACGGAGCCAGCATACTGCGTATTCGTTCCGGACCCGAAGTAACGATTTGCGTCTGAAACTGCCGTGCGCTGAGTGTATTTAAAAATGCTACTAGTCCGTCGCTTTGGGTAGGAATGGCTACAAGCCTGATCGCAGCCCAAGAGTTTATGTCAGGTCATCACAGTCCAGACTCATCCTAAAAGAGGCGCAAATGTGTGATTAGTGATTCAATTGATCCATACTTTGTCAGTGGGGCAGACCTTCCTGTTTCAACACTTAGTTAGTGTGTGCTTGGATGCTCCCGTAGAATTGAATCTTTGCACGGTTTCTAAGCCAATGGCTGCAGGAGGTGAGTATCAACAATTCAAGCCAGCTTACTTTATTCCACATGTGGCTGCCTCATAAAATGGAATGAACTCTCTCTCGGCCTCATCATCGTATATATCAAACACCAGAGAAAGCCAAGCACCGGCTTCCAATTCTCGAAGCCTGGAGGACCGGTTGCTTAACGTAGAGCAGACAAACTCAATCAAATCATATCATTTTCAGGAAGCAATGTAGCGGAGAGTTTTAGCGTAGCCATAAACTCAATTTTGCGGATCTGATAAGTAGCATGCGACGCCGTCGACATAAGCTCTACAATGTGCTCGAGAGCCGGAGACGCTCGGTCAACATAAGTTTCGAATTGTGGAGGAAGATTTGTTCTATCCAGAATAGGCCCGGCCTAACCTTACGGGGCCCTGCACCCTTCGTCGACAATGGATAAACATATTGGCGTCATAAACTCTATCCGTACTTTAACCGGCCACGGGTTGTGACTTGAACTTGCAGACGAACCATACTACCTCGTACGTGGCTCTGCGATTTTACGGAGTCTATTTTAACTTTTTGGTTAAGTTGTAGAGTAGAGTTCGAGGGCTACGACTCCGCGTATTCCTAGGCCAAGACCTTTTTTCAGTCAGAAAACTATCTGGATCACATCATGCTGTTCATTCTTGGCGTTGTTCAAGACATATGCCGGCGTTCGATGTATTGTTACTTATGAATGTGAGTCGCACACTGTATGCAAATTACAAAACCAACCGTCGGCTGATACATATCACACACTCGACGCCAAGCTTCAAGTAACTTGGCAAAGCATACCTCCGGATTCCAGGAGATGTCTTGTATCACTGAGCTTGCAAGCTGCCTGGCCTCGTACCCGGCAGATAGGTAGAGTAGAAAGTGTCCCATGAAATCGGATCATGCTCAGAATATCTCGGAAGTCCCACATCTGAGCGGGGAAAGTATCACCCAGTTACCAAGTTGCAACGGCAATGCTGCCGTTGGTGGAACACACCTGTTGTCTTCAAGGGGGTTTGCTGATGGCCATTTCATGATGTCCTTCCGGGTCTTCGTGATCCCCACGTCAATCGGGGCCAGTAGTCTTGCTTGCCCTCTGATATCCGTGAAAAGAAGGTCGAGGGTCTTAGAAATCGTCACCCTGCCCGAGGTTGATAGTATACTAAGTATTCTGGCTTGTTGAATCTCAGTGTCGTGACACACACAATTCACTATGCTTTTGTCGCAGAATTTTCGACGGCTCTTGACCTTCTTCGCAGCATTACTACTTTCTCACGTTCTGTTTGTCATTGTCAAATCATTTTTAAGAGCCCGCCGTCAGGCTACTTTGGCAAAAAGATGGGGGTGCCTTCCAGCGCCTTTTGACATTTTCTCTGACAGACTGGGCGTACTGAACGCGCTGCGAATCATCTCCGCGGACAGAGAGAAAAGATGCCCCGAACATTACATAGAGCGTTTCGTCAAGAACTCAGAGTACTATGGGCGTGTTGTTTCTACCGTTGCTTGCAGAGTCATGGGTCAAGATGCCTACATTACTTGCGACCCGAAGAACATCCAAGCCATGCTGGCAACGCAATTCAGTGATTACGGCCTGTACGTCATGCCACATCTCTTCAAGTCTCTACGTCTCCTTTGAGTCTTTGCCGCACTATCATTCACGATGCTGAGCTTTATAATACAGTGGCCACAATCGTGCTAGCATATTCTTTCCTCTTCTTGGACATGGCATTTTCTCTGTTGACGGGCCGAGATGGGAGCATGCACGTGCTTTAATGCGTCCTCAATTTGCCCGAGAACGAGTTTCCGAACTTGATCTCGAGGAGAGGCATCTTCAAAACCTCTTGAAGGCCATCGAAGCTCCTGGCCGTGATGGATGGACACCTGTTGTTGATCTTCAGCCTTTGTTTTTCCGGCTAACGCTGGACTCTGCCACGGAATTCCTTTTCGGCGAGAGTGTCGACAGCCAACTGATCGCCTTGCCTGGATCAACATCGAAAGTCATCCATGGCGGAGTGGATGAGCAGACATTTTCGGAATCCTTTGATGAGGTACGTTGAAACTTGTTTCGTTGCTACAGTACGGAACGTTTGACGGTTGTTCCCACCAGGTACAAGACTGGATGGCCTTCGCCTCACGGCTGGGCGCTTGGCACAAATTGGGCCATACGAAGCGGTTCTATAAGTGTGCAGCACAATTACACAAGCACATAGATTACTTTGTCAATCTGGCTCTCCAGCAAAAGACAGACGAGGACATAGACAAGTCCAGCTTCAACATTCTGAAAGGTTTGGCCAAGGTCGAAAAGGATCCGATTGAGCTTCGAGGCCAACTCCTTTCCATCCTTGTCGCTGGCCGTGACTCGACCGCGTCGCTTTTGGGCTGGTTCTTCCTGATGATGTGCAAGCACCCCGAAATCTATGAGAAGCTACGTCAGACCATAATGCACGATTTCGGTGACTGGAAGACCTGCGACCCAGCTGAAATTACATTCTCTGGGCTCAAGTCTTGCACGTTCCTCCAGATGTGCATATCAGAGACGTTGCGGCTGTTTCCTCTTGTCCCGATCAATGGCCGCACTGCGATTGTCAAGGACACCACCTTACCGACAGGTGGTGGACCTGACGGTAGTGCACCGATTTTTGTACCGAAAGGCATGGAGATTCAATATTGCGTTCATGCTATGCATCATCGTAAAGACCTCTGGGGCGAGGACACGGAGGACTTCAGGCCAGAGAGGTTCAAAGAGGCTCGGCCTGGCTGGGATTACCTACCTTTCAACGGCAAGTCATAAACGTATTTGAGAATAACCATGGAAGCGAGCTGACTTTGAAGGTCTCAGGCGGTCCTCGAGCGTGCTTGGGTCAGCAATTCGCGCTGACTGAGGTAGCCCACGTTGTCGTCCGCTTATTGCAGCGATTTGACAAATTGGATGGCAGTATCGTTGCAGAGAGGAAGATTCGTCATGGATTGACGCTTGCGAACACGCCTTATGATGGCGTGCAGGTGAGGCTTCATTCAGCAGGACATACTGATTCAAAGGCTTGATCAGACTTTTATGAAGTACCACTTTGAGGCAAGCATACCGCTATTGTCCCTTGGCCTCAACAGCGCCGCTCAATATAGGATAATTACAATGAATTCATCTCGTTCATAAACATTTGCAAGCTTCCCGATTCATCTGATGTGATAGTAAAATATTCCTGCCCGCAGCACTACTCGGTAACTTTTCTCCAGCGTAGCCAAACTTCTCCAGGTCTCAGCATCGTAGTCGTAACACGCACATCCGAGTCTTCCAATATTGATCTCAGTCGTTCCCTTGAGAGATCGGCGATTTCGCGTTCATGCAAGCCCTTCGACTCCATCTGATCCTGCAACATTGGAGGCAGTGCAGCCTCCACTCGACGATCTGAGAGAAGCGATCCAATCACGCTCACAAACTCCACTTGGGCGAATTTCATTCCAGGACAGTTCCGAGGTCCTGTAGCCCAGGGTATGAAGGCACCGGGAGGTGACCGTTCCAGTTTCTCTTCAGACGAGGATTCTAGATTTGAGCCATTGTCGCTGGAATCAGTACGTCCAATCCAGCGGCTTGGGCGGAAGTCCAGGGAATCATTTCCCCATAGTTCGGGGGAAGTGTGCAAATGCATGAAATTGATAACGACGTAGGTGTTCGGCGGGATCACAATGTCTCGGCGCTGAATGTCGGCCCCCGTAGTTGACAGGATGGTTGGGCGCGACGTTGTCAGCTTGGGCAAATAGACAATCGGCGGGTACAAACGCAATGTCTCGTACATGAGCGCCCGTACTCTTTTCAGCCGAGGGAAGACTTGGTCGTACTCTTGAGGATTGGTTCGGGAAAACACGGCGACGACCTCCTCCCTCACCCATTCCTGAATTTCTGGGTGAATGGCCATAAGAGTAATTGCGTAGGCCATCGTATTAGCAGTAGTGTCTTGTCCAGCAAAGTTGAAGATGAACATATTGCCATAAACTTCGTCGTCACTTAGGCCCTTGGCTGAACCTTTGCCCGAGGTGGCATTTTCCTCTTCTGACGCCTGGATTAGCGCGCTTGTGAGCGACTCGGACCGGCGGTTTGAACTGCTCTTGAATCTTCTGTCGATGATTGACATACGCTCTTGCTCGAGAATCTCCTTCATGTACTTTCTGAACTCCTCAACAGCGAGACCGACCTTCCGCCAGCGCTCAGGGGCCAGTGAAGATGCTAATAAGCGCGCCGGCATCACAATGGCTAGGACCATATTTGCGAGAACGGTGCAGAGAGCATCATTGTAGGCCAATTCATGGCCCTCCTGGACGTCAGTGACATCCGCACCATGTGCACTACGTACTCCAAAGCCAGCATAAGCGAGTACGTGATGTGCTATGGTCTGACACGTGCCCGTGACATTTTGTATGGTTCTGGACGGTGAGGTATCAACCCTATCAAGCAACTGACGAGCTTGCCTTGAGCCTTCCTCCCAGACGAGACTGCTCACACGTTCATTGAAAGCTGGTGCTGTCAACTTTCGCTGTCTCTTCCAGTCATCACCATTGAGCTTCAGGAAAGTCAGTCCAAGTTCCTTGCCTGTCATCCTGTTTGCACTCACTGAATCTAGATTTGGACCGAACACTTCTAGGCGGCCTAATTAAAATTGTCAATTTAGTGTGTCCTCATTGAAAGCAAATGGTACATTACGGTATATCTGCCGTGGTTTTGGAAAGTCATCGATTCTTTGAAATACTTGCTGAACGAGATCCGGGTCGGCGATATTGACGATGTTATTGGATGGTGTGACTTGCACAAAGAGTTTGCCGAGACGTTCGTGCACAGAATGTTTCGCCCTGAACTGCCACCCGAGAATATTCAATTTAGCATTTTGACCGACGTCTCCTGGGAGAAGAGTCAGGTATGGCGTGATGATGTTTTTAGTCAATGCCCACAAGGCGCTGGTAGGATCGATCAGGCTGGTGATGATAGGCAGGCCTGTTTTCGAGGCAGCAATGTAGTTCCTGCCCAGGTGAATGACCAATCTGGCCAGAAGACCTAGAATTATTGTGAGAATAATGATACCAATCATGTCAGCAAGGGGCAAGATCGTGAAATCGCAGTGTTTACAATAGCTAAATACAAGATAGGTGGCGCATGAAATCGACGTGGTGGTTGATCGGGCGATAATTTGTTCTTAAAACCCCGAAGTAGGTAAACCTAGACCGCACAATTTCCCGGGATCTCCAGCGTGGTTGGCGGGTCATGTAAAGTGGCCAGTGCCGCGGAATCGTCGCCGTTGTCCACTTAAGGTTTGCCAATGCATCAATAAGCTTTGGTAGTGTTCAGGCGTACTCCCTCCTCATTGAATGACCACGGCAGAGCAATTTGGCTCTGCGTAAAAGGGGTAGCGAAATACCTGCGAGGGGTACCAGCGTCATGAAGGTGAGGCTATCAAATTCTTCGAGTCTTCACAACGATCCTTCGTTCGTGTCTTTCGCCTCAGTCTAGGAACACATTCCTTCTCTACTATCATTCTTTCACACAAGACTAGCTCAATACACTCACTATGAAGCCCCTCGGACAATCTTTGATTCACCTGGCGCTGCTTACCGTCCAGCTTGGTTCCTTCACTCACGGAGCCGCTGTCTCACAAGGAACTGCCCATAAAAAGCGCTCGTCATTCCTCAACCCAGCGACAGAAAGTAAGCCACATCCCAACAAGGCCTTTTATGTTTTTTTCCTCTTTGACATAACTAATATTCCTCACAGAATTTCTGATCAATGGGACCTCGTTGCCATATGTGCCTTTCGACATAGGCGAGTCCTATGGTGGCGTGTTGCCCGTGGGCAGCAGTGTAAACGGCTCAGTGCTTCCTAGCAATATCACAGAACAGCAGCTATATTTTTGGTTTTTCCCATCTGACAACCCCGAGGCCACAGATGAGGTCCTGATATGGCTAAATGGAGGAGTAAGTCGTCTTGCCTGTTGGCTTTTAGGAGAACCCTAATGCTATCAAAACTCGAGAGCATACAAGGCATACTAATTGAAATGACACGCAGCCTGGTTGCTCTAGTCTCACAGGTTTGGGAGAGAACGGTCCATTTATATGGAGAGCCGGCACGTGGCAGCCTGTCAAGAATCCTTGGTCCTGGAATCGCTTGACGAACCTCGTTTGTGTGCAACCTGAATCTCCTTTGTGCATGTTTTCCATGGTTACTGACTTTCTGGCCTGTAAGATGTCGATCAACCTGTTCCAGTGGGTTTTTCTGAAGGCAACGTCACGGGTGCGGGATCCGCGGAGACAGCACAGCAATTTCTTGGGTTCTGGAAAAACTTTGTTGATACATTCGGTCTAACTGGGGCAAAAACCTATATAACTGGTGTCAGCTACGCAGGCGTGAGTGAATTTACGAGAGCAAATGGTGGCTACTGATATCAGGCAGACTGCATGCTGAGAAAGAACTGAATGCTGACGTGCAGATCAACAGCAATACGTCCCATACATTGCGAACGCAATGCTTGACCGGGAAGACACAACGTACTTCAACCTACAAGGATCAATGATATATGATCCTGCGATAAATGAAGACGTTCCTCTTGTCGAAGGTAAGTTGTCTCACACCATTAAGATCGCAAGTACAAGCAGAAGTGAGAAAGACCTGACAAGACAATTAGTCCCAATGTTGGCATTCACGGAGTACTGGCAGAATCTACTCAAACTTAACTCAACTTTCCTCGACTATATCCGTCGCCAACACGCTGAGGCGGGATACACATCCTTCTACGAAGAATATTTTACTTTCCCTCCCAAAGGTGTATTTCCCAGCGCAAACAACTCAGCAGACTTCTCCTCACGTATTCGGGGCCTTATCAGCGACGCAATGACTCTACAAGAGCCTTGCTTCAACGTCTATCATATTACAGACACCTGTCCGACGCTTTGGACCTGGAATGCTGAGGATGCATTCCCCTTGGCCCCATTTACGCAGGCAGGAATACAGGATCCACAGCTCAATGTTGGCGACCAAGGTCCTTATTATAATCTGACTGTCGTACGGGACGCTATCCATGCTCCTGTGGGACGCGAGTGGAATGCCTGCAGTCCGGATCCAGTGTTTACAAACCCTTCTAATGCTACTTCAGGCGATGGGTCGCCACGAGCACAGCTCACCGTCAGTAAGTCGTAGACCAGAACTTTCCTCTCTTTATCTCTGTTCTTGGGCTTCTTGAATTGCCTTCTGTTGAAGAACTATTCAGTCTGTGTCCAAGCTTTGAGTTCTAGCGGTGTTTATTGCACCATGAAATCGCCCTGAACTACTTGTAACGAATTCCCGATAGCTGACTCGACATGATACAGTGCCAGGGGTATTTGATCGAACCCCAGGCTTAAGCATTGTTGCAAACGGACAGTTCGACATGCTCATTCCTTCGAATGGCACCTTGTTTTCTCTGCAGAACGTGACGTGGCGCGGTGCCCAAGGGTTCAGCGAATACCCGCCCAACACCCTACAGATTCCGCACTCAGGGCTCAACGCCAGTGACGAGAACGGGCCCTGGGGTAGCTTCACGAAGATTGAGGGTGCAGGTAGGAGTGGGGAGATGGGCAAGTGGGTGTTTGAAAGGGGTGTAGGCTTTGTGGACGTGGCCTATGCAGGGCATGGAGTTGGGCGTTATAACGCGGCGGCTATGTTCAGGATCATCGAAGTCCTTCTCGGACGCGTCGGCGTTGAAGAGGGCTTTGGAGGGGCAGCGTGGAGTGTAGACATATCTGCTCCAGGTCTGTAAGTCAGAACACCTTTGTTGTGGAACACTGCAGATTATGATCTCTTGTGGCCCGTCGCAAGTGGATACATAATCAGGAGCAATTCACTACCTATTATCGTCCATGAGTTCATTGAAAGGGCTTTTAAAGATATGAATGAGCATCAGATACGTCTTTCACTGCTACCATGAGTCAATTTGATGGTCGTGCTGGTGGGTCCTCTTTTTGCTTGCCGCTGAGTCCAATATCAGCATCATATTTCACCTTGAAATCACGCCTGCGAGGTTTTGACAAACCAGCTAATTTTGGGGGCATGTGTGATTTAGAGCCAATACAGCCTCGGCAACGTGAAGGCGATGATGGCAAATCATGTGCTGGAGACGACGAGGAAAACCAGGAAGGATTTCTTATCTTCTGAAGTCCTCATCTGAAGCCTGCACGAGACTATTCCTCCCTGGTCCACGACGTGCATAGCGCTAGTGGCCTGCATGCCTGCGGCAATACTCAAACAAAACAGGCATTCGCGGGTCACTCTGCTCTGATGCAATACTTCCACTGGCCAACATTCTTCTTGTGAAAGGCCGCCATCCAAACAGAAGATTGTGTCTTCGCAAAAGCGATAGAATGCGGACTTCAATCGAGACCCTCGTACTCTACGCGTTGGTGTATAGCGCTGTAGCTTTCGCGGAGTCGCCGCCACAGCAGCCGCTTGTCCATACTGATAATGGAGGATCCACTGACAGACTGCCGTTTTCGATATCAGCCCTTGAGGACTACATCGAGGAAGCGATGGAGAGATGGCACGCACCCGGCATGGCGGTCGCGATAATCAACGGCAATGACACTTGGGCCAAAGTAAGCCTCCCCGTGCCGCCTGCACGCCGCACTAGTCTCTTTCACTCTGTACATGAAAATCGTATTTCATAGCCCTCAGCGAGCTCATATCAAACCAGGGATTCGGCTATGCCACATTCCCATCGACACCAGTGACGCCGCACACACTCTTCTATGCCGGCAGCACCACCAAGTCCTTCACCGCGGCGGCCCTGTCACTGCTCGTAGACGACTCATCAGACTACTCCTCGGTGAAATGGACGACGCCAATCTCGCAGCTTCTGCGCGAGGACTTTGTCCTGAGCGACGACTGGGCGACAGCACACATCACAATCGAGGACGCCCTCTCCCACCGGACGGGCTACCCCAGGCACGACCTCTCCATCGGCAACGACACGCGGGAGCTGGTTCGTAGCTTACGCAACCTCCCCATGTCCACCGAACCACGCACCACCTTTCAGTATAACAATATGATGTGGGCCACGGCGGGCTACCTCGTCACGAAGCTAACGGGCCTCGACCTCGGCGAGTTCTTCCACAGGTATCTGTGGGGACCCATGGAGATGAACGAGACTTTCCTCGGTGAATGGGACCCGTTGTTTGAGTCTCACGGCTCTGAGCTTGCTGATGGGTATTGGTGGGTCAACAGCACCAGCGAGTATGTCAAGCAGCCACGGGAGAGCACCAGCTTTATGGTCCTGGCCGATGAGGGTGCCGGTGCTGTCCTCTCCAGCGTTCTGGACTACACGAAGTACCTGCGCGTGATGATGAACGAGGCCGAGCCGATCTCGAAGGCAGGTCACCGTGAGCTAAAAGCCCCGAGAACGTTCCACAACTTTCACCAGGACTTGTTCGTGGCTCCCGTGACCTATGGGCTGGGTTGGATGTCGGGGGTATTCGAAGGCCACCAAGTATTCTACCACACAGGGACAGTGTCTCCTTTTGTGACATTCATGGTCATGGTACCTTCCAAGAACTATGGCATAGTTGTTATGTCAAACGGGTTGTCGCATGTCAGAGAACTCGTTACGTATCGGATACTTTACGACCTCTTCGGCGTGGAGGGGAGTAGACGGCCAGACTTTGAGTCTCAGTAAGGGAACTATCCTGCACGAATACTGCTTTCCACTAATGCACCCCAGGTTCGAAAAGGCGGATGCTCTCGAAGCACAGGACCTTGCGACATGCCCTGAGCGACTCTACCCCGACGTGCCACAACCGCCTACACCAGCGTCAGCTCCACTGGCGAATCACACGGGCCACTACCGCCACGTGGCATACGGTAACGTTTTTGTCAGCCTGCATTGCGATGATACAGTTCCTGCGAACCAGTCCTCGGGAGGTATGGAGACCGGTTCTTGCAGACTGCGGATGTCTAGGGGGCGAGAGAGCCAATTCCGCGTAGCCGGGAACCTGGAGCACAAGACTGGTGATTTCTGGCTTACTTACGGGTTCCTCGAGGAAGTACCTGAAGTGATTCAAGCTTGCCTTCGGGTTCAATTCAAGGTGGATTCACGTGGTATTGTAACGCACATTGCGGTTGACTTGCGCTTGGAAGGAGAGGACAGCCCGTTGGTATGGTTCGAGAGAGTCGGATGAGAGGCTCAGAAACAAACACATTACATGGCCTGAATCGACAGCATTTCTTTAGCTCTTTACCAGCCTCACCTCAGTACGATGCCATAGAGCACAAACGTTGAGACAGTGATATGTAATAAGACCTGGTGGTTCCTTGACAAAGGCGCGGTTTCCTCGTCTTCCTCCGACCATCTCTCCATACAAGAACTGTCCAGGTAGATAGTCGCGGAAGGCAGTGTAACGCGGAATTTACTGAGCCGCCCTCCTTTACAACGAAAGGATTGTACTAGTATCATCTCACCACTCCGCAAGACCCACAATGCGTATTTATCCCACTAACGCCTGAAAGCATCGCCCTCGCATGCACAGCGGGTCAGACACTTGTGACGCGAACAAACTAGTCCCGTCTACCTGGGCACTCAACACCAGGAGACAAGATCACTTCATTCATATCCTGTAGTGAGCATTGGCAAAGTGGACTTGAGCATCACTTTCTTTCTTGACTACTATCAACCACCAAGTTACAAGTAGAAAAGTACACGATTCCCCAACGCGAATTCGCCCTTCCATCATTTCACACGCCACCCAAACCCCGGACCAAACACCTCAGCGTTAATCAAGCCCCCTTCCCCCGCGAGTAGAGAGATAGTCCAGTTTCTCTCTGCCACTCGTGCTCCCCTTCCCGCCACTCGCCTTTTTTTCAACAGTGATTCGTTTCATCAGATGCGGAGCCTAGGTATGCCCTTCGCTCGTAAACAGTAAGGAAAAAGGAAGACAGGATGCGGAGTCAAGTAGGTGTTTCGTTTGCTTCCCTGTTGAAAAGAAGAGCCGAGTATGACGATTGGCGTGAGTGAGATGGATGGCAGCGCAGATGAAAATCAGAAGCGCAACGACAAAAACATTAGACTATCTCAAACCCTTGTATGAACCAAGCCCGCAAAAAGTGTGACAAGAGTGCCGTGGAATTTTCCCATCACAGGCACATATTATACTAAAAGACCCGATGAAAACCCTTGTGCACCAGCGAAATCAAAAGAAGTCCGACCGTAAGGAAATATGTAGCGAGGTAGAGGATGGCGCGGCCGAGAGTCGGACGGCGTGTGGGATTGATGGGTAAAGGTTCGTGGTTGTGGCCCCCAAGCTTCGCGCCTGCAACATCTGGCGTCGGACCGGGAGTCTCGATCTCGGATATCAACAAGGTGTGTACGCGGGCCTGGGTGGCTCCAAAAAGATCGTAAGAATACATGTTTGTTTTGGGTATCGACAAAAAGTGTTGTAAACGCCTGTCCCGGATGGCAGTTTGGGATCAGGATCCCTGTCAGGTTGCTTCTCTATAGACCAGGTCCATGGTTCGTGTAACCAGGGTCGGACGAGAAATTCTAGGTCTCAATTTCTGGATCCATGAAGTTGGCAGCTGCAGAGAAGTCAAACCCGCCTGCGTCACCTTCGTTATCGTGTAGGAAGGAGTCAAAGTCAAAGTCATTCAGCACATCATTGGTTGCAAGTGGGTTGGCGAAATCAAGGCCAAACTCCTGTGGCACATACGGAGTCAGCAACATGCGGGAACAAGAGGATGCAATACCCTGTCGGGGGTCCTTACCGGCATGTCCATGTTGAACTGGTTCTGGTTGGGGTCAGCGGGAGGCACCATGGGTGCGGCTTGCTGAGGCACAGGCGCGGGGCCTTGGCCATTTGGCATGGGCTGAGGAGGCCCTGCGTTCGGTCCTGGCCTGTTGACGTTGGGTTGTTGTGGGTTGACCGGAGTGATGGGCGTCGCTGGCGTAGGGGCCTCCGGTTCCGAGGCGGCGGGCTCCGCAACAGGAGTCGCTCCAGCGGCATTGAGGTTCGGGTTTGACTTCTTCTGAGCCGCAGTGCGCTTTGTTTAGAAATCGTTACTACACACTGATATGTACGCAAAAGGGGGCAAATCGAATTCTCACCTTGTCTTTCGCACTCTTTGTCTCCTTCTTCTTCGGCGCCGCCTTCGCTGATTGAGAAGGCGTGGGCGGTGCCGCGTTGGGTACCTGTGGCGACGAAGTGTTCCGGGCGTTTGCGGCAGCTGCAGCGGCGGCGGGCTGCGCCGGTGGAGGCATCGCGGCATGGCGCTGTTGCGGTGTTCCCTGCACTTGCTGCGGCGTCTGGCCCTGTGGGACCATCTGAGCACCATTGGGACCGCCAGGACCGCCCTGCTGCTGTTGCTGCTGCTGCTGCTGCTGCTGCCACTGCATCTGCTGGCCTGGCTGCCCAGCCATCTGGCCCTGCTGGCGAGCAGCCATCATTTGCTGCTGCTGCTGGGGATTCATCGGGCCGTTGAACGGTGGCTGTCCTGGGTGCGAGCTTGGCGGTCGCATTCCGTTCATCTGCGGCCCGCCGGCCATGTTGCCGCCGGCACCGCCACCACCACCCATGAAATGAGGTGCTTGGGACGGATCCATCTGGTTGCCCATGAAGTTCATGGTGTTGGGCGATCCGCGCGACTGCGCGCCTTCGGGGAGTGGTGAGCCCATGCCGGCTGGGTTCATCTGTTGGGGACCACGCTTCATGTCCGTAGGATTTGGTGATGCCCCAGGACGAGCTCCCTGTGGCGAGGCGCCTTGGAATGGTGCGTTGGCTCCGGGCGGAGCACCGGGACCTCCGGGACCGCCCGGACCGCCAGGCCCGTCTCTGGGCATGGGCATGCTGTTGCCACCGTCTTGCTCCTGTCTCGCCATCATGAGCCTCTTCTTGTTTTGCTGCTCAAGGAGCATCAACTGCATCTGGTAATCCTGAAGAGCGTGGTTGCTGCCACCAGCCTGTTGGGTGGCGTTGGGACCACCGGGGCCCCTCATAGCACCTGGGGGTGCAGCAGCCATCCCCTCAGCATTGTAGAAGGAATTGATAGTCGCCCCATCAGGAGCCTGAGCAACCATGGGCGAACCTTGTCCAGGAGGGCCATTTGCATTTGGCATGGGCTTGCCCATCTGCTGGCTTTGCTGCTGCTGGAGGTTCGCCGCATAAGTCTGAATTGTCTTCTGCTGCACCGCTGGAGACTGACTTTGAAAGGTTGCGAACTGTTCAGGGTTCAGCGTTGATGGATTTATACCACTTTGAAGAAGCAGTTGCTCAGCGTGCTGCGAAGGGCCGGTTCCTACCTGCTGCTGCTGGCCTGGCATTCCCTGCCCTGCTGGTCGACCGTTAGGCATCATGCCGTTCTGGGCAGGATTGAAGGGACCGCCTTCAGAGAGACGGATCCGTTTGGACGGAGAGGGTGCGTTGTCAGCGGAACCTGGGGAAGAGGGACGTGCTCGGTTTCCATCCATGTCTGAGGGCTCTCGCTGCATCTGGCCTTGTTTCTGTTGCTGCTGGAGCATGTGCTGCATCATGTTGGGACTGGAAATGGTCTCGTTGTTAGCGAACGGACTTGCAGACACGGAAGCATGATCACGTTACACTCACTTGTTCTGGCTGTTGGCCATGGCTGTGCGAGGCAGATTGTTGCCCGGCTTGACCATGCCCATCGCACCGTTGCGCTGCATTTGCATGATCTGCATCTGCTGCTGCTGCGGCGTCAAATCCGGCCTCATCTGGCGCAAAAGCTCCTGTTGCTGATTTTGTCGCATTCGAGATTGGTTCTACGGAGGGTCTTAGCAATTGCACGAGGATAGCCGGCCGAGACTCAGACCGTTGAGCGAGCTAGCTAAACATACCTGAGTGTGGTTCATATACGAGTTGACTTGACCGTTTCCACTCTTGCCCTTCTGGGCGTTGAACATGTCCCAGAAGAGACAGAACCATTCGAACAGGAAGGGTTGGTCGACAGAGAGGTTAGCAATCATAGGCTGGGGCAGATCGTCGGGCCGTTTCGCATCGACGCCTTCTTTGCTGTCGACGTCCATGGAGTCGCCGACGCCGTTGCCAAGTAGATTCCCGTTCTCGTCGCGCCGAGAGTTGGGACCATCCTGTAGTTTGATCTGGGGATCGGAGCTCAGTAGAGAACGTGCGCAATCGTACATTTCGTTGCGCAGAAAATACTCGTAAATGTAGGTGTTCAGTAAATGTCTGTTGTTCTCTGTAATCTGTTGCTGCTGTTGTTGCTGCTGCTGCTGTTGCTGTTGCTGCTGCTGTTGCGGTCGCGGCGCAGATGGACCGGCGATAGCGCCGTTATTCATCATGGGCACAGCAGGACCGACAGGCCCTCCAGCCATGGGGTTCATGTTGGCCATATTGACGTTGTTCATCCTTACGATGCGGCGCGTCTGCGATCGCAGAACGGGTCTGCCGCAGCGAGGGGCGAGGTCGGTGTCAGGAGAGGCGGAGAAAGTCGGATGCGCGGACGAGGACGCTTTGACAATTGAATCTCAAGAGAGACGAAATGATTTTAGTCGGAGGCGGACTTTGTCGTGGGCCTCGGAGCACTGGTCCAGCGGATGGGCGTGCTCGGGAGTTGGTGCTAATATCCGAGCCAGCTCTTGGAGAGGCTGCTGCTGCTGCTGCTGCTATCTGGGATGGAAGGGTGCATGTGTGGGTGGGACGGGCAAAAAAAGAGGGATGGATTGGCGAGGCTGGAGGAGAAAGAGGACAGGGTAGGTAGGGGTGCACGCGAAGAGGCTGGTCTGAAACGCGTGGTAGAAATGGGAGGTCGAGGGACAGAGTGACAGATAGAGGGATCACTGCAGGGTGGAGATGCGACAGACGGAGACGACGGCGGCGTCGGGAGTACTGAGGTCGGCGTCGTGGTCGTGGCTTTGGACGTGGACGTGGTCGTGGGTCAAGGTCGGCGTGGCCAAATGAGTCGATGGATTTGGCATCGACCGAAAAATGGGGGGCGGAGGCGAGAGAGAGAAGGTCTGAGGTCCTGGAGGTCCTGAGGGCCCGTCAGGAGGAGATTGATCTGGAACGGGAGAGGTCGAGTTGAGTTTGAGTTGAGTAATGATGAGAAAGGGCCAACCTCCGTTCGGTGGTCGCGAGGATTCAGCACGGCCAAAACAGGGGGGTTGGGCTGCCGGAGCACTGTGCTGGGCGGCGGCTGGGAGGCGCGGGTTACACAGTATGGATGGGTTTGATTCGGAGACTGTGTTTTCAGAAAGCTGGAGATTGAGATTTGAAATACAGCCCTGTGAGCCTCCAAGAGTCAGAGTCAGTCCTTAGTAGGGTGATCGGTGATGGACCGTGGGTAGACGGTAGAAGGTGTGGAAAAGGCCGGGAACAACTGCTGGAGCTGGAGCTGGAGCTGGAGGAATTGCAGGTGGTTCTGTGGTTCTGTGGGGGTCCACTGGCCGCAACTGCGAACTGCCAGGAGTGCAGAGGAGGAGGCCCGCGCAAGCAGTGCCCTGTAAGTCCGGGTGGGACTGGGGAGCAGGCAGGGCAGGTAGCAATGGCTCGGTCGGGGCTTGGAGGAGCTGGGGAAAGCTGTGCAGGTAGTGGGTGGCCTGAATTTACCTTGGGGCCAGGCGGCGTAGCGTCCCGGTGTGCTGCTGCTGCTGCTGCTGCTGCTGCTGCTTAGATGGATGGATGGAGGGCTGGCGTGCGCAGCGTGGAGCCCCGTTCCCGTGTCCCTGGCACCTGGCGCGGCTGCACCTCCAACTCTCTTTCAGCTCTCTGCAGATGGATCTGGATTGACAGACGGGGAGCTGATGCGCAAAAGAGGAAACATCCAACAAACTGACACGCTTCTCGGGGGGAGCTGGTCCAGTCTGACACACGCACGCACGCACTCAACTCACTCACTCATACAAGGGCAATTCAATGCAACGGGATGCGAGAGACAGGAGACAGTGCAGGCCTGCAGGTAATAAGGAGGCAGAAAGGTGGTATGGAAAGGGGGGACAAGGTAAGGTGAGGGAAAGGAGAGAGAGAGGAAATCTGGCCGGGGCCTTGTTTTGTGTGTCGATGAAGCCTCGCTGGAACTGAAGAACTTCAAGAGCGAGAGGGACAGGAGACCTTGATGGATGTTGCAGATTGGGTGAAGCTCCCTGGGCATACCCAAGACTGGGGGCGCCCAGCCCTGCGTAGTTTTGATCACGGTCGGTTTCTGGACTGGGTGCCTCGACGATGAGGCACCAATGCAGCCACTAGGCATCTAAGCGGGGTTGGGAAGCCTTTGTAGGCTGCGCTTTCAATCTGACACCTCCGTATTATACGGCGACGGTGCTCACATCTCCCGACCACCAACTCGTCCATGGCCTAATGTCTGAAGAGAGTGAGAATGCGAAAGTGCATGATAGGGCCTTTCATGTCTCCCAATAACCAGTTTGCAGTCAATAATTCACAGATTTGGTCATCTCAAAGCGGGATATTAGATGTCCACCGCTCGGGCAATGATACGAGTGGGCTACGGCTCATATAATACCCCATAACGGCCCCTGGCCACCACAACCTTGGCACCGTCTTAACGGTGTAGCTTATTTGCAGCGATCGGCCGGTATTCAGTTACCGCAAACGAGACCCCATCCTCATCCGGCCACCGTGTAACATCCCATCATTTCTGCGTGCACAGGACAGTAGAAAATTTCGACAGACATCCTGCAGCTTATAATGCCCACGCCAGACAGCCAGCTGACAGGTCTTGTTGGGGCTCATTTCTTTTTGCGTGGCTTGCAACCGCCCATGTGTTCCTCCTCAGCCGCTTCCCCGTCTCCTGGCCCTTGGATCGGAAATCATCTGCGCAGGGCAGAACTCGCCAGGGAAGGCCAGGGCACGCCATGGCAGGGTCCAGGACCCTTGCCAGCCGGGGTCTATAAGCTTTCATGCCAAATGATGCCATCCGTTGCGGGTGAAATTGGAGACCTGCCCGCCCATCTCGATATGCAAATATCCACAACCACCGGGCGGGCGACCAAGGGGTCGACTCCACCACAGCTCCGAGGAGCACTTCGCTCCACCAGCTAGCTGACCGGCCTCGTCAACGGGAGAGCATCGATGCTGGGCTCATTTACAAAACACAAGCGACTGCTTCCTCCCGGGAGATGAGGTGGCTGTCTGTATTGATTGTCGGTCTGGGGCTGCAGCGTTGGCTCTCAGACGCACACCATGTGAACATGGACCGCCAGATGAATGGCGTGATTCCGGCTCTGCGTGCAGACCACGTCAAAAGGCAGCAGATGTTGAGGTGATCTGAGCCAAAGGCCGGCCGATCAAGCTTCGTGGACAGGACGGCACGGGGAGCGCCTCGACATTCGATGCATCCGACCTGTCATATCATGACTCTGATATATACATCTCATGCGTCCTCGTCGCTACCCATAGCCCAGGCCTTGCACGCCCTCCGCTCCAAGCTCCCATTCCGCCATCTGCAGCCCGTTTCAAATCCAACGCCGCCGTGCTGTGGTTACATTTGACCTGCCGGAAACTGACGAGCATGCATATGCCACGTTGTGGCTCATCCTCAACGAAGCGAGCGAGCCTGGCGAGGTCGTATGCCCCAGAATAAATCCATGGGTCCCTCTGTCTCCTCTTTCATCCCCCTTGGCCGTCCGCGGGCCGGGCAGCAAGCAGCAGGGCCCTGTGGCTTTTTTCCAGGGTCCAGATTATTAGAGATGATTGACAGATGCAACTCGCTTCCACTTGGGCCGGCTCTGCACATCATCCCGGAAATGGCCAAGGCAGAGGAAACCTCCGCCGTCCCTGCATTAGGTTGTGTCCGCGCGTGCTGTAGTACATTGTGTAATCAATCCAAAATTCTGGATCAGAGAAAGGGCACTAAACGCACTGGAGAAACTGTTGCAGCAGTCCCTGATGCCCGCAATCGAGCCCGTGGGCATTGCTATTCGCGGCACGATTCTAGATGACCGGCCGATTCAACCTGCGCTGCACCATTCACATTCCACCCTATTATTACACCACATCCCAGTCCAGCCTTACGGCGATGGCACCATAAGCTTATCTTTTTCCATCCACCACAGCCCTATGTAGGGACAAGTGCCGGATGGGACAAGACGGCCCCGATGTCATGTCCTTTCCATTCTCGGAACCAACAGACGAGACCGGGATCATCTCCATAGAGAAGCTTAATACACGCCGAACAAAAGAGCGCACGTCAACAAGCTGAGCCACGATTCTTGTGGATCCCGCAAATCATGTCTCTGTCATCTTCCAATTCCCTTCCCTCTGCTTGCCGCTTTGAACCCGTTGCTTCTTCTTGTTTTTGCTCTCGGCGCGGCCCGCCGGCACAAGAGCGGCTCGCCATGATGAAGTCCAAACCGTTATGCGGGCATGCGCAACACATTGTCCACGGGATCGGACGGGAGGGCGCGAGGAGGATAAAGAATGAACTAAAGGACCCGAGACACTTCCATATATCTCCCTGGTGTTGTGGCGCTCTGCGAACAACGCCCAACCCTCCCATGCCTGTGTAACACGAACAGACCCTTGGTGTCTCGTCTGCTCCCCGGAGAGGTTGGTGACAGGTCTCGGGTCAGCACTTTATAACTGCTTCCGGATGATTACTGCTTCTTGACACCACAGGGATATCACTTTGCCTGTACAGCCGTTCATGTAGTGACCAGGCAATGGCGCCTGTCAAGGAACCCAAGCTAGCGAGGCATGGTCATGGAGAGCTAGATTTCACCGAGTGAACGAAGTCCTTCATCTTGAACGCTCTTGAATTCCAATACCGCATTAAAGCTCTCTTTAACTCCACCTATCGATGTTTCGGCCTCGTTGCTCTTGATTGGGATTAGACTTTCCAGTCTATATACCCCCGAGCGGCCTTTCTAGGATGTGGGTATAGAGGTTCTATCAAACAGCGACTCTGGCGCAAGAACAGAGTGTCGCATCGTGCCTTTCATTGACCAGCAGGACTGAAGTAGATGGCCGGAGCCAATCGAAGACAGGCCCTGCGTCGTTTCCCCTGTGCTGCCTACCCAACCGCCAGTTCAGTCATCCTCGGGCGGCAACTCATCATCAATGTATCTTATCAGACTGATCCGCATCTCGGTGGTATCATTGCCCCTCAATACGTCGCTGATGAAATGAGCCTCAACCTGCATCTGCACCATTTCCAATGCACCCCTCAGCACGCCGCAGAAGATGTTCGAATACCAGAGCTCGTCTTGCGCGCGGCCGTCGTCGGGCAGTTCGACAAAGTCGGCGAGGGGGTTCTCCTCGAAGACCAGCGAGAATTGCTTGCTGTCGCTCGTCCAGTTTGTTATGGTGGGGGTTATGTTGAGGAAGATCTTGAAGCCGACCTAGAAGTACCTCGCCGTTAGTCCCTGCCCATGGTCGCTCTTGAGACCTCCTTTCCACGTATTTCTGGCCCAGCAGAATAGGATGCGCCTACCTTTGCGATCATCTCGGCCGTCTCCCGGAAGTTCGCGCAGCGCTTCATCGTGTTGGACTTGGCCAGGTAGTCCTCGATCAGGCGTAGCCCGATGTTGTAGCCCATCTTGTCCAGCTGCTTGTTGACCTCCACGTAGTCACCGTCAAAGTCCTTGCACAGCTGGGCGACGATGGTGCCGTAGGTGAGCACGACGAGCTCGGAGTTGACCTTGTCGATTCGTGTCCTTGTGGCTCGGTTAGTCTTGCGGGCGTGGGCGTAGAAAGTCGGTATACCGATGTAGGATACTATGCTTACTTCCATATCCTGAGAAACATTAGCCGGTCAAGTTCGAGGCTGAAAGGCCATGGCAGCTATGTGAAGCGACCAAGGGGAACATCTGGCATCGCACATACTCTTCGCCCACCCGGGCAGCTTTGCTTGCAGACATGGTGAAGATGACAACGCAAGTGTCAGCAGCTCGTATCGAGCTTTGCTGCGATCAACTCCCAATCATGAAACCATCCAAAGCAGCACCAATGGACGTCTGGACGCGAAGATCTTCGAAAATGAAGATAAGTTTTGGGTCGTTCACTGCTGCTCAAGGGTTGTGTTGACCATCAATGCGACGTTTCGGTAAGGGCCAGTGACGGTAGTGACGGGGGGCTGCCGTATCCCCGGCAGGCAGATCCCGCAGCACAGACCAGCGTGCAGCTCTCTGGCTCGAAATCTCAGCTTCGCAAGTCGCAGACCAGGGACAGCAGCTGCACGATGTAAACAAGCCAGCCGAACTCTCTCACAGTCACCCACACGGACCCGGTTACACTCCGAAGCGCCAGCGCTCCTCTCTGGCATTGCCCAAGAACGCCTCACTCCAACACACGATGTCTGCCGAGAAGAGACCAGCGTCCGATGACCCCTCGGGGCAGTTGGTGGTCAAGCGCCAGAACTTGGGCGAGAGAGCTCTTGCACGGGCCAATGCCTCTGGGAGCAGCGCCTTGGTGCAGTCGGTACGTTCTCAGGGCCAGAAATTATGTAAAGTGTTTTACGGAAAGCTGATAACCTTGCAGACACCCCGGACGAGTGGCCTCCAAGCGCCGGTGATGGAACTGTCTGGGCATTCGGGGGAGATCTTCACTGCGAAGTTTGATCCCAGTGGGAACCTCATCGCGTCCGGGGCCATGGATCGCAGCATCAGTAAGAATTACCTGACATCCCTCCCATTGCGACAGCTGCTAATTGCTACTCAGTGCTGTGGCGAACCTATGGCGACTGTGAGAACTATGGCTTACTGACCGGCCACCGAGGCGCCATTCTCGACCTCCAGTGGTCTCGCGACTCCGAGATCCTCTTCTCCGCCTCCGCTGATATGCACCTTGCCAGCTGGGATCTGACCTCTGGGCAGAGAATACGGCGCTACGTGGGTCACGAGGAGGTTATCAACACGCTGGATATCAGCAAGCGCGGCGAAGAGACGTTGATCAGCGGCAGCGACGACGGGACGATAGGCATATGGGACCCAAGGACAAAGAACGCAGCCGACTATATCGAGACACAGTTCCCCATCACCGCGGTCGCTATCTCGGAGGCTGGAAACGAGATTTATTCGGGCGGTATCGACAACGACATAAAGGTGTGGGACATACGGAAAAAAGGTGTGGTGTACTCCATGCTGGGACACCAAGACACCATCACTACACTCAGAGTCTCACCTGATTCGCAGAGTCTATTGTCGTACTCTATGGACTCGACAGCTCGGACTTGGGATATACGGCCGTTTGCACCCACGGAGAGGCACATCCGCACTTTCGATGGCGCGCCGGTGGGCATTGAGAAGAACCTGGTACAGGCCAGCTGGGACAAAGATGGCAAGAAGATCGCCGTTGGCGCGGGCGACGGCACGGTTGTCATCTGGTCGAGCGACAACGGTAAACTGCTCTACAAGCTACCGGGCCACAAGGGCACTGTCAATGTTGCGGAATTCGCGCCCGGAAAAGACCCCATCATATTGTCGGCTTCGGCGGATCGGACAATGCTGCTTGGCGAGCTGAGGTGAGGTTATGTCGGCGAGAGGTAACCTGTGCTTTGTCGAAGGAACGGACATCAGCATTGCAAACCCCCAACAAAGATCAAGTTGTCCGATGGTTCGGACACCGCCGGCCGAGGGAGCTCGCGGGCGTTCGTCTCGATTTGTATTGAGACGTTTCGGCAGGTCGTATGTGTGTGGGCCATGGAGTGAGTCCAGCGATTCGGGGCAGCTTGAAGTGCTGATGACACAAGAGCCTTGGCTCCTTACGGGACCCCGGGAGAGTCTGCCTCGCCGAGCCGGATACTGCAGCATGCGGCTCAAGGCGGTGACAGATTAGCGGAATACAATTGGAGAGCGGTACCCACCCAAGGCGTGGTGGTACTGAGACCGCACGTGAAGACAGCCAGGTCTCGCAAGACCAGGCAGACAGAGGCCATTGTGGCTGTGTCGCCCAGGCTGTAGGGATCTGACTTCGGATGGGAAAGAAGAATGTTTGATGCTTGATAGGCGTACAACCACGTGCATCGACCTCTGTATCAGAATCCCCCGCGATCTTACCATCCATCTGATCCCACATTCGTGGAGTCGATCGAAGCTCGTCACGCCTTACGCCTTATGAAACCTGATAGTCACAATTGCGGGCGGCAATCAATCGCGAAGGGAATAAGCCCTAGCCTCGCTTTGGCTATACTGCACAATGGTCAAAGTCAAATTAATGTTAGCGATCATGCCTTCAGCCTTGTCTCTTTGTCTAGTCATACTGGTTGGTGGTCCATGCAGATCATACTCCAGAATACGGGGAGGGGGTTTGACGTTGTGGGCTCCCCCAGCATTTGCATAGAAAGTCAACCAGCTAAGTCCGAAAGTGAAGTGCACACGGCCCAACGGTTGGCCTGGATGTCCTCTCAGCTCCCAACTCAAAATGTTGGCTCACGAGAATATTTCCCTCATTGACACCCACCATTACCAGCCAGGAGTCACACCTAGACAGGTGCTTGGCGGTAGCGAGGCCGGGTCGATTGGCCAGAGGCCGCCACGGAGAGTGATGTGAAACAGCATCCCAAGATTTCGGATCCCCCCCTGCATCCGCCCAATCGGGGGCCCCCTGATTCATGTAAAACAGCTCCAGCTTCTGTTCCCCAACTTGGCAAGCTGTAACGGATGGTGTGGCGCCTGGCCAATCTTGAGCTTTATCCTCGACACCCTATGGAGACTTTCTCTGAAGGGGGCCCCGTGTTGTTCGCTGTTTACTGCTGTGGTACGTCTTGTTCGTGATTCGAGATCTGAGGTTGGTAGCTCCAGGGGAAGGGCGCCTAGGACGTTGCGTTGCATGCTAGGGATGGATAAACGGCAGAGGAAATTACGCCTGGTCATGCAGCATGATAGTCTGAAGGAAGATTGCGTCGAGAGAGCGAGTGAACCCACGGGCCGGGGGATTCAAGGTGAAATGATAAGCATGCACGCACACACCCTACACACACACACACATGGGACGGTCCTGAGGAAAGCCACGGCATCTAGAGCTGACCACCGACTGTGCAGCCGGCCAGATCAGGCCAGCCCAGCCCGAGGCTTTGGGGGCGTGGATACGAGAAACCTGGAAGTGGGAAGAGTGCTCGATTGGGGAGAAATTGTTAAATATAAACAAAAGCGACATGGCGCATGGTTCATGGTCATGATGATGAGACTCGTTTGATGATGTGTTTGTCAATCGGGTGCTCGCTTAACGGATTGGGGAAGCGACTGCACCTCGAGAAAGTGAGTTTGGGTGGGTGGATGAGGCAGAGAGGCCCCTGCACACACAGACACCACCTCCCTCGGCTTCGGCTTCGCACGTTCGATCTCTTGTTTGTCTGCCCAGTCTCGAGCCAGTCTCTCCCCCCCTGGATCTTGGCAAGCGCGGTCGAATCCAATCTTGGGAGATGAATTTCTGGGGACCTGCAGCAGGTGTGAACGCACCTGGCGGGATCCATTTGATCCACCCAGGCACAGCACAGGCACAGGCACCTGCAGAGAGGTACCGCATGCTCCTCCTGCTTTGCTTGGTGCGGCGCGAGACGACTCTTGTCCGCGAACCATTTCTCCCTCACCACCGTCTTCCTCGACATCCACAGGACATCACGTCCACAATTTTCCCACTGACTGGCGGATCAGCCATGCCAGCTATCATCCATCTGCGAGGACTGCATATTGGCGTCTGCACGCTGCATTGATCCATTGCAATTCGTTGTCGATCCCTCCCTCCCGAAGCATCTCTGTAATTCTTGTTAGTCTACTGTCTACTGGGGCTGCCTTCTTCGCCCTCGATCTACCAGTTTTATTTGCCCTCGAGTCCAAAATCCTTCGACGATAGTAATTTTACTCGCGAACGGCTCTGTGAGCTTTGGATTTGACCTTCAATTCCTACCGTCATTTTTTATTTTCCATCTCGTGGTTGGCTTACGCAAACAACGTCGAGCAAACAAACGATTCAGAAAGGATCGACGCAGACGATCACCACGACCCTTCATTTTACTCGAATTTACAGATCTGGGCTCCATATTTGATATTCACTACTGTATTCCATCCCAAAATAACGGCTGGCTCCCTCTACGCATTCTATATCGACATTTTGATACATATTCCGACCCGACGGACGGACCCCCCCTTGCAGACTCGAAAGTGGTGCCGAGGCCATATCGAACCGAGAATACATTTCTCTGAGACATTGGTTTCTGGATAGTCTCCGGAGCTGAAAACACTGAGCGACTGTGGCTGACCGCGGGGGACTTACTCGTAATAAGAGGAACTGAGAGGTGTAACGGTCACGCCAGCTGGAGACGAGCTGTTGGATCTGGCTTTGCATTTCGGGCCACGATCAACAGACAGGTGGCTGAACCGAGGACGATACCACGATTCTCGAAGCAATCCCTCCTCGTTTACTCATTTGATCAAAGGAAAGCTGAGAAAGTCATGACTGGCACCGAGACACAATAACACCACGGCCTGGATCTAGTCGACCCATCAGTATTAAACACGCAAGACTGATCACAGCAAATACACCGAAAAGATGTTCAGCCGCGTCATCTTGCGCCGGAATGACCCGGCGAGCGGTCGCTCCTCGCCCGACGACATCGAGAATCAGCCCCTCTCACCTCGAGGCGACCCCTCCGACTCGCCCGAGTCGGAGATGGCCGAGCGGCAGCAGAGTGGCTTCTCACGACTAGGCATCCGCCGACCAAGTGTGCCCTCGAGATTTAGGTTTTCGAGCAGCACGCAGGCCACGAGCGCCAACGGCACAGAATGGCCGGGCACGCGCACTGCCCGCGCGTCTCGGTCGAACACCCACCCCGTACCGAGACCGAGCAGCAGCCATTACCCCGAGGAGGAGGACGACGAAGACCTGGAGAGGCAGCATGGCCCGAGAGACTCAACACTGCCCTCGAGATATAGCATTATCGTGGATTTGCCTAGCACGAGGCTGCATCTCCCAATGCTCCAGAGGACGTGGACACAGGGATCTAATGGACCACCCACGTCAAGACCACTCCCACACGAGATTCACCCCGCGTTGCGGCCGTCTGCAGATGAGCCGTGTAGGCCAACCGGGCCGTCTATACCGACCGTCATGGTCACCGAACCCGCACCTGTCGCGCGGCCCACTGGCCCCAGTAGCCGATTCGGAAGCGACTCGACAGGCCAGCTGTTTGGTGAAATTGGACGGCCACGTGGCGGCGACGGTTTCCACGCCCCGGATCCAGCAGAGTCAAGTCTGGCGGACTTGGCGGGCGACGGACGACGAAGACGTCGGCCGAGGGACCGCAGCGGAAGTGACCGCAGCCGACGGCATCGGCACAGGCGGCACCGAGATCGCCTGGAGGTACCTGGAAGTTCTCACGGCGGCAGCAGTGAAAGCAGCCGTCGGAGAAGGAGACGGCGTATCCGGGATGTTGAGGACGGGGATAGTGAAGGGAGCGACAGACCTCACCCGAAGCACTTCCTCTTTTGCTTTCCCTGGATCAAAAGCCGGAAGGTTCGGTCGCAAATATTGCAGTGCTTTGTATCGGGGACGTTTTTGGTGACTTTGCTGGCAGTTTGTGAGTTTTATCCCTTTGCAATAGCCCGATGCCATCACGCAAGGACCAAACAAGCTAACAAGACCATGCAGATTTGGCCCTCTCCCTGACCAAGAACATCAACAACAGCGAGTTTACCGTCCTGCTCATTCTCATAATCCTCTTCGCGACCATCTTCTTTTGCCAAGGCTTAATTCGTCTGTGTCTGCTCATTCTCCGGCCCAAACGCCCAGAGGAGCAGCGCCGGAACGGCCTAGCACAGATGTACGGCCCCGGCGGGTATGCGATCCCAAGACAGCCAATCCGCGTCGTCCTTGCACGCGACGAGGAGGCTGCGGGAATCGAGAGTGAGACGACGAAAATCAACCCTCCGGCTTATGGTCTATGGAGGGAGAGTGTGGTAAGTAAACGAGAATACACACACCTCAACCTAATCCTTGTACTGGAGCATGTGAACTAATCGCCGGTGACAAATAGCGCGTCGACCCCAACCGCATCTACTGGGAGAGGAACACGGAGGCGCCACCCATTCCGGGCGAGCAGCACGAAATGTCGGGCGCTAGTAGCACCGACGACGACGAAGACACGGCTACGTCCGGCGACGAAGGATCCTCGCGGCCTCGCAACGTGCGCCGACCCCCGTCATACGCATCCGAGGACGGAGTGGCCTATGTCATTGAAGCCCAGCCGCGGTCCATCGCGCCGACGGGCGAGGTCCCGCTGCCGGTGCACCCCTCCGAGGCGGGGAGGATAGCTGCGGCGCCGCAGTTCTGATTGTTATCTAGAGCAACCGACCAGCTAGCAAGCATGTGCGTCTAGATCATTCTGTTGCATGTAAGACTATGGTGATAAACTGCGTCGCGGTCGAATTCTAGGAGGCTTGTTGCGTTGAACATTGGTGCAGAGTTGCTGTTTTGGCGCTCCTGTGTTTGCTTTTTGTTCCCAGCATCGGTGTTTAGGGCGAAAATGGGTCGATTGGACTTGACGGCATGGCATTATACATTCATTGCCTCGGTGCGGATGGCGAGGGTTGGACGTTTGCGCGTGCAGGTAGTACCGGGACGGAGAGGACGTATGTAGTCGAAAGGGAGCTCGCTCAGATCATATGGGAAGGGAGCTAATTTAAGACAACGGCACACCTATAGTGCGTCTCCGGGAAGAAGACAATGTTTTACTGCTAAAGTGATCATGTTTAGGTGTATATGGGCCTTCACCCCGGAGAACGTCTGTCTCACCTCGCCCGTTTCACACCTTGAATTTTCAACGACGCTACACGTAACGATCTCGGCTATTCATACAAGCAAAAAGGCATGCCGAGGTCCCACGTCCTGAGCTCACGACACGATAACCCGAGGTTATGCTTCGTGGTTTACAAAAACAAAAAAATGAAGTTGTATTGCACCGCGCCGTCTACTTCACTTTCTCTTCCGCCAAGTTGCCATCCCAACCGCTTGAGAGCTGCCATCTCCACCGCTTGAGCTTGGGCTGGGCCGGAGCTAGAGTCGCTCCAGATCGGCCCCAGCGATTATTACGCGACGTAAACTACACGAGATTTTATCGCGCCTCGTGACATGACCGTAACGCGGCGCGGTTGTCCACAGCACGATATCAACAATACGAGGAACTTTTGCTCCGGCCAGCTCTCAAATCGCCTGGCATATACTTACCCGGGCAGGCTATTTATTTTGCCTTTGCTGTTGAGGCTTGTGAAGCCTGCCTGGAGAGTCAGTGCACGATATCAAGGACAAGGCTAAAAAGCCTGGGGGAAACGATCGTGCAACCCCTGCAGATGCACGATAGACGTGCCCCTTGGGGGCCAGCTCGGGGGGAGCATTGATACACCTGAGGCCCATTCTCCCGGCGCGTCTACGTGCATTGGTGATCCTGCAGTGACGATCCTGCAGCTCGAGTCATTCTTCGAAACCCTGACGTGCTGTCCTCGACCTGGACCTTGACTTGAATTCCCAGTCCTGCCGATTGTGATCTCCCCGAGGTTCGGTTCAGAGCTCCTTTCGGCGTTTCGGGATGCGGATACGGCGTGGGCGGATCGAGGGTTCAGCCGGCGCTTGTGATCTTGGTCCTCCATATTCTATGTGGTTCTCCTGATAATGGACGGAGGTCAGGTACACGAACTTGGACTTATAGCCGCTAATCGACGGCGTTGGTACTGGGTATCTGTCGTATCGAAACAACGTATGTGGCAATTATATACCCAGGGTTTACGGATTCGGGTGTCCAGCCGCGATATGGTTGTGCATATCGGAGAGAACTGCGACGTGCCGTGCGCAGGATGCCCAATCAAACAAGGCTGGACAGGTTGGAGACATTGGCGCTCGAGCGGCAGTCTCGATTCGTGAGCTGCATCGCATTTGACTTTGCCAACTGCCAGCTGCCGTTGCCTGCCACTCATCCCTTGGTGGTTGAGAGGAATCCAGCCTCATTCCCGGGATTGCGCGACTGGGAACACCTGTACAGTACACTATCGACACGCAGATGTGGACTACAAGTTCAAGGAACAACCAGTCTGGATAACAAGTCCGACCAAGGAGTCCGAGCCATCTTCACGAACATATGAAAGAATGCGACTTCGGGACTTCCAGGGGGGAGATCAATACAAAGTGCCTGTTTCTCTGCCGCCGTCGCCGCCACCCAAGGCGCTAGATTTAGGGCATGCATTGGCCAATGGCTCGTGAGAGGCTTCGGGCATCGACCAGCTGCCATCTCGGATAGATGAGCATAGATGAGCAGCAGTTCGTAGCAAAGCATCTCCTGCGCCCCTTGCATGCCGATGGTGGTCACAATGCGAAGGGAGATGCCGACGTCAGCTTTCTCTCAGCCGCAGGCGTCGGTGCAACCACCCACTGCACACCTGCACACTGCACACATACTGCACCCCTCTTTTTTTTTCTCCCCGGGGGCCCTGCTGTTATAGTACAGATGGTGGCAAGGATGGGACCAAACAGACCAACCTGGGAAAGGCAGGGCAGAAGGCAGGCGCAAGGCACAGCTTCCAGCCTGCCCAGCCAACCATTGCCTTTCTGCGCTAGACCAAGTCGATATACTTGCATACAGGAGTCTACTCCCATCTGGGCACGCACCCGCAGCAACACAGTGGGCAGTGGGCAGCCGCTTCCCTCGCGGGCCCACCGTGCCTGCTCAGGCCCCGTTGTTCTGGGTATAGGTATCCATCATGTCGCACCTTCCCTTGCCCTCCCTGCCTCCCTCCCTCCCCCTCCCTCCTCCTACACAAATTCCATCCCTCACACCCATCCCGAGGAAGATTTCCGGTTTTTCGGTGCGAGTTGGAGAGCTGGAAGTGGTCGTCGTCGTTGGACAGGATCAAGGTTGAACATCGTGAAGACGAAGGCCGATACCTAGTTGTGGCGCGCCGAAGGAAAGAGTTTTTCCCCCCTGCCCATCCTTATCATCATCATCTTGTGAGTACGCAGAAGCTTCCTGTTTGCTTGCTTTGGCTTGCCCTGAATATACCTCGTCCACGCCTCCCCCTCTCCTCCCCGTTTGCCGATCATGAGCATCCATCCTGCGACCCGGCCCCGGCGACGCACGGCGCTCTCCGTCCATATCGCCGGCGAACTCACTGGAGCTCCCCATGCGGATGCCAACGCCTGCTGCAAAGCTTCCGAATCTGCCGAGGTCCCCGCCAAAAGGACGTCACCAAAAACCGCGCATTACCACCTGGAATCTTCGATCACGGCAGTTGGCCTTTCGAGCAGAGGAACCAGAAATATTCAACATGTGAAGCTGGGAGTCAGTGCTCAGGATGCTGGCGTCGAGCTTTGGCTTGCGACTTCTTGAACGCATTATATGATAGCCACTGCGCCGTTTCCACCCAGCAGCGAATCAGTGAAAACCAGTTCAGGTCCAGACTCCACCAGCCGCAACTCCTACGACCCGACCCGTCTTCATTACCTTCATCGCTTGCGAAAATGTTCCTGTCGCGCGAATTTTTAGCTTGTGGCTAGCCATCGGCGCTCCTGGCGCCGGCGATGTCACAAGTACCGGACTATTTGCGCAAGATCGACAAGCGAATGCGCATGTCGAAACAACATAGCGAATACAACGCCCTGCCTGCGGGTTACACAGGCGGCATGCATGCTGCAGGGTCCTCGAGCTCTGGCCGGTTGATAGCTACAACGTCAGCCACGGCTCCATCCGGTGCATAGTCTACCATTTGGCTGCCAGCCACGATGCAGGTCGAATCCTGTCAGCTCGAGACTCCACTTCGTCACCTCGCTATCTGAAGCCGTCCGGATGTAGCGACTCATATTGCGGGCTTGCATTGCGGGCTTGCTACCAGGTGGCAATGGCAGCGGCACCTGCTCTTCTGGATGGATCCATCTGTCGCGACCGATGCTCATGATCGAAGGGAACTGACGTTTTGCGTTTCACGCGTCTTATGCAATGTGACGCTGACCATGTGTGCCTTCACAGCCCTAGAACCGTCAAGATGTCGTCGCTCTCTCGTCGTGCGTGCTACAAATGTGGCAATGTTGGCCACTATGCCGAAGTTTGCTCTTCGGCTGAGCGCCTTTGCTACAACTGCAAGCAGCCAGGACACGAGTCGAATCAATGCCCCCTCCCCCGGACGACTGAGGCCAAGCAGTGCTACCACTGTCAAGGACTGGGTCACGTTCAGGCCGACTGCCCGACTCTGCGGTTGAGCGGTGCTGGTGCTGGTCGGTGCTACAACTGTGGGCAGCCTGGCCACTTGGCTGTGAGTACTATATGCCCTGCACAAGAACAGCCTGATGGCCTTGAATCGCTTGGAACTGACATTTTCACGCAGCGTGCTTGCCCCAACCCTGCTGGCGTTGGTATGGGACGTGGAGGTCCCGTCGGCCGTGGTGGATTTGGTGGTTACGGCCGCGGAGGGTATGGTGGAGGTCCTCGCCCTGCCACATGCTACAAGTGTGGTGGTCCCAACCACTTCGCTCGTGACTGTCAGGCACAGGCTATGAAGTGTTATGCTTGCGGCAAGCTCGGCCACATCTCCCGGGACTGCCCTGCTCCCAATGGAGGTCCTCTCAGCACTGCTGGCAAGACATGCTACCAGTGCGGCGAGGCTGGTCACATCTCGAGGGACTGCCCTAGCAAGCAGACCAACGGGGAGGTTAACACTGCGGAGGTTGATTTGGCCGCCGCCGGGATCGCGGCTCCTGTCCCTGCTCCCATCGCTCCGGCAGCTTGAATGAGTGTTCTGAAAACATGAATTGGATACATGACTTTTCCTTATTATCTATTCCCGGCTTCGGCTCATCTTGGTCTTGGGCCACACCTTCTGGTATCCTAACGAATCACTGTTTACATGGCGTTCTTCGGTCTTTACACTTACTTCAGTCAACGAACCCCTCTTGCACCCACGACACCGAAAACCAACGAATTTCAACGCACTTGGATGACTTTCACGTCTCTCAGGAAAAGGCTTCTCTATACATCTTCACAGTCCGAGTGCGCTCACCCTTTGACTCGGGTTGGTACTGCTTGCGACCTGATCGGGGCCTTTACCGCGAAGGTTAGGCTGCCGAATGCGAGGCACGACAGTGTTGAGCACGGATTTAATACCCAACAACGAAAATCTGAGGCCTTTGCACGATGGGCCAAGGACGAATTTCTGGATTATACACCACTTTGATACCCCAAGGGGAAAGCGAGGAGGGGCATGTTTTCAAATCCATCCTCTCAGCCCACCAAGGAGAAACAGGAAAACAAAAGAAAAAAAGGAGAGAGAGACTCCGGAGGAGGCATGCCATAAT